TGCAACTCCAACAGAAGAGGAAGTGTTGTACAAGCCCCTACAAAATCCAAGTCATGACGGAGGCTAAATCATGATGGGTCTTCAGTTGGATATGATGAGACCACTGTTGATATGCAAGTAGTTTGGAATTATTTCACCTTTATTCGACCCTAGGCTACTTTCATAAATACAGTGTGCTGACCATAGACATCCACTGATCCTCAGATATTAGACCACTACTTATACTGCTGTTGAAAATCCACAACAGGCAAACACCGGTTGCTCTGTAGCCTCATGAGACACGCACCACAGATAAATTAGCAACACAATAACTATTCAACATTGAAGTATAAAGGCGAAAAGGAATACCTGATATCTCATCATGTTTTGGAACCAGACCATATCCTAACCGTGATCCTTAATATTATTTACTGCTTATTTACTAAAGTTAATGAATTCAATTCTCAGGCAATGCAATATCGGCACGCGCCAAACATGGTGATTAAACAGTCATCATATAACCTTCAACACCAAACTAATGAAACCACAACCTTCCCGAAAATAAATAAACGAAGTGAAGTGATTTGATAGTTTTAAAAGATTAGATGTATGCTTTATAAGTGAACGGTTTCACTTCATGTTTCATGTCATAGTCTGCAAACATCCTTCTCTTCTATTTGTACGTGGGCTTTGTACCATAAGATCTTACAAAACTAACCTCTAGGCCCCAAAATTTCTTCATCTCCTCATATATCATAATTGAACATAAAAAATCGAGTCAGTTAAAGGCGTCTTTAAGTGTCTCCTTAATCTGCAAGAAAACTACAGGGAAAGTTATCTGTTTGGAATCGAAACTGCATTTCTTCTAGTTATCATCAATAACTGAAAATCTAAGTTATTATGCATAATAGAGAACCTATAACTAGTAAACTTTCTACAACTACCATATTATCCCAAAAATATTGTACTTTGATCTCCATATCAAATTTTCCAAGACTGATCAACATTAATTCCTTGCCATTACCTACTTTTTTAATAGTTTAAACATTCGTAAGTTGATTCACCACAAGTCTTTTAAAAGATACCTTAGCATTGCAAATTCAACACATTTCATAAGAGTGTACATCCATCAAATAGACCACACCAACATACAAACAAGAGTGCTAAAAGAAAACATCAAACGTACTTCGAAAGTTGATAACATACGAATAAGTATAATTGTAGAATTAAAGAATAAAGGCCAGTGTCTGCTTCCATTTCATAACATACATATTAATATCATGCAAATTTAATTCATTAAGTCTTGAAGGGTGATTTTTTATATTAACTTATTCACACTCTGTTTATATTCGCTACTTTATTGAACGATTCTATTGATAACACTACATAAAGCTACTAAAGTTTATGAGATATCTCAGCAATTGATTAACATTATTAATTAGGTGTTCATTGAATCCCCAAAAAAAGAATGCTACCAGAAATATATTTTAAAAAATTAATATATGGTTGAGAGAAATCGAACTTCGAATCTTTTAATTCAAGTCGTACTTTGGGTCTCAAATCAAGAAACTAAGGCAAGCTACGAATTGATATAAGCATCAGATAAATTCCTCATGTGTACAATACATTCAGTCGCAACAAAGAAACGTATAAATAAAATGATGATCTGCTTCACTTGCACTTCAATCGAATCTAGAAACTTATTACAAGTATGTAGTCTACAATAAATTAATCGCACTGATTATAAGCATACACATACATATTTCCTTCTTGCTTATTCAATGCTTTCAAAAATTGGTACTTTGGTTCACCTAAAAATGGGGTATTTGTACATGAATTTACCGAAACGTATACGAACCAATAAAAGAATCCCATTCACCAATACAACCTATACAAAGCGTTTATAGGAATAGTTCTGATGTAGGCTTGCATAAAGACTTTGAATAAATGCATGAACATGGTACAAGCGATAATAATCTACATCTATCAGTGCCATAATTCATAAAGAACAATTTAAAACTGTGCACGAATATGAATGCACCTTATGTGATTTAAATTAGATATATTTAAATCACATATCGTTAGTAAATCTGCTCTTTTAACACAACGCATTCTATAAACGTATTTAAGTTGTTGTCTTGTCTTACAGTAGTTGACTTTGTGGTTTGATTTGCGATTAAATTATTTATCTATTTATGAGGTTAAACCTATAGGATACTTGTAAAGAAACTAAAAAATATGGAATATAATACGAAACTTTATTGGGAATTAGGATTCATCCACCATTGTTTTTTAATAAAGCAATTAATTAATTAGCTTGATTTGCATGGGTTTATGTTTTGGATAGGTAAATTGATTTGTACTTTGCGATTTGGTCAACTTGCACTTCACTGTCATTTCATATTGAAAATGTAAAAGATATAATGCTTGGATATATGCTATTAATACCCAAGTATATCATACTGAAGGGTCTGAATTGGAATTGTTTTGGTGTAACTAGAGATGCTTGAATTTCTACACTAATATTAATAATCTAACAGTCTAATCTTGCTTTTTTCGATGAAAGACAGTCTTTGGTTTGTTTTCTTATCATAGTTAGGTCGTATAGTACATTTGTTTACGGCTTAGAAGGAGTAAGATGTTTGTAGATTGTATTCTGAACTTTTTTTGGTTTTACTTACGTGGTAGTAGGGTGTTCCTATCATTATTGGTTTTGTATTTACTACAGTATCTAACGGTTTTGCACAAGTTTACTAGAGTATTTTGTTGAAAATTCTAAAATGATGTTTGGAGCTATATATAAAGATAGTTATCTGGTTGATTCTTCCAGTTGTCATATGGGCACGTCAAGTTTTAAGCAACAAGTATCCGTGTATAGATTTCAAGCAATGAATTTTGTTTATTAAATAAATACTATTCGTTAATTTTTTGGTTGAGTTTTTTAATTTCGGTATTTTCTTTGTTTTTTAATAAGATATTTGATGGCTTTTATTGCTGAAGAGCTTATGTTATAGTGTTTGTCATATTTGGATTACTATTGACGATGGTATTGTGTCTAGTGGTGATGTTTCCCTACTTGGAAAGGTCAAGGGGTGAAAAGTCTCTGATAATCTTAATCGATTACTCTTTTCTGCATGCTTCTGTCGAGACCTGAAAAGAGGTAAGCAAAAAATTTCTGATGTCTATATGTGGTAGACTTTTAGTCCTCCTTGAAGTTAAGATCCAACTTTTTAGATGTGGAGCAATAATAGAAATGGGACTCTCAAATGACTTGTGTGTTCCACCCCCTTCTAAGAGAATAGACATAAAAGGGTAACGAATTCGGTAACCCATACACCAACTGAAGAATGGGTAGTTAAAAGTAACTGTTATACCTGGATAAACGTACTGAAGGGTCCTAATGGTAGAATAATATAGGATGTGAGACCTTGCTGCAGGAGTTTTATCTCAACATATAGATAAATTTTTTAAATTATACTCTTTGGCTTACTAACTTTTTGAATTTTTTCGACCTTATTCTGATCTGCTTGCGAGAGTGACATAGAACATCACGGCACGATCGATGCTAATTGGAAAGGTAAGAAGAAAAAGAAACCCATAATATAGAAATAAGAACTTAAATGAACATTGAGGGAGTTGAAATTAATTTGCAATTGAGACATCTAAGCATACATAACAATATTCAGGAATATGACAATCCTGACTGGAACACGCCAAATAGCATTGGCAGAGCCAGGTTGGACTGTTCATCAATAAATAGATATATCTTTGGGCAATTTCTCGTACTCCCTGACAACCTATCAACATATTCTGTGCCTGGGGCTTATAACGAATTTCCAGCTCTATCTTAGATTATCTGTTCGGAATCACTTATGAAAATCATAACCGGAACTGTACCTGTCGTCCTCAGCATTTGCACGAGAGGTCAAGTACGCACAGCGTACGTATCAAATTAGACCCCTATTCTATAGACTCCTGTTTTTGCTGTATTTCCTTAATCAAAATTGGAACCTCGGGTGAATGCTCTTCCATTAGAATTATCTTGTAAGCGTCTTTTCAGTGGCTCGATTTCCATTAGTCAGTACCCAGTGTATTGTTTGTCTGATTCGAACGACCAGGAATACCCAATACAATTGATACGAGCAAGATTTAGATTATGCTTAATGCTATTGTTACCTCAAAGTGGAAACTTATCCTTCCCAATAAGAATTACTCCTTGCTTGTGTAGATTTAGACCTTTGTTCAAACCAAGTGGAAAATTATATAGTCTAATCGTAGCACGTATTGTTTACATTCTTTGGTTACTGTTGATGAGCTACAGGCTACATCTTGATTTTCTTCTACTTCCAGTATTCATATTTGCCCTGTTTTTGAACACTGGTCTATACAAATCACTCTTTCTTCGAAATTGGAGTCAATAGCTTTTTATACTATAATGCTGAAGATTCCTATTACTTCATTCACTGTCTTAAGCATAGGCGTTATTGAAAGTACTTTATTGGTTCTTAAAACATTCCCTCTAACTCCCCTAAAAATATTCTTTAATCTAGTTTTTAGCAAAATTTGTTTACTTTTTGTGATATTCACAAAAAAGAGAATCAATTCTAAAAACCAAAAAGGTTCTGGATGGAAGCAGAGAACTCAAATTGTACGAGAAATAAACGACTCAGACCATTAGACTAAGAGTGTAATTCAGAGGATCAGTAAATGAAAAAGAAGGAATCAGAAATGTTATTATTTGGTATTATATATTTAGGTGCAATCCAAGTTTACAATCATAATATTATATAAATAATAAAGGCAAAGAAAAAAAGGAAAGAAAGCTTCATCAACACTGCTAGTCTCAAAATTAGGTTACTTTTGAGTAAATGACGTCCGTAGCAAAATACGAAATGCCAAAAAATAGCAAAAGCTGTATTGCAAAAAGAGTACAATCTCAAAGACAGATCTCCATTTTTAAGCCAAAGAACTATATTTACTAATATACAAAATATTACACATAAAAATAACCGGGATCAGATTTAGTTAGCAGCAGAGGAGTACTTGGTAACCGCTCTGGTACCTTCGGAAACAGCGTGCTTAGCTAATTCACCTGGTAAGATCAATCTAACGGCAGTTTGGATTTCTCTAGCAGAAATAGTAGACTTCTTGTTGTAAGCAGCCAACTTAGAAGCTTCACCAGCAATTCTTTCGAAAATATCGTTAACAAAAGAGTTCATGATTGACATGGCCTTTTGGGAAATACCAGTATCTGGGTGAGTTTGTTTCAAAACCTTGTAAATATAAGAAGAGTAGGTTTCCTTTCTGGTCTTGGTTCTCTTCTTAGCATCAGTAGAGGCGGTTTTCTTAGCAGCTGGTTTCTTTTCAGCTGGAGCTTTAGAGGCAGGTTTCTTTTCAGCTTTTGGGGCCATTTTAATCAATTAGTTTGTGGTATCAAAATTCGAAAGAAAAAAGAGAAAAACACTCGGGGGAAATTCCAAAGTTTATATAATGATCTAGTGAACGGTAGAAAAACAAATCAAAATAAACACAGTATGAGTAGAAAGTGAAGCCACCGTTCTACATTATGCATTCATGCATGCTGTTGTTGTTGTTACTGTTTACTTTTTAGCGGGTCCAACCTTGGTTAGGGTTCGCGAGGACGTGTCGGGAATGCGTTCCAGAAAATACACTTATCATTCTGAAATAAACCCAAAGGAGGGACTCCAGCAGAATGATTTTTACGCGTAGCCCAAAGTAAATTCAACAGAAAAAGTTAGACCAAGAGACTTCATGTAAGCGATGACCATTGCAAGGATACCAAAATAAACAATTGATACTTTAATCAGCCTCTGGTTTTAGTGTGGTATCTAATTTCATATTAGTGCGTTTGCTATAGAATGGCACCTATATAAGAGAACCTAGTTGTCATCATTTTTTCTTCTTTTTAGTTTTTATATCTTTAAACACTAATTTATTAAAATGTCGGGAGGTAAAGGTAAAGCTTCAACAAGCGAAAAAGCATCAACATCAAGATCAGCTAAGGCAGGTTTGACTTTCCCAGTTGGAAGAGTCCACAGATTGTTGAGAAAGGGTAACTACGCTCAAAGAGTTGGTTCTGGTGCCCCAGTGTACTTGACCTCTGTTTTGGAATACTTGTCTGCTGAAATTTTAGAATTGGCTGGTAACGCTGCCAGAGATAACAAGAAATCAAGAATTATTCCAAGACACTTGCAATTAGCAATCAGAAATGACGAGGAATTGAACAAGTTGTTGGGCGATGTTACCATCGCTCAAGGTGGTGTTTTGCCAAACATTCACCAGAACTTGTTGCCAAAGAAGTCTGGTAAGAAAGAATCTCAAGAATTATAGTTAATCAACTACTTCTTTTTGTGTATTATAATGTATATTAATAAATGATTGAATTGATTTTGAATTTTGCAACCAGAAAGTCGAAATCGGTCTGCGCACATCATCGCGCCCAGTAGCCTAATTAAGATTGTCAGATGATCAAGTGATAAGACTAATTTTGTTAAACTTTTACATAGTTTTTTTACACGGCCCATAGCTCCATGTCCTTATCATTGAAACCTAAGTCAAATAGACTCAAGAACGTCACCATAACCTCCGCTGTGATAGTGGGTGCTTCCTTAGTCATTCTCAATACTTTCCCTCACTTGAAGCAGTCCTTGTATGACTATTTCACCCAATCAAAGGATGGAAGTGATGAAGAAGACGTGAATGCCCCAATTGAACTCTCTAGCGAAGAATTGGCCGAGGGAGATAAAGTATCATCTAAGGATATAGCAGAAGAGAGTATAGTGGACGTGAATGAGTGGTCCAATGATGATTTGAAGAGCTGGTTAAAGAAGGTACGTGTGGAGTAGTCGGATGTGCCGCTGCAATATCATTTAACTATTAATCCTGTTACTAACTGACACAAGAAAGAAGTCAACACTCCCCAAGATGCTAGTCATTCTAACCTTGTTTCCCTTGTTAAGTCAATCCAAGAAGATTTTGACTAACCAGTTTATACTTGATTTTACGGTTCTTCAGTGTTTAGTAAAGCTTTTCTTCATCGTACAGAACTTCATCCTAAGGCGATAAAACTGATGCCACAGGGATGATGTATATGGATGAAAATTAATGCACTGTATTATATCTATATAAATTGAATAATTACTTTCTAATTGTAATACTTCTTCAAACCCTTCTCAAAGATGTCTCTAGTCAATCCCAAATCTGTATCTCTAATATATACGAAATTGCATCCAATAGAATTTACATCTTTGTTTCTGTATTCATCATCAAATAAAATGAATTCTCCATTCCTTAACTCTTGTTCCATTCCCAATTCCCTTGCCGCTTCCATAATATGTTTAGTTTTAGATCCAGTACCCCACTGGCTTGAATCAAAAAACTTATACATTGGTGTACCATCTATGTTGATGTGATTGATTAACTGCTTTGCAATATGTACGGTAGGAGTTCTACTAGCACTTATGATTTTCACACCATTTTCGCTTAGCTCTTTAATAATCAGGGGGACATCCGGATACAAAGCAAGCTTATAACCATAACTGTCGATAATTTCATCGGGCCGATGATTTTTTAAGGGTAATTCAATATGGACATCACACCAACATGGCCATAAGGTATAGTCTAAGTCAAATACTACTGCCTTAGGGTAATTACGGCTCATTATTTATACTGTTGAGTTGGCATCTCATGGGCGTGAGAAAAAAAAGTGGCAGCAAAAAGTGATGCGCACGACAACCTGGAGTAGTGTCACCATCTTATCATTACTTGAATTTAAACCAGGGGGCAAATTCTTATTTATCTACCTTTTTTTATTTTATTTCAAAGGCGATTATTACAGCACACCATGAGTGAAGATAGCATAGTTAAGGTCAAGATTACCTATGCAAAAGTCTTATCCAGAGATTCAGCCATTGAACAGAAGGAGATGTTAGTGGCTGCTGATAAGTTTGTGCCTTTGAAGACTAAACAGGACTTTCTCAACTTGTTAGTTGATGAAGGTATCCCTTTTCCATTGCAGAAGGAGAAAATCAAGCAGTATCATTTTGCTAGAAAATCTAAGAAGAGCAAACGTTATATCCCTTTGGAATCTTTAGATGATTTTAAATGTTTAGCAAGAAGTTTGAACGTTAAAGGACATATCAAGTTGACCATTAACGATCATTCTCCTTTGGAAGAGGACACTAAACGAAAATCATCTCCATCTGAGTCACCGAATGATTTCTTCAATAGAGCAGGTATTAACCTTAGCTCTTTGTCGGAATTGATCACGGAAGTTGCTGGGGACAAGTTTAGGGAAGTCTTATCAGAAGTCACTAAAGAATTTGCCACTTCTTTTCCTCCTTCGACTAAGGATATTAGAACCGAAGGAGAAACTCATACCAATGTAACTCCAGTTCTCCACCATAACGCATGTTGCGATTACTGCAGTGGTGACGTTGATGAGCCCATTAAAGGAGCAAGATTCAAGTGTTTAGTTTGTCCAAATTACGATTTGTGTGAAGCTTGTGAAAATGTGTTCCTGAAAACAAGACTCTCTTACAAGGGCCACTCATATTTGCATCCAACTATGAAGGTCGCTGAGCCTGATTCTTACGAGATCAACAGAGATGTTCTTCACAACATCCCTTCTCAAAGTTCAGAAGAAGTGAGAATCATTTGTGACCGCTGTTCTAACAGATTAACATCACACCAACCAAGTTTCAGATGCACAGAATGTTCTGATTTCGATTTGTGTCCTTCTTGTTATAACACACATATTTGCAATCAAGAAACAATTGGAGGACATAAGCCTTGTCACCTTATGTTTGAAATGGGTGAACAAAAGAGAGCAAAAGCTAGCTATTACAAGGATGACAAGTCGGGGGATGGTTTCTTGGATATTGACATAGGATCCTGCTCTACATTCCTTTCAACTTCTGTGAAGTCTATGTTACTGGATGGTGTTCCTGCTTTCGTCAAGAAATTGGAGAGGCTCTTTGAAGACTCAAGAAGATTCCGCGAGTTAATGGATTTGGTTGAAGTGCCAGAGGGTAGCGAGTTAGAAGATGACTTGAAGCTCACAATTTTAAAGAGCCTTATTACTGGAAACAGCCACTCTTCGTTCGAAAGTGGTTCTCCTGCTGTGGATGAAACTTTCATGGAAGATGCGAGTTCAGTGGTCGAAGAAGAAGGAATTGGAAACAATCCACCTGATTATGAGTTAATCAACTCAGCAAAGGAAGAGGTGGAAGGAAGTGTAGTTCATTTGAAAGTCAAGAGATTTGGCCCTCAATCAAAGATTTTCTCCATTCAGTTGATTAATTCTTCTACACACTACTTTCCGCCTGGCGATATTTTATTCGAGTTCGTTGATAACGATTCCCGAGAAATGATTGTGGTCAAGAATGCCAATGCTATTGCTCCCTCTAAATCCAGATTCTATAACTTGAAGGGTGAAGTTGAGAAATTCATTGGGAAGAATATTAAAATCACCAGCAATAATGATGACTTTGTCATGCAAGGTGTCTTCAACGAGTCCGAATCCACTTTAGTGGTTACCAGATCAAGATTACCTTCATTTTCCCGCGTCACACCTATGGAAGAAAGCGATTCAGAAGCAGGAAATTTGGAGAAGGTCTCTGTTGACTTAGCATTAAAATCTAACGGCATGGCTCAGGTTACGATTTTGAACAATACTGAAAATGCCATCGATTGTTCTGATTTGACTATCAAGGTGCTTAACTTTTTGGGAAATTCAATTTGTAAAGTTTTGGTGCATAAGAGACATGGAATTGAACCAGGTAAGTCCTCCAAGTTCAATATTGCGTTGAATGCCGCCCATTTGAAACATCCCTTCCAATTAGTCTTGACCAACAGTGATTTCAGAGCTGTGAGCGACTTATCCATGAAGAATTTGTCAGGTGATTTCAAGGTTGAGAGAGGATGGTCGATCACAAATTCTAAAAGCCCCGAAAGATCAATCTCAGAGTTCGATGGGTCTTCTTCGTCTACAGAATCAGAAATTAACGAAAGCGAATTCGAGAACTTTTCAAAGAACAATATAGGTTCTACCAGCTCGATGGTTTTACCAAGCTTGCCAAAGGAGTCTATTGAGAAGCTTTCAACATCCGTCTACATTGATGCAAAGTTAGATGCCGAGAGACGGGAAGAAATGGGATCGGTAACTGAAAGTGAGACGGACCGCTCTTCCCGGTCTCCATTTCAAGATAAGGACCAAGATATGTTGATTGATGTCAGTGACACAGATGATTTTGAATTGGGATCTGATTATGAGATTTTAACACCAACTGTTTCCAATTATAATTATGCTGGATAGAGAATTGCTCGATGATATTTCTCAGGGTTCGGTGATGGCGGTTTAAGCTTATTTTTCTAGTATTTAGGTAGTTATTTGTAATTGTTTGATTTTTCTCTCACTGAAAATTATAACGCGCAGTGAATAGAAAAGTAGGAAAAGGTTCAAGGAGGAATTTTATTTAGCTTTTATGATGACTACTAAAGATCTGGCCCCGGAAAGCGAAGGTATGTATCATCGTTAGTACTAGTAATAGAAAGAATGTGGTTGATTACTAACCAAATTCATAGAGCAAAAGTATAGATTGAAATGCAAAGACTTGAAGAGAAGAATAGATGAAGTTGACCAAAGCAATGAATTGGTTACCTTAGCAATCAATAGAACTAAATCATCTATACGTCGCTTGAGATTGGAATATTCTATATTATTGGAGCGTTTGGAAACAAATTCTGTTAGTTTTCCCGATACATTGGAAGAAATGTCACCTCCACCTTCTCCGTCATTGGATTTGAATGAGAAAGCGAAGTCAGGAAACAAGAGACCGAAGAAACTGACTGCGCCTAAAGGTACTTTGAAAAACCGTATAAGAGACCCAAATCTTCCCAAAAGACCGACAAACGCATATTTGATATTCTGTGAGCTGGAGAAAGAAAGAATCAAGAATGAAACTGGTGATAGTTCCTTATCTTCAGTTCATGATTTGGGTAAGAACCTAGTGGAAGCCTGGAAAAACTTAGATGAGGAGGCTCGCAAGCCTTATCATAAGATATTTGAGGATGAAAAAGCTAGATACAGAAGGGAGATGATTGCTTACAGTTTAAAAAATAGTGATCCGTTGGATGCAACCCGAGCTGATACAGAAGGTGAAATAGATCTAGATGGCGAGGCAGAAGTTGAAGGCAATGAAGATAATGACTTAGACAATGAAAATGATCAAACCAATATCATCAATGAAGACGACAATGGTGCGTCCTATGCAGAAGTGTCTATTAAGGAAGAGGGAAGGAAAGACGAAAAAATTTCAAGAAGTGACGTTGCTTTAGAAACACAGCCACAATCAGAGACACAACCAGGAGTGCAGCAAAAATTAATACCAGAATTGAAATCAGAGCCAAGTATTGACACACAGCTGAATCAACGTGTTTAGTAAAATCTATAGTCGTTGTTTTTATATTATGCAGATCTCTTCTATGTATTTACGTATATGATGGGACAACTTAATAACGCTTTCTCTTAGAATGGTAATAACCATTTTCATCTTTTTCATGCTTTCTCTTCTCTCTTGATTTTTCGTGTTTCTTGAGCTTCCTTCTGGCAGAAATGTCCGGATTTGTGACAGCTAGTTGTGCTCTTCTAGTTCTCCTTTCTTGTCTCCTCAAATAGATTGTTCTTTGAACGTCAGCATAAACCTGACTATATGTACTGGAACCCATTTTATTCTCGAGCATTTGTAAGCATTCACCAGCTATTTCAACCAAATCGGGTTCAACATTTCCGTTCGAATTGGTGTCAACGTAATTATACAATGATAAAACCAACTCCTCAGACACCAGTACTACAAATTCATCATCGAAGATTTGTATCAACATTGCACATAACTTAATGGTAGACTTTTTCGATGACAATGAATTGTGAGAATCTTGTCTTATGGTAGAACAGGCTCTGTGTATCAAGAATTCATTAGCAAGTTCATACTTTTTACTTTTCCTTATCTCATTTTTCTCAACTGAATCATTGTCTTCGTGAGCTTGGTTGTGTATAAATTGGGTATTATTCTTCATCCACCTCATTGCTATTAAAACCAAGTTCTTGATTATTTGATTACCGAGATCATCTGATACTCCAGGCGCACTCATTTGATGTAACAATCTATAGGCAATGGTCTGAACTTCATAGTCACTGATTTTGAACAGACATTTGTCTAAATTGGACAATAGAACACCGATGAGTCTAGAAGAACTTAACCTTACCCATGAATGAGGAAACAACAATGTGTTGATAATAGTTTTCCAAATGCCTTTATAAGCTTCACCTACAACCTTGCGTTTCTCTTTGTTGCAAATGGTAGCAAAAATGTTTAAACAAGAGTAAACCAATTGCCATTCAACGTCCTCAGCATTAGAAACATCACTCAGAGTCTGGCTATCCGATTTTTCAAAAACTTCTTTTAACTTCTGGAAGACAAGGTCATCTATATCACCACTTTTGCCGAGCCCAAATTGATTGAAGTACACTTTATAGACATTGAGGGCACACCTTGTCAAGATTGTGTTTTGGTCTTGTTTCAACCAAGCAGTCAAATACTGCTCAATCTGTTCAAGCTTTGATTCACTCGAGTTTTGCATCATCTTCGTAATGATCATGGAGGACATCTCTCTGCACCTACTCGAGTCATCATTAACCAAGATATTAGCCAAAGCCACAAAGAACGAGGAAGATACTTTATTCAACAATTCTTCCCCACTCTTTTCGACAATTGAATTAATCAACTCCAATACTGATTGTCTTCCATCTTGAGTAGCATAACCTAAATTATTGACCAAAAACTTGAACTGCTTTTCGAGTTTACCTCTACCCTGATCATACTCCATCAAAAACTGAAAGAAAATACTTCTAGCTATTTCCCTGATTTCTCGATTATGGTTCACGATCATGATTTTTGATACAACATCCATTACATCGTATACTTCAGGGAGTAAAATGTGTTGAGATACGACAGCTTTTAAAAAGTTGAAAGCTAACCCCTGAGTTTTGGGTTCTTCTAAATCAGGTAGTATCCTTTCTAAGACATAGCTGATGGCAGAATCTTTGAGGTTAACATCAGACTTGTGCCTAATCAAGGTGGTCAATAATTTGAGACTGGATTGACAGACTTCGTTCGTGGTGTTAGGACTGTCCTTGATGAAGGTCAAAGCTTTCCTGGCGCATTTCTTGAAGACCTGATTTGTTTCATCAGGAAAAGGAAGCTGAACAAAAGTGTGGAGCAACCTCAAGCAGGTTGAAATCAAACCCTCATGGCCCGAGTTGATACCCTCTTCTAATAAGGGAATAAATTGTTGCATGCTACTAACAGTCAACAAAGAAGAATGCCTCGAAATGGCTGCCCTCAAAAGTTCAAATGAAAATCTTTGAAGCGTGAACTTGTACTGACTAAAGTCTGATTGAATCTTTAACGGCCTGGCATTCAATTTGACCATGAAATGACCAGTAGTCTCAAAATTGAGTTTATCACCGATGCATTGGTTTTTTTTACCATTAGTTTCCTCAAATATACCACTTGATTGCCTGTTTATCTGGTAGCTCAAAATAAGAATATTTCTTGAATCAGACTCTTCGTTATGATTGAGTCCCAAAGCATACCTTCTCAATAGTTCATCCAACTTATTTTGCATTTTTAAGGAGATCCTTTCTTGCAAAATTAGCTTTGCTGGGTCAATTATTTGATTGAATGTGGTTAAGGATATATTTGCTGTTAGCATTTCTCCGGAGTCAAAACTTTTTTTGTATTTGACTTCTTTCATCTTGCTGGTATAGCCTTCTGCATCTTTTTCTTGCCCGGCTGCACCAAATATATCTTCCATGATAATTTCAACAATGAGAGTGACAGAATCATCTAGATCACCATGCACCAAATTATCCATTATAGAAACCAATAGGGAGTGCATGGTATAACTCAAAACATGAATCTGAGAGCCTCTCGTTAAAGCACTCTTGAGTTCTTGCAACAAGAATTTGAAGTATTTTGCACCTAAACTACTAGCAATTTTGCAAAGGGACTTTCTTGAAGAATCTCTTAGTTCTTCTGACCTGGATCTCAAAACTTGGCAAGTGGATGTCAATAAACCTGGCAATTGTTCATCAATTTTTGTTTCAGGAAGGCATTTAACTAGATTTACCAAAGCTTCTGATAATACAATCCTGTTAACAATTGTTTCATCATTACGCTCATTTAAAATCTTCTGCAAAATTGGCATGATGTCCCCAAGAATGAAAGTATCAACAAGACTTTCGTCTTTTGGTAAACTCCTTGAGCCCATCAGTTCCCAGTTCTGAACTTATTCTTCTCGAATTAATTGACACAAATAGGGACAGTGAAACCTCGACAACAACGTGAACGCAGGTTCTAAGGTTCTCTGGAGGAGAGACTCTTAGTTTAGCAATATATCTCTTGAAGAATGATTTGATCTGATTCCAAGAAACGTTTCTAATTAAGAGACCTAAGGAAGTCACTGCTTCATTGGAAATATTCCGCATCTTCTCATCGGTATTATAGGCATAATTCTCAATGATAGGAAGAATATAATGAGAAATAGACCCAGCTTCTAAATTTTCTCTTAGTTCGCCAACCCTTCTTATAGCTCTTTGTCGACGATGTAATTGAATGTGATTGATGTTGGCAAAAAAACTAGCTTCCTGATCGTGTTCAAACAATAAAACTCTCATATCGTCTAGATCGGTGAAATGTTTAGAATTTTTCACACAGTAGGCCAAAACGTTAATGTATTCTGTTTGAATTGCCTCAACGGTCAACTTCAAACCATCCCTGATTTCAGGAAGGATTATCGTTTTGAACAACTCGATTAATTCAGAAGCCTCTACTATTGTTTGACGACTAGAATAGGCATCAATAAAGTGATTTAACACGTAACCAGCATTTGTTCTGATGATGAGTTCTTCTTCATCATTAATAAAGAATAAAGCACAATAAAGAATTGGTAGCCACTGGACAGGAGATAGCGTTAAATAGAAGGTATCGTTAATATCCTTGTAGGCTTTCAAAACAGCTTCGTAGTTTGGCTCGCCCAATCTATTACTCGAGCTATTGATTGCATAAGAGTTCATTCCATCCAATAACTCGCCCACAATGATTAAATCAGTAAATTTAGAACCTAAACTTTTGAAAACTTCGACCAAATTGGTACGAATAGATTTCTCCTTATATGTCCTGAAGCTTCTAGAAAGTATCTTGTAATACTGAAAGAAATCGTCCAATGAACCATTGTAATCGTTAATCAAAATCGAAAGTGACAAAAGAATCTTCTCCCTATCATCTAAAGCTACCTTGTTTGGAGGTTTATTGAACACTTTGCACAAGGAATCAATCAAGGAATTTCTGGTACTATCATCAACAATGTAATCGCCATCTATCAAAAGTAATAAGATTGTCACAGATTTGTTAATGACCTCAATATCCAAGGTCGAACCAATTATGTCAGGTAAATTCTTCAACAAAGACTCAACCAAAATAGCCAACAAAGTAATGAAACTGTCATCCTCAGTTTCCCTAAAGGGCGATTGCAAGCAATCAATGGCAAATCCTAAAGCAACAGCAACAACAGGATCTTTAGCTTTCCTATTTTCAAGTAAACTTATAATCGCCCTCGAAGGTTTGAGGTCATCAACCATTAAGAACTTGCTGATGCTGGGGAGTTTGAGCCAGCTTACCATCATCATTGTTAATGATGATGGTTGTTGAAGGTTCTCCCTGTCAAAATTATTTAATCTTGGCTTAATGATGTTGGAATAAATGGAGTTGAAATACTTTGGCCAATCATATAATTCACCAAAATTCTTGAAAAGAGTATTTAGACATCTCAAACCTAGTTGACGAATACGCTTGGCAGATTTTATTTCGTTCCTCAGATCGTTGACATCTTCCTGGACACCCTCATCGTCGTTTATGTTCTCCTCGTCTTCTGCTTCAAAGTTATCTTCACCAGCAGTATTTATTCTCAACTGAGCGACTGAGATAGAATAAACCAAGGGATCAATAGATGTGGACAAAGCATTCGCAAAATTGAAGCCCAAAACATCATACAATTCATACAAGAGGGCAACGAACCCATTTATTCTTTTGATGTTTGAAAAATCGTCCATGCTGATCGAATTGAGATCCTTGAAGCCAATTTTATCATAACCTAACTTCAAGAATGCAATAATATGTTCTTGGTTCAAAGAAGGCAAGATGTTGATAACAGCATTCTTCCTGGATGCCTTGCTATTACTTTTTGCTCCACCCTGAACTCTTCCAAACAAGATACGCAATATCAATGGCATTAAAACATCCATATCTTCAGCTTCAATTGAGGAATCCTGCTCATTAGTGATAAACTTTGTCAATTCATCCTTGAATAGCGTATCATCTAATAAATTTTTCAAATTATCCCTATAATTAGAAAGGGAGTGTATTTTATAGTTGAGAATGACATCCAATGCTAATTTTTGGCTCACTAATCGTTGGCTTGTTAAAATGTTCAATAGCAACTGGTATAACCTGTCAGCATCCTTAATTGTTTTCAAAGACTTGAATTTTGTGAAGGTGGTCAACAAAAGGTTTCTGTCTTTCATGCCCCAGTCTTGGGAGCATGTTCTATCTAAGATCAACCCTGATACACTCTGGTTGTTTGATTCAGCTAGCTCAGGAATTTTGTGCCAACATTCAATAGCCAACGCTCTCATTCTTTCTTCATAAACCATATTAGTACTGAAACTCTGGGAAAGCGAGATAAGGACCTGGAAACCACTTCTGAAATGCCTATAAGAATTTTCCAACAAACTATTGAAGCTGGAGGTTATTCTATCATCATTGAATGAGAGATCAGTTTCAGGGATACTGTCATCCACCAACATATCATCATCACCGTAGACAAGATAGTCTGTGTCTTGATTGAGGTAATCAAAAGTCACAAATTGATAAGAAAGCTTCCACAAGTACTTCTCACAAACCCCCACAATTCTAGGTAAATTTTCGAACACAGCTGCCCAACATGGTTGAAATCTGTTATTTAAAATTCCGAAAAAGTAATTGGAAATTATTTTGCAATCTAAGTCACTCTTGTTTTCCAAGCTATTGAACTGGTTTACCAACATTCTAATTCTCAATTGTATGTCTCTTGCATTACCCAATGTTAATGGAATTGTTTCAATAACTTTAATAGAACAGATGAATTCAGGACATTCTAAATCTTTCACAGTGAGAATCTTTATAATGAAATCAACAGAACTGAGTCTCAAGGTGGTATCATCCTTACTGAAATTGTCCGCTACTGAGCCAATGATCTCTAATATCTTGTTCTTTTTCATGCTATGAGAGGATTCGGTGACAACTTTAGAAAAGGCATCAAGGAAAACAGACGAAATCTTTAAGGAATCGAAGTTCGAGGACAAATAATCAATGAATGTCTCTGTGGGCTCAGTGAATGATATCAAGATCCCTATAAAATCCCCAATAAATAGTGATCCAGTCTTTAAACTTTGAACAAACTCTGCCAATGGAAGTTGTTTCACATTTTTCACATTGAATTTGACAACGTTTAGTTTCCAGTAGATGTTGAGCAAGTTTTCATGTTTGCTTACCTTTAGGTCTAAACTCTTAGTCAAGTACTCACACGTCTCTTCAGGAATTACCACCTGAAAAGTTGGATTCTTCATTAAGAATAATGACAATTGCCTCAAAATAGACTCATTTGTTGACGAGTTATTTATGAATTCTTGAAAAATTGTAGTTAGACCTAGATTCAAAAGCTTTTTTTCACAAATTTTTAATGTAGAATCCACAAAGGGTATAACCCGAGACCCATTTTGATACTTCATCAAAAATGCAAAAAGTTTTCTGAAGCTTTTGTTGATCGTTAGTAAGTCACAATTTCTTGTTAAGGTTGACAAACTGAACAAAAATGCATCAATATTTAAGTCTTTATTCATTTCCAAGATCTTATCACTGATTTGGTAAGCCATACTTATGATAGGTTCCCATGCAAGAACTTTCTTACCAGATTCTGAAAATACCAAGGTGATGAAAATTTCAATGATTTGTGTTAAATTTTCTTCCAGTAAGTGGCTGCTTGTCTCTAAGGAATATGTCATATGCTTCAAAGTAATGGAAATGAACTGTTCAACAGATTTTTGACTACCGTGTTGAAAAAGATTGGCTAGAACACCAGAAATTATGATATTGGAGTTCAAATTTGTAAAGCTGGTTTCAATAAGACGCTCATATATTATCGAAGCCTTAGAATGAAATGATTCTCCGGAAGAAGTTATGGCCTCTGAGAAAAGCACAATCAGGGAGTCTTTGAAGGTAATATTTTCCATTATAAGGTCAATCTTCTCAACTAACAAGTAGCGAACGACTTGAGATAATTGTTTTGAATCCATCTTTTTGATAATGAAAGACAATGCTTCAGAACAAAATCTGGATATATACTGTTGTTTGTTCATGCACAAGATTGGTAATAAGATCTCAAAAGATGGCTCGAAACTCTGTACCAAATCTCTTGAAAGGTACTTGAAGATAAATGTGAGGCAGTTAAATATCCACTCCAACAAGTTAGATGCATTGGTGTTATTTTGCAAGTCATTAGCTTTTATGTCTAGGGCGATGGTGGTTAACAATCTTAGAGTTTTTTCGTAATGCACCATAAAGTCTGATCCCAAATCATGAATGAATTGAGACAATACTTCCAATAATGCTTGAACAGAATGTGCATCGTATTTCTCAAGGTGCTTGTACAAAGAATCAAAGATACTTTGTTGATGGTATATCACCTGGGGTAAAGACTGGCACACCGACTTAATATCATCTGTGAAGCTTGTGAAATTGCCACTCAAATTAACTTCTTTCCAATGATGTAATGTGGATATGAAATGAGAGGAAGTATCTTCGACATCATCATAGACTCTCCTACTCAAATTCAAATTTGGTTCTATTTTTATGGAATCAACTCTGTCCTTGAAGGATTTGAATGCATGTTTTCTGGAAGATTGAGTCAATTTCTTACGCTTAGCGGTCTTATTATTGACCTTATGCTTCAGCTTATCAGCCTTCGTATGAGCAACCATAGTTAATCAAAGGATTTTACTTAATAATTGAGAAAGCTCATCTTGTTTCTCATCTCAAAAAAATAGTTCTCGCACTCTCTGCAGGTCAAAAAAACATTCTCGTCATAACTTAGAAGCTGAGCTAGACTTTGTTTATCTTTCTAAGGGAATTCGACAGACCAACAATGAATGGAAATACAGACAGGACCCCTCTATTGTCCAGTAACATAAATGAAAACCCATATAAACATATTGACAATGCCCATGAAGGTATTAATGATAACATTAACGATTCCACAATTCGCCAGGAGGGAAAGATAGACAAGAAAAGTAGGTCCAATGCTTCATCAAAAATAGGGCTCCAAAGAACGAGTAGAACTTCGCAGAAGATGAAACTTCTACCCGAAGAACCGCTATTAAAGGATGCTAGCTCTAAGAGGCTGGTGACTTCTGAAAGTAATAAAATATATACCCAAGTTGAAAGAATTACTGATGTTCCGGCCAGAAAAGATGCTGAAACCTTGGGAAAAGTGCACAGAGATTTGTTACCAAGAGTTACAGCATACTGTACATCCGGCTCATACCGAATGAAAGATTTGATGAGATGGTTGAAAGATAGAAAAAGAATTCACAACACTAATGTTAAGTTGTTTGACGATGTCCTATATACCCCGTTTACTTATAAAGATTGGAGGAGTGAAACAGATGATCAAGATAAAACCATAAGATTAGCTGATGAAGGTGGTGAAATAGATTTTGGGAAGCGTAACGAGATCTTCATTTTTGAATATGGGGTGGTTGTTATGTGGGGTTATTCGATAAGAGAAGAACAGTCATTTCTAATTGATATATCTAATTTTGAGAATGAGAAGCTAAGTAACGAAGATATACAGGTGGAGGAGTTCAACTACTATATCACAAAATCATACCAACCAAGAATTTATAATGATTTCATCACGATTAGTGACGATTCTAACTATATGTTGAAGCTAAGTATCAGTCATGCTATCAGTCAATCAGTCAAGATATCTTTATTTGAAGAATTGGTAAACAACACAATAGAGGATACTCAAGATATTCCTCAACAGATTGCAACCACCGGTAAAGTGGAGATGAACAGAAATGAAATTATGAAATCTATTGGTGAATTGTTTATCTTGAGAATCAATATAAATTTACATGGTTCTGTGCTAGATTCACCCGAATTGATGTGGGTCGAGCCGCAATTGGAACCAATTTATCAAGCAGTAAGGGGGTATTTGGAAATAAACGAGAGGGTAGAGCTATTGAACCAAAGGTTGGAGGTAATTAGTGACTTGTTGCAAATGTTGAAGGAACAGTTAGGTCAGACTCACGAAAAGAATCTAGAATACATTGTGATCATATTAGTTGGTATCGAAGTTCTTGTGAGTGCAATCAATATTATAGTAGATCTATTCACTTACTGATCCAGAACAAAGGTTCTGCTGTTGAAATCCTTATTAATATTCAGCTGATTTAGCTGTGTAGAAAATGTGGATAGGTTTTTGGAAAAAGCTTTTAGGCTATAATAATACTGAAGATCATTTTAATTTAATGACAAGATTTCACTCTACTTCATACTCTAGAGCGTATATGCATCGTAATATATAACACTTTCAAAACCCAGTTAATAATCTTTGCATTATGTTAGATTAAAGCTATGAGACGAGAGCTACAGTTTTGAGCCGTTATCAATGCCAATACAAAGTAGTCGTCAACAGAGAAAAACAAAGGAAAACAGAAGAAACAATAGAATACAGCGAGCTTTTACTTTTAAGACGATTAAGTAACCACACTTTTCGTTGAGTGCTTGGATTCCAGTTCCCCAGTTTTCGTAAGATACTTGTTCTCTTTTGTTAACTTGGCACGACAAGAATGTAAGATACCCAGTCTTAGATATATACTACTATACTGTTGTGGCTCGATTGTTTTGGCTTACTGTGCTGTAACATTTTTTCTAAACAGTCAAGCTCAGTACAACCTTGCAACCTAGTTGTGATGACGCGCAAGAGATAAGCCAGCGTTCGTCAATATGTTGCATCTATTGTTATAGATACAGTGTAGATGAAGGGCGATAATTTTGAACCTTAATCATTTACTGGTATTAAGAGCATGCTGACTTAGCAACAGCAACGGTGTCTGTAACCATTTGAAAGTAATTCAATAAATGACGTTTTTTCTCGTTGAATTTGAAAATATTTTTTCTACTCCCGAGAACCTGCATGCTCTTAATTGCAAGCACTGTTTATCATATTTCCTTTTTCGAATACATTGCTCAGTAACAAGCATTTTTATTTTTAGCCTCACCGCGAGCCAACTTAATATTTAATCCTTTAAACTTCATCAAGTTTTTTTCTTGTAAGTATCCTTAGTCATGTTATTGGAACCAAGTCCAAATGTTGTACAAGAACACAAATTCTATGAATCCGGTAATATCAAGCACTTGTTACCTCTCATGAACCTCCAAAACTATGAAACTACTGAGATTGAAGAACCTTCAGGGATCAGCATATATGGGTGGGTTTTTTTGATTTTGGTGATTGTTTACATAGCAGTGTTTATGAAAAGAAGAAAATTCACAGAAGCAGAGAGGACTGATAAGGGACATCTAATGGTTTAACTGGAAAATCTTATATGTCATTTCATAGTCTTCACGTCAACATCTTTTTGGTAAGAGAACAACAAGCAAGCACCCTTCATACACATTATTTAATTCCCTGCATGTGCTATGTGGTAATTTTCAGCACCATAATATCCTCTTTTTGCATATTTATCAGCTTTTAGTCATTTCTGGTCATACATTGCCATTCTTTCGTTATTTTACTCGAATTCATAAGTTTATAATATCATTTTCAACTAATATATAATTGTTCTATTTACACTGTAGATATAGCTTATTTAGTCTACCATTTCAAACGTACCCTCTATATATGTCCACTCATATGCTCAACTCAGTCACACGTTTATATAACTCCAAGTCCCACATGTTCCAATCGTACCAGATGATTTGGGGGAAAAAAGTGGCCAAGTGCCACATAGCATGCGAATCAACTACTTTAAGGATAGGTTTAAACTCACAAATCTCAAAAAACATCGAACCAAACATCCACAAGTTGAGTAGAATTGGTAATAAAGGAATATACTTCGATTTAGACAAACTCAAGTAGTTCAATTTCATGAGAATCTTCGTTTCAAATGGTAACAATTGAATGGAATTGGAAAGAATTGGATAGTTGTTGGTATAAATTCGGCTCACTTTCACTGAATGTAAAACCCAAAGTACAAGAGTTATGATTCCGATTACTGAGTGGAAAACAAGGTTATAATTATAGTCCCAATCATGGCTCAATTTTACCAAGTGCAATCCATATATTGTCCCGATAGCAATCTGGAAAGGAAGGAGGTTATTCTTGAACAACTCGAAGTACCTGATAATTATTATGTAGAAGTTGAACAAAATTATCAAAGAAGCTCCAAAGTAATCTAAGGTCTCGGTGATTGGTAAATCTCGTGTATGAAATAACATACTGAATGTCCAACCTACCATTGAAATGGAAAGCAACACTAAATATTGACCATACATGGTTCTCACTGGCCCTGAACTTCTCTTTCTTTGGGGATTTATCTTCCTGAAGTTATGATAATTAATTAAGAAGTTCAATAATGAGAAAACCACTGATGCAACCTCTGTCATTCCGAAGACTCTTTTGAAAGGCCATTTGCCATAAAACTTGACGATCGGAGCACCCTGGGATATTCTAATATCTGTTATGATTTGCTGACACTTGTAATCACAATCAGCGGGACATTGCCACCCAAATAATTGTTTGAATGGGAAGTGTACGTTGTTCTTGGAATCAAAATCTCCCATAGTGTACTTGCTACTAATCGAGGAGATTCTCTTTTGGAGACATAGGTAACTTTTGCATTGATCATTACAATGCATAAACTCCGGAAGCTGATCACCTAAAGAGCATATTATCGGTGTCACAAACAAAAATAGAATAATCAATAGCTTCATCTAGGTGCAATGAATTTTTAATGTGAATCGCGTTTTACAACATAGTGTCAAAAGAGGCCAAGGCTCAAGACGTAAGTGGATAATGTTTGATGGTTACATTGAACCCAGCATGTAGCAGAAATATTCAATGCTAGATGAAGAAAAAGTTGGAATCTTGGAGGACGCAAGACTAAGGGATTTAGCAACCAAGAGATGAATTAACAGGCTTAGGGTAGACCTTAGCTGGGTCGGGTGTAGAGCTAAAGAAGCAAGACTCAATACTTCTGAGCACAGCTTCAAACACATATCACTGCAAAAGCATGAAAATGATATTTTATTAACCATTTATCTTAGATAACGTAAAAAGAATAACAACTTTCCAATTAAATTAAAGCGGTAAAAATACGTTCATCACATATCGAAATGTTGACTTGAGAGTTGACCTTAGTTGGAAATTTGTACCACATTCACTACAGTAACTATTTCTACGGACATTATGCGTCTCTGTCATTGAAATATTTCTTACACATAGCCACATAACCCGAATAAGCAAGGATTAGCCCACTGCTTCACAACGCTGTCTTGCAGCATCACTCAATCTACTGAAGGTCTTGTCTCTCCAGGACTAAGCCAATCGCACGTTCTCTTCCAATTCCAACTCCGTTCGGTTATGAAGTTTAGGTCCGAGTCGCTATCTATTATACCGAAGACGTTCGCATATTCCGTTATAACCAACCCATAATAGTAATATGCATCGTAACACCACTTCAGTTGGGATTCACATCCTTCTAAACTCCCTGAGATGTCGAAGGTGTGCTATATGATGAACCAGAGGACAAATAGTGGTCACTGCCTGATGACAAGCATGTGGGGTACTACATGGGCCAGGCGCACCACCGCTCAAATGGTGTCTCACACCAGGTAAGAATTGATCTCAGTTATAACCTTTGGTAATACACTTGGCGTTCGTTCCATTCAAAAGCGTTAGAATATAAATGAGAGTTATGATCCAACATATTTTCGAATTTTTTAGGGTCCAGATGTTCATTGTTCTTCTTTGCTAGAGCCATCAAGCAATATTCGGTGATCAAAGCTCCAGGTAAAGTAACGACATACACAAATGTTCACAGAACTCTCAGTAATGTGTCCTTTAAAATCTTTTAAGCTTAAGATTTTGTTACCTATTGGCCCGTCGTGTCCCACCTTCGCGTCCCACCTTCGAAACACAATTAACTTTTTATAGATGGTCCTGTTGTTTGGTGTGTCTAGAACGAAAACAAAAACTACTATTTTAGCACAAAAGTAATATCATAAGATGAGAAGTTAGTGTCTCGTACTTGCATATATAGCTGCTTAGATAGCAGCAAAAATTATGGAAACTCCCTTGCAAAATTAGCCCTGCAACAGATTAATCGGACAAAATTGCAGGTTGAGGTATTTGAAGATTTTAAATGAAACCGGGGAAAAAGTCGTACATCCGCGAGCTTATCTATAGACAGACATAGATTCTGAACCGTAACTGGAAAGTCGAACTTAAGTTTGATAAGTAGTCTGTCGTCAAATCACACGACTCAGACAGACATTGTCCCCTGTACTTGAAAGTTTCACCTGTGACTCGTTTGGTACAATCCCACTCTCTGACATCATTGTTTTTGACTACTAACCCGTTTTCTTTAGGTAATAGCCACAGAGAAGGCACATTGAATGAGCAGAAGTTTTCACCAAACGAGGAGGGTCATCTGAAAAATCAAGATATGCCAAAGTAGTGCACTATTTTGTAAAGAGGAGACCCTTAGGATTTCAATGTGATATGATACAATATCCTTGAAAACACTGGTGATAACATATTTGATGATTATTTCAGAGGTGCGACAAAAAGAAAATATACACTAGGGGAATTAGTACAACACGTAGCAACAATTTCTAATGGCAAATTTCCTATCAGGCAAATGCACTTACTGCACAAGGGTCCAATCATCTTATCTTTCTTGATACGGACTTTAACCCAAACAAGCAGTCAGGTCCATGGAGCGCAACTTTCAAGGGGTCTTCAAATTTCAGGATGGTTAATCGTTAATGATCACTTTTCACCCAGATAACCCATGCAAGGAGGCAACGAAGATTTCCAACAGGCTGATCGATTACCCAAGGAACGAATATAGGACTCACAAAGTCATGTCATATCGAATGGAAAAGCTTAAATCAATAATATGTAGTTTGTGCTTTTTTGCAATTACAATAGAGAAAAAACCTAAAGGATGAAGTCATTTCCAGAGTGAAATGCAACCGCCTTTAATAATTGGTGATCAATAATTCGCCCCTTTTTAACCGGTAAGTCCAAATTAGCCAACTTGATTATTTATCCGCTGAAACTGGCTCCTGTCGCTTAGCTGAAATGCACCCAATAGAAGATTCTGCAAAAAATGTAGGCTCAACATAATCCTCAAGAGCCTCACAGCCAGTGGTTGTGCCCGTAAATCACCCCCTCTATAACAGACTAAGAACTCATAACCCGTGTATGGAAATACACAGGATTCTATTGTTGCAACTCAGCATTTATCCAATTAGAAGCCAGCCATAGAGAAAAATCTATGTAGAACTGACCTCAAAAGGCATATTGCCCAATCGGGAGCGGCGTGAGGCGTGCGGCGAAAAAATTTTTTTTGGTCCGGAATTTTTCAATATATAAGCTGAAATATTCGCCCTTCTTTTTTGACGATTTATAAAGACTTATATCTTGTTGTTCGTGGTCAGTACCCTGAAATTTTATGAGTATGTCTAGTTTAAATATGCGGTTGCGCAAAAGTGTTAGGTCCCGGAGATTAACTTACAAATCAGTAGAATTGCAACAGGAAAAACCCCAATTGAAGCAACTAGCGACGAAAAGAAAGCAACCAGAATCTGAATGTTCGTTTAACAAGAGAGCAAAAGTCGTTGAGCGTAACGCCAATGGCACTATTAAAAATGTCGATACCGATAAGATTGATCCAATTGAAAGGTTATTAAGTCTCAATAATCGTTATGATTGTGATTTAAATACTTACTTACAACAAGAGCAAGAGCGAGTTGACGAAGATTCTGATGATTACGATGATAGTGATGAATCTGAAAGTGATGAATACTCAAGTATGAGTAGGAGAACCAGTGAAATTAATGAAGTTTCTCTTAATTTTTCTAAGATTGTTAACGATAATTTACTCAGGTATGAGCCTTTCAATTTCATCAATCAGAACTCTTCATTTGCCATGTTAAACAATCATTCGGTTGCTCAAAATGTCAGCACAAGTGTCAGCAAATCTGAGGTTCCATTCTTCCGACTGGTGAACTTTAACCCTCAACCCAAGCAGAATGTTATTGATGAATTATTGAACTTGGATGATGAAATTGAACAACCAGTCGGCCCTAAAGATCCGATTCAGACTAATACCACGGGTGATATTAATGCTACAACTACCTCTGTATCTGACTCCGAAGAGGAAGAACTTACCACTCCAAAGAACTCTCCTTTGATGACCAACTCAAAGATGTGTTTCAACTACAGACAACATGATCATTTAAACTTGTCAAATTTCAAACCTCAGCCTTCAGATTTGAAGATTCTTAATGAAAACTCAATTTTTTCAGGAAAGCTAAATGAGACAATTGGATCTGGCCGGTTTTTGATCAATGATTTTTTCTTATGATGAATATTATGAACAGTGATGAAGATTTACTGTGATGTGAAATGAGCTTTAATGAATTTATTTAGTTACAATTTAATTTAACCATGCCAAACTTCGAGTACCAGATAATATATGGTGGATTTGGCGATTGTGGGGTGATTTATATAATCTGCTTGTGTATATAGAAATTTTATGTGTTTAATTAATAGCATTCTGCTTAAGGTGTATTTTTTACTCCGTCGTGGGTTGCCGTTTAGTCGAGGGTGTTTTTTTTTGCCATCCCGAACTACGCCTTTTAGCCTTCAAGTAATTTTATTAAAATTCCCAAATTCTGATTGGTCATTAAAATTTGCAACAACCAAAAGTTTCTTCCTCGGAGAATTCCTTTAAGCCAACGTATACTGTCATTACAATATTATTCGGTTACAGGAGATTTCAGGTCGTGTATCAAACGACGATAAGATTTTTGCGGAACTAGATTTATTTTATTGATCAAGTTTCTGTTAGAAACCTCACTATGACTTTCACAGGATTGACGCCTGAGCAGTTGGAGACTTTTGACAGAGAGGGAATGCTTTGCATCCCCGACTTCTTGAATCGAGATGAGATATCCACGTTAATGAAAAGATCACACGAGCTCTTGGAGGACTTTGATGTCACCACTCACCCAAAAACTCAGTTCAAGACTGGGGAAGAGAGCCATATTGGAGATCAATATTTCTTTGACTCTGCTGATAAGATATCTTTTTTCTTTGATGTAGACGCTTTCGATGAAAATGGAAATTTGGCTTTTTCCAAAGAAATGGCCGTCAATAAAATTGGACATGGTTTGCATATTCACGAGAAAGAGTTTCACAAAATAACATTCGACCAAAAGGTCAAGGAAGTTGCTAGATCGTTGAAGTTTGTCGATCCAAGGGTTTTACAAAGCATGGTTATCTTCAAACACCCCGTCAAAGATGCGTCCAATCCTAGAGATAACGAAGTACCTCCACATAATGATGGTACATTTCTATTCACAAAACCTCATACTGCAGTTGGCTTTTGGTTTGCTCTAGAGGATTGTACTGCTGAAAATGGGTGTCTATCTTATAATCCTGGAACTCACAAGACGCATCCTATCAAGAGTAGATTTGTGAAGCTCAATGGAGGGGATGATGGATGTGGGTTTATTCCAGTGGAACATGGGGTCAAAGAAATACCTCCTGACAGACCCGAGGATTATCAATTGGTCAAATGCAAAGCAGGTTCTTTGATATTGATCCATGACGCCGTTCTACATAAATCAGAGAAGAACAAGTCGTCTGCTTCAAGGTTTGCCTATGCGTTTCATATAATAGATGGAACTTCTGAATATGACAATCTTAATTGGTTACAAGTACCTCCCGGGAAGGAAGGGGGTACGGAATTTAGCAGACTTTTTGAAAATTAGGCTTTAATGTATAGTCGTTATTTATTGTAATATGAGAATACTGATGATTCTTACGCCGAACTCAAATTATTGAGGAAAGCAGGACCAACAAAGACCAAGTGGAATGAGAAATAGGAGGAAATATCAACCACTTGGGTACCAAGGTACTTAATGTAATTGGGGTTTAGGCAATTTGGCTCATTAAGGCTATGCATTTTTCGATATTTTGATTCTGAGGAGCACATACTGGTACTATGTTCCAGACCTCTCCCTCAATATTGAGATGGGTTTCGATGTACTCTTTAAACTTCGTGTATGTTTTATTATTGTCATTGAGATCTGCTTTGGTTGCAATTATTAATTTCCTTTTGTTCTTTAATTTGGTCTCCCCAAGCTCTTCAATCAAAATCCGGAGATCTTCAATAGGGCTCTTCTCTAATGATACAACAAAAACCAACCCCTTACACCTTTCAATGTGTCTCAAGAAGTCAAGACCCATCCCTTTATTTTCGGAAGCCCCTTTAATGATACCAGGGATATCAGCAACTGTGAATGGGTCCTTATCAATAGTCGTATAAATAGTTCCAATAGTTGGTTGCAAAGTAGTAAATTCCCAATGACCAACTCTTGGACGAGCTCTGGATATACTTCTAAGTAAGCTAGATTTCCCAGCATTAGGTAAACCCACCAATCCTAAATCTGCGATCAATTTCAACTCCAATAAGAAGAATTGGACATTACCATCTCTCCCTTTCTTAGCAAAACGAGGGTTTCTGACATCTTTTGTTAAAAAATTCATATTCCCCATTCCACCTCGTCCACCCTTGAGCAAAAGTATTGGTTTATCCGTAACATCATCCAAGTCCATACCCAATATTGGAAAATAGTCTTCTGTGAGCTCTTCATTGATTATTTCTTGATCGTATCCTTGAACAGTTTCGTCTAGTTTGACAAAAAAATCTCTTTCCTTGAAATATTCTTCATCATGCTCACTGAAGAGCCAGCCTTCTCCTGGTTTGAAAGAGTTTCTGAAGAATTGAATGTACTGTCCCAGGTAACTAGTTAATATTTCAAGCCAAGTTGATTGCTTATTTGTGGTTTTAAACAGTTCTCGAAGAACAAGAGGATCAGGAATCCACCTAAGAGTTGTACCCTTTGGCACTTCTATCAATACATCTTCACCTCTTTTGCCATCCAATTGGGACCCTTTTCCAGGCTGGCCTCCCTTAGCAACATATGTTCTTCTTATTCTATGTAGAGAACCCATAGTTTCAACAACTTTTAGGTACACATTTCCACCGCTTCCACCGTCTCCACCATCAGGAGGCCCCAGGGGCTGATTAGCATCTCTGAAGAAAGAAATAGCTCCATTACCCCCTTTACCACTGGAAACACGTATCACCTTCAAATCTTGAAATGCTTTTCGTTCCACTTTTTGGGCTCTTTTAATGCTTTTCTCACCCATTATGGCATTCATAGACTGATGAGTATTCCCAAAGAAATAGTCCGAGAGCTTGACTAGCGTTCTACCAAACCCAAAATCATCTTCTCCTAGTTGCCTGAATAGAAATCTGTTATTCTCATCTAGATCAATCACCTGTAATGGTATATCGTTTATCTCGTTGACAACATCTTCCTCATTTTTGATAATAAAAGACAGTGTGGGTAAGGATGGTGACTCTTGTTTGACAGATATCTCCTCAAGCCATGAGTGGTTGTTCCTCAAAGGCCGCCTTGTGTGAAACCCGCACCCAAAAGTTTTGCTGAAGGACTTCAACATATTATTGACTAGGATGGTCAGATTGAATTTTCTGCGAAGATCATCGAGGAAGCACATCGTAAAAAATCCTTCTCTCATACTACCCCATCTAACTTAATGTCCACATTTCATGAATTAGGAGTTGCTGACTGGTTATGTGAATCTCTTAATTCCATGAAGATTCATAAGCCAACATCTATTCAAGCAGCCTGTATTCCAGAGGTTTTGAAAGGAAAAGATTGCATTGGGGGTGCCAAAACAGGTAGTGGTAAAACGATTGCATTCGGTTTACCCATGTTGCACAAATGGTCAGAAGATCCTTTTGGTGTATACGGGTTGGTTTTGACCCCGACTAGGGAGTTGGCTCTTCAAATAGCTGAACAGTTTTCGGCGGTAGGCTCATCTATGAATATTAGGGTCAAGGTCATCGTAGGAGGTGAAGACATGATTGAGCAGGCATTGGCGATCCAAAAAAAACCACATTTCATCATTGCAACCCCTGGTAGATTGGCAGACCACATTTTGAATAGTGGAGAAGATACTATCAATGGGTTAAGGCGGATCAAGTTTTTAGTTCTTGATGAAGCAGATCGGTTGTTAAGCAATAGTTTTGGAAAAGATTTAGACAGAATCTTTAACGTTCTCCCCGACTCAAAAAAAAGACAAACACTATTGTTCACGGCGACTGTTACGGATGCAGTGAGGTCCTTAAAAGATAAGAATGATAAGGTGTTTGTTCATGAAATTGAAAGTGTTGATAAATTCATTATCCCATCTACATTATCATTATACTATATCTTTGTTCCATCCTATGTCAAAGAAGCATATTTAAATGAAGTCCTTAATCTTGATATTTATAAGGACAAGGTGGGTATCATATTTGTAAATCGGACCAAAACTGCAGAAATGTTAAGAAGAATGTTAAGAAAATTAGAATTCAGAGTGACCTCTCTACATTCAGAAATGCCCCAAACTGAGAGAGTTAATTCCATTCAAAGATTCAAAGCAAATGCTGCTAAAATTCTAATAGCTACTGATGTAGCATCCAGAGGATTGGATATCCCCAATGTTGAATTTGTTATTAACTTTGACATTCCTGCTGACCCTGATGATTTTGTTCATAGAGTTGGTAGAACTGCCAGAGCTGGTAAGAAGGGAGATTCTATTACTGTTGTGGGCGAGAAAGATATTGAAAGAGTATTGGCGATTGAAGAGAGAATCAACGATAAACTCAAACTTCTCGAGGATATTTCTGATAACAAACTCATCAAGGATTCATTGAAATCCACCAGTGATGCCAAACGAGAGAGCTTAATAGAGATGGAAAATGAAAACTTTGGTGAAAGAAGACAGATTAACAAACGAAAGCATATAGAAAGAGAAAATGAGAACTCCAAAGTAATGAAGAAGAGGAACAAACCGAAGACATTGAAGAGTGTCAAACACAAGTCCACCAGTTCATAGACATATTGTACATTAATAGGTTGAAACTCGTAGTGCATGTTCTTCAATGAGACAGTCGTCTACAAGTCGCACCTTTTTGTTTAGAAAAAACACTTGTTGACTTTTTGATAAGCTCGTTAATTTCGCTAAACAAGTCGGAAGGTGCAACCAAACATAACAACATGTCGTATTCAAGAACCCCGTCACGATCTAGATCGTCTTTGGGAAATTATCCAAATTCTAATTCCCCTGCCATTAGTTCATCTACGTTGGCGGCTTCTCAGAATCAAACTCCAAAGACACGCGTGAGCGTAACCGATTTAAGACGACCTCCTTCCTCCAGATCAAATAGACCTGCATCACCAAGAATGTCATTCGCTGGAGGTCCTCTGCTGTCATTAAACAGATCTCGTTCTTCATCGTCTATGGGGATGAGGAGCAGACCCACAACGCCATCCTTCATTAAGCCAGACCCATATACTGGTTCCATTTCTGTATCTATAAGGCCCAATCCATACAGCGTTGATTACCAGAATCGAAGTCTGTGGTTTATCGACGAACCGTCGAACACAATTATAAACAATGAAGATACTTCTGAATTCACCTTCGACAATGTGTTTCGTCCTGATACTTCTGTTACCAACAGACATGTTTACAACAAAGCCTGCGCTCCTTTGGTGCACAAATTTCTTCACGAAGGTTACAATAGTACTGTTTTTGCATATGGTATGACAGGGTCTGGAAAGACATTCTCCATGAGAGGAAGGGATCAAGATCCTGGGTTTGTCAAATTGGCAATTGATGAAATATTTGATAGAATTGAAAATGATGTGAGCAGTAAAAAGTTTACTGTTAGTATCACTTATTTGGAAATTTATAACGAAAAGATCATAGATTTGTTGAACTCAGGTCCTCCTATTTCTAGCGACTTGAAGATAAGAGATGATCCCGTTTACGGTAACAAAATCATAGGAATAACTAATCCTGTAATCAAGTCTAGAGATCAGATTCTTCAATACATCAAGAGGGGTGACAATAACAGAAAAACGAGCGAAACAGACTACAATGCCAGGTCTTCAAGATCTCATGCTATCCTTCAAATAAAGCTAAATACAGTTGATCTAACCTCAGGTATGGAAACGAATGCGACACTTTCATTGTGTGATTTGGCAGGTTCAGAAAGAGGCACTTCTAGTAGCGAACGCCGAAAGGAAGGGTCTTTTATCAACAAGTCCTTGTTAGCGTTGTCCACCGTTATTAACAAACTATCTATTTCTTCAAACACAGGAAATCTTACCGATCATGTACCTTATAGAGACTCCAAGTTAACTAGGCTCTTACAACCAGCGTTATCTGGATCATCTTTGGTACTGATATTATGTACCATTCATATGGGCTCATCTGGAATGAGTAGTAAGTTTGTTGATAACCAATTTGTGGCAGAGACGTACAATACATTGAGATTTGCAGCACGAGCTAAAGACGTTGTTATCAACGTACAAAAGAATAAATCTACATTGATCGGTGAAGGAGATTCTGCCAGATTAGTCGAAGAACTTAGAAGAACTGTTGAGATACAAAGTAATGAAATCTTTATGCTCAGAAACAGTGATAACCCAAACGCCATGCAAGTTGATGATCAACCTTCCAACCACAGGACTACTGAACTAGAAATTGAGAATAAGGTCTTGTATGAAAAGCTAGAGCATTTGACTCGTCTCACAGATTTACAAAAGACAGAAACTGTGATTTTGAAGAATGATTCTTTGAATGATTTATTGGGTTCTGACCTTGACAATAATTCTTCTCAAATTATGATTGCCAATGTGGAGGAATTTTACAAACGAGTGAATCATGAAATTGATGAATACAGAGCCTATATAAGACACCTTGAACAAAGATTGAAATCTGCTTATCAAGAAACCGCTTCTAATCAAGAACCCAAAAGGTTTCATGGTCTTAGCGAAAGACAATTGGATGCGCTTTTGAAGGAACAGGAAGAAGAAATAATGCATTTGAAAGAGGTTGTTAAGGATAAAGACCACTTCATCAAGAGCTTGACCAAAACCTCGAAATTAAGGCGATTAGTTGATTCAGACTTTGTCAATACGCCAGAAAAATCGAAAAATCTGCATATAGACAAAGAGAACAATGAGGTTAGAGAATATAGCATCGATAGGAAGAATGGGGAGAGTATGAATTTTGTAGTATAGCTAATCATGATATAGAAATATAGTAATGAAATAATGCGGTGACTTTCGTTTAAAGAGTAAGACAAGGTTTCTCGCAGGTATCTTTTCCATAATGCAACACCCAACCTGAGTATTTGAAGTTGAGCATAGTTCCAGCAATTTGCCATTGTCTCATAATGTTGATAGCAGTTCTCACATCATCAAAAGAAACCCTGAACGAGAGGGATCCGGAGATAAGAGGCGTGAATTCAACGATGTTACCCATTGGAGCTAAGTCTGCAATCACATTCTTGATGTTAAAGTTAGGAGAAAAATTCACGCTTTGGTTGGGAAAATGAGAGTGATTCTCTGTCCTTTTCAGTATTTTGGGAGTTCCTTTGGTGAACAATAAGGTTCTCCTAGCACCTTTAGAAATTTGGTCCAATAATTTTTTTTCAATTGAAGGATGAAATGAACTAATATCTTCTGTATTTCTCTCGCTTGCCCATTCCACTTGAAGAGGGTTTCCATTGTAACAAAAGAGTCCAGTCTGTGAATATTCAAAGAACTTTTGTGCTTCTTTTGGGAAAATAAAATAAAGCTCCAACAGCGGCGACTGACTGTCATCTTTGAAAACAGCTCTTTCCAATGAACCACCACTAATTCTTGTTAAAATTGCACCACAAGATGATTTTGGGATCATACCTTTGACAACAAGTATTCTTTTGGAATCCAACAGCTCGCTGCAAGCAGACTTATGGGTTTTTGACATTAGGTTTTGGTTGGAATTAGTTAGTCTTGGGACCTCCTTCAGCCCCCTTTGAGGCCTAAAAACACTGAAATTTCTAGAAGTTGAACTAAATGCCAGACTTGATTTATTAGAATCCATGTAGAAGTCTCTGTGGTTACTGGTTTCAAGATTTTGATTCATTTCAAACTCGACATGATTAGGCTTTTGAGACAACATCTCTTCAACACTTGGAGTAGGAGAGTTGTTCCATGGGTTAAAAAACTTGGAGCTCATCTTAGCAATCTTTCTTAAGCCAGTAGAACTTTGGAAATGGTAAGACTGGTCTTTCAAAAGACTGTTAAGTGAGTGAACTCTGGTGCTCCTAAAGGTGGAGATCCCTGCATCTTTAGGTAAAGGATAACCAAAAGCAATGTCTGGGAGCATATCTAGCGATAGTGTCTAACTTAGATGAACACTTTAATAAAATTGAAGTTCCAGGGATAAAAAAATAGAATGTTGTACAAAGAAGAATTTGGATGCAAATTTGTGGATCTAAGACGTTTTGAGACGAGATCAAATACAGGAGAAACTCAGTTTTGACCATACAAAGAACAGGAGTGAAAAGCTTCTCATTTTGAAACAGTATTTGGAGACCAAATCAAAGCATATCTGAGATCACTCTATCACAGTGGAATTCAAGCCCTTGTGTTTAACTTTCAACAAGTTACTCAATTTCCTCATCTATATCTTGCGATGAGACTCAAAATGCGAAACTAACCAAAATTTTCAAGAGTTGATGAGATACTTTCATAATTAACTAGTTATCCTAGCGAATAGATTTACACGACACTTCAAGGACATCTCTAAATTGAATATAATGGAATCAGAAAGTGTATTGAAAAGGACTGGTGATTCTCTAGACTCAGGAGACTCCTCGAAAAGGATGAAGACAGTCTCGGAAGAGGTAAAGACTTTAAAAGAAGCAGATGTTGCTATCACTCAGTTCATTAACACCGCCCCTAACCATGGGTTCATTGGGTTATTGAAACAACGATATTCTGACTTCTTGGTCAATGAGGTCGACCTTAGTGGCAATGTCGTCCATTTGCTAGATGAAGGAATTGATCTTGGGAAGTCTAAGAAAGAAAGACAAATTGAGAGGAGACAGAAGGAGAGAGCCGAATTACAAGGAAAGTCAGAGGAAGAAATTGAGCAAATCAAAGAGCAGAAAAAATTAGAAGCTGACAAAGAACCCAAATATGAATTAACCGAAGAGAATCGTGTTAATTTACTTAACCTCATAACTGAACAAGAATTGAAAAATATTGAAGAATTATTTTCAAATGGAGGTAATACTGAAACTGAAACCAAATTTCCAGATAAAGCCACACGTACTAGATTACATCAATTGTTGCGTACCTCATTCCAAGGTAAATTAGATACGGTGACTTCTCCAGAGAATGCTTTTAGAATAGCTCTTGAAAAGAACTCAAGTGGACCAAAAAGATACCCACAAGAGAGCATTAACCATGTTGATGAAAATGGGGTTATTAACTACGGGTTGGGTCCATTCAAAAATTATCTCCATTTCACCGTTTACAAAGAGAACAGAGAAACCATGGAGGTTGCTTCAACAATTGCCAAATTCTTGCGCTTACCTGCAAAAAGTATAAGGTTCTCAGGTACTAAAGATAGAAGGGGAGTTACTTGCCAGAAGTTTGCTATTAATAAAGGAAAAGTTGTGAGAGTTTCCCAATTGAACAAAGGACTTAAAAATGTTGTGTTTGGTGGATTTTCATATGAAGACAACAACTTGAACTTAGGAGATTTGAAGGGAAATGAATTCTTAATTACTATTAGAGATGTGAAACCGATCGATGAAACGCAAGATTTGGGTCAGATAATTGACTCGGGATTTGAAACTTTGAAGAGCAAGGGATTCATCAATTATTATGGTATGCAAAGGTTTGGAACTTTTTCAACCTCCACTCACACTTACGGAGTGAAGCTCCTCAAAGGAGACTGGAAAGGTGCCGCTGAGTTGCTATTAGCCGAGCAAGATATATCAGCGCCAGATTCAAAAGAAGCAAGAAGAATTTGGGCGGAAACTTCAAATCCTTCTTTAGCACTCAAGATGATGCCTTCTCGATTTACAGCGGAGCACTCTATCTTAAAGACTTTAGCATCTGAAAAGTTAAACGAAGACGGAGAATATGGGGATCAATCATACTTCAAGAGTATCATGGCAATTCCAAGAAACTTAAGGATCATGTATGTTCACGCTTATCAGTCATATATCTGGAACCATGTTGCATCCAAAAGAATGGAGTTATTTGGTCAAAATGTGGTGGAAGGTGACTTGGTTATTGCAGAAAATGAACCGGTCAAGACTGAGGTTGATGAAAACGGTGAAGTTTTCAAAGAAGATGTGGCTGAAAATAACTTTACGAGAGCTAGACCCTTGACTAAAGCAGATATTGATAGCGGCAAATACTCCATATATGATGTGGTGTTACCTATGCCAGGATTTGATATTGTTTATCCAACAAACAAGCAATTAGAACAAGTGTATGTTGAAGAAATGGGAAAAGAGGGACTTGATCCTTTTAGCATGTCTAGGAGAGTGAGAGAATTTTCGTTGTCAGGGTCTTACAGAAACTTGATTTGCAAACCCAGTAATGTTGAATACAAAATTGTCAAATACAAGGAAGACGCTGAGCCATTAGTTAGGACTGATCTTGAATTATTGAGAGCCAAGAAGAATGGAGATAGTCTCGAAAGATATATCAATCATGAGGAGGGGGATAAAACTGCCATAGTCCTCAAGATGCAATTGGGAGTTAGCTCTTATGCCACAATGGCATTGAGGGAATTTATGAAGGCCGATACCTCCAGACTTGGAGATACTTTAAATGTTAAGATTCAGTAGATTTAGTTAATCCCTTATGTTGCGAAAAAACTACCAAAAATTTGTCATCCTTAAATGTATAATGGTTAGGGTTAAAATTATCAATACACAAGCTTTTAAGGACTTGGTTAAAACAGGTCGTCCATCATTCAGAGTTGTTCCAGTTGATGCAACTTGGTACATGCCGAACATTCCTGCCAATGGGAAGCTCCAATTCTTAAATGAAGAACGTCTTCCAAACGCAGCATTCTTTGATCTCGACGAAGTTTGTTTACCAAGCTCCAAGACGCCATATCCACATATGTTAGCCGACTATGATACGTTAAACCGTAACTTGAATAACTTAGGGTTAAACAGAACCGACAAGTTGGTATTCTATGACAAGTCGGGGATCTTTTCAAGTCCTAGAGCTGCTTGGAATATGATTCTTGCAGGTCACAAGCAAGTTTTCTTACTTGACCATTTCAAAGATTACAAGGCTCTGGGAGCACCACTTGACACAGAGGAAATTGCATTCACAGCAACAGATGCACTTGAAGCTTCATTGGAATACGACATAATTGAAGAAGAAGAATATGACCAGAACTACCAAAAACAGGTTATCGAATATGAAGAACTATTTGATTTAGTCAAAAGCGGCCAATTGGGATCAAAATATATAACATTTGATGCTCGTGCCACGCCAAGATTTACTGGTGAAGCCCCAGAGCCTAGAGAGGGCCTATCATCTGGGCACATACCTTCCAGCTTATCTTTACCATTTAACAAAGTTCTAACTGAGAATGGCAATTATAAATCGAAACAAGAGATTCTTGATTTATTTAAAACAGAGTTCAATTTGGACCTTACTAAGCCATTGGAAGGAAAAGAAGGAATTATTGTAATGTGCGGAACCGGTGTTACTGCGGTAATCTTAAGGCTTGCCATTGAGTCAGTAGCTGAGTCTAAAATTCCAATCAGAGTTTATGATGGAAGTTGGACCGAATGGGCTCAACGAGCACCATCTGAGTTCATTGAAAAAGTTTGATATTTAGTCAATATATATTACACTGAAATAATCATTGATATGATCATCTCCACAACCGTACAGTGTTGTCAACACTAGCACTAACAAACACACATCTCATTTTACTCTCAATATACTTGAGTAATTTTTCTGGGTCATTTATAGAATTCAAGATATCGTCTGTTTCGAAACTTGCAAAGTCGATTGCAGTCACGAATCCTTCGTGTCCTTTCAACGTGTGAATGCATTTGACTTTTCCTTCCTCTTTGAGTGGTTCAAGATCCCATACCTTGATAGTCTTATCATCGCTACAACTGAATATAAATCTTCCATTTGGATGTACGGAAACAGCTTTTACCCATGATGTATGTCCAGAAAAACTATCCAATAACCATCCCTGAGAGTTATTCATCGTAGTAGCTGTTGGCGATCTATGAGGATGGATTGTTGGAGGAGGTAAAAGCCATAACTTAACAGAATTATCACGTCCACACGAAACACAGTACTTGAATCCCAACATGGTAGTATAAATATCGTCTTTGACGAGCCTGCTAGGCATAGTATGGAACCTAGAACCATTTTCATCTAGGAATTGGTCTATGAATCTATTTGAATGTAAGGGTAAAAACTTCACATCCTCCACCACATGTCCATGTCCAATTAACAAAGACAATCCCATTCCAGACTCTGCATGAGACAACCTAATAGATTGGTCATTAGAGCATGTTAATAAGAAGTCGCCAAAGCCAGAAGTAACTGAAGCATCAGAGTTTGACCCATCTGGCTTAGAGTTCAAACAAATAGTATCCAAATTTCGTACCCAGTCGCTATGACCCATGAAGCTCTTCGTAAAATGACCATTTATCACGTCCCAAGACTTAATATACCGATCTCTTGATACAGAATAAAGGAATCTTGGGTTAGAGCTTGAGAATGCCAAAGATGACACAGTATGTTCATGGCCCATTAGGTTTCGTAGCTGCTTATAGGATGATCCACTCCAGACCTTTATAGACAAATCGGAAGAACATGAAGCAAACACATATTCAGGTGTCGAATTATCATTTATATCTATAGGTTTCTTGCTCCATACTACCTTATTCACATTTCGAGTGTGTGCTTTTATAATTTTTTCAGGTATTGTATCATCCACAACCAAGTTCCACACTATGATCGTTCCATCAGAGCATCCACAAACAATCAATGGCAAGCAAGGATGAAGAGCAACCGTATCCACTTGCTGGTTAGAATGAGACTTGAAAACTTGCAGAACAGTCGAAGGAAGCCAATTTATCTTATCAGTGTTTTTTGTAAAGAATTCCGGTTGGGATTCGGTAATTGACTTCATATTGTTTATATCATTCTGCATATCCATTATACGTTTCTGGAGTCTCAACACCGTTGACCATTTCTTCTCCAAGTAATTAGGAATGATGTCGTTGATAGAATTGTCATCTACTTGCAAGACTTTCATTAGGGATTGTAGTAGCCTGGGATCTCCATCCTCTGCTAATAGTGGCTGAATATATTGTATTATGGCTTTGTGCAACTCCTCCTTTTGTTTGGAGGTTAGGATCAGTAAATTGGACATTATATCTCTCTCATCTGTGCAGTGTAACAAAAATAAATATCACTTCGCGGTAGATTATCTCAACTTCTCGATAAACTACTGGAATATAGAGAATAAAAGCAAAATACCATGAGTAGTCCGAGGATCATCAGGTTGAAGCCGTAGTCACATGATGCTACTATATAATATTCTTGCTGAACCACCCACCTGCTAATCTGAATATCAGACCCCTTTGTGTTTCATTATCGTATTGCAACTAATTCAGAATGGCTTCAAGAATCTTTTGAATTACTCGACCCAATACTAAAATTTTCACCTTTAGAAGAGTGAAGATTTCATGTTATTTGGAATTCACGCAATTGATTATTGGATCCGAATGGGAGTGTTCTATAATGATGGCTTACTCATAAAGTGTTCTTATTAAAGCGGCCATCCGGGATATTTATGAGACTTACACCAACTGCTTTCGTAGCCACAACTACGAGCATGAAAGAAGTGGTTTACCTTATCATGGATATTACCAATGAAGGTTTCGATGACTGATTGCCGCTTTGGACATGTCATCCTTTAAAGTGAAAAGACTACGATAGCGGAGGCTCTACCGGTTCGTCAAAATGGACATTCTCTGTTAAAAACTGGTGAACGTACTGTTGCCAGATAGGCGTGCTGCTCTATTCTTGGAAGATAACATATTCAACGGATCCATCTGGCAACAAGATACAATAAACCCCAATTATAGGGGGTTTGACACCCGTACTTCTCCAATAGACTTGCAAGCAATATTGTTTCTCATAGATAATATATTAGGACCACTGATTGGATTTGGGGACAATAGAAGTGCCCAGAAATTTCCATATAGACTATTTGATTAGATTTGCTAAAATGCCATGGGGGAGCCCGATTACCATATCTCAAGTTTTAGTTTTTGACCAATAATGTTAGTTTTGTCAAAGAGAATGTCACAAAAGAACAACGCGCAATGGGCTTATAGTAAATCTCAAGGTCAATCTATTGTTCACGAGAGCTACCATACAAGAAATACCATCAGGAACCTTTGATACCCTTTTTGATCCAAGCCGCTAATGTATAGTCCTTGAGATACACCAAATGCCTTACTTTACGAGCTAATCTGCCAAGGGGCTTTCCTAATTAGGTCAGATTATCCGAGTTTTATTGTAGGTGTTTGCAGCCTTTGGATACGCACCTGCCGTTATCGTTGATCGTGTTGATAAGCCATTTTGGTTGATAGTCATCGCTATATATACCTGGCAATTCCGAAAGATCTGGATCAAGTAAGATTATCATGATAGGAAATAGTGGTTTGGCCTCCGCCAAATTACTTTGGGCCAAAAGAGCTGAAGAAGATCCAAATGCTGCTTTTGATAAGGCTGAGATTGTTTACTGTCTTTTCTGTGCCATGGCAGTTTTTTTGATTACCCCGGGAATTGGTCTCTTCTATTCCGGTGCTTTAAAACGTAAAAATGTTGTTCAAGTGTTATTTCAAACTTATATGGTGACATCGGTTGTCACCATCGTATGGTATTTACTTGGTTACTCCCTTGCTGCTTCTCCAACATCAACCTCGGTAATTATTGGAGATTTGGCTCACGCAGCTTTAAGACAGAATGATGCTTATGGTCTTTATGAAGGAGCCACCATTCCTTCAATAGTTAACTTCTGTTTCAACACATATTTCCCTGTGGCTACCGTACAGATTTTCTTGGGGTCTATTGGTGAACGTGGACGGGTTTTACCAAGTTTAATAATTGGTATTGTCTTCACAATTATTGTATACTGCCCTCAAGCTTACTGGGTATGGGGGGCCAATGGTTGGCTTTATACCATGGGTGAATTAGACTTCGCTGGTGGAGGTCCAGTCCATGTATCTTCTGGTGTCGCGTCTTTGGTGTACTCATGGTACCTTGGTCCAAGAGAACAACCTGGAAAACGAACTGGAAGGATTCCGTCCTTTAGAGGATACTCTTCTATGTCTTCAGTGATTGGGGTGACTTTGATTTGGGCTGCTTGGCTTTGTTTCAACTCGGGAACCTTATTGGCAGTGAATATTCGTACTGGATATATTTTTGCGAACACCATGATTGCGTCTGCTTTTGGGTGTGTGACTTATGTGGCAGTAGACTCCATGATTACCGGAAAATACTCAATGGATGCTGCGTGTGAAGGTGTAATTGTGGGATTAGTCAATATCACACCCTCCTGTGGTTACTACTGGCCTTGGGCAGCAGCAGTTACTTCTATTATTGATGCTGTAGCATGTCGTTTGCTTATTGGATTCAACAAGTGGACTGGTATTGACGACTATTCCAAATCTTGGGTGGTACATGGAGTAGGTGGAATAATTGGTGGTACCTTGGTTGGAATCTTTGGAAGTTCTGGTGTAGCAGCCTTAGATGGAGTCACAGTAATTGAAGGAGGCTGGGTCGATGGAAACTTTAGACAGTTAGGTATTCAAATAGCTGCTTGGGTTTCGATTACAGCCTGGACCGGTATCTTTACATTGATAACGTGTTTTTTGGTTGACCATATACCTGGTTTGAAGTTGCGGGCAACAGCAGAAGCAGAAGAGATGGGTATGGATTTATATGAGATGGCAGAAACTTTGGATGAATTTGGTAATGATTACGAAACCTTTTTCATCCAGTATGCTAGTAAATTGCGTCAAATGGCTGATCATCTTGAAAAGCATGGAGGTGTTGTGGAGGTCCTTGATGGCTCATCTACACGGTTCTCGGCCCGCAATTCCCACCTGTCTATTCAAATGGAAGTAGATCAGAAGGTGTAGATAAGCCACGCGCCTGTTTAGTTTAATGTACTGTACTGAGAGAAGACTTCTGATAAGGATTCCTTTTCCGCTTTCGATGGATGACTTTTTTCTTGGCTTCGAGGCCGCGCAATGGTGAGTATCACTAGCGCAAGATAACAGAACAATGAGAGAAAAGGGGTTGGCCGTGTCATGTGAGAAGTCGCCCGTGCCGTCGTCTGTCTACAGGTCTCTTTCTTACATATCAAATGAACACAGGTTTGCATTTACAATTTTTTGGCCAAAACACGTCAAGCCACCGTCTTCAACTTTTGAACGCGCAAAAATATTTGCAACCACAATCACAAATGTATAGACCAAATCTGTGGATTGCATTCACAGCTGTCATTGTAGCAGTCTGGTGCCTTTACATTTCCCAGACTCAAAATAGAACTCCACACAACAATTTGATTGCATCCTCAGTTTTCAACAAGATTGTTCAATGTACAGATCTTTTGGATGGGGTTTATTGTTTGATTGAGAACAAGCGTAGTCTCAAGGCTGAAATTCAGTTAGATTCCCCCCAAGCTCAAGCCCAATGGGAAACGTGCCTTGATATAATTGGAAATACGAGTGACATCAACTTGCTTCTTAACATCCAGTCGTGCTATCATACCTCCGTGTTGCTGGATAAATCTTCTTCCCCCTCAATCCTGGCCTTTGCGGTGATCATATCCGTGATCCTCCAAATTCTTGTGGGTGCTCATGTGATCTTCGATGTTCTAGCTTCCCAAAAGAATGCCAACGATCAGGGTCAAGCCATAACTGCCGTATCTAGACGGGTTGACAAATGTAACGAAGAAATTGAAAGTTTATCCTCAACCACAAAACAGCTTCAAACCGACCAATACAGTAACGTTAGAAACATACAGGGCCGACTCACTAAAGGTGGAGACATACGTCAAGATATTGATATTCTAAAGCAATCATATGTGTTACTTGCAGCTGATGTTAACAATATTAAGGTTGCCTTCTTGGCCAATGTGGGCAGCCGCGTGTATGACGAATGCACCAATGAGAACTTGGACGACTGGAGAAGGGATCAGGACCGGGATCGGAGCTTAGAATACCTTCAAAATACAAAGTTGCAATCTGCAACTCCGCTCCCCGAAAACTCCCCAAAGTTCTACTTTGTTCCTGACTGTTCCCCACACCCTCAAGGTTCAAAAGATGTGCTTGTTCCCGATCTTAATTCCACTATACAAAACAAAGAAAACCAGCCACATTATAATTCCGGAATAAAGAGCAATGGGGAGGTGAAAGAGAAGAATCATACTCATCCTAAGTTACCCCACGGCGTTGATAAGGTCAATTTTGATATTCTCACACCAGAAGGTCGTGAGACTCTTAAAACTTTTATTGAAAACAAGAGCCAAGTGAACCAGAAAATCCGGTACCGTGACTTAGCATACTTTAAAAATGGCCAAAGGTTGAAGAGAATTATGGTCCCTAATAGAGGCTGGGTTTCAGGCAGTAAATTACAAAAAGAAGGAGAAAAATATGGATCTGACAGTTATGTATTGGGCACGACTGCACATTGGATTCCCCAGAACAAAAATTTCACAAGCGTTGAGGAGGAATAAATGTTGTGTGCGAACGGAACCATAAAAGCACTACCTTATTTTTAACTAGATAATCAAGGGTTTTGGCCTCTCTCTAGACCATATAACATAATCTTGATGATGACCGACAGTGCTAAACGAAACTTGAGTAATACCACTGCGAGCGACTCCCCTCCAAGCTATTCTGAATCGAATGCTGTTTCTTCTCATCAGGCGTCATATGCTACTCAATCTGCATACCCATACGCTGGTTACACAAGTGAGACATTCCAAGGGAAAGAGTCAGAGTCTTATGTTTTACCTCCCCTTGAAACACCCAATGCTGGTCTGCCATTGGTGGTATCTCCAGCAGCAGTGAATGATGACTTGGTGGCAGCTGAGGCTTTGACTAGATTGACTGCTACACCTCCTCCCATGAATCATATATCAACCCCCATGTCCAACCTATCTATCGATGAGGGCCAACTGAGTAATTCAAATGAACTTAAACACCCTTTGATTGCTAAAGTGAGTCGGGTGACTCAGCATCCAATTGTTAGAGATGCATTTAAGTACTACGAAGACTCCAAGAGAAACTATCCCCATTTCAATTATGCCGCTGGAATCGTTGAAAGAGCAGCCATTCCAATGGTTAATAGAATAGAACTCAATTTGAATAGCCGTCATCGTCACAATTTGGAAAAACCTATCAAAAAGAAGAAAAGAAAGTTGAATAGGACCGACCGGAAGGAAACTAAAAAACGTCTACAATTCTGTTTACACCTTTTGAGACTTGCTAATGATCAGATAACTAACCAAGTGACGTTCTTCCAATCTAAATTGGCCGATAGAGAAGTCAGAAGAGAACAACCAGAAGTGAATGATGAAAAGCTGCAATTTGAGAAAGATGATGACAATGTGAATGTGGATTCAAAGTCAATTCAACAAACTCCGACAAGGCAACAATCTCCTACGAGTGAAGGAGAGAAGAATGAACCAAACCAAGTGGCTCAGGAAACGAACACAGAAATTATAGCTATTGTGAAGAAGATTATTCACGTGATTTCAAATTTCAAAGCTAGTAATTTGAACACTGATAATTCATCTGGTGATTCAACCGAATTGCGTTCGACTATTAGAGATATTATATTGAAATTGCCTTCTCAGTTACAGCAATCAGCGACCCCAGGGTCAAATACCCAACAAACAAACGACAAAATCTTTGTGTTTGCCAAAGAATCCTTAGATATGATTAGCAGGTTAACTAATGTGTTTGATGATCAACTAAAGAAAGCTGAAACATGGATTGGGGCTGACGACAATGCTTCAACCCCAGCCCAGCCAAATGGATCGGAGACTGGATCCGACTTCGGTTCCTCAACTCAAAGTCCTACTCCTAATTATACCTATAATGGGGACAATAAGATCCAAAGCTGAGCGTGATACTCGTCTGGCCTATTGTATTTTATAGCTAATGAATTTACGAATATTACTCTAATTTGTTGTAATAATCTGTAATGCAGGGGAGATCAGATGGTTAGATTATGCCAACAGCGTTAGTTTTCTATGTTTTTCTTTCATAGATTTGAAGCCCCCATTTCAGGTAGAGATTTGGAGCCTCTGATGGTGTCAGTACGCTTAACTGTAAAGAAGCCTAACCGAAGGATTTCTACTCTTTAGCGCTTTAAGGCAAATTTTGAAGGGTTTTTCTACACAGCGCGAATTTAATTTGTCACAGTCCTCATATTTTTGTGCAATATACCCATACCATTAAGATAGCCCATGTCATATAGAAGGGCGGGTATAGCTACCAAACTAATTTGTGATCAAACTATTGGGCCCTTGACAGTGAAATCACTTATTCGGCAACTGGAAAAGGAAAGTACTAGCAATAAAATATGCCTAGGCAGGAAGGGGGCTTTGTAGAGATAGATAGCATTTGTTACTCACCTGCCACAGCCAAAAGTTTTGGGGAAAGAGTACGTTCAGCATGCCACTACTTACAAATACTGATTCTGGCAAAAGGTTAAAAACTCCACTCTTGACTGCAATCTAGCCCCTAATGTTATCTCGTTGAGGAAACTTATTTGAGTTCCTATTTAGGTTATATAATTATATTTCCTAAATAGGAAATTTTAGGGGAAGGAAAATTGCAGCAATAGGGAAAGAACATAATTTGTTTACTGAATGCAGTAATTCATCAATATGACTACTACGAATAGTAATTTCCATGATATTGAATGTATAGGAAACTTATAAATATGATTGAACCAGCTAGTTTGCCATAATTTTCCTAACTAACGTACTTTTGTGAAATGACCCTTTGTTTATCTAAAGACGACTTACACCAGGTAAGAGCTTGCTGGAACAATGTTCAAGCCAACAACAAATACCACAAAGATCAGTTCATCACTAGATTGTTCTCCAACTTATTGGCTGCCAACTCCAGTTTGAAATCTTTTTTCAGCAACGATCTTATAGTAAGAGAACACAGTTTATTATTCAATGACTTATTAAATTATTCAGTTCTCTACTTGGATAACGTTGAGAGATTGAATCAGTTTTTGAACCTGTTCTTAAAGACAAACAATGATGTTGTCAGAACCATCGACTACTTGGAGCCAATGGGAACCGCCTTAGTCCAGACATTTAGACAATGGCTTGGAAAGGGGATTTTCAATGATAAGATGGAACAATTATGGGTTCAAATTTACATTCACTTGGCCAACATTATTTTGGTATTTTCCGATGATTCTGATGCTTCTAGTGTTGGATCTGAATCTGAAGTAGAGTCTGAATCCGAATCTGTTGAAGAAATCCCTGCTTTGAACATTGCCAGAAACAGAGAACCAAAGCAACAAGAAGACGTTTATACTCCAATGACTCCGGTTAGTCCAATCCTTCAACAGGTTGAAGAAGAAGAGGAAGACATTGATGCTGAGCACCAAGATGAATACTCGGGAAGACCAATTGATTTATCTAAGAAGCCATCCATTCAGATCAACCTTAGATCTAATGATAAATACAGAGGATTCAGAAGAAATGACTCTAGTGTGGTTGAAATTGAACCAGTATTACCAGCTAGATCTCCAATGAGACAAGCACCAAAAGCAGCACCTACACCAGCATTGTCAGCTAAGTTCAATAACTTGAAATCAAAAATGGTCTACGATTCTGATGAAGAAGAAGAAGAAAAGGGATTCGGATTCGACCCTAGAAAGTCTAACAAGAAAAGAAGTGTATTCCAAGAAACAATGGAACAAACACCACCACCTCCAATCGAAAAAGACTTCCATCCTGTCGAAGAAGTTGAGGAATATGACCTCGACGAAAAGCCAAGTGATTTGGATATTACTTTGCAACCAATTGTGGAAACTAGTGACAATGACCACTTTAATGATAACTCATCTTCCATCTACAATAGTGACAACAGTGAACCATCATCTCAAGAAAACACTTTATCATTACACTCCCACTATTCTCACGGTACTGAGGAAACAGAACCAATGTCTTTGCAAAAGGTGGAATTGACCTCCATGAACAGTAACGAATATCGGTCTGACACTTCGGTTGAGAATGCTAGAGTTTTCTCCAAGACGTATGACTCTAGGCAAACTTCGATTAGTTCAGTTGAACCAGAATTTATGGCTTCAATTAATGCACCAAAGTCATCTACTAGATTTAGCTCTAGGTCTTGTATGTCTCAAACTGACTTGAGCCTTCAAAAATCTATTCAACTGAGTCAAAGAGCTTCGTTGGGTTTTATGAGATCGAGTTTTATCTTGAAGAAAGAGGTTGAGGAATTAGGTTTCAACCAGCCAGAAAATGTATTTGCCAAACCTCCAACTATTCCTGCTGCTTTGAGCTCGACTACTTCTCTCCCACAAAAGACAATTGAAACTCCAATTTCTACAGTTACGAAGGCACCTTTGGGTTCTTCTAGCGATGATGAATCTTATGACTTGTTGAACACCTTCATGCCAATAACCAAGAGCTCCAAGGCTCAACTCAAAAACAAGAAGTTTACTTCTTCTTGTACGAACTTGAGCTCAACTCAACCAAGATCTCACCCACATTTGGCTAGACACTCCAGGTCAGTCTCTAACTTGAACAGTGCTAGGCACAACAACTATGATCCTTTACAATGTACTGAAACCACCGCTGTCATCAGAGGTCATAATTCTGATAATACTAAGGGCAAAGTCAAGAGATCTTTCACAGACAAGTTGAGGTCATTATTTGGAGCCAGTCATAAACCTCAAAAGTCAGAGCAAAGAACGATCTCGAGTCCAATTGAAACCACATACTCAACCAACTCAACCGTTCCTGCCAAGTCAAGATCAAGCATGTCTTCTGTTCCAGGATCCAGCTTCAGTAAAGTATCAAGAATTTCCACCAATACATCTGTTGATCAAACTAGAAGTGAAAGGGAAAGCCTTGATAAGTTTAGTGAATCTATTTCCAGCGCTCCAAAAAAGTCTTTCAGTAGAAGGCATAGCAGAATGTCAAGTGTAACTGACTTACGTTCTATCAACACAGTGGAAAGCAGTGAATCTACTTCAGGTTTCTCATTCTTTGACAGAAAAAGCTCCACCAGTTCTCGTTATACCACAAGAGGTGAACGTAAGAAGAACAAGTACAATGTGACTAAAACTCCTTACGATGTCTTCTCTCACAACAAGTTGGTGTTCAGTAACTAGTCTTCTAATACCATGTTTATATCTTAATGCAAAATAATGTAATTAGTCCGGATCTTCAGTGCAAGTTTCCCTGTAAGAGTCGCGATCCAGTTGACTCATTATTAGAGTTTGCGTCTGGTACTTCTTTTTTTTATTAAACAACTTTACCAGTATGACTTCTTCATACCCTGATGCCGAGTCAATAGAGTTACAGAACATCAATACCCATAAACAAGTAAATCAAGTATCTCGTGGCTCCCGGGAACTGACGAGGACTGAAGATCAAATTGAAGGGACTGATAGAGATGAGATCAAATATCCAGAAGGAGGATGGAGGGCCTATCTGGTTGTCTTTGGTTCCTTTTGTGGATGTTGTACTTGCTTAGGTTTGGTTAATTCCATTGGATCTGTTCAAGCTTATGTTTCCTCTCATCAGTTGGCTAATCTAAGTGCCCTTTCTATCTCGTGGATATTCTCCATTTATTTATCTTTGGCATACGCTTTAGGAGTTGTAATTGGACCCATATTTGACTATAGGGGCAGTCAGATCATATTGGTGATATCAACAGCCTTTATATTTGCAGGGTTAATGGGTGCAGCCAATAGTACGCAAATTTACCAATTTATATTGAGCTTTATGAGTCTTGGTATTGGGAATGGGATTGGGTTAACACCCCTTGTCAGCGTCATTAACCACTGGTTTTTAAGAAAGAGAGGGCTCATCACGGGATTGGTTACTTGTGGAGGTTCTGTCGGAGGTTTAACATTCCCATTACTCTTGAGATATGCGTTTGCAAAGTATGGGTACGTGTGGGCCATGAGAATTCTTGCTTTTATGGCCACTGGATGTATGTTGATATCGATAGTCTTCTGTAAAGAGCGGATTCGTCGACCCAAACAAGAAAGGTCAATTAGTTGTTTGTCCAGAAGAGGGATTGACTTCCAACAGATATACCAAAGGGCTGTAGCTATCGCCAGAAGACACAACCAAAAGAGCTTCTGGTTGACAATTGCAGCTTCCTTTTGTACTGAATTGAGTTTGGTATTAACAGTTACTTATTTCGTGGTTTACGCTATGGCACAGGGAGTTTCAGAATCGACTGGTTATTTGCTCTTAACAATATGGAATGCTACAAGTATAGGGGGTAGAATCTTGCCTGGATTTGCATCTGATTTCATGGGAAAGTTTAATGTGCATATATTGATGCTTTTGGGCTTGAATCTTTGCTTTTTTGTCATCTGGTATGGTTACGGCCATAGCCTAAAAGTCCTATTCGTTTTTGCTGGGATTGGTGGGTTTTTCCTGGGGCTGATTTTGGGAATGATCCCAACATGTTTGGCCCTGATAACCAAAGTTTCCGAGTTTGGTGAAAGATACGGAATACTTAATTTCTGTTTAAGTTTTGGGAATTTGGTGGGGGTGCCTATTGGTGCAGCAATTATCAGAGAGGGAAGTATATCTGACTATGATCACTTTGTCCTTCTAGTAGCATCTTTATGTTTAGTAGGCATGATTCTTTTTATTCTTGCACGTGCTACGATAGTTGGTTTCCGGTTGAATGTAAAGGTTTGAAATTCGAAATTTTAAGCTTTTGGGTTTGTGGTTGCAAAATCTTTTAAAAAACAGATTGCGACACAGACAAGTAATACTTCTTATTTTTACTGAAAATGCCATTATCGTCCCTGGTTAATGGCCGTTTGCAACGACTCGAAGAATTAGCCAACGAAACTTCTTTGTTTAACGGTTATTCGCTGAGTGAATCACTAGATTGTGATGTTTACAATCAATCGGTGGAAGAACCCGTTTTGCACCAAGGAACTGGGGCAAGAACCTTTTTTAACTGCTTATTCTACAGGGGCTTCGTCCTGGAAGCCCAACCATTGTTGCCCGTGCACAGAAATATTAGTCCATGTGCCGTTCCTGTTCCTTCGATTTACGGAACATATCTTAGAATGTTGCCCAACATCTTCTGGTCCTATCTTTTGAGCGAAAACATTAGAAATCTGATTAGGAATAACCAGAGATTAGTGTTACTTGGTGTTTTCTTTGTACTCGTGATCGTTACAATTGTATTGTACTCGACAGACCAGCTTGTTAGAGTGGGATTAATTTTTAAGGGTATCTTTTGTTTTATCATTAGCATTACCCTTCACCCAGAAAGCCAATGGGCAAGAGTTTGTTATGTATGAGCGGTCAATTTGACTGGTTTTATTATGCCTTTTGGATAGTGTTTGAATAGTATATATACATGAATTCTATTTATATCAAGCTCTTCTATCTCTCACCTTAAACCTGTTGACATTCTTGAACTTTCTTGTTTTTGCAAACTTCTTAAGACCCCACATGGATTGGGAAACCTTATTGGACTTGGATTTACCTCTACCACCACCATGAGGATGGTCAACTGCATTCATGGCCACCCCTCTAACCATTGGTCTAAATCCTCTCCGACGAGATCTACCAGCTTTACCCCATTGAATAGCCAGGTGCTCCTTATTGGAAACAGTTCCTAAAGTGGCATGGCAATCGAGGTTCACATAACGATGTTCACCCGATGCCAACCTAACCACTGCTTTGTTCATTTCCGGATGCTTAGATAACAATCTGGCAAAAGTACCGGCAGATTTGACCATCTGACCTCTGCCTCCTGGATGCAATCCAATATTGTGAATAATACTACCGACTGGTAGCATTTTTAAAGGCAAACAGTTACCTCTTTGAATAATTCTAGCATTCAAAAGAGCTTCATCAATTTCACCATTATTGGTTTGTTTCATTTCATTGATGAAATCTTCTGGAATTCCAGCCCTGAAAGATTCAACTTGATCACCAGCTCTCAAACCGGAGGATGCTAAAATGTAAGATAGTTGACCACTGGTATTATGTTTGAGTAGGGCAATATGACCAGACCTATTAGGATCATATTCTATTCTCACCACTGTTTGACTTCCAGGGATTAATCTGTGACTGTCCACCAATCTGATTCTTCTCTTATGTCCACCACCTCTTCCTCTTACGGTTATTTTACCTCTATGGTTTCTACCAGCAGTATTCTTCTTTGGTACCGTCAATTCTTTTAATGGTCTTCCCTTGTATAAATGATCGTGAATAGGTTTCTTGAAGTTGGTGGAACCAGGCAATTCATGTCCTCTTCCGTAGGTTTTCAATTTCACTTGAGCCATGATCAATTTCCTTTGTCTCTTATAAATCTCGTCTCTCTTTTCCAATTCAGTCATGTCGAGATCAGATTTGTCTGCGATTACCGTTCCTGGAATAGGGACGGTAGATTGGAATCTGGTCAAACATGCCCTCACTGGTTGAGCCAACCTGAGGCTTGCTCTCCAAGGGATCATATTGCTAAGGCTTTGTTTAAGTAAAAAAGATTTCGATGTAAATGCCTTTAAACCAAAGTGAGCTGAAAAATTTGGTGTGCGACAAATGAAGTATCGATGGACTGAAGTTTACTGGGGATACGCGTAAGTCTCAGCAGCCAATGAATTTTCAGAAAAACTGCTAGTCTCAATACCCGAATTTTTCATCAACAATTGGGATTTAAAATACTCATAGTTTCTTTCTGAGAGATCATAATTTCACACATAGTATAATGATTGGATCTAGAGTTTTCTTGCGTTCTATGGCTACCGCCACTAAGTCCGTCAAACCACCTATTCAATTGTTCGGTGTTGATGGCACTTACGCCAATGCATTGTACAGCGCTTCTGCTCAAGATTCATCCATTGACAAGACTTTCCAAGCTTTGACTAGAATCAATGAGTTGGTTACCCAAGACCCTAAAGTTAGCGGATACTTGACCAATCCAGCTTTAAGTAAAGAAGACAGAGCTATTGTTATTGACACCATTGCATCCAACTTGAAGTTAGAAAAGCCAATTGTGAATTTCTTGACTGTCTTGTCAGACAACAACAGGTTAGGCGAATTCTCTTCTATCTATCAGAAATTCGGCTTATTGAATGATGCTCATAATGGTCTTGTTGAAGCTAAAATCACCTCCGCCAAGGCTTTGGATTCTAAGATCTTAAAAAGATTACAAACTGCAATTAGCAAGTCTTCATTTGTTGGAGAAGGCAAGACTTTGAAAGTTTCCAACGATGTTAACCCAGAAATCTTGGGTGGTTTAGTTGTGGAAGTCGGTGACAGAACTGTCGACTTGTCTATTTCTTCTAAGGTTGCCAGATTAAACAACGCTTTAGGTGAATCCTTATAGATAGCTTATGAATTTTATGTATCGTTTAGAATTCTATTGAAACAATAAAAAGATATTCAGGTATTCATTGCCGAGACATTCCGCTACCCACAAGGACCTTAAAACAAGTTTAGCTTTATAGCCATTATATCACCATTACCTTACAGATGGAAACTGCTCAACTCGTTGCGAAAATTCCAGGCGAATATATGACGGCATTTAGAGCATTTAGATTGGTGGTTCTATTAGCCACCATCTTGTTTAACGGGTTCATATACCTTTATCCTGACCTTTTGAATAAGTCAGATCAGTGTAAATGGCACGAATTTGATGAATCTTCCAAAATCAAGCCAAAGAATCCTGTCCTCAATAATCTTCCAACACAAGTATTAGAAAAGTTACTACTCACATTTCCTTCTCTTCAAGATAATGACAAGTGGTTCAACAACTCTACTCATTCTAGTGATGGATACATTAAAGATATACATATGTTGACCTTTGGAGATCCTCAAATCAATGGAAATTGGCCAAGTACTCCGTATATCAAGAGATTTGATAACTACGGCAATGATTACTATTTGGGCCACATCTACAATGTGATGCAAAGAAGATTACAGCCTAGTCATGTTGCAGTCATGGGAGATTTGTTTTCTTCTCAGTGGATCTTAGATAGCGAGTTCTACAATCGTACTTTAAGGTTCGTTGAGAGACTTTTCCCCAGGAGTTTGGAGTATAAGAAAACTGTAATTGACACTCATAGCAAGCACGAAAACTATGATTGGAGGGGCTGGTTGGACCAAGAAGTTATGATGTTGGCTCAATCGAGGTTCAGTTCAAGAGTATACAATGATGTTTATGATTGGGTTTACGAAAATCACAAATACCCAAATCATCATGAGCCCCTTTTCATCAATCTCACAGGCAACCACGATATTGGATATAGTGGAGATGCCACTTGGCAGCATATGGCCCGGTTCCATCATTTGTTTGGACAAAACAATTATGTTATTTATTATAACTTGAATAGTCAAGAACAGTGGAGATTGGTGGTATTAGACTCCTTGACTTTAGAGGGTCCTGCATTACAAGAAGAGTTTGTTAACTACACTTGGCAATTCCTTGATGGCTTGGAGGAGACGAATAAAAGATTTAACGGATCAACTATTCTTTTAACTCACATTCCTTTCTATAAGGAAGCTGGGTTATGCAAGGATGGACCCGAGCATATCTATTACGAGAACTATGAACCTGAACCTTATAAAAATGGGAAGCTACGCTCCCAAAACCACTTATCATATGACACAAGTCAAAAGGTATTGGATATAGTTTTCCCTAACCCAGATCAAGGTGGTATTATTTTGACCGGACATGATCATTATGGGTGTGATGACTGGTATAACTACGATGGTTCTCAATGGATAGCCTCTAAGCAATTGAATCAAACGACTAGAAAATCTGTAAGAGAGATTGTTGTTCAATCCATGATGGGAGACTTTGACGGTCAAACTGGCTTGGTGTCAGGTCACTACGATTATAATGCCCAATCGTGGGAGTTTGAGTTCTCCTACTGTTCATTTGTTGTACAACACTGGTGGTGGGCGGCAAAGGCTCTTACTGTCGTTACAATATTGTTGCAGTCTGTGGGACTTTTATTCCATATATGATTTAACTTTTAGGATAAGAAATGACTAAAACAAACATCATTCTTCAAGCATTTTTATGAATATAACATCTATATTTTTCCAATTAAGCTTTCAAAGCTTGTATGTCTTCCAAGGCACCGTTGAAACTATCCTCTGGACTGATTTGAATCTTCTTGATTTTCAAGACCCCGTCTTCAAAGATCCAGTGTGATCTCTTAATCCCCGTAGGTTCTTTTTTGGCACCTAAGGGACCAATAAGCTCCTTATTTGGGTCAGACAATAAGTGGTATTCCAATCCCTGTTTGACGATGAAATTCTTCTGTGATTTAGGTAAATCAGCACTCAACCCAAAAACTGTAGTATCTAATTCAATCAACTCTTTATGATTTTTTTGGAAACCGCAAACTTGTCTGGTACAGCCTGGAGTCAGGGCCTTTGGATAGGCAAAGATAACCACGTACTTGGTTTTCTTACTGGCCTCAACTAAATTGATCTCGTTATCATCTTCATCTAATAAGGTCAAGTCTGGGATTCTATCACCAACTTGAATTTCGGCCATCTTGGATTTGGTTTCGATTTTAGTTACTTTCTTTGCAGGCTTGGTGACTTTAGACTTTCTAGATCCGAGAACTTTGTCCTTAGATTCGTCAATTGATTGAGGTATGCTGTTTTTATTAGCGTTCCTTGTTGAACGACGCAATTCTACCATTGATATTTTTCCACATTTCCAAATGATGCGTGATTTACGCCAATTGAGGTGCCACCACTTTTGGTAACAAAGCGTCTTAGAGGACGAGAATCGAAGATTGGACGGTATACAAGCTTCTTAAATTTATAAATGGCGGATCATGTGATCTGTTACTTCTAGGATGTGGACTGCTCTGAACGATGTTCTGTTGCCTAAATCTGGGGAATGGCTTTGCAATTGATGCGAATATTTTTTTTCATCATCTTACGGGGCTGAATACAAACCATACCATGAATAGAATATTTCGAAGAAATAAAAGAAGAACACAAAGTATTCCTGGTAATGAGATTTCTCAAGAGGAACTGTTGCTGACTCGACATATACCTCGGAGATTGAGCATGCCTCTGTCTGATGTTCTTGCATCTCATGAGAATGAGCAGATTCCCAATATCCCATTTGTTCTGAGCGATGAATACGAGCTCTCCTCAGCTACTTCAATCGCCCTTTCCGAAAGTGATACTTTGAATGAAGACAGATCTCAACGGTTAGATCTACAGGAAACTTTCAATGATAATTTTGATCATTATCTCCCGTTTGTATTGAGGAGACTTCGATTGAGGTCATTGAATGAAACTGCTCAACCTTCTCCTGATGTTCAAGATATGGTTGATTACGATGATCAGCCCACAATTAACGAGGAGGATATATATGGGACTCGGGAAAACGAGGTCCTGATCTTGGGGGTCAATCCTTCTAGTTTGAATCTTAAACGAAGGTTCATTATTGCAGAGGAATTCATTAAGGGTACCACATATGTATTTCCCAGTGAGGACAGTTTTGCAAGGTTTAAAGAGCTTCGTTCCGCTCATAAGAAGAATCGCAAAGGTTCTGTAACCTTGTTTGATAAGGTAGGAAATCCAAAGATTGTTGCAACTGGCAGCAGATCTAAAGACGACGAAGCAGGGGAAATTGTAGATCCTAGAAACCATATCATCCCTTTGGATCAAAAGCTTAAAGGTGTCGGGCTTCCGCTCTTTAAGGTTCTGGTGCCATACTTTTCCAACTTTAAGAAGAATGCTCCGTATATGGTTTTTCACAAATATAAGGAACTTCCAAGTCCTCCAAATTTTGATGAAAATGGAGATCTAATAGATAACGAGTTTGAAACATTTCAGTTTTGTACTGTTTATACCAAACGATATCAAGAGGTGAAAAGGTACTTGTTTGAATTCAACTGTGAGGAGCCATTCAAAGTGGTAGCCTTCCAACATTGTCTTAAACCTTTTGTTGATTTCAATTATAAGAATACCAGATTTAGAGTAATTGGGACTCCAGTGGTTAGCACATATGCCTCCGTTTACAACCCTAATTTGAAGTTATTAATCGTGGATTCGAGTAAACCCTCATTGTGTGATCTGATTATCAATAAAAAGCCCGGTTTCGAAATCTCTTCATTCATGAAGAAAAAGAATAAAAGTAAGAAAGAAGATCAACAAGAGGATTATAGCATGCTTGCACCAGAAGAGTACCCAAATCCGTATCCTGACCCAGGTAATCCATTACTTCGGGATGAATTTTCACTACTTTATGGTGGATTAGGGTATTCGAATAATAGAGAATACATCCCGGATGAGCTACCACCTTTCGGTGAGTTCAAGGATTGCTTGGCTTACAAAATTAAAATGAGTTTGATTCCTAAAAAGTATTCTGAGGTGGGTAGAGTAGAAGTTTATCAGGTCAACCGAAATCATGAATTTTATCCTGATAACCCAAATGATAATTATAATACGAATTCTACTAAGTCCGTTACCTTAGATAATTTGGTAATCAATTGTATTTTGATGACCTTGAGGGAAACTTCAGTCAGATCGACAGCCAGACCATCCTCGCAATCTGTGTTACTTGCTTCGAGAATTGGCGGGTATAGACAGAGTGCACCGGGTTTGGGTGCCGCATCATTTGGAGATTTTACACTCTTGTCATAGCTAAGCGATAATGAGATTTTTGCAGTAATAAATATGCTACGGTATTTACTAGTATCTCTCTGGAGATCTGGATCTATCTCTTCTTGGAGATCTAGAGGGAGATCTGGAGTATCTTCCTCTATCATTGTATTCACCTTGTGGTTGCTGCTCGCCATGGGACTCTCTTGGTTCTGCTGATTCTCCATCATGAGGTTCGCTATATCTAGGCTCTCTTTCTCTTCCTTCTCTTCCTTCTCTTCCTTCTCTTCCTTCTCTTCCTTCTCTTCCTTCTCTTCCTTCTCTCCCTTCTCTTCCTTCTTCACGAGAAGGCCTTGATCTGTAGCCATCCTCATATCCACCTCTGCCGTAGCCTCTTCCATATCCACCTCTACCATAGCCACCTTCATAGCCATCGTATCTACCGTAACCACCCCTCCCATAGCCACCTCTGCCGTAACCACCTTCGTAGCCACCTCTACCATAGCCACTTTCGTAGCCACCTCTTCCGTAACCACCTTCGTAGCCACCTTCGTAGCCTCTTCCACCTTCGTAGCCACCTCTTCCATAACCACCTCTACCGTAACCACCTTCATAGCCACCTTCATAGCCACCTCTTCCATAGCCACCACCTCTATAACCTCTGTAACCTCCTCTACCTCTAAATGACGCTCTTCTTACTGAATAAGGATCAGACTTGGCCATTTGCACCACTAATCCATCTTTCAAAGAATAAGGTAAGTGCTGGCCATTTAATTCTAAAGCCTTTTCGCTGTCTTCCAAGCTTTTGTATTCCACAAATGCATATTTTTCACCGTCGTCAGTTCTTGGAGGAGGGATGTCTAATCTGACTAATTCACCATATCTAGGAAATGTTAGTTTGGAACGTTTGAAATAAACAATGGAATTTGGGATTATTTTATCATCTAGAGGTAGAGGGAACAGGAGTAAGGGGTGAGAAGGAAAGGAGGTATGTAGGGAAGGAGGAAAGGAGGAAAGGAGGTAGGGGAAAGGAGGAACAAAAGGGGGGAATAAAGGAAAGGAATAAACAAGGAATGAATGAATCAAGGAATTAAAACAGTGGCCAGAAAGCAGGATGGATCATCTGTGGACCAACAGAATCAAGATAATCAAATGATGAGCAACCAAAAGGAGAACCAACTGAGGAATAAAAAAGGGTTTGTGATGAATAATACCGACCAACCAATGTGAGTCAGTCAGCCGTGGCAACGACTTGACATGTTTCAAATTGGAAGGCCAAGATTCCTAAGCAATAAGCAAGTTAATCAAAATGATACATACTTTTCAAAGTCTGGAGCCAAGTCTGTGGCTTTGGATTCTCTGATAAACCCTGTGACATACAACGTGTTCTTCGGCATAGTTGATGAGGAAAAAACAATTTTGTCTCGAGAGTTAGAAGGTTCGAATTTACATGACATTCTCAGGCTCGCACACGACCCCAATTTGGTGAACATAGGATTTGAACATCTTGTGGTACACACACGCTGATTCTTATTGTACCTGTATATTGCGGCCCAACAATTTGGTTTCTTTTACTCAACTTTTTAGTAGGGGGACGCTGCAGCAGAGAGTGGTCCTAAATTGGTACCAGCTCCCGCAACATATCTCCCCCGCTAAGCCTACTTTTCAAATGCTTCTTTCTCCCCCTAAACACGTCTCCAGGCCAATTTGTTCAATGGGAACTCGCCATCGCTAACCGATCCCCACGCCACTTGTCCGATTTTCGTCTATTTCTCTAAAACTTATTGGCTGCCTATATGCTTTTAGTAATGGCTGCAACTCACACAAACCCAAGTCAACCTGTAGAACTCTAGAAATGCCCTTCTTTCACTCACAAGAACCTCCTATTTAGATCTCATATTTATAAAACCATAACAACGGTTATGTAAATCCTAATTACACATGACCAATTTGTTTATTTTGTGCTTTTGTTGATCAGGCCCCTTCAGTGAGTGATTTCGGGCGCCCAAAAACTATCATAAATTTTTTTCTTTCATGAGCACTAATTTGGATTGTGAATATAATTACTTGTAACTTATTTTTTTAACTTCATCGAATATTTGTATTTACATTCCTTGAAGATAGCAGGTGTCTATACTGTTCCTTTGTTTGAGCACACTTGATCAGATACAAACAAAAGATATAATGGCTTTTAGTTTTGCCGATGATTCTTTGCTTAACAGCAAGTTTTTTGAAGGTGATATCTCCTCCAGCAATAACGTTAACCAAAGTGACGATATCCTTGATGAGTTTCTCGATCAACGAGTCTATGATAATGTGGGCCTTTCCCCTGATAAGCTGGAGTTTTTTGAGTTTTATGAAAACTCCCCAAGCGTGATTGCTGTTCATCAAGGTCAGGGAACAGTTTCTAACCACAATTATAACGAAAGTTTAAGTCCTATGAATGAGGGAGATGGTGGTGAAGTGCACTCGGTGCTAAGCAATGTTTCCAGCCATGTCAATGTTGAACATTTAAACCATTTGTCCGAGACTAACTCGACCCCCAATCTTAATTCCCACACTAACAATAATAATAACAGCTTCTTTGACCTGCTAAACCCCAGTCCGTCAATGTCCACCGGCCTCTCCTCAGATAATGGAGATATGAGCCAGTATGAATTATTACGTAACCAAGTTTCCAAGTTGAAGTTTGGTAAGTACGAGATGAAAGTTACACCCGACTCCATTGAACCCACAGTAGATTTATTGGACTTTTCACCAGAAGCCATGTCTAAGCTCCCATACTCATTGTCCTTATTGGGCTTACCTGATTATTCAAGAGTAGAAACGCAGATCAAAATCAATTTCAACATGAATCCTCCTCCCCCACAAAACCTTTTACACATTCCACAAGATTTAGTGTCAAAGAATAAGTTTTGTCTTTCTGATGAATTGTCTTCATTGAGTCCTATCATATTAAAGAATTTGTTGTACCTTGATTGTTTCGTATTGACATCTGATATGACCAAGTCCTGTAATGTGTGTCCAAAGTGTATCAAGAGAGAACAAAAGAGAGCTTCAAGAAGAAGATTAGGTATTGACGATGCCCCAGAGTTACCTCGGATCTCTCCACATGGTATTGTGAAGAACAATCCTAGTGCATGGTTGGATGATAAAATGCTTAAGAAGGCTATCATGTTCAACTGTAAAGAAATCGTATCTTTCCCTGCTCCAAATTCTTTGAACAACAACAAAGCTCTAGAGTTGAGCGCAAGAATAATCTGTTACTGCAGGCATCATCAAGAAAGTGAAGGTTTTAAGTTGTTGTTTGTGGTTAGAAATTATGAAGGTGATGTTCTCGCTAAGCTGGTGAGTTCTAATATCATGATTATGGATAGAAAGAAACCTATGTCAGGTGGCATAAGTCATCGTTCTTCTTCAAGCATAACTGGATATGCCAATGAATCTAGTTCTTCTTTTACAAAGCCCTTGACTCAAAAGAATCCGACTTCTCCTGGTATCAAGAGTGAACCTCGTACTGATGAAGATTTGAAACACCCAATATCTCCAAACTCAATTGATGAATCCTCAGATCTAACCACTAATGAATCCGAAAGGAACTTGAAACGTAAGAAATTATCCATTGATGATTCTAATAACTCCACCAATCCTATGTACAACGGATCCGTTAATGGATTCAGCCCTGTTTCCAATAGTGACACAAATACCTCCATCAATAATCACCAATTGAACAAGAATGTTTACCAAAGAACTCCCTCCAGAATTCCAGACAACATAAATTCCAACCTTACAACCTTACCCACCATCTTGAGAATAATTCCTGCAGAGGGTCCAATAAGAGGAGGAATTGAAGTCACCTTGTTAGGATTCAATTTCAACTCCAATTTGGGTGTGAAATTCGGTGCTAACCTGGCTTTGGCTACCCATTGTTGGTCTGAAACAACTATTGTTACTTATTTACCTCCGGCAGCGCAACCAGGGCAAGTGTTAGTCTCATTTGAAAACCATGAAAACTTGTTGACTAATCAACAACAACAAATATTCACTTACACAGATGACACAGACAAACAATTAATTGAGCTTGCGTTGCAGATTGTTGGGCTCAAAATGAACGGTAAATTGGAAGACGCCAAAAATATTGCAAAGAGAATTGTTGGAAATGATAACTCTAATAATATTAGCAGCTCGAACAGCAATGTCAACTCTGCTGGTATTAGTCCTAGTGTCACGAATAATTCTGGCGCTCTTGAGTGGTACAACAATGCTCAAGGTATTGTGGAGAAGCTTACCCAAATGAACTACTCAACAGAAGAGATTCTAGTCAACTTTTTGAAGTTGGTCGAATTGCCCAATTGTCCTATCATCATACCTAATTGGCAATTGGCTAATAACGAAGGTCAAACCTTATTGCATTTGTCAACTCTCAAGAATTATACAATGTTGGTCAAATTCTTGACCAATCATGGCTGTAAGATTGACTTGCAAGATAATCAAGGGTTGACGCCTTTGTTCTATGCTAGTATCAATGGTCAAAGAGAATTAATAGACTTATTCATCAACTGCAAGGCTAATCCTCACTTGAGATTATCTAATGATAAGACTATCAAGGATTATTGTGATTTGAACGTCATGGATATGTTCTCAGATATTGAGAACGGTATGGAAGATGGAAGTAGTATAAATGAGGGGTTACAGAAGTCTTACAGCATGGACTCATTGAACTCAATGTTTGAGATGAAAGGATTACATGTCAGCAAAATGGTGCCTGAAAGATTAGAAGATGACTCGGAGTTTGCTGATTCGGAATACAGTGGTGATTGCGATGTTAGTGATTACAATGATGATGTTAGTAATTACGATGATGATATCAGTGAAGTCAATGATGATTTGGGCATTCAAGCTAGTAATTCCAACATACCCACAATTTCTTACATCGTGGAACTGGAGAGCGAGGACGCCAAAACTATAAAAGACGGCACTTCTGAAGGTAATGATACAGACAGACCACCAAGTCCTGAACCTTCTTCTGGTGCTGGTGGTATTTGGCAGAAGGTCAAGAATGTATTCAACAATTCTGATGATGACTTGCCAAATTACGACGACTTATTCCCTTTCGGCCCATCAGTTGGTCCTTTCAGACCAAAGTCCACTATTGAAAGACTATTAAACAATCAACAAGACAAGGAGATAGAAGTGCAACAGGAATCATCCCTGACTTCCATCAAAGAAGCTGAAATTGAAACTAAAGAGGACTTGTCTGACTCTTCAGAAGATATGATAATATCTTACATCAATCATCCAAGGAAAACGGTAGAGAATGATAAGATGTTGATATTTTTCTGGGTTCCAGTATTGTTGATAATTGTGTCATTGTTTATTTCGGTTTCTGTTATTGGTTACGAATTTGAACCAATTGACAACTTTAAGCAACTCATCAGGGAAGGTTTAGGAAATTTAATGGTTGGTAATGAGAGAATTAAAAGAGTATTTAGTGATAGTGTGAGGAGGTAATTCTTCGCAGTATATAATTTAATGAAATATTTTCTTTTATTTCTCAGCTCATTAAATGAGAGTGTACCTTCTTAAAAATGAAAATAGTCCTGTGGATTATTATCGGGAGGTGTTATCTCGACTGTATGAACCTGTATTCATCCCTTTACTAACCCATACTTTATTTATTGAACCAATGACTAATTTCCTAAAAGAGCAAATGCAAAAATACAAAGTCATCATTATCACTAGTCAGAGAGCAGTAGAGTGCTTGCAGCAATGTATCGAATCAAAAGACATAGAAGAGCATCTTAGAGACCAAATACTCGATATTCCTGTTTATACCATTGGTCCTAGCACCCATGAATACTTAACAAACATAGGTTTCAGGAATATCATAGGAAAAGAGTCTGGAAATGGTCATAAACTAAGTAATTTAATCTTGAATGAAGTCAAGGATGAACCAATAATATATTTTACTGGAGAAATCAGAAAGGATATTATACCGAATAATATGATAAACAATGGCAAGAACTTTTCAGAGTTCCCTGTTTATGCCACAAGGGAATGTGCCGATGTTGATGCAATTCAAGGCCTTAGAGAAGAGAGTAGTTGGGTCATTTTCTTCAGTAGCCAGGGAACACAAAATATCGTTAATCATATAAAGAACAAGAACTACAAGGTAGGAGTCATTGGTCCTACCACCAACGAATACTTGATTCAAAATGGTATTACAGCAGACTTGGTTTGTGAAGCACCTACAGCAGATTCGCTTTTGAGACAAATTGACCAATATGAGAAAAACTAATAGTAATCTGGGGAAATCAATTCATAGAACAACTTTAATAAATATAATAAATATAATAAATAAATTGCAATAAATACAACAACTACTGAAGTAAAATACTTTATTTCTTAGCAGACTTGACAACATTGATAATTTGTTCAACCACTCCTGGGTTGGATAAAGTAGAAATATCACCTAATTGATCTTCTTCTCCTGCTAAGACTTTTCTCAAAATTCTTCTCATGATCTTTCCAGACCTAGTCTTTGGCAAATCATCAACTAATAAAATCAACTTGGGAGCTGCGAATGGGCCAATTTCTTTTCTGACAGTCAAAATCAATTCTTTCTTAACAGCTTCAACGTCGTCAACTTTAACAGTTGATTTCAATGAAACATAAGCAGCAACAGCTTGACCAGTCAAGTCATCAGCATAACCAACTACTGCAGATTCTCCCACCAATTCATGTTCGATCAAAGCAGCCTCAATTTCAGCAGTTGACAATCTATGGCCACTAACATTGACCACATCATCAACTCTACCTAAGATCCAGTAGAATCCATCCTTGTCTCTAGCAGCACCATCTCCACTGAAATAGTGATTAGGGTAAGGCTTCAAATAAGTATCAATATATCTACTATAGTCATTGAAAATTCCTCTGGTGATCGAAGGCCATGCATTTTTGATTGCCAAAACTCCTTCCACATCATTTTCATTCAATTCATGACCATTAACAGGATCTAAGATCTTAGGTACAATACCAAAGAATGGCAATGAACAAGAACCGGGCTTAGTAGGAGTGACACCAGCCAAGGGACACATCAAGTGAGATCCTGACTCGGTTTGCCAGTAGGTATCAACAATGTGGGCCTTTCCTCTACCAACATTATCGTTATACCAATGCCAAACTTCAGCAGCAATTGGTTCACCAACAGATCCCAAGACTCTTAAGCTATCCAATTTGTAATTTTCAATGTACTTGGTACCAGCTCTCTTCAATAACCTCAATGCAGTAGGAGCCACATAGAAAATATTGACCTTGTACTTGTCAACGATATCCCAGTATCTTGAATAGTTCGGATAAGCTGGTGTACCCTCGAACACCACAGTTGTAGCACCATTCAATAATGGACCATACACAACATAGGAATGACCAGTAATCCAACCGACATCACCAGCGGTGAAAACAATGTCAGACTCATGTACATCAAAGACGTACTTGGTTGTTAACATTGCACCCAACAAGTAACCAGCCGTATTGTGCTGAACACCTTTTGGTTTTCCAGTGGAACCTGAAGTGTACAATAGGAACAATGGGTCTTCACTATCAACAGGAACTGGTGGGAAATAAGGACCATATTTGTCCATCTCATTGTGCCACCACAAATCTCTTCCTTCAAAAAACGGGACATGAGAGTTTCCGGTTCTCTTGAAAACCAAAACATTGGTAACATCAGGGCACTGCTTTAATGCATCGTCAACAATCTTCTTGGTTTCAATAGTCTTACCTCCTCTTTTGGATTCATCAGCAGTAACAACAATCTTGGAATTGGCATCCAAGATTCTGTCCTTCAAAGAGGATGAACTAAAACCAGCAAACACCACCGAGTGGATAGCACCAATTCTGACGATTGCCAACAAGGTAACAATGGCTTCAGGAATCATAGGCAAGTAAACTGCAACAGAATCACCCTTTTTAACACCCAATTTGGTCAAGCATTGGGCCATTTTGGAAACATCTTTCAACAATTCCCCGTAGGTGATGATCCTTCCTTGATCAGGTTCATCACCTTCATAAATAATCGCCGGTTTGTTGGGGTTTTTAAAAGCCCATCTGTCAACCGTGTTATAAGATGCATTCAATTTACCGTTAATGAACCAAGAAGGAATATCACCGTGTTTGAAATCATTTTCAGTAGATACAGGATACCTAGCAAGGTCAAAGGGCCTCTCCCAATCCAAAAACTTCAGACCCATTTTACCAAAGAAAGAAGAAGGGTCCTCAACTGATTCTTTGTACAAGGTTTGATACTCTTCAAAAGAAGCCAAATTGGGCTTTTCAGTAGACCTCTCCTTAAACCCATCGGGGGGCAATTGCATTTTTTCGTGGTCAAGAGTGACGTGAGACTCAACCATGATCAATCAATTAGCCAGTTGTTTGTATGACAAGAAGACGTCAATATAAGTATCACTAGATAATTGTACGTGCGGATGATGAGTACAAGACAACTAAGCAAAATATAATAAAACAAAAGGTGGTGTGATTGCGGACGCTCCCTATTTATAATGATGCTCGGAGTTTTGGCAAAACCATCAACCCCACAAAATCTGCGACGATATTTGTTGCGGCCACGCTGCAAATGCCTGGTAAAAAATGTTGAGTTTGCATATTCGGTTGTCTTGGTTTTATTTTTTGGGTCAGGAGTTAAGGATACTTTTGAATGACTAGGAGTGAATTGTATGAGCCAATAAATTTGTCTTTTTATCGATTCCTGCCACCTCCTAGTATGTGGTCAACGGTCAAAAGTATAAGGGGGCTCTGGTATTTCCCCAGATGACTTAGAAATGGCAAGTTACTCCGCAAAAAACCTGTAGGTGTTCGTATTCACAGGTGTTACTTCGTCTAAGATAAAAATGACAAAAGTAGCAGAAAACGTAAAAGTGGCAAAAATTGGAGATTTTCAGTTTAAGCCCAACCGATTCTCCTATATCACCACCTAAAAATACAGAAGCTAGGACTGATGCAGTTGGTAAACGGCTTTGGTTGAATAAATCCGATCCATTTACTCGTCTACGAATTGCAACTAAGTATTGTAGGTGGCTACTTATCAAATTGCCGCCGGTCCACAAAATGTTTTTTAAACGCTTACTTTAAGTTTATATATTACTACACACATCAAGGTACGGAGTTACGTAGTTCCAGCTGTATGATAACACTTGATGTTAGTGTCTAACGAATGGAACAAAGAACGATAAAAGGTCGTGCATAGCCAGTCGCTTACCCGAGCACAAATCATTCACAAAATGGAAATCTCATTCTGGCGGTGTCATATATATGAGCGGAGTAATAACGCTAAAACTTACAAGCCTTTTAATTCGGACGATATCCAAGCCGGTTGCCAATGCCATAAAGTTCCAATCACGGCAATCGCCATTCTTGAAGACCAACTTCGTCCGGTTTGGTCAATTCATCAACAAAATTGATATGAAACTTCGTAACAACTCAAATGTCAAAGTTAGACCCTTAAATGATAATAAGGCCATCGAGTTGGGTAGTAACTTTCTTAGTGAGTTGTTTGTGTTCAGCATTGCGGCGGGACTTATTATATATGAGTCGGTAAAGCCCAAGAAACTGGTGTCCCAACCAGTGGAGATACCTCCAAAGGCAGAAGGAGCTACAGGTAGTATAAATAAAAGCACTTCCAAGGCGGATCCCAAGCCCCAAGAACCACAGAAATCAAAGGTTAAAGACACTAAAGTTGATGATGAGACTAACTCCAAGTGGATTGGAAAAGTTGAAGAGCTCCAAACAACGGTGAGTACGTTGGCACAAGAAGTGAGTCAGTTAAAGAGTCAGAACTCAACTATCCTTGAGGAGTTAAAGCAATTGAAACCTGTAAATAGCACTATTAGTCATGTAAATAAGCAATAGATCAAAATAGACCAAGTAACAAAGGAGTACTTCAAGATTCGTTTAGGGAGTCAAAACAACATATATATTATTCTACACTAGTGTTACAAATTAGCCAATCATTTCTTTTGCTTCTTTTCAACCTTCAATAACAAGGCCTTGTTGATATGTGGCAAAACACCACCGAAAGCAATTGTGGCCTTGATCAAGTTGTCTAATTCTTCATCTCCTCTGATGGCCAATTGTAAGTGTCTAGGGGTGATTCTCTTAACCTTCAAATCTTTAGCAGCATTACCAGCCAACTCCAAGACTTCGGCAGTTAAATATTCCAAGACAGCAGTTAAGTAGATAGCAGACTTGGATCCTACTCTAATTTTGTTTTGGGCGGTTCTCTTCAAATATCTCTTGACTCTACCCACTGGGAATTGCAAACCAGCTCTGGCGGAATGGGAAGTGGTATTCTTAGCGGCCTCAGAGGATTTACCTTTTCCTCCATGTACTTTACCTTTACCAGACATTTATCAAATTATCCTTTTCTTCTTAGTTGTTCAAAAACAAATTGCTTAAATAAACGAAGCAGAAAAAGATGTTAGTTATAAACTTTTGTTTTGTTTGTTTTGATTTTTGGGGCCTTTATAAAACAACAACTGAGTGGGAGACCGATCGGTCCGCGCACTAACATAAACACTCCAAAGCTGAGTTACCCGCACTTGGTTGCAAAAATGTCATCTACGAGTTGATATACCCGTTTGATCCAAGAGTGTCAAGCATTGATTCAATTTCTGTTCGAGACCTTTGAAGCTCAGTACATATCGAGTCAATGTTTTGGAATCCCTTGAGTAGTTTGATGAGTTTGAGTAAATCGACAAACTCATCGTTGCTTATATTGGGAAGCCGATTGATTTCGTGGTTGCGAATTCGTGGAACTATCGACTGAGCATCCTCAGGACTATCATCCACAGCAGTTTCATTATTTATGGATCGTATACCGTCATTCATGCTATCCTCATCACTTTCAATGATCCCATCAAATTGTTGGTTTTGATAGTTAAAACTGATTCTTCTATTGTTGGTCTTTAGGTTAGACTCGTTAACTATCGACTTAAGGTATATGTTGCTGTTGATGTCTTTTAGGTTGATGGAATTGACATTCGTAGAGGTCAATTTGGTTCTGAAGTTTTCAATCAACTCGTTGATTTCGTCATTATTGTTTTCAATTGACTTGGTAACTAAATTCAATATTGGATATGAGTGGACTCGATAGATAAGCCCATTTAAAATTCCAAAGTTGATAAATCGCCTTATGTCGATGAACTTTAAATGCTTCTTATGCTGGAGATACCATTGTTTTACGGTTTGACCTTGGTTAAGTGACCGATAAAGGTAGAACAAAAGTGTCTTTGAGGGGACCTTAATGGTACGACCAAGCTCTTTCAAATGTACAGGTGAGATGGAAATGGACCCGCCAATCCCACCAGTACCAGTGATGTTGGATCCTACTCTAGCATTGACACCAGTGAAAGTATTATTTCCTGTGTTTGGACCGGTAGCATTAGCGGTCGTTGGAGCGGTAGTATTAACAGTTCCACTCCCACTACCATTGGTACTATTACCACGGTTATTTGAGCTCATGTCATAGTTGACTATATAGCTTTGACACCGTTCACTGAGATTGGGGACTTTCAAGAAGTTGACAATGTTGTTGGTGGGAGCATATATGTTTGAAAATTGGAAAATATCAATGATTTGCAAACATTTGTAATGCATAAGATGCTGGATACATTGTTTTGTAAGAAGATAATCACTATCACTCAATTCACTTATCTTCTTTATGGAATTGATTCCATTTATATAAGGTAGGATCTTTATCATGGTTGGATCCCAGTTCACGTCCACTAATAAGTTCAAGTTCACCATCAGAATAGGCACTTGGTAGGCCTTGAGGTTTAAGGGAGCTGGATAAATAGGGAACAACTTAATGTCAATAGAATTAGCACTGTCCAATGGTATACAGCATTCACTATAATTGTTGAGGTCTTGGTACAACTGGCTAATCAATGAATCAATAGAACTTAAGTTGATTTTCTTGAAATTTTTGAATCCTGGGATCTCGTTAATCAAGTTTATCTGCTTGATGTTTTCCAGCTTGATGAAGAGTCTGGCACTTAAATTTGACAACAAGTAGTTCTGTTCCTCGAGAACTTTAAACATTTTTCCCATTCTTTTGATTGTAAGTTCGTAGCTGATAGTTTCACTGTTGTAAGGAAACACAAAACAGAAATTGAAGTTGAAAAAGTTTCGAGTATAATTGTCATTCTGGATGTTCACGGGATACCCAATGACTTTATATTTGCCCACTTTGATTGATATTAGTTTGTTACATAGATGTGGCTTTGGTATAATATAGTTTTTGATGGTATTGAAATTGAATAAGGAGTTGGCCGTGGTGTTGATTGAATCTTTAGGGACCTGGTTTACGATCTTTGTCCCCTCTGTCGGGTGGAAAACTGCGTAGAATATTGCTATAATGGGCGTAAACCCATCACTAGTCTCCATATTTATCTCCTAGTTTTTTTTCTTTCAACTCAATCTGTCGCATTTATAACAGTAAATCTTAATACTTGAAGATCTCAATAGTTTTCTTTGTTCTAAACTTTCTACGTGCTGTTCAGAGACCTAAAATGGCTTCGATTTCCGTATCAGTATTTAAGCCACCTTATAATAACTCACTAGTGTCATGAGTTGTACATAATTTTCAGGATAAGTGTCCAGTGGCCTCACAATGCCATTGTAGAAGCATCTAACCGGCTGAATATACTTTCCATAGACCCTTTATAAACTCATTGGTTTTATTCAAAAGGATGCCGACTACTAGGTAGTGAAAAACAATAACAATTTGATTTTCTAATAAGAACTGGGGGTATTGAACATGATTTTCTTACTTTAGTTCATCAACATTCCATACCTTGGGAATTGTTCCAGTGGATGGTATCAAGGTAAGATAACAGCCAATATAAGGCTTATACAATTTCTTGAACAACTTTTGTTTCCAGCATATGCAAAGGGTTTGTAATCTTCATCAAGAGCATCCACAAAATCATCGAACCAAAAGAGTCATTAACACTCCTGACAGTCTAATGGCTCATCGGAAAAGATTCTACTATACGGCTACATAAATTACCAACTAAAGTAGTTCTATGGCTGGGAGAATACGTGACAGAGTCCACTTTCACTTTTCCTCTAGCAGTTTAGTCCAACTGCGATGTACCGCTAACTGAGGACTACTTCATTTGGTTGCAAAATAAAGTCAGACACGACCACGAAGATGTAACTTTAAAGTGTAGCAAAAAACTCTGATAATCTTTACCCAGGTACAACCTGAATCTCTAGATGATCTTATCCAATCATGTTTTTGCACTAGCTTTCAATACAAACCATTCCTAGGTAGATCTAAGATAGTGCCCGGAACGTGTCGGGCACAAGAATTTTCTGGAAAGAATCCGCACTGAAAAATTTTCCATATAAGTAAGCAGGTAATTTGTTATCCATAACCCCCCACAAAACTATAATGTTAAGAGCCAGCCAACCATCATTTAAAAGAGGAACCCTCTCTTTTGTGCGTAATGTGTCGCACAAGGAATTGAAGTTCGGTGTCGAAGGTAGAGCCGCCTTGTTGAAAGGTGTGAATCTTTTGGCTGATGCTGTTTCGGTGACCTTGGGTCCAAAGGGTAGAAACGTTTTGATTGAACAACAATTCGGTGCTCCAAAAATCACCAAGGATGGAGTCACGGTTGCCAGATCTATTACTTTAGAAAGTAAGTTTGAAGATATGGGAGCTAAGTTGTTGCAAGAAGTTGCTTCTAAGACCAACGAATCTGCCGGTGACGGTACTACTTCTGCCACCATTTTGGGTAGATCAATTTTCACAGAATCTGTGAAAAACGTGGCTGCTGGCTGTAACCCAATGGACTTGAGAAGAGGTACGCAAGCGGCTGTGGAAGCTGTTGTTGAATTCTTGCAAAAGAACAAGAAAGAAGTTACCACTTCTGAAGAAATTGCTCAAGTGGCTACCATCTCTGCCAATGGTGACCACCACATTGGTAACTTGTTGGCTTCTGCCATGGAAAAGGTTGGAAAGGAAGGTGTTATCACTGTTAAGGAAGGTAAGACATTGGAAGATGAATTGGAAGTTACCGAAGGAATGAGATTCGATAGAGGTTTCATTTCTCCATACTTCATTACTGACACTAAATCCGGAAAGGTTGAATTTGAAAATCCATTGGTTTTGTTGAGTGAAAAGAAGATCTCTTCTATCCAAGATATTTTACCATCTTTAGAATTATCTAACCAACACAGAAGACCATTGTTGATCTTGGCTGAAGATATCGACGGTGAAGCTTTAGCTGCTTGTATTTTGAACAAATTGAGAGGTCAAGTTCAAGTCTGTGCTGTCAAGGCCCCAGGTTTTGGTGACAACAGAAAGAATATCTTAGGTGATATTGCAATTTTGTCTGGTGGTACTGTCTTCACTGAAGAATTAGACATTAAGCCAGAAAATGCCACCATTGATTTGTTGGGATCAGCTGGATCTATTACTATCACCAAGGAGGACACGGTTGTTTTGAACGGTGAAGGATCCAAAGATAACATCCAAGCTAGATGTGAACAAATTAGAGTTGCCATTGAAGATGGTCAAACTTCTGAATACGAAAAAGAAAAGTTACAAGAAAGATTAGCTAAATTGTCTGGAGGAGTTGCCGTCATTAGGGTTGGTGGATCCTCTGAAGTTGAAGTTGGTGAAAAGAAGGATCGTTATGATGATGCTTTGAATGCCACCAGAGCTGCCGTTCAAGAAGGTATCTTGCCAGGTGGAGGTACTGCTTTGATCAAGGCTTCTAGAATTTTGGATTCCGTCAAGGAAAACGCTACTAACTTCGACCAAAAGTTGGGTGTTGATATCATAAAGTCTGCCATCACTAAGCCAGCTAGACGAATCATTGAAAATGCCGGTGAAGAAGGTGCTGTCATTGTTGGTAAAATCTATGATAATGCTGAATTTAACCAAGGTTACGACTCTTCCAAGGGCGAATTTACCGATATGATTGCTTCTGGTATCATTGACCCATTCAAGGTCGTGAAAAATGGATTGGTTGATGCTAGCGGTGTTGCGTCTTTGTTGGCTACCACCGAATGTGCTATCGTGGATGCTCCACAACCAGCTGGCCCAGCTCCTGCTCCAGGTGCTGGCGGAATGGGTGGAATGCCAGGAATGGGCTTCTAAGTGTGACAATAGTTCCATTTGGTGCTTTAATTCTAACTATAAATACGCTTTAGATACTCCTCCTTTTATGTATATAGTCAATTTAAAGGAGATCATTGTCAAGCAGATGTAGTGCGCGGAGAAATAATAAATGAGATGGCAGATAAAACTTTTATACACAAACCTGTTTACTTTTGCATTTGATGAATCCTTTTTGAAATGTTTGAAGATCCAGCTTCCAGTCTAGTATGGCTACCTGGCAGTCAACTAAAACTAGACAAAGCCATACTACGATATCAACAACATAAGGTTTATCAAGCACTCTTACAAAACAAAACCTTATCAGGATCCATCAAGAAGAAGATAAAGGAGAGTCATTATAAACAAATTTTATTAAAGAAGATAAAGGAAAGTATGGAAAATCCCACACGCCCCGAAGAAGCATTTGAGATCTGGAACCAGAGTGACCATATGAATGTGTACAGAAGATCAACAAATACAGAACCTTTGAAGTTCGATGAGGAATTTCTTGATAACATGCTCACTAATGCCCAAAGACATAGGGAAGAAGAGAATGGCGATAGCGGTAACGACGACGATGACAGTGGAAGTGAACTCATAAAGGAACATTTATTCGAAGAGTATTTCAATAAACTCACACGTCCTGCCGACTTCTCAGGAATTAGTCGTAAGCCTAAGTTGGAGTTTCTACTTACTACAGAAGGATATGAAGTTTTACCTTTACCAAGCGAGGAGACGAAAACTGGATTTTACAGATATCATATTGCAAACTTAAACTTTTTTTTGCATTCCAGCATCTTGAATAAGTCTTGGGATCAAGCATACAAGATTCTTTGCATTTTACTACGATTCCCTGGAATTGACATAAGGTATTTGTGGCCTTTAGCAATCGAAATCTTAAGAGGAAAGCATAACGAGAATAAGGAAACCACTTCAGTTTTTAAATACAAGGAAAGAAGATTCTTTAGTTGGCTTGCCTCGTTTTATATCCTCAGTGCTTCAAGACCTGGTTTGGTAGAGAACGCACCAGTGTTTAGGAGCGGCTCAGTTACTCACGTGCCAATATTCATTATTGAATCTATCTGGTCTCTATTGGATGATGGGCAGGTAGAGAGGGTCAAGACTGAGGTCAAATCCTTAATATTAAAAGCCCCTTTCGAAAACGAAGGTGTTTTTTCATTTATCTTGTGTTTATGTTATTTGATGGAAAATGTTCAGTTAGCTGACAGGTACGCCAAGGTTGACACATCAGATGAAAACGATTTGGAAGTGAACATCTTTTTGAATGACAAGGCCAGCATTTACGCTAAGATATCTTCCAATTTTGAGGAGGTTGATAAGTACCTTCACAAGTGTACAGAGTTGAAATTTGAATACCCACCAGACATCGTTGAAGTTCAGACAAATATAATATTATCCAAGATCAAAGAAGCGGATGAAGCAAATACTGGTAATCAAAGTGATGAGGACAACATCTCTGAAGAGGAGATACCTGATCCTTATGATACTATGAATGATACCAATAACCACAATGAAGATGAAGTCTCTCATGATACCATAATAGAACAAGCCAATGAAGGTACTGAGATTTCGAAGAGAGTAAGCTTAGAGGATGAAATTCCAGATTCTTACATTGACGATGAAGAGGAAGAAATACCCGATCAGTATGACGATGAAGATGAGATCGCAGACCAGTATGTGGACGTAGTACCCGTAACTGAAACCAGAAACACAATTAACAATGAAAGAAATGACGATTCAGACAGCAGCATAGATTTTGACTTTGATTTCGATTGAAGTTCATTAAGTACATAAATTAGCATAAAATATTCATTTACAAGATAGTTAACTCTGACGACGCGTGAGCTCTTGGGTATCTTCACTAGACGTGACCAAGCCAGGGTCGATGATGTTCATGGCCCTTTCAGCTGTCTTTTCATGCACTCGTAATTTAGCAAGGACATTCCTTGAAAATTGAACATGATAGTCTACGACATCCTGGTTAGCCCTACGCAATGGTAGTAATGTCCAGTTAGGTGGTAAAACTGAATTGCGAGGGAGTACAATTTGGTGAAGAGTCTGGATATTTCCTTCAGTTGAATCATTTCTCTCGGGTTGGGAATAAGCTCTTGGTAGAGCTCCTGGGAAATCTGTAGTGGGTGTAGGACGGGTTTCATTAGTAGACGCTGATCGAGATTGTGGCCCTTGCCGCCTTTGTCTATGTTGAGCTAGTGCTTCTTCAAAATGGGCAAATCTCCTTCGCATTTCATTATGACGAGGCAAAGGCCTGAGATCTTGATCATCAAGGAGTTGTCTTTCTTGGCGTGTTTCGAGTTGTTGTGGTTGTTGTGGTTGTTGTGGTTGTTGTGGTTGCTCCTGCTGTTGAACCTGCGGGGTACCAGGCATTTCTGGTTCTTCAAACACCCTTCTTCTACACAAAGGACAGTTATCCGATCTCTCAAGCCAATCTTTCAAGCAACCCATATGAAGCACGTGCCCACAGTTCAATTTCTTAGGCTTTAATCTGGAGTTCATATTACTTCTTTGCAGACCTTCATCCGTGACTGCAGAAAGCATTTCATCGAAACAGATGATACACTTACTGTCATTTTCCAAATCTTCAGATTTTGCATCCGTCAATTGAGAATCTAAACGCTTTGACAGCTCGATAAAAGCTAGTAACTGTTTGACCTCTTTATATGTATCACGCATGCATAGGTAAGTTCCCTGAAGCATCGAAATAGGAACAGAGAATCCTGCCAGTGTTGTCAACAAGTATATGAAACAAAGATAGGAAATGGTCTTGAAGGAAGAGGAGGCAATATCAATCGATTTCGAGAACAAGCCTTTATTTTCCCAAACTTTCTCCAAAGGTTCAGTATCAAGGTCATTGTCAAGGTCATCCATATCCATTTCATCGGGAGTATAGATTGGATATCTTACTAACTCGTATAAATCGAGCATACACTTCAAGAAAAAAGTTAAGCATTCCAATCCTTGAACAGCAAACTGCAAGCCAAATAAAAGACACGGAACTGAATTAATACCTTGGAAAACATCGTAGACAAGAAACTTTGCAATCGAGAAATCGATGGTGAGGAACACCACATTCCAATAGAGAAAGGAATTTTTTGCATAAAATTGTAAAACATCAGCAATGGTGTAGAATGACAGATTGTTAAGTTCATTTACAACTTTCATTTGCTTAAATTCCAATCTGTCCATAAGAATTGAGTGCATCACTTTGGAGAACAAGGTGATCATCAACAAAAGCACATTGAGTGTGAGGTTATTATCTTTGGTGGTTAAATTCAAGAGTAAATTCACCACAAGAAAGGGGAGCCGTTCAATGACATGTTCTCTTTCTAAAAGCCTTAGTTCTCCGAATATAAGATGTTGAGCTGACGTACTAAAAAGTATGAAGATGCAAAATAGAAAGTTGAGGACAATTCCCAAATAGATTCCATCAGTCATTTGATACAGAAATCCAAGATAGGTATTCGAAGTGGTTAGCGCACCCCAGATGGCAAACGCCGTTGCCCCCGCTGATAGTGTCAAATAACCAAGGAAGTACTTCAACTGGTTCGACAATTCCACCATACTGATGAATGATAAGGTGACAGATAATTTGAAATCAAATATGCTCGCGACGATTCACTCAAATCATTTGCGACATGCAACATTACTATACAATTAATATACATAAAATTAATGGTTAGAGTGAGATTATCTTCAATGGTTTAATAAAATACAGAAGGAGATTAGGGTTGATGGTTACTCTACTCAAGTTTCCTCTTTTTCAAGTTATGTATAACTTCCCCATTCTCTTTGTCTTTAAGAGTAGGTATTTTTGAGGCAGCAGACATGTGCTTGTTTGGCGTTTTAGATGGAGACCGGTTTAGCTTTTGGTCATTGGCCTTCAATGGCGATATTTTATTGTCCGAACCAAGCAAATTGTCAATCTGTTGAAATTTGTCGTTGTTGGAGGTAAGATGACCGATGCTGGAATTTACCATGTTATGAATCTTGGGTGTTTCATTCATTAACTTATTGACATCATTTGTAAATCCTTTGGTGAAGGCATCCAAGGTAGGGTTGATGCAGTTAGTCAAGCTATTTTTCACGTTGGTCGAAGCATTGAGCAACCTATCCTGATTGAAAATATGGGAATTCTTTATGTTCGATTGATAATCGCTCATGTTCAGAGTGATTTTCTTGTAAACTTCGTTAGAATGGCTATTCCAGTTCTTAGATTCCTGCTGAACATTATTGAAGCTGCCGGAAATTAGGGTGTTTGTAAATTTATTGAATGAATCCTTGTACAAGCTGTTCAAACTTGAATGTTGAGAGTTGAATACCTTATTCAAATCCAACATGAATGATTGTTGCAACTCCTTGACCTGATTTTCCACAGATTCTTTGAAGAATTGTTCGATCATTCCCGAAACATCCAAGTCATTGTAATAGCTGACCAAATGGTTCTGGAATTGGTCGTTGAGGTTTTTCAACTTGTTGTTTAATTCATTTTGATTGTTTTTAAACTTGTTAAAGAGCTCATCGTTGCTCAAGTTCTTCATAAGATCATTGAGAATATTGGGCAAGCTTTTGAGAGACTCATCAATATCTTCGGATATTTGGTTGAAGTTGTTGTTGAAATTTGCTTTCATCAAGGCCAAACTATTTGTTATCGATCTTATCAAATTCAAGCAGTCTTCGGAGTCCAGCTGGACAAATCTTTCATTCTGGTTTAAACCTTGAATTAATTGTATTGAAAGCCCAATGTTGTCATTGGTTCTCTCCATTTTTCTTGTAGCTGATCATCTTTGAGCTTTAAGTCTTCAATTACATGTTTGAGGGAAGCCTCTTCAATTTCTTTGAATTTTATTTCATCTTCAAGTTTTTGTACCTTCGAACTGAGTATCCTTGCTTTCAGCTTCAATTCAGTCAATTCATTCTTGTTGGAAGCGTTTTCTTCCAATAGACTATTATAGTTGTTCTCATCCATATAAATACCATTTCTGGATCGTGTAGATATCAAGTCTTTGTTTAATTTTATTATTTCATTCGATAAATCCTTGATCAAAATTTGTTTCATGATCAAATCAAAGTCTTGTCCCAACTGCGGTTTGTTTTCAATATTTTTGACCTTCAATGAATAGTCTAAGGTGGATAAAGTCTCTTCGAGGTTGATTTTTGCAGGTGAAATAGTGGATATTAATAAAGTCTTAGTCTTTCCTCCAATAGAGTCTTGTAATAACCTCGTTAATTTAGATTCTCTGTAAGGTATGTGATTCAAGTTGACATCATTCCCATGCAATGATTTTTCACTCAACGAGGTTATCACCCTGCCCAATGTCAACAAACTCTGGTTGATGGAGCCTGCTTCTTTTGCTCTTTGATTTATAGAGCCCGATTTGCTGACATTCTCAGAACCAGCTAAATCAACCAAGTTAATCTTCGAGTGTTTGATTGTTTCGCTATCGTTGGGATCCTTTTTGTATAAATTAATGGTGAAGACCGTGTGGGATCTCGAAGAGAAATCATTGAGTTTTGTGCTGGCTACCTTTCTCTTGTTTATTCCTTTATTCAATAACCTGAACCCAGAGTTCAAACTATTGATATTGACTTCCGTCAAGTTTTGGATGTAAATTCCCGAGTTTCCATTTCTGTTCTCGAAGATCTTCAATCCTTTTTTGTTATTGGAGCTTGCTCCTGGGTTAGTACCGAAATTTGAATCATCAACATCATCGTTTAGTAGATCTCTCAAATTCTCATTATACAACTCAATAAAGGAACACTTAATGAAGTAATCGTCATTGTTGGAGTTCAAATGGGAAAATAACTCACAAAGAACCCGAGGAATTATTCCCGAATGTTTATCTATCTCAATGGGAGTCTTGTTATGTATTTCGGTTTTACCACACATGGTGTATGTTTTCCCAGTGCCCGTTTGACCATATGCTAGAATAGACACATTAAACCCGTTCAAAAATTCCTTGAAAATCGGATTCACAGCCTTCTTAAACACCAACTCTTGGTCGGCAAGAGGACCATAAACTTGGTCAAATGTATATGTCTTGGAGTCTAATGAGTTGAGAATCTTTTGCGATATTTGGCTATTTTGACATGGATTGATAGTTATAGTTGGTTGAGATATAGAGTACTGCTCAGACGCCAATTCCACCACAACCTGGGACTTGGCTTTGACTTCCCGCTGGTTTCTCTCTCGGCATCGAACCACCACTTGTATGTTGGACATAATAATTGTGTTCAAACTGGTTTGTTTTGTTTATGGAAAAATCAAATCGAATCGCGCTTGATTATCAAAACCGGTAGAGAACTCTACATTTTGAAGTATGTACGTAAAGAAATACATTAATTTTGAGTGGAGTAGTGTTCCACTCAGGAGTAGCCAGTTGACCACCTTGAGTTCATATAAATATCAATTCCTCATCTCCTTCAGAACTACTGTCTCAGTATAAGAAGACAGAGGGTGCTTAGATCACAGTAATATATGGTACCCATGAAACCTAGAACTCAAAGCTCTATAAATCCAGCATGAACTCTTATACAGTCCATCTAATCAAAGAAGTCATCGTCGTCTTCTTCATCACTTAGTTGTCTTCTGTTGAAGATGATTTTCGCATCCTTCTTCTTCTCGTCTCTTGCCAAGCTATTGAGAATCCCCACCACTTCTTGTTCGGTGAGTTTCTTTGTCAATGATCCCATGGAAATCAACTTCACCACGTAGTTTTCCACTGCCTCAGCTCTATCTGGTCTGACGATTCTGACTCTACTGAGTCTTTCTCTGGCATTCACATCTAATGCTTGATTCAACATATTAACCTTCATTTCCGCCTGGGGATTCGTTGGCTGTTGCTGTGATGTGTTCTTTTGAAGCTCAGCCAACCGGGCTTGCCTGATGGCATTCAACTCTGAATCATCCATAGTTTCGTCTTAAGCTTACAGAGAAAAAAAACCTGTGGAAGAAATTTCTGAACTGCGAAATTCTTGATCATACAAAGGAGAGTCTAAAAGCTGGAGTAAAAGATTATAGGTGCATGAAATCATCTAGAACACAAACCAGTAACGGAATCATGTTTCGATGATGTCAAATATGGTTTTACGAGTACTTAAAATATCTATGATGTGTTAATGACAACACAATTAACTCCTGGAAAAAGGACCTTCTACGATCAACTTGGACAAATTGTCCAATATGAATCCATGTATATATTAACATTAGCTACATATGCGTTTATTTCTTCAAAGATTTGATTTCTTGTGCCAACTGGTCGATGGTTTCCTTTTGCTTAGCCAATTGTTCCTTCAAGGCCTTCAATTGTTCAGCTTCATGTTTCTTAACATAGGCGGTTTCTTGGGCTCTTTCTCTGTCAGAGAAGGCATCTTTTCCAGCAGCAGTGGCACCTTCATTAGAAGATAAAACCACTCTTGTGGTAGAGAGGGATCTGACGGATTGTCTAGCAAATGATCTGGCCAACATTTTGATGAATGAATATAATTTGGGGGTTTTCGCTGAAGCGGGAGTGAGAGAGGAAATACAAGTTCTTAAATATTGCCTGAGGCTATTATTGGTGGAGGCACCGGGTAATGCGAAAATAGTGTAGTGATTTGTCGACTATATACAGGGTGACTCGAGAGGGCTGCTATAGTTTATAGATTTCTGGAAGGTAAGTACGATACATCCTTGTGGACAGAACTAAGTAACCCACATGCTCTTGCTCGTTTGATAGCAATACCGAGCTTCTTTTGATTTCTAGGGTTACATCCGGTGATGGTAGCTGGTAAGATCTGGCCCGTCGATGTTAAGAACCTAGATAAAATTAACGGCATTGTGTACAAGTCCAAGGGATTAATGCCACTTCGTGCAAATGGGTCTCTTGACTTCTTGTTCTTTGGATACTTCCGAGCTCTTTGGTCGATTTCAATTTGTTTCATGGATAAGTCAAAAGGATCGTAGTTGTCGAATGGTTTAAATTTCTTGATAAAATAGTCGTCAATATCTAAAGGTGGGTCTCTTTGATCGTTAAGTAGATTGGTCATATTTAGAACTGTGGAGGCTATCTTGGTGGAACCTTCTGCAGATGAGCCTTCAACATTGAGGTTCCATTTCTCATCTTTCATTTCTGGGGTAGAAGGTAACGGTTTGTTCTGTGACGCAACGTGACTTATACCGAACCACCGACTGCTTGCCAAATGGGGCGTAGATATTGACACAGAGGCCCTTGTCACTATTTTTCTACTGGAGGCCGTTAGATTAAACATAGTGTAGATTTTTTGGTGTGAGAAGTGCGCTCAAATTGACCACGAAAAAATTTTAGTCGTCGTGGGAATACCGAGCATTTTCAAGTCGCACTTCCTTTTCTTGTGTTCAGTCGGTTTCATAAAGGCTCATCCAACAGCGACTTGTTTATTCGTATTCTTGCTGTATTGTCACTGACAATTTGATTGACTTTTGGTGTATAGGACTTTCCAAACACACAAGCCAACGTTTGAACCTGTATTTACACCCGTACCTGGCCCAATATTTCTGTGTGCCTATTTTTTGTGTGAGCATTTGCATTCGGGTCGAATCACGCCAACCTGGAATCCAGATTTCTTGATTACTAAAAAGATTAATTTTGCATTTTCATTCACCTACCATTCATCATGTCAGAAAGAGGTCCCGATCAATGGTTGGAACAGATCAAAAAATGTATTGCATTAACTGAGTCTGATATGAAACAGTTGTGTGAGCTTGTCAAAGAGCTTTTAATGGAAGAATCTAACATTCAACCAGTTCAAAGTCCCGTAACAGTTTGTGGGGATATTCATGGACAATTCCATGATTTATTGGAGCTCTTCCGAATCAGCGGTGGCTTACCGTCAGAAGACAATAACAATAATTTTATATTCTTAGGTGATTATGTGGATAGGGGATACTTTTCTTTGGAAACTTTCACCTTATTAATGGTGTTAAAAGTCAAGTATCCCAACAGAATTACGTTGGTGAGAGGAAATCATGAAAGTAGACAAATCACTCAAGTGTATGGATTTTACGAAGAATGTCTAACCAAATACGGTTCTACCACTGTTTGGAAATACTGTTGCCAAGTGTTTGATTTTTTAACGTTGGCAGCCATTATTGATGGGAAGATATTATGTGTTCACGGTGGTTTATCCCCTGAGATCAGGATGTTGGATCAAATCAGAGTCTTGAGTAGAGCTCAAGAAGTGCCCCATGAAGGAGGATTTTGTGATTTGGTTTGGTCTGATCCTGAAAATGTCGACACTTGGGCCGTTAGTCCCAGAGGTGCTGGTTGGCTTTTTGGATCTAAAGTCAGCAGAGAGTTCAATCATATTAATAATTTACAGTTGATAGCTAGAGCTCATCAGTTGGTGATGGAAGGGTTCAGGTATCATTTTAAAGACAAGGATGTGGTAACCGTTTGGTCTGCTCCTAATTACTGTTACAGATGTGGAAATGTTGCCAGCGTTATGAAAATTGATGAACAATTGGATCCAGACTTCAAAATATTCTCTGCTGTCAAGGATGGTGATTTGGCAATCAAAACTAACACTAATAAGCAAAATAGAGGTGATTACTTCTTATAAGCTCGGTCTGATAATTATCTCATGTACATTAATGATAGACAAATGGGGATGATCTTCTATATTCCGTTGAAATGATAACGATTATGATGAATGTTTGTATAGTACATTTATTTAATAATTTTAATATAATTTAAGCATAAATATTTCTCGACGGGCTATTCATTACTATTCATTTTTCCTACAAATGGGAAGAAACAGATTTATAGATAAAAGGTTGAATTACATTTAGTAATTAATCTGGCCATTATTCAGAGGCTGTTGTTGCTGTGGTGGCTGTTGCAGTTGTTGTTGCAGATCGTTAATATGGTGCATTAACGGACTGGGGTTGTTAATCTCATGGAACCAAGGATGTTGTAAGGCTTGCCTGGCAGTAATTCTGGCCTCAGGTCTCATTTGCAATAAACTGTTCAACAAATTCAATCCCATGGAATCCAAATTAGGAATCAATAACCGCAAGTCTTGGGGGACAAATATTTGCCAATTGTTCTTATAGTTAGGATACGATGATACTCCTGGCCAGGTTCTTTCGTTGGGGGTTCCCATCAATCTAAAGATTTTCATCAACTGATCATCATTAGCAGAGCCAGGAAATAAGGGCTTACCAGTACACATTTCAGCAAAAATACAACCAGCAGACCAAATATCAATGGAGGTGGTATAAGCCCTAGAGCCCAACAACACGTCCGGGGCTCTATACCATAGAGTGACCACCTCGTTGGAAAAAGTGTTAAAAGGAATACCGAAAGCTCTGGCCAATCCAAAATCACCCAACTTCAATTCTCCCTTATTGCTGATCAACAAATTCTGAGGCTTCAAATCACGATGTAACACACGATTATCATGACAGAACATGATCCCTTTCAACAACTGAAACATGAATGACTTTACAGTTTTCAAGTCTAAGGCTCCGTTGTTCCCATGTACTTCCATGTACCGCTTTAAATCCCTGTCCATATACTCAAACACTATTGTTAACTTGTTTTCAGTGTGAATCACGTCATATAGAGTCACTATATTATGATAGTCTAGCTCCTTCATCAAAGAAATCTCTCTGATGGCGGTAGAAGGGGTTCCTTCCTCCGAATCCAAGTTGATTTCTTTTAAGGCCACCAAAGCACCCGTGGCACGATTCCTACCTTTGTAAACAGTGGCATAGGTACCTTCCCCCAACTTTTCGAGTTGTTGGAATCTAGAGATATTAGTATACGAGAACAATGCAATGACTTGGATAACACATCAATTAAACATACTGTGACGATGAACCAACCATAACCAAATGTATGCGTCTTAGTTGAAATTCGTTTCGTTAGGAAAGTGAGCATCAGGAAAAAGCCTTAATGACAATTCCCAATGCGGTTTAAATCGCAACCAATTACGATCTATGTTTATACTAACTACTCTTCTATGATAATGTCTATGCCCTCTGTTAGTGATCTCTGGGGGCTTTCTTCATCAAACTAATGGAGTTCTCAACCCACGAGTCTAAATTTTTCTCTCTATTAGCGACATCCATGACTCGTGAATCAAACGTTTCTTGAGTATCATCTTTGTATTTGGAATGCTTATTAAACCCAATGACAGCTGCATTTCTGGTGCTGGGGATTCTCAAGCTTTCTTTCTCAACTATCCAGCCCATAGTTTTGGACAACTCTTCCACATGTTCAACTAACGCTCCATACGTTGATAAAGCTCCAGAGCTCTTCGGAGTGTATCTCTTTTTGGCTCCAGATAACGAATGAGAGCAACATGGAATCACGAGAAATGAATAACCTAACAAAGGAATCCAACAGGTCAATTCATCCGAATGATTACCGATTATAAAGGTATTTTCCTTGAACTCATTGGTGATGCATACATTTTTTGAAGCCATAAGCTTGGAAGAAGAGTGGTAAGTCATGAGAGTTGGGTCGTGGGAATCTGGAATCTGGAAGTATTTATCCTTTTGAGTATTCGACTTCAAAAGAACATGTGGAATAATGATCTTTTCTTCTAGACACTCTTGAGTTTCAGCTGGATAAGTAATCCAAGACTTTCTGGCTCTTGCATCTATACCTCTTCCCTTATATCCTTCCATATGCAATATGTACACCAATAATCCATTTCCACATCCAAGGTCCATAAATTCGAAAGGCCTTCCATCATATTTCAACTTCCAGAGTTCTATCAAAAACGCTGCGATAGCCAAATCTTCAAAAACATGCTTCTTGGGATCAGTTTTCTCTGCCCAACTGTTCACCAATGCCGACGAGTACTTTTTCTTCAAGCTAATGTACCGATTTTGAAATGCTTCTTTGGGTACCACCAAGTCGTGGACCACACGCTTCTCATATCCATCTTTAGAACCCTGAGAGTGTTTTCTAGATGTTAGAAGCAATCTCATAGCAATCCGAATAGAACGCTCATTAGGATCCAACGTTCTAAGTTTCGACCTTTCAGATGGGTCTGTGTAGTTGAATGGCAAGTAGTGGATGGAAAGTTTGTCATCATGGAAAAGTATGGCAATTCCATGTACGGGAGGAAGATAAAATGGGGTCTCATCTTCCTTCTCAATATGAGGAATGTAAACGACCATTAATGATCTATTGGAATCATCACTTAAGATGACGGACGTCTGGTTGATGATATAATCTTTGAAAGGGTTACGTGGTATCACCCTCCTCACGACTTGGCATTTAGGTTTGAATTTAATGGCACTGTCATCCAACGGAATATGTCTCAACTCTACATCATCATAATTTCGATATAATAATGTATCAGATTCATCTTGATCAGGAAACAGGGGCAATGTTTTTATATTTTTACTAACGAACATGGTATCACCCTTTTCTGGATCATATATGTTTTCCTTCAAAATATCTGCTCTCATAATCACAGTGGAGTTGATATTCGGCTGTTTAATGATATTTAACATGGCTGTTTCAAAATGGCTGCTACTGAATTCAACAGGAGTTTCATAAATTGGAACCCATACATCACCTAATATGGAGTGTGTTTTGATAGTCGACGTCAAACTCAGTCCGTCGTCTTTTTTACTGCGTCTTTTCATGATTAGAATGATGATTTGAATGAAAGAAAGCTCATCTCATTTTTCAGTCGCGAACGGTTTTAACGTAGTACTATCATTAACTTATGGTTTAAAGACATGCATATATATATATATCAAGGGTCATAAAACTTTCATGATTGATTACAAATCAATGAAATAAGCTTCGGTAACTTCACTAAACCGGTGTTTCTTGTAGCAATAATGGCATCGGAATATCTCAGATCCTCTCTTTGACAATTGCCAGATACTTTCCTTCAAAGCAACATGTTGACAATGTTTCAATACCACCACTGGGTTATGCATGGATTTAAGAAGCTCATCATTCTTACTGACTTCAAGTTTGGGTCTCTTTGCTTTCTTTTCAAGTTCAATTTCGACCTCATCAACTGTTAATGGAATCAATTGTTCTTTTGTAACAGGACAAATAAAAATAGGATGATAATCGAACAAAAATCTATTGGAATCTGACAATTGAAATGGCATATCAAAAGAATAAGGAGATATGATATTGAAATGCTTAGACTGAATGGAAGGTGGACGGGGCTTGTCCTTGGGATCATCAAGAACTTCGGATGTGCCTATTGCATTGATAGTGTCAATATCAAAGTCTTCTTTCATCGAAGAAGAACGGACCTTACTGAATCGTCTTTGAATCTGATTATATTTGTAGAAGCTTGGCAAGTTGATAAATCCAGATAATACACTTTGGAATAAAGAAGAATCGTTTGATAAATTCAAATCCTTACAGTAATAGGATATAAATTCGTTTGAAAGTGATTGGAACAAGTTCTGGTTTTGTTCTATACTGCTAAAGTGTTTCAATATTTCTTCCACAAACCTTGATTCATTTCTTTTGCTTGGTCTTTGTTCTAAGTCCTTGTTAAAAGAGCTTTTCATTTTAATCATGAAATCAGAAAGCAAACTCATCATGTGTTTTCTAGCATAGTCATCTGGATGACTAGAGTCAACATCATCTTGAGCTTTAAACAACAATAGTGACATCAATGGAGAGATCTCCGGTAAATAGGCATCAAAAAACCTGGGGAAATTCTGTTTCGAATACATATACGCCTCTAGTGCCGAATCCAATCCCCCATCAGTACTGGAATTAGGTTTTCTGTTCAAAAGCAAAGTATACTCAAGTATATGAAACTTGAATTCGATTTCCTGAAAGTTGGAGTGAGGCCCAGCAGATTCGTGCTTCTGTTTGAACCACAGTAAAGCTTTCGATAGATCGTGATTCAAAACGATGCCATCGACTATTTGATTCAACAATTGGAATTTGTCAAGTAAATCTTCATCAATTCTAATATCTTTGGTGGTGTCATTCAACATGTCTTTAATCAAATCGCTCTGACCAATCTTAAGTAGGTGCAATACAATGGCCTTCATCAATTCCTTTTGATTCTCCATTTTCACATCCCGGAGTGTTAAATCATCATGACTAGCACCAGGAGTGGGCCCCTTGAGATATTCCACAGGGATGTTATCGAGATTTAATGGATATGTATAGGCTCCATCCAAATTGATGTTGTACTTGGAATTATGAAGTATATGCTTTGTGAATTTGTTTATCTGTCCATTATAACCTTTCAATGAGTCTATAGACTGCTTGTACCATAAATCAGAATTTTTAAGGGATTCCAACAGAACCGGATCAGGATGGGCCCCTTGCAGTTCCTGTTCTAATTGTTGGACTAGGTCTTGCTCCATCGACTTCAACTCTCCAACAAACGAGTGGGTATCATCAAGGATCTTGCTGAGATACTTTTCGCCTGCTTCTGAAAAGCTCGTCAGCTCGGTGGCCAAATTATCTAGTAATGTTGTAGACATCTATGACCTCAATCAAATGCGACACTGGGGAAATAAATCCTTAGTGAGAAGATGAATACGAGATCCAAGAATAGCAGCGAGAAGAATTGGAGTTTGCAAAACAACTACCCAGTAGGCATATTTTTAGCATCGATTCGAGAGAAGAGTACCCGGTAATTGAACCATGGTTTACGATTATCTCATTCGTAACGTCTATAACACACCTATATATCTAAGTAGTCTGCCTTTACTAGGAGTTCTAAGGCTAAATGAGTGGGAATGTTGAACTCGGGAATGTTACCATATTCTGCTTGTTCTTTGTATTTGTGGTGGTAGTATAGATATTCCACCACACATTCAAGTATATCTCCGTCCATATCAAGGTGAATCTTACCTGTCTTACTTTCTTCGAATCCTTGAGTATTTTTCAACACCGAAGAGATGGATGCAACTTCTTTCAGAATAATAAACCGATGATTGTCAGCAGACACAAGGGTTACATATTGGTCGTCACCTCCTGCCGTATCCATCGTGTTCACGTCTTGTAGAGAAACACGTTAAATAGAACTTTGTGCTTGTACACCGCGATTTTATGCGACTGGAGATTTGGGAAAGGCGTTAATGACTTCAAATCCTAGTTTAAGCTGGCAAAAGATCCAAGATGTGTACTATAGCTTGGTTCCATGCTACGAGACTTTGAATTGGTCAATTGGAAACCTTTATGGTGACCACAAGGTTAAAATATCATCACATTCCACGCTGGTGGCTTTGTCTTCAAAGTACACTTCCCACCCCAGTGTGATAGACATATACACCATCAGTGGAAATAACTTGTGGTCGGTAGTTTACAACAGTACTACTGAAGATCATATAGTGGACTACGAGTTCTACAATGAGGATTTATATGTGGTGCTAAGCAACCAGAAGTTCAGGCATTACAAAGATCTCAAAGGTAGTTTTGACGAGTATGTCTTTACCAAAGACCTTATAACCTTGGACAATTTCGGAGAGTCCGATGTGTTCTTAAACAATGTGAACGCAGAAGAAATTCAGGGGAATCTGAATGGGAAAACTGGAGGAAAAGATCATGAAGGTACTGGCAAACTCAACAAACATGTTATAACTAACCTTGAAAATAATGAACCAGAAGAGGTTTTCCAAATATTCGATACCTACATTTGGGGGAGTTTCCTTGTCCTACGGTTGACGAATCGGTTCATTATAACTAATCTTGCAGACAATCACAGAAACTATGAAATCTTAATTCCAGTGACTCTGGGACCTCAACTTCATGACATGGCATTGATAGAATTGACTGATGACGGGTTCTCAGCGGTGATATGCTACGGCTCTACGGCATTGACATTGAAAGTAGATTTGAAATCTTCCAGCTATGAGTTGGTCGATCACGAACTCACTGACGGGCCGTTCACAAAGGTGACAGTATCACCTAATGGTCATTTAGTGGCTCTTTTGAATGAACAAGTATCGACTATTTTTGTGATCAGCAGTTCTTTCACCCAAGTATTGTTAGAGTACGATACTTCCAATGACTCAAGTCTGCCTTATCAAATCGAATGGTGTGCAAATGATGCCATTGTGTTGTCATTAAGAGATGAAATAAAGGTAGTAGGACCGAACCAGGCATCCATATCGTTTTTCTATGATTTCATAGATGAAGATGATCTTGACTTCGATGCTGTACTTAAGGGTACGGGTGATGACGAATTATCTTTCACCATTGCACACTTGAAAAGTGAACCTGATGGTTTAAAGATCCTCACCACTAAGAAAGTAGAGTTCTTGTCTAGAGTTTCTGAATCGAGCAGAAACTTGTATCAGATTGGCTCATCTCATCCAGGAAGTATTCTATTAGATTGTATCGATAAGTTAACCCAACAATCGTCAAAAGCTGACACTAACATTTCGTTATTGAAGTCTGATGTGTCTTTAATAAATGCAATGGATTCATGTCTCGATGTTGCATTAGACGAGTTCAACCCACAGTGGCAGAAGAAACTTCTTCTGGCTGTTACGTTTGGTAAAGCTTATGTTGATGGATATTACAACTCTGAGAAGTACTTGAAAGTCATAAACACCATTAAAGTTTTGAATCAGCTAAAATCAGCAGACATCTCTTTATTCTTAACTTCAAAAGAAGCCGATATATTGGGTTGGGATAAAATAATTGGGATGTTATTGAATAGGGACCAATATCTTTTGGCTCTCAAGGTTATCTCCTTGTTAGACTTACAATACTTGCGAGACAAAATTTATGTACACTGGTGCTGCTACAAAATAAAGAAGGAAATTGATGTGGAGGATTCCGAGCTTTACAAAATAATTGCCAAGAAGCTAGTTTCCGCTAGAGATGATGCTAGCAAGAAAAACTATGTATCTGTTGTTGAAATTTCCGAAATCGCTTTTGAAGAGGGAAGGCTTGATCTTTGCAACTATCTTATCAACTTGGAACCGACAATAGTCAAGAAGGTCGAACAGTATCTTAAATTTGAAAAGCTAGAAATAGCTTTGATAAAGGCATTCGAAAGTGCTGAGTATGATTTGGTAAAAGTGTTACTAATGCACCTACATAGTACACTTTCAGTATCCCAATTTTTCAAGATTCTACATCAAAATGAGTCTCATTCTATCACAGATCCAATTAGTGAAGATATTGATACTTCTAACCAAATATTAGTTGTTGATGGTAATTTAGTGGAGAGCTTCTGGGTACAAAGTATTGGAAAACACCATAGAGAAGTGATGGAGAAATATTACAAACAAGAAGATATGAAAGTTGAACTATCAATTGAAAGGTTAAAATATTTCCTCAAACAAAATGAATCCCCACCTGACATAAGTACTGGCTTATTGACTTACTACGAAGACTATAAAATGAAGTTATTGAAATTACTGGGGTCATCTGGGGATAGACAAAACTACAAATTCCATCAATCAGAGTTGGATGTTTTAGAATTACAAAAGAAACTCAGCGATACATACCAAACTGATTTCTTTTCCACCAAAAGTTTGAGTCAGATTTTGGTCAAGTTAATCAATATGCATCAACTCAAACAAGGACACAAAATTGTTAAAGATTTCAAGATGTCACTATCAAAATTTTGGTATTTGATATTAGAAACCTATTGCTCGACTCTGAATTTTGACCGTCTTCACCAGTTTATATTATCTTCATCCAATGATAAGACTAACTTGAAATCACCTATTGGATTTCAAATAATTGTTGAAACATGCTTAGCATACAAGGGGCCTCCAAACTACATTTCGATGTATATTAACCAGTGCTCCGATATCCATTATTTGGACAAATGCCATTTGTTCATTTCAAACAACGATTTGGTATCAGCTGCCAATGAAGCATACAAGTATAAAGACATAGAGTTTTTGAACTCTTTGCTCGACAGAGCTAATAAGCATGCAAATGATTCTGTCGTTCAATCCATAAAAGGATTAATTACAAGGTTGGGTTATTAGTGTTTATAATAAAAGTTCTATTTACAATTTTGAAAACTTTCCGTCCTTAACAATCCCACAACTTTGACCTTCTTCGCCCGTTAACCACGAAGGCATCTTTACTGGATTGACTACCATTTTTTCTTCATTGGTAACCATGACTGATAGTTCATGAAGCCCAGCAAAAACATCCGGGCCAGAAAGTTTCAATGTGATCGACGTGTAGTGTTCTTGAGCATCATTTGAGTTGTCATTATTATCAGCAAAAGCATCGAGCTTTTCCTTGAGTTCAAATTCAGCATACTGTAATGGAGCTATAGAGCTGAATTCGTTTTTGTGGATGATAGTCTCGCTGTCATCTTTGTTATCATGATCATATATTGAAAACGGACGTTTTCTTTTCTTTCTTCTTTGTAATATAAAGGGCTCTGTGAACAATTGTTCAGACTTAATTATTCCATCCTCAGAGCCTTTGAATCTCAAGTTTGCAATCCTCTTCAATTTTTCCATTTCGGTTTCTGTTGGAGCTTTGCTGTCATTCTTATATACGGTCGTATGGTCCTCTATTGCCCCAAGTGGTGAAATATCAATAGTCGAATCAGCATACGCTGACCATGCCCCCAAACTGTTACCAAACCTGGAATTTCCAAACAAAATTTGCATGGATTCTAGGGACTTTATTGGTTGTTGTTTTCTATCTGTAATAAGTTGCAATAAGTTACTCTTCTTCTGTGGTAAATTTCTTTCAATTACCTGAAGGATGATATCGGTAACCAAATCATTTCCTGGAGTATGAATAATATATGCTGAATTCATAGGGATAGCAACAAAATGGGCCCTACTTGAAGAGATATGCGGGCGGTTAGAGGTTCTTGAACTAGAAGCAGCCTGTAGATCAAACAATTGGATTCTTATTATAATCAACGGGAGTTTGGGGTGTTTGCAAACGTAAATATGATTCATAAAAAAAGTACCCAAATCCTTTGAAAGCATTTCCAAAAACGTCTTAGGTTCCAAAACTATAGGGACTTCTAAACCGTTAGAATTCTTCACAGCAGACAGAATCCAATTAAATGAATTGGGCTTATCGACTATCAATTGACAGTCGATCTGAGCTAGTTGAAGCAAGTTTAAGCCATTAGGCCAATATTTAAGCACTATTGAGTCAACAATTTGCTTCTTGTTTGTCTTCTCTTGTTTGAACTTGACTGCATCCGCCATCACAGCTTTGTTGCAAGCTCTTTGGGTACTGTATCCATGGCTATAAGGTTGAGTATTCACGATCCGAGGCCACCTACTGCACAATTCCACAAGGGACAGCCGGGGAAGCTTCAGCAATACTGTCATGAACACAGTTTCAGGATGTACTGGTATGTATGTATTGGGTAGTACATTCTTCCTGTATTGTCCAGACATGTTTTGGGTAGACTTTTTGCGGTTTTCTTTGTTTATATGTCGCGAAGTTCTGCGAGTATTTTGGCTATGCAACCCCACACGTGACAGTACTCTGTATTGGTTCTGCTAGACGAAGGAGAGCTTGCAAGTACATCAACTTTTGTATTGGAGAAGAACACATATGTATCGTAGTTTTTTTTTACATTAAAGATCATGGAATCAATGGGAGGTTAGCTAGTTAGGGAATTAGATAACAGTGTCTTTTGCAGCCACCAAGTAACATTAGAAAACAACACTGTTAAATAAGTTTTCAACTTCTGTCTGAGATTAATACCTACGAACAGCTCCATGGACGTCTTAAGTCTTCAATAATGTCAACTTTCTTGAGTTGGGCGGTTTTGTAAGATAATACTAATACTAGTCACTCGACTTCTTTAACTATTGCAGTTAAAGGTGAGCCATCCCAACTCGTATATTCTTTACAATCAGACGCAAAGCAAAGGTATGCTACCCCCATTGTTATCACTTTATCTATAGAATGCAATGATTTGAAGCTTAACACTTAATGGAAAATGTTTCGCAATTTGGTTTAGCCACTTAACGACATTAAGTACCAAAATTTTCCTCATCGCTTCACTAAATAGTTCCAAACTTCTTTGAATAATGACAGGCACTGAAGTTAAGAGGCAAGAAGGTACGGCAAATGTCGGAGAAATAGATGACATTTTAGATAGACGGACTTTGTTTGTGAGAGGAGTTCCTTTTGATGCTACTTCCGATGAATTATCTGAATATTTTTCACAATTTGCACCTGTGAAGCATGCAGTAATTGTCACTGATAATGAACAAAAATCTAGGGGATTTGGATTCGTTTCCTTCACTTTAGATGAAGATACTGTGTCAGCGTTGGCGGAATCGAAAAAAGCCAAGTTCAAAAACAGATTTTTAAGAGTCGATATGGCAAAAAGAAGAGATCGTAAAGATACTGGAAAAGAACATCGCCCGAAAAGAGAAGCGATAGCTCCAATCGAGAAGAGAAGAGCAAGATTAATTGTCCGTAATTTACCTTGGTCATGCAAGAAGCCAGAAGTGTTAAGAAACATATTCTCCAAGTATGGTGCTGTTTTTGATGCCTACATTCCAAAGAAGAAGAATGGACAAATGCTTGGATTTGCATTTGTGGTGATGAAGAAGGACGTGGCAGCCGAGAAGGCAGTCAAAGAATCGGTTGGTTTAAAGATAGACGGCAGGGAAGTAGCAGTGGATTTTGCCGTGGAAAAGTCCAAATGGGAAGAACTTAAGGAAGATGAAGAAGAAGAAAAGGATGAGGAAGAGGATAATGAGCCAGAAAAGGCCGAAATTGACGAGGACGAGGATGATGATGGGGAAGAAGAACTTGAAGACGATAACCAAGAAAATGATGATGATGAAGATGAAGATACTGACGCAGAGGATGTGGGGGAATTTGATAGTCTCAACACTCTCAAAGAGCCAGAGGATGAGCCAGAGGAAAAACCACAAGAAGCTCCACAACCAAAGAAAAACAAGCAAGAAGCCTTTTCAATATTCGTAAGAAACATTCCTTATGACACTACTGCTGAAGGCTTGAAGGAACATTTTGAAAGATTTGGTTTTGTTAAATATGCTTTACCAGTCAAAGATCGTGAAACTGGGATTTCCAAAGGATCCGCTTTTGTTGCATTTGTAAAAGAAGAAGCTTACTCCAAGTGTATTGATAATGCCCCAGTTGTCAATTCTTCCAGTTTGTTAATAGCCGACGATGTTTCTCCAGATTACGTTTTTGAAGGGCGTGTTTTAAATATCACTAGTGCAGTTGATAGGAAGTCGGCCGACATGTTAGCAGAACGTAACGCCGCTAAAAGGAAGGAAGCCATGGGACAAGAAATTGGACTTAAAGACAGAAGAAACTTGTTTTTGTTGAACGAAGGTAGAATCACCGAGAATTCGAAATTAGCCCAATTCATCACTAAAACGGATATGGAAGTCAGAGATAAATCCTACAAGTTAAGAGTTCAACAGTTGAACAAAAACCCTTCTTTGCATCTATCATTGACAAGATTGGCCATTAGAAACTTGCCTAGAGCCATGAACTCCAAAGCCTTAAAGGCATTAGGTCGTAAAGCTGTTGTTCAATTTGCAACCGAAGTAAAGAATGGGTTAAGACAACCCCTTTCCAAAGAAGAAGTGACCAGATCTATTGATAATAAGCATGATAATAAAGACCCCGAAGAGGCCAAACCGAAGAAGTCTAAGAACGCTGGTGTGGTTAAGCAAGCCAAAGTGGTGATGGAGGTTAAAGGGTCTGGTGAGGTTGGAAGAAGTAGAGGGTATGGGTTCATAGAATTCAGAGATCACAAAGTCGCCTTAATGGGATTAAGATGGTTAAATGCCCATGAAGTTGGCATTGAAGAAATCTTAGAAGGACTTAATGATGAAGAAAGGAAGTTAGCTGAATTAACCGGTTTGAACAAGAGAAAATTAATTGTGGAATTTGCAGTTGAAAACTCTCAGGTCGTGAAGAGAAGAAGAGATAAAGTCTATCAGGCCCGAACCCATCACGGTAAAGACGAAGGAGAAGAGAATGGCTCCCGAAAGCGTCGTTCTTATGACGACCGTAAAGCTGACAAGAAACAAAAGAGAAATGACAAAGCTCCAACGCCTCAGGCTAAGCCTAAATCAGGACTCAGTGATGATGTCAAACAAATCATTGGAGCTAAGCGTAGAAAGAGAAAGGGGAAGAACTAAACGCTTTCTGCCGCCGCTCATTGTATTTTTAGTATTTAATTGCATGTTACCTACACAATACACACTTTGTTATAGAAAAATGGGATGCTGCTGCCTAATACCTTGGTGACACAAAATCGCGCGAGCGAGTATATTGTTTTTTTGTTAACGTTTTTCAGCTTTAGTTTGATTAAAAATTCAGAACCTCAAAACCACTTTTTCTAACACGAACCATCAGTAGGATTTACCTTAAGCAATGGTATTATATAAGAGAAAGCAGGTTCAAGTGGTTGTAGTGAACAAGCTTCCCCAAGATTTATCCACTGAAGTCTGGTATATTCCTCAGACCAAAGAATGGTTTTTGAACTACGAAGATTACTTGGCCCGAATGGATTATTATCAACGGCGGAAATTTGTTTGTGAAATAACCGGAAACTCTTGTTTGACGTTCTTTGAAGCGTTAGAAAGTGAAACCAAAGAGGTTAAAGACGTTGAACGAAACTTTCCAGAAGCCTTAAAGGGTCATATATTACGATTTCTTCAATTCAATAGAATCACCAGGTTGGATCAACTTGTTGATAAAGTTTATCTGCAATTCAAGAACAACTATTTCCCTGGAGAATATGTGTTGTTGAAAGGTATAACTATAAATGGAATGGTTGGAGAGCTTTCAGCTGTTAAACAAAGAGGATTGATCAGAGAGAAAGTCGAACCATCTAATGCTGCCCCCAAATATTTGGTTGTAAGGCTATCAGATAATCAACAAGCTATTGCCACGAGTGCAAAGGTCACGAGAGATAGAAATCATTTTACCAAATGGCTTATCAAGACGTTTATCAAGTTGACTATGGCAAGATCTCATAGGATTGGGGCTCCATGGGTTGTTAAAGATAAATATGCAAAAAGATACAGAATCCCTCAAGAATATCCTCCTGATTTGAAACATTTTGAAGCATCCACCGCTATACACGATGACTCAGATGATGCAGATCCAAGTCTGATGCGGCATTTCACACTTATCTCTGCAAGTAAGAAGGTTAATATCAAGTTCCTAGAAGATCATTCCGCCAGAAAGAAAGACGCCTCAAAGCCAGGTACGTTTTTGTTGGGCTCAGAGAAACTCCTCTCGAAGAAGCCAACAGTTGATAGTATTCTAGATGGGAAAGCACCTACACATACACCTCAACCAGAACTCCCAAAAGACAAACGGTTTCCTATTCATTATTTACCAGATCACCTCAAACAAGAGGCTAGTGTGTATGGTGAAGGTGTTAACTGCAACAGGCCTGGAACAATTGCTTCTTTGCAGGCTTCAGGAATACCACCCACTAAAAGAAACATGGTAACCGACTTGAACATAAAATTCGATATTCAAAACTCTAAGCCTACTCCATATAAGTTCAAATTACCAGAGAATTCAAGTTTCTGGAACAAACATTTGCTTGAATTGATTGAACAAAAGGAGGAACTAAACAAGGAGGAACAGGTGGAAGGAACTAAGATAAAACTGGAATCATCGCAAGTCATCACAATTAGCGAACTGGATACTGATGTTCTAGATAAGGAAACAGAAGAAGACAATGAAGTAGCGGATGTGAAAAAGGATGAGGTCGACGAAAGTTTGTTAGCCATAGATAAGTCCAAGTTAGTACCAGCTCACCTTGTTTGTATCGAGCAAGCTTTAGAGTGCTGGAGCTTTCTCAACATCTACCATTCCCCATTGAAAATCGATACATTCACATTTGATGATTTCATTTACAGCATGGGCTGGAATTATGAACAGTTCTCAAATTTGGGTAGATGTGAATTGCTTGATGAAATCTGGTGTAGCGTATTGAGTGCCATTGTGTCGAATAGACTACCTTCTGCGGCAGATGTTAGGACCTACAGGGAGAACGGTGAGGTTTATGGATTACAGATTAAGATTCCATCAACGAACTCATACATCAACCCTTCTAAAGATGAAGATGAAGAGCTTATAAAAGGTTCGGAAAGCGACGAAGAAAACAATAGCAAGTCCCTTAGTGATGGCGAAGATGACAACGATTCCGACTCCGAGGTTGGTAATAAAGAAAAGCCTATAGATATTGAGAACAATAATGTCGATTCTCAACAAGATGGAGATGAAGCAGATGATGAACAGGAAGACGAGGATGATGGTGAAGAGAAAAATGAAGACCAAGCTGGTGATGATGACGAAGACGAACCCAGAGACCATAATGCCTATCAAATTATGAACTATCGTGGAACTACATGGCATGATAGGTTACGGAGGCGTAACTTCAGAGATGGTAATTGGCAAACTATTCTTTTGGGGGTGTTATCTCTTGTTGATAATCTTCCCAAATACGAAGAGACCATTGATCGTGTTTACAAAATCTTAGGGCCACTCGACCAACCAGCAACTACTTCCACTACTTTAAATCAGTTCTACAAGCGCATGGATATCAACTTGAGGATTGAAACTTTGAATATTTTGTGTGAATTATTGTCTACTAGTGACATGGTGAGATCATATATTGATAGAAGCTTGGAGGAATCAACGGTGTTGAGAAGAAAAAGATTGGATAACATAAAAGAATACAAGCTTAGCGTGGAGAAAGCTCAAGGCCTTCACAATATTATTTACGAGAAGTTCTTGGAATTGAATATGATCAAAGTGACGGAAGAGGAGTTGAAAAAGAGGCCAAGGTTTGAATTAACACAATTCGAAATGTCCCAAGCTGAAGCTGAACTTGCCGCAAAGGATTCAACTTTTGCTGATCTTTGTGAACAAAGAAAGCAAGTTCTGGTCACAATAGATGAGTTGAAAAGAGAAAAGAAGTCTTTTGAAAGACAGTTGGTTGAAAGAGACTGCCAGAGGGTTCGGTGCTTGGGCAAGGATAGATTGTATAATAGATATTGGTGGTTTGAAAATAACGGTTTGCCAACCTTGCATGGAACTGCTGAGGATGATGAAGATAATGAAGATGTTAGGATGGATGAAGAAGACGATTCTTCAGATGAAGTGCAAGAAGAGACTTACTTAATGGGTAAGTTATGGGTCCAAGGTCCTTCTCAAGATGATGTACGAATCCACCTAAAAGCAGAAGAACTCAAGGATTATCATGATGATTCCCCCTTTAAGTCAATTCTCAAAAAGCCATCCACTGACAGTATAATTACTGACTACGATAATAATATTGTGAAGGAGCTCGATTTCCGTGAATTCCCTAGACTGTTCTTGAAACTTTCCCAGAATTTTGGGCTTAACTTCAGCACCAATAGTATTCTGAAATTGCAAGACAATAAAGCTGAGCTGATAATCATAGACAAATGGGGAGGTGTCAAGCCATCTATAAACCATTTACTGTTATCACCTATGGAGAGGAAAATAATTGAAGAATGTCCTGATCCTTTATTCAATGGGTCTTCTTGGAGATATTATGATCTGACAGATGATATAGAAAATGTCATTAAATGGTTAAACCCTTATGGGGTAAGAGAGTCACAGTTGAAGAAAGAGCTTATAGGCGTTAAAGATGCTATTTGCTTTAGTATAGAAGCCAGAAATAAGGCATTATCCAACCACAGTAAATTGGAACAGCAAAACAAGCTCATGTCGCAAATGAAAGATATTGATGAAAAATTGGCCCATCTTTCTCCTGAACAAGAGAGCGAGGATGAAGAAGATGATGAAATCGATTTCAAAAGCAAAAGAAAGAGAAAACTAAGAACGAAGCCAAAATCTAAGAAACGGCAAAAGTCGTTTGAAGACATCATGAAGAGTGGTACTTCTGAAGAGCTCCAGCAAATGAAAGAGAACTTGGAACAAGAATTAAGAAATGTCGAAGAGAAAAGAGAATCAACCAGAGCTTTAGAATGGGTCAATGCGACTGCTATTGAGTTATTTGACAAATCTTTATATGACGGAGGAGATCGTTATGTCAAGTCAAGAGGAAGAAAATAAGTATATGTAGTTTTGTGGTAATGCTAATTTGTATTATGCAAGTAAATAAAAATACAGTTTTGTGAGTTCGTTTATATCAATATCTGCTTCTCTTATTAGCGTCATTATAATCGTAATGTCGTCTTTTGTTATTCTGGTTTCTTGTTAACTCGGCAAGCTCCTTCAACTTTAGTTCTTTTTCTTTCTCTTGTTGGGCCATCATCTCTTTTCTAAGTTCGTTTCTGATTTTGATATCTTCTCTGGCCTGCTTTTCCGCATCATCCAAAGCAGAAGTCAACTCGGACAACTTGCTCAAGTTCACAGAATGTGTCTCATTGGAGGTGGATGCCTGCATTCTTTTGTCTAGGGATATGGTAAACCCTTGGCTATTTTTCCAATTTGAGACTGCAGCAGGAATTTTCCACTTTGCTTGTTCTTCCTTTGTGAGCTTTTCAGATCCGGTAGTATTCTTTAATATTGGAGCAGGTGGCGATGGTTCTGTGTGTCTGTTCTTTCTCAATTTATGCTTTGGGGGTAGCATTGGATCCTCTTGATAATTCTTGATCTGAATTTGTCTTTCTCTTCCCCGTTCCTCACCCAATACATCAGACGATGTTACATTGGCATACTGAGTGCTTTCTTTGTTATCTTCACCTGATTGTTGGCTGATTAACTGTTTGATTACTAGTTCAGTTTCCTCCACGCATTTTTGAACTGAATCATCTGGGCAGGTAGCTAGGGTTTGTTTAGGGAAACTGTGCTTTAAGTTTGGAAATCTTTTTTTCAAAGGAATGGTATCCTCATAAGAGGAGTGAAATCTGTGGTCCGATGCCTGTGCAGCAATTGTCATATTGTAGTTCAAAGTGCCATCCTTATTGAGATAGAATTTTGAAAGAGTGGAATGCAGATTTGAGTTGTCGTTGTGAACCACTTGCACTTGCAGCTCCTTTTCGGGCACAACAAGAACCCGTGTGTTTATATTGCTCTTTTTGGATCCCAACTTTATGGGTTGGAAGTAATCCGAGTGCTTGGGTCTCAGTAATAAAGAGCTAAACATGTTGATTATGAATATTACGATGCCTCGCTGCGAAAGGCATCTCGATTTTGGCTGCGATAAAGACACAACAGTAAATTAGTTACGGAGCATATTTACGAAGCCATGTTTACTTTAAGCTATTGGTGTGGCACTACTGGTCATAAACTGTGTATTTATCAAAGAGATTCTATTCTAATCTAATCATATTAGAAGATACCAAATCTTTGGCACAACATAAATATGTTCCTGAAAAAAGAGTTGACAGGTTTGATTTCCCGGTGATCTGGATCCACAGGAGACTTATAATCAGACTCTTTCATGTCGCTGAAGGCCAAAAACAAATTGAAGATGTAGCCCGCTAATTTCTGTTTGAACTCCAACTTCACATTTGTCAGATCCTCTGCCAACAAATCTGTCTCTTTGGGAACATTGCTCATCTTGTGCTCATACATTCGGCCGGGGTCATCCGTCAACACTCCGTATTCTTCCACTTGGAAGGATTTACATACCTTCACGAAATAGTCGTATTGGTAAGTATTGTTGATTGTCCAGGTGTATAAACACATGGAATTTGCCTTGAGAAGAGGCATGAACTTCGTCAAAAACTCTTGTGACCAAGTCAGTAAATAAAGCAAAGATACTCCAGAAACTTTATACAAATGTCTCTGCTTGCCGTAAACTTGTTCCAAGTAATGGTTATAGTAGATGAACTCAGAGGACCTCTCGCAAGAACCAGAAATATGAATGAGTTGAACAGGAACTTCAAACTTGTACTTCTGATGTAAATCCTGGAAATATTCGTCTTGGTTGATATACTTGACAAAGTCAAGATCCCACACACCAAACTGAAGACGTTTGAGCCAATAGTTGAGGTCATTTTTGGTTGCAAGGATCTGCTGGAAAACAGACTTCAAGATCCTAGGCTTGTTATATGTCTTAATATCCAACATAACTGTTCTATCTTCATTTTCAGTGTTGGAAATAATGAACTTCAACACCGTTTCAAATGTCAATAACTTGTCACCAGTTACCTTGTTCCTGAGGTCTTTCAAATCCTCTTCATATGAACTGGTGGTGATATTGTAATCTGCTTCCAGGCCATCAGGCTTGACATATGTTCTTTTGGTGTTCACATCATGTGATACGACAACAACATCGTCCCGGGTCAAGTACAAGTCGGTTTCGAAGTTGGTGGCACCTGCTTCAAAGCACTTGGTAAATCCTAAAATGGTGTTCTCGGGGTATTTTCCTTTGTAACCTCGATGACCAGATATTATTGGCATGAAATTTTCAAACATGGTTTTATAGAATTAACTGAAAAGGAACTTGGGGTTAAGAAGCAACAAGTTACGACTTATATAAGGTGATGGCAATGCAGCACGTTTTTCATGAGCTTACAGAATATGAGAATCGCAATATTTTACGTGCATAGACGTCACTTGTGCGGCGTGAATATTTATTCAGTCTTGAGGAAAACTTTGGGCAGAAGCGGAGACGGTGAGTTTATCATATAGGGGTCAGTTTTGTTTGGGGTTGGCTCCCCCTTATGCATTAAGTACAGAACATATAAGATTTCAGACACCGATGTGACTCGGAAAGGATATGCTGTGGCTCATTCCATGAAAGAACAAGCGGCTGCAAAAATGGAGTTCAATCGGGTTCAGCTATATACATGGTTATTAGTCACCTTAGTCGCAACAAAGTCGACTTTCTGTAGCGTCTCGTTTTATAGTACTATCAAGTACATGCTGACTTTGGTACCTAATGGTGGGATATCGCATCGACAAACCCAACCCACTTAATCTATTACAACAACCTTTTCAGGTCTTTGTTCCGTTCCATTTTCTGCTTCTTTAGGATCCAGCAGCCTTGATCGGAGTAGCTTATCCCTAATACTATTGATGAAGTCGAAAAGATAAAGCAGTTCATCCATAGTTCCAAGAATGTATGCTTGATCCAAGTTTGAGGTACGACAAAGATCAAGGCAAATTTCCAAATCTTCTTGATATATCATTGGCCCGTACTTGGTTGCGGCAGAGTACTTTGCCATAAACCCAACCAAAACATCTAGTATCATAATATTGGGATCAAAGTGTTCAACCAAACATTCAAGAATCTTTGGCCATCCTATAGCATTTGGGGGACTATCCGGATTATCCTCAAGCCATATTTTAGGTGCTAAGTTTTGCAAAAATACCAACTTATTCTGTTCATAGTACATTCCAATTAGTTGAAGTCCATATTTTGAGGTATACCTAGTAGCCTTTTTATGGTCAGGATGCATCAGGCCCTTATCGTCGGCACCCAGAAAACACCGAACAATTTTTCTTGCTGCCGCTTTGAAAACGAAATCCCCTTCATCGTCAGTGAGGTACTTGACAACCGAAGGATCTAAGGCCTTAGTCACTTCTTCCATTGGCACAAAGTTATCTGGGTTACTGAAGTAGGGGTGTTTTGACTGAGAAGTTAAGAGCATTTGGAACTGCTTGTTTGTAATTCCAGCGGCGTCAATGATTTTCATCACCGTGGAGTACTCTTCAAGGACAATGGGAAGATTAGGAATTGAAACGGCAGACTTGAGGATCTCGTTTTCTTTCCTCAATCGCTCAATTTCGTTTTTCATCAGGAGAATATCACGCTCTCTACGATACTTGAGTTCCTTCTGGGCTTTTCTCATCTGCTCAAGCCTATGGGCCCTGGCTTCATCCACTGGCTTCATCTCCTAATAAGGTTCAAGATATGATTACTAATTCGCGAAGGGCTTGTATCATTATGTATGGAAAAGGTGAGAAAAGGCTGCGAAATGTGTGTAGATCAAAGCTTCAGATTCAGTGATTGATCAACAATGAGTTTGATAAGGGAATAAGCAATAGATTCAGGCATTGGAATCAAGATACCTTCAGGATTGGTTTCTGTGTTGTTTTTTTCGGGGTACACCAACAGTTTAACAAACAGCATATCGAACCAACGAGCATCTTCCAATTCCTTATCATGATCCAAGTCAATTATCTCATTGACCCCATCGAATTCCACTTCGGCAAGGCATCCAATCATTAAATTCCCAGGAAATGGCCATGGTTGGGTCATAACAATATCTATTTTGGAACATGCTACCCCAGTTTCTTCCCAGATTTCTCTTTTTGTTGCAACTTCAACAGTCTCACTTGGCTCCATGAACCCAGATGTACAACTGTACATGTTAGAGAGTCTATGGCGTCTGTTCAATGAAAGAAGGACCTTGGTCCTTTCCGTGTTGGTGATAGCCGTAATAACAACCGCATCGGTTCTAGGAAATGAAACATTTGAAACAGAAACATTTTGAACAGGACATTCGTATTTATCTCTACCTGATTCAGTCTTACCCACAATAGTTGTATTGGTACACTTCAATTTTCCACCAGAGTGGATGGGGATCACTTTTGACCCACACCCAGGACAGAATCGGTTTCTATCTAACCAGTCCAAAAACATCTTTCCATGTGAAAACAAAGCGGCCTCAATATTGCTGAATCCCAAGTAGTGTTTTCTGGAGGTTGTGAAGAAGATTTCCTCCTCATCAACATTCTCGTTGGTCTTTATCGACTGCAAAATGTCCTTCTCCAAGGTTGGAGAAGCTGTCAAGTCCACTGCAAAATATGGAATTCCCTTGTATCGTCCATCTTTATAGTCCAACACTTGGATATCTGCGCTGTTGACATCCAACCCCACACTTGCATCTTCCAACCCCAAGAAAAGAATCGTAGGTTGTTCTTGTTCTCTCAATGCATGGTGATGTTCTTCATTGTCTTTAACCCATTTTGTGATTGCTGACTTCCAAGAAGCAAGATTTGTTAAACCCTGAGTAACCTTCTCAGGACCCTTGAAGATATCATTTCCACTTGTCATCAAAACCAACTTATTCGTCCAAGATTTCACAATCAATGGATCGGTCTTATTGAAAAATACAAATCTAGCACTTGGATGAGTAATTGCTTTGCCAATGAATTTAGAATCTTCTCTCAAAAACGAAACCCGGTTAATCACTTCTTTGCCAAAGTACATTTCATTTTGTAATTCGTTCACTGTAGTTAAGTGATTATGTGACATCTTGCTTCTAAAATATTTTGACAGTGAGCTGAATGAACTAAACCGTTTAAATTTCATTCCCCGCTAACCTATCATATTATCGCGAACCAGATGGATTTATTATATATATTAGACTAATTTACTTTTTACCCTTCTTCTTCTTCTTGTTGGCCTTCTTCGAGGAACCGGCAGAAGACTCGTTGGACATGGTTGGAGCAGGAGTTGATGATGGGGTAGATACTTGCGAGGCACCTGCTGATTCAATTGCTCCTTGATGAGTTGACACCTTCTTTTTAGACTTCTTAGGTTTATAGTTAGATCTCAACTTCAAAGGCAACCATCTTTCTTGATCCAAGTTGATTTGGTCTGCCGGTTTCAACACTTTACTAGGACCAAATCTAGCTTTTTTGGTTCTCTTTTTCTCGACTTTACTGCTGCTGCTAGACAGCTTTGAAACTTGTGACACAGGAATCAAAGAGTCTATATCGGTGTTCACGATATCATCATCCACCGAAGACACTAGTGTTTCCACAGGCAATAAGTGTTCACTAGAGTTGTGTAAAACGTTTTTAATCAAGACGTCTTCAGAGTTGGCTTGGTTGAGTTTGGTGAACACTGTATTGTATCTTTCATCGTTAACAATCAACAACTTGAATCCAATTACTTTGAAAAAGTTGAAATCGACGTGTGATAAACTCGAGGCATTGTCGAGTGTTTGTATCAATGTGTTGTACAATTTGTTCAATTTTTCAGTTGCATCAACCGTCTCATATAAGTTCACCAAAGACCCAATTAAGCCGGGTAATAATTTCGATAGTTGCTTGAAATTAAACTCAGTTAACTTCTCCAAACTGATAACAGAACGATTGTAGTTTCCAGAAACTGAGTCAATTGAAAGTAAAATCAATGCACAGGCAACCAACTCATTGAAGTTTGCTTCTGTGATTTCGCTTTTGTTAATAGCTTTAAAGAGCTTTTTGCTTACTACGCGTGGGCTAGAAATCAAGTCCTCATTTGTTATACCCAACTTAATCAACACCTTGAAAGACAACAAGCTGAAGTTGCCTTTGCTGACCAACTTACTTAAGTTGAAACTGGATAATTGGTTAGACTTCACCGTTAACGAGTTGGTCAAGTACTTCAATAAGATATTATTTTGGATCAAGGTGGTGTATTGTCCATGGTTTAATTTTCTAGCTGTTATTGCCAAGTTTTGTTGGTAGTTCAATACCCTTTGTGCCAAGTTAACGTTTCTATCTGAACCAGTTTGGTCAACCAATACCTCGTTGATGGCATAGTAATTGTTATTTATAATTAAGTTGATCATTATATCATTGAATTTATTCAACTTTAAGTCTTCCAATAACTTCAATGCTTCTTCTTTTTGACCTTCAGTTTGATAAATGTATGCCTTGAACAACACTATTGGGCATTTTTCAATTTGATAACTTTCATCATCTAACTTCAAATAACCTAACAACTCCAAAGCTTTGTCTAGTTGGGATAATGCTAAAGTTGCTTTGTTCTCACTCAATGAAATTAATGCCTGGTTGAACACCAAATCATGGTTCTGTTCATCTGTGGAGGAAAGAGGCTCTTTCAACTCATGGCTTGAGAAGTTCAACTGACTTATTATAGCCAACTCATTAGTGTACAAGTCTAACGAGTTATCAATTTCATCGTTTTCTTTGATCAAGTCTTGGTATAACTCTAAAGCTTGCTTATCTTCTCCTTTTTGATAGTAGTCTTGTGCTACAATATGTTTCAACCCTCTAATCATAAACTTGGAAGTGCTATCTCTCGATAAGATGCGTTGATACAATTCTTGTAGTAACTGGGACTGTTTGGTTTTATAGTAGATGTATCCCACTTCTATGGAAAACTGTTGAATGAGCTCTTCACTCTTTACTTTTTTGATTAATTCCAATGCTTTATCGTACTTATCCAAGTTGATCAATGCAACTAAACAGTTGTTGAAAGACTTAACATCGTTGAATTTCTTGACGTTAGATAAGTACTGATATGACACCTCAAATATGTTCACATGGTCTTCGGATACCAGTGACACGTTCAACTTCTTGAAGGCCTGAGCTATAGAGGTGGACATGGTTGATGTGGTATTCCTTTAAGTCGTGAGATTGAGGTTCACCGACGATGAAAAAAAAAATGAAAAGTGTGCGAACGCACAATCTCCCGGTCACCAGCTGCATAAATAAGAAACATTGGAAATATATCTAACTTGGAGTTGAAGAAGCAACAGATATAAGCGAACACTTTTAAGACAAACAGTCAGAACTCTAAACTTGCTTGAAGTAGGGTTCTTTTGTTTGTGAATTGAGCATATCTAATAAATGGGCTGGGGGACTCGTGTACTTGCTTTGACAGTCCTTGCTTGAATAAGTTCTTGTTCCCTTCAAGAATTTTCTCGTATACCACATGGATCCACCTATATAGTATAGCAAATGTTCTGGCTTGAGCTAACAATATTCCAAATCTTCTTGTCGTAAATTTTGCAACAATCGGCTGCGAAAATTTAGTTGTGAGTTTCACAAATTTTGCACAGATCTAACCCGATTACAAGTGGAAACACGATAGAATCAAGGAAGTTTTTTCTTGCTCGTTAAATACATTATGTCTAAAAAAGGTTATAGAATATCTTTCTATACGAAAAAATGCAACGTAAGGACGTCAGTTGGATAATATGGTAAAACCATTCTTTTTGATCAAGTTCCGCTTTAAGTCGTTTTTACCTAAGCTCAAAGATCTTCTATGCAGTTTGCTTGACTGAATAGCCACCAGCTTCAGGAGTAATATAAGCTCCAACTCATCATCCGCATTGAATTCATTCTCCAATCCGTCTGGAATCAGGTTCAAATCCGATCTGAACAAGAATTTGGTGTTTGATTTCATGGGAGAAATAAAAGATGGTAAGCCGAAGTGGAACTTGTGGGCCGAGTTAGAATCATTTTTGAAGGTGCTTGGGATAAGTGGCTCATTCAAAGTCTCGACACAATCATTTTGTATAATGTAGCCTTTGAAGTCGGCGATGCTTAAGTTTGCCAAAGGCTTTCTTGGCTGATGCATGGAGTGTTGTTTCAATATCTTAAACTTTGGTTGTAAGATGTTCTCTTGCTCGTTAGTGTTGGATTCCTTAATGAGAGCATTAATGTTTTCTTTACCGTCAATTTCCAAGTCGTTGAAATTACTGGTTGTTTTGTGGATTTTGTCTTCATAAATGGTGAAGCCCAAGCCTTTGCCCTGCAAAGACGATGAAGCTTCAGTGGTGGGTATAAATCTGGTGGGAGACAACTTCGATCTCTTAGTGGGCGAAGCTTTGAAGGGAGAAACGGAACTGGATCTCGACTTGCTGGACTTGGTTGGCGATGGGGAAGACACATTGGAGTCTTTCGAGGATAACACCGGCCATGAGACACTTGACATGATAGAAATAAAGCAGCAACAGAATAGAATCTCTAATGATCGAGTAAGTCGGGAACAACTCTGGAAGAAATTGCAAAGCTTTTATAATGTCAACACCAGAAAAAATACTCGGGTTAGCGAAAAAATAAAGTTGTAGTTTTTGTGTTTCTTTGTTTGCAGCCTGTAAACTGTGCGGTTCAAATTTTTACGTGTGGAAGGAGGAACCAAAAATCGTGGATTGAAATAATCGGCGTGTTCTTTTTTGGCGTGGGTATCACAACACTAGTTTTCAAATTCTTGAAAGACTACCGGTTGACAACCGTTGGAAGGGGTTTATATATTTGAAGGAGAAGCTTAAAATGACACTCTGGCACCTGCACCCACACACCCCCTATCGCTTGCAATCAAACACTTGTTCTAACAGTCCCAGTCCCTCATACTGCAGATAACCCGCAGGCACTAAATAGGGCGTGTAAACCCCCTAAATTATCGAAGCCCACTCCTGACACGTAAAACGGGTAAAATAGTTTTCGTGTTGGGAGTATAGACAGAAAAGGGCAATATAATTCAAGTGGAAACAATGTATCACCACAATACAACCACTATTGTACTTTTATAAACGGATTTCTTTGGTCTAGTTTGTTGAATTTTTGGGATTGGGAAACAATGCTATGTAGTTCATCAATGAGCCCTTACTGCAACAAAGATGTGCAGTTTGGACTTAATAGTAGGGTTGGTTTTATGACAGGAGAGATCCACAAAGGGTTTAATTCACGACATGCAATGATTTCGATAATATTTAATCTTACCTGCTTCATATTTTGCTGAAACCTTGATTAATCTCTGAAAGTCCTTGCTACATTTAACCGTTTTAGGAATCGTGGTCAGAAGCAAATAATTTTGCGGTCGTGAAGAAGGAGGTTAGTGAGAAATAATAGGTTTAAAAACAAGGGTGGCTGCGGCACTAAATCACCTATACCATTGAGGGTGTCTACACAAGATATATGTCAAGTACAATTGCTCTTAACTACAAAGACCCTACGGTGTTCAAGGAAACTTCAAGACGAGCAAGAGTCTACTGGGTTTATGGGTCATTAGTTTCCTTTAAGTATACGTAAACCCAGGTCTGGGAGTCCACAAGTTGTGAAATGATTAAATAACTACATGACCACCCTTCTTCAGGACCGATGTTTTGATATCTTACTTGTAGAAGTTGTTCTGGATGAATGGTAATTTGGCAACAATACCCGGCCTCTTTTTACCTCTCACTTCCACGTCCACACTGGCCCCGATCTTGACTTTCTTATCGATGTAAGCCTGTCCAACGTTATGTCCCAAGATAGGGGACAATAAACCAGAAGTTACAACACCAACCTCTTCTCCGCTTTGTGTATCGAAGATCTTAGACCCAGATCTAGGAGCAGGTCCAGTTGTAGTGATACCGATTCTTCTGCGAGGAACAGACTTCTTATCGTTAATCTGTTGAATAATCCTGTCATATCCATTGAACTTTTGGCTATCAGTGACATTTCTTCTAGTCTTTGGGATCAACCAAGTCAAGGAGGCTTCAACTGGGGTAATCTCTTCAGTCAAGTCGTTCCCATAAAGGCACATCCCAGCTTCTAGTCTCAAAGAGTCTCTTGCAGCTAATCCAATAGGTTGAACAACATCGGGTTGTTCGTCAACGAGACTTTGGAAAAATTCGTTACTCTCTTGGATTTCATCTTTGGAACTTGAGGGAATCGACAATTCAAATCCATCTTCACCAGTGTACCCAGTTCTTGATATTTGAATCTGGGAGCTTATAAGGGAATTAATCCCGGTCCTCACCATAGCACCAAACTTCAATTTTGATAAGTCGTACGACGAGTATTTTGATAAGATTTCAGCGGCTTTAGGACCTTGGATTGCTAATAACGTGCTTTCAAAAATACTATGATTGACATCATCATAGTCTGCCAAAGTGCTGTTGATGAAGGCAAGATCTTTCTCACGACATCCGGCATTGGTTACCATGTAGTATTCACCTTCTGTCACTTTGGTGATAATACAATCATCAATGATCCCTCCTGTCTCATTGAGTAAAACACTTAAGCTGGAGGTGTTAGGCAGCAAACCTGAAAGATCAATGGGGGTCATTTTCTGCAACACCAGAACCGCATACCTGCCTGTGAAAGTATGTTGTAACATATGACTCACGTCAAACAACCCAACTTTGGATCTAACCCATTTATGTGAATCAATGTGTGATAAACCCTTGTACAAGATAGGCATCTCGAAGCCCGCGTAAGGAACAAATTTGGCCCCGTATTTGACATGGCTTTTGTATAATGGAGTTCTAATCAAAAAGCTGGTGGAATTGTGTCTTACTGTTCTAAGCATTTTTACAATGAATAAGTGGGACAGGAATTTATTGAAAAACCAGAAAAGTCGGATGGTTGATATATAAAGGCATATGACTCTGAATTTGACTCGGTGCGTACCAGAGTCAACTGGTAGGTTCAATTTGACTGCGAAAAGAAATCAATTAGCTTAATCTCAACCTCACTCTGAAAGACCCCATTACCACAAAACTCGCCACGATGAGATATATGAAGAATCCAACAAGGGTGTAGAAGAGATACAGGTGGACTTTGAGGCGATTCTTTTTGTGTTGATCGAAATCCTTTACCAATTGAGATGATCGATATATCGATACCTCATAAGAAAGTATGCCAATACATACCAACCACATGAGTGGGAATACCAACAGAACAGCTAAAAGAATTTTAAGGCTCTTTGAGTGCTTTGACTTGAACGTGCAGGGATGACAGTCACAAAACTCTGGCTCTTCTAACCCAAATTCGTAGTACAAAGGTGTCATTTTATGGGTCAAAGGAGTAGCTACTTGTAGGACTTTTCTATTAGATGATTATATCGGGGGCTTCTTCATTCACACACATACTCATGCTTCTTTTATAGTTGGAATGTTTTTGATTGTCGTTGTCGCAGGTTGAGTATGTAAATTACCTTATTGGGTTCTGCCAATAGGCATTTTTGCTCTGTCAATTGAGACACACACATATAGGCAGGTTTCTTATCTGAGTACCTAGTGGATCCTTCGTAATGAGATTCATGCTTTCAATCTGTTTGTACTAGAAGTGTGACTCTTTTCTTTGCCAGAAAACGAATGTCGACTCCATGATTATTTGCAGCATCAAAAAGATCAAACAGTCGCGTATCGATAAAATATTCACTGATGAGGTAATGTTAGGTGATAGGGAAGTGATCCAGCTTTTGGAGTCTACAAAGTCCACTGATAGAAACAAAGGACTCAAAAGACTCTCCGCCAAACGTTATTCAAGTGACATCAAGCAGATGATGGAGCTTTGCAAGGCATTGATCCATTTTATTGAGTTTGAATGTCTCCACAAGACGTCAACCTCACAAGGACGAAGAGCAAGTGCTTGTTGGTCATTAAGAGAGGCGATCGAAGGAATAATAGATTACTTTCCTCCTCGTGCATCAGTATTGATGACATTGTTGACGATGATTTTGACAATTGCAAATGGTGAATTCCTCGATAATATCCTACCTGTCATAACCATTATTTTGAAACAGCAGTACGTGAGAGAACATTTCAACGAACAAATGTGGAAGTCTGCTATTGGGTTCTTCACAAGCTCCTTGCAAAAAGAGAATGATACAAGCTTAGATGAGAACTTAATCAAGGGGCTTATCGTTCTTCTCAATACGAATGACGTTGTCTATTCAGTGATATACTCACTAGATATCAAGCTGTTAATTGACTCGTTACAGACGGTTTTAGTGAGAGGTCACAATAGTGTATCACTTTGCTCAAGTATTCTTGTTCTTATCAATCGCTTTTTGGCTGTGCTATCCTGCGAACAGTACCCGTTACTCGTTGAACTAGTTGAAATGGGATTTAGACTATTATCGTTGAACAAATACAGTTTTGGGAATAGACACGGAATAAACCAAGAAACAATTGACTTCTTAAACTCAGAGGCTGTGTATTTTGAGATTGACAACCTAATAGACACCCAGTCAGACTCATTATCTCAGTTATCTGATGTGATATCTGCTTACGTTGCTGCTAGTATTGATGATCTAGTTTCTACAGGAAAACCACTCTTTGTTCAAAATGTTGGAATTATAGTAGATCATATCCCCGTGGATGGTTATGGACTCAATACAATTCAATGGAATAATAATGGAGACAAATACTATGGTAAAGATGACGATAGTATTTGGTTTTTTTTCGTCGGCCTTTCGAAGCTAATTCAGTACTTCTACAGGATCAACAATGGATCAGCCTCACCAAATACCCTTGGAATAGAAGAAATTCAAGGTGAAACACTCTTAATGACTCAGAAACAGGGGTCTAAAAGGAAGAAAAGAAAACTATCACCTTCCACCTTGGGTTCATTGAAACAGTCATTTGACGAATACGAATTTGTCCAGCAGTTGATGGCTTCGAACAATGGTAAATATCATCAGGTTGGACTTCAATTGATGATACTCATGCTTGAGTTATATCCCATTACTATTGGGTCTGCTATTGGTGGTGAAAGCAATGCTGGTGCTACTGAGTCAAGCACAGACACTGAAGACTTGGATTTTGGGACGTCTGTATTGTTTACTTCTTTTTTGACGAATGACGAGGACAGCATTGTTACTGCTATCCTTTCTTCTTCAAATGACAAAAGTTTGACAATTTGGTCCTTAATAGCTTTGAATTCGTTTTTGTGCAACATAACGAGCTGCGATTATTCATTATCCAGTGATACAATCCGACTGATATTCAAGTTTATCTTGCCCTTTGTGCGGATAGAACAATACAGCGAGATTTCTTGTAATATCTTGTATCATTTGGTTGAATTTGTGATGGTAAAAGAAGTTGATCCTAAGACTATATCTGATGCTTCCTTGATTAATCAAGTTCAAAACATCTATGAATTAGCGAATTTTTTGGGCCCCACGAGTTTGAATGATTCCAGCTTAAAGTTTTGGCTTGCATTTTGCAAGTTAATCAAATTCTTGGGATTAAACTTACGACAATTTCAAAATGTGGTTACAAATTGGTTCCTTCATAAATGGGACCAGGTGTTCGACATCGAAAAGATTGATTTCAAAATCACTCTTACGAATTTCCACATATATGCTTACTGGTTGACTTCTTCGGAGGATCAATGGCACACAATCAATGAACTCAATGAGAAACAAATCCACCCACTTCTAACAACCAGGAATAAAGCTATAAGAGACTTTGCTTGGAGTTCCAAAACTTTATTCTCCAATGATAGGCCCGGTTCTAACATCAAAGGTTACATGATAGAACGACTTAACAAGGATGAGGCTTTTGATTCTGTTATATCTAAGTTTTTTGGATTAATACATGGGTTTGGGCGGATGAGCTCGTACGAACATATGGACAATTTTCTTCGCTTCAGATTGATAGCCCTGCGTCTTTCTTTGTTCGAGAATGGATACAAAATGGTCATGAACTACAGGCCAGACTCAGTTTCAATGCAGCTTCTAAATGCTGAAAGTCTAGACAAAATAATATCTGCGCAAGGCCATCAAGATTATCATGCATTAATAATAGAAGATACTTGGGATAAAATTATGATGACTTTGGGATATAAGGATATTAAAATAGATCTTCTTACTATTGAAGCAGCCTTTCAACTTCAGCATCCAGATTTGAAGGAGATGCGTACGATTTTGGCGATAGTTGAAGGGAATCCCAAATTGGGGCTTGCCCACGAAACAGATTTAGTTAAATGCTTAATGGGGCCACTGCTCGACGCCTCCTTGATTTTGATATTCAGGTTATCTGAGATCCCTCTTGTTTCCAATAGCAGGGATATCGGAGTCAAGTGTCTCTTTCTACTCGGTGAAAAGTTTTTGAATAATGTGCTCTATGAAAGAAACGAATTGATGCTTGTTTCAACATGCAGGTGGGTTGGAAACATGGCTCTTAATTTGTCTACTGAAAGTGTGGTCCTTGATGTTCTAGAATGGCTCATTTTGGCAGCAGATAGGCGTTTGATGCATACCGAGACTTCTTGCACCGAATATGCCCGCATGCTTTTAAAAATATTGCAGCCAAAGTACGATGAGAAAGGTGAACTTCTAATTCTCGATTTGAAAGGTCGGGTTGAGGTTGACACTGTCAAAAGCTCTTTCTTAGATTATTTCAGATCAATAACTTCCGACAGCAGAATAAGCTTGGTAGATGATATTAATGATCTTTTATCCAGTTTGAGATCTACAAAAGAGCAGATCGAGTTTTACAAGTCTTTGATTAATTGTTTCCAGTCGAAAAATTCAACGGGAGATATTGGTTATATCCTATTTTTGTCGTTGATTTCAGTGATCAACTTCGAGATTGTCAAGTCAACAATATTCAATCTTTTAGAGATTGGATTATACAAACCTTTGGAGAACAGTGTACGGAAAGCTTTGCAGATTATTCGGAAAAACTGTTCGGCTGGTAGTATCAAGCAAATTTTCCAGTTAGCACGACTTCCAATATTCAAATCATGGTACCTTCATTACAGGCTGTTCAACAAATTCCCTTTCAAGTATTTGGGATATGATAAAAAACTATTCTATGATCTATATAAGAGTGAGCTTTTAAGCGTGGTGATTGCTTCAAATTCCAATCTATATGAGGAAGAAATCAACGCCCTCATGAATACCAAGAAGCAATCACTAATCAGCGAGTCACTACCTTTGGCATTTGCATTAGCTTATATTCCTGGGGGAATTAGGAATGAAGTTCAGAAAAGACTAATTCATTTGAGTGAGGAAGATATTGGTAAGCAGCTAGCAAGAAGTTTGGATTTGATAGTCTTAGAAGTCTTAAGATTGGTGGATACCTCCGATTTATCTTTGGCAATCGATTACACGAAAATAAGCTGTAACTTTACAAGTTTCTACAACACAAATCCAAACTACATATCTATGAAATCAGGACTAGAGCTTGTAAGCCACCTTTCAAGAAAATTCTATTCTTATAGAGACTTCTGGAACACTAAAAGATTGTACTTCTTCTTTCGGAAGTTGATAATCGATCTTGAAGAATGCATTAGCCTTGACCAGAAACATACTTGCTTGAGAAGAATAATTCTTGTATTGATACTAAGTAAAAAAGATTCAGAAACAAAGTTTAGTGTCTTGAATGATAGGGTATTGGCTTGTTTGGTAGAAAAGGTTTTACCACTTGTACATGTCAAGCGATTTGCTTCTGATATTGTAAGTTTCTTCGCTTTGCTTGAGTTGAACACTTTTGATGAACAGGATGAATATACCGACTCGCTTGAGTACAACAGTTTGGTAATATCAATATTATCGACTCTAGTGCCAACGAAAAATTCTCTGGTAGATTCAAAAGGTGTTTCAGATATACTTGAGGCCCTTGCATGTTCCAAGAAACAGTTTGAAGATATTATCAGCCTGATACTCCAAATTTGTGATGATCGTCATGACACATTGAGTCCAGTTGATATTGTGCCCCTTGTGAGTTTCAAAGTGAATGGGTCGTTTGAACCAGGTCTCAAGATTTGCTCCTTCTTAGCCAACAAGCAGGAACTTATTGGAACGAGTTCCAGAAGTTTTATTAATGCTGTGATGCAAACTTCCATTAGCACTTTCTCAGATGCATTCAAACAAATTTGTGCAAAAACACTTAGTGATGAATATTTCAACCAAGGTTTGACTATTGATACAAAAGTATTGGATAGAGTATACGAGTTTGATGATATTGAAGGTGTCAAATACATTGATAAAATAATAGGGCATATATTCGACTACCAAATATCATCAGACTACAGCATTTCTACATTAGCAGACTTAACGGTTGGTCAACTATTGGAAATAGAAGAGTCCGTTATTGCATCTGTTGATGAGAATAAAAAAGAATACATTACGAAATGGCCAGAGACACTCATTAGCAGTTTTTTCAAAAGATCAGTGGAGTTGGAAAGGAAAAGTACAGAAGATGATTTAGAAAAGTGGGTCACTCAAGTTTTCATAAACATTATTGATGGTCTACCTAAACCGCAAGAACAGTTCTTTAGGATTATCAAAAACTTTGGACATTGTAACAAACAGTTTATTCAAAGATGTCTACCTTACCTTACTTGTTATTATCTTGAGGCAAAGTGTTCAGAAGATAAAGTGATTACATTCGTGAATGAATTCTTAGAAAACAGTGCATTACATTCCAGAAATCTGACTGAATTGATTTTGAAGTTGATTCTTTTGGTAAGGCAGGAAGCACGCAGAGGAGTTCCCACTTTCCTGATAGTATATGAGAGGCTTGACATTGAAAAAGCTTGTTCAGCTGCTTCTAAATTCGATTTTTTTAAGACTGGATGGTTACTACTCGAGGACAATCACCAGAGAACTAAACTCTCCAAATTACAAGGAAAGAATAACTGGTACGAAAGAGATTATATCTTAAGAATTTTTGAATCTATTGATTGTGAAGATATAATGAATGGCTTTCCACAAAAGAACACTTTGGATTCTGCTTTAAGCTTGATGAGGAAGGGGATAGAATTTAAGTCAACAGAAAGAACGAAATATGAGCTTGGAAAGCTTGAAACGAACTTTATTTTGAATAAAAGTCTGAATACAAGTAATTTGTTGGAAGCCATGTTAACTGATGGTTTGACAGGGACTTCGAAAGTGCTCGGGGAAAGCATGAATCTTAATGATACCACCCACTGCAACTATGAGTGGGCCTGGAAATTGAACAACTGGACTCTCCCCATTCCCCAAAAACCAAAATCGAATCATGAATTCATTTACAAATCTTTGAGTATCGTCAAAGATCAACAGGCGGTCCTAACGGAAAGTGAAGACTCTAATTTGACTCTGGAAATTCAGACTAAACTCAATTCAGTTTTAGTTGATGCAGTGAACCGAAAGGATACGATTTTGAACATTCACGATTACAAAAGTTTACATCTCAACCTTGAAGACTTCTATTCCACATTGTCCATTTTGAACCTCATTTTGAAGTGCTGCAGCAACACAGACATCCAATTTAAGGAGTATGAACAGTTTAAAGATTGTGCCTTCGAAAAAATTGATAACATCGTATTCAGTCGAATAATGACCCTCAAAGTCCTCAAGGACACCAGAAGGTCCCAAAATTCTAACTTGATCAATGCATTGGCCATGTACAACAACATGGCCATAAAACACAACAAGGGGCAGAAAAGTATCAACACCATTATGACTATGAACGAACTTGCCAAGGATGGACTCAAGAGTGACTTAATAGCGAATGTTGCTAAGTACCATATATCCAAAGGATTATGGCATCAAAATCATCCGATTATCGCTGTGTCAATGATGCTAGAATTGAAGAATGAACTACCACGAACATTGAGTCCTTTTCAATGTGACGCAGATTACTCTAGTATCAATGATTTGATTGTTGATTCAACTTTGGTTGAATGGCTATCTGAATCCAAGCAGGAGCTTCCAACCACAATTATGGAAAGGTACTTCCAAGGAGACCAATCCACTTTGTTAAGAGACTCGTCTGCAAGACTTATCAGTACCACACATCAGAAGCTAGGAAGGTTCTGTGAAACACAGTATAGATCAGGTGAAATCAACAAAGAACTAGCCAAAATGGATAAGCAGGTCCAGTCCAAACGCCGGGAATTAAATAGTATCAAAGATCATTACAGCAAAATCTCAGTGCCAACACAAGAAAAGAAAGCAGTTCAGAAGTATTATACTAAGCTCAAGCTCCAGTATACCAGCGAGAGTAAAGATAATAAAGAATTGAAAGAAACCAGAGTTGTGTTTTTGACGAAGGCCATAGAATGCTATTTGACAAGCATATTTAGAAGTGATGATTTTGAAGTTGTTGATAAGTTCTTCTCCCTTTGGTTTGAGGAATCGAAAGTAACCGAACTAAACAATATGATCAACGAAAAATTCAGTTCTGATATGATAACTCATTCACATAGATTTATGGGATGGATCTCTCAGTTAATTTCAAGGTTATCTGATGAACCTGATACTGATACTTTCCAGAAATTGATCAGAGGTTTAATTAAAGAAATCTGCTACAAGTTTCCATTTCATTCATTGTACCATTTGATTTCTTTGAAGGAGCATGCTTCACATGTGAATAGTGATGAGGAAGTCATGTGGTCCAAAATCAAAGCTGCAAACAAAATATTTACATCCTTAAGGAATGACACAAATGTTGAATATGTCTCTAAAGTATTGGACCCAGTGTATCAGTTTTGTACGGAAGCTGTAAGCTTGTCCAAGTATAAGCTGCAAAGAGGCAAGTCGTTTGATTTACGGAAGAATTCCAAGCTAAATACTGAATTCTGGTTAAATTTGCCTCATATTCCAGCACCAACCCAAACAATAACTGACAATGTCCCTGTGCTTGAATCCATAGACCCTATAATGTCGATTGCTACCAGTGGATTGAGTTTACCGAAAATAGGAAGGTTCCGTTTATCTAACGGAAAGGAAACCAAAATCTTGTTCAAATATGGAACCGATGATTTACGGCAAGACGCTATTATGGAACAAGTATTCGAAAAGGTTAATCAAATCTTCAAAAACAACCACGAAAGTAGTAAACGTCACTTGCAAATACGTACCTACAAGATTGTGCCCATTGGTCCTAATAGTGGAATAATTGAATTTGTTCCAAACTCAATGGCTCTAATTGATATTATAAAACCATACCATGAACGGAAAGACAAGATCCAGCTATCGAAAGCCAGAGAACTCATGAAAGCTTGCCAGAACAACGAGAGATCCGAGAGAATTAAAGTGTTCAAACAAGAGATCATTCCCAAAATATCACCAGTTCTTCATGACTTCTTTTTTGATAATTTCCTAACCCCCAAAACATGGTTCAACAGTAGGTTGTGTTACAGTCGTGGACTCTCGATTACATCCATTGTTGGACATATTTTGGGTCTAGGTGATAGGCATTGTAACAATATTCTTTTAGATAAGCGTTCAGGAGAACCTATTCACATTGACCTTGGCGTTGCTTTTGACCAAGGAACAAGACTACCAATCCCAGAAATGGTTCCTTTCAGATTGACCAATGATCTAGTCGATGGGTTGGGCATTACAGGGATAAAAGGTATCTTCAGCACCAGCTGTGAAGTAACATTTACTATCCTCAGAGAGAACCAAGATCACATTATAAGCATATTAAATATCCTAAAGTGGGATCCGTTGTATTCTTGGGCTCTTTCACCATTAAGAAAGAGAAAGTTACAACTGGATGATGGAGATGAAGGAGTTATAAATGAGCCAGAAAACGATATCAGTGAAGCTGGCCAAGCCATTATGACTGTTCGAGATAAGCTTCAAGCCAACGGATTGAGCTCTGAAACTGTTGTAAGAGAATTAATAAATACTGCAATCAATCCGGACAATTTAGCAGTAATCTTCTGTGGTTGGAGCCCATTTTACTAGGGTTATACTTACAATATATTGCATTTTTTTAGCCCTTTCGTATTGCTCGAGAAAAAAATATGTCATCTCAGGGTGCATACCATTATATTACAATTGTCCAATCAATGCATTTCAAAGTATAGACGAGTATTAAACAATGATGCAAAAAAAGGCTAGCGCGAGTAGAATTTTATTCCTTATCACTAACGTCCATTGTGATGGAGAATTTTATTACAGTCCCTCTAAGGATTGAGGATATGGACAAGGCATTGATCAAGGAGACACTGGTGGTATTGAATATCCAACCTAAGGAAGATTTCCGGCTTGTCAAAGCGGTGATTCCAGAAGGTACATTTTCAGGCAATATCAATATAAAGCAATGGCTAGCGTCCAAAATGCTAAGTGAGCCCGATGACGAGCAATGGATCCTATTAATGCATAAGCTCATACCACTTCTGCAGACACCAGGAGCGGTAAACAGCCCCCCTAATGATGATAACGATAACTATGATAATGATAACGATGATAATGATAACGATAGTGATTTTACGGATGAGAAGAATGAAAAGTATACCAATTTGCAATTATACGGCAAATTTACTATGAGCAAAGAAAGCTATGAAGATGGAGAGCTCAAGGAAGACTTTGATTTGGTGGAAAACTTCTTGACTATTTATGTGCGGTCAAACCAAACTGTCAGTAAGACATATGGAAGCTTTAAATTAGAGGAAGCTGATAATGAGCTGATTGACTTCTTTAAATGGATCAAGAAACTTATCTACATGAAAGATTCACTAACTAATACTGTAAAATATCTGCAAAAACGTATTCATAGCCTTGAATTCGAAAGAGATGAATATAAGAAGCTGACGGAAGAACTAAAAGCCAATAATAAGAGAGTCTTGGATGATTTGATGAATAATTTCGCCTTTATTTTGAACAGCAAGAAGAGAAAGATAGTGGAGCTCACTGCTGGAGATGGAGGCGACCCACTTTCCGGCCTTAACCGCAAGTTTGAAGCAGATAATAGAAGCAAACTCGACAATATTACCATTGATGAAAAAGTATTGGACAAGTTACCAAACAAATTGGATGCCAAGTTCAGCGGGGGTATCAAGCGAGCAAATAAAAGAGCTACACGGGAATCCTCCAAGAGAAGACAAAAGTCAGCGATGTATGAAGAAGAACAGACAGAGAGTGGAGCTTCAGGTGAAGAACCAACCGAATATAGGTCTGAAGAAATTACTAGGAACGGCTCTAACACCACTTCTTTGACCGATAGACAGATTGTTGATGTGGTTATGGGCCAGGCTGTTGTAAAACACGAAGAGGATAGTGATGCTACTGAACTAAGTGGATCAGAGTCTGATTCTGGCAGGTCTGCAGATTCCCCAGGTTCAACCCAGAGAGATGAGGAAACAGAAGAAGGAAATAAAGATGTTGGTAAGGGAGAAGTCGGAGACAGTCTCACTGACTATAGTGAATGAAAATTACTAAACAGAGTTCCAATACTCTATGTTATTGGAAAACATTTGACACTGGCAGTGCACTTAGTTCGGTCGGGGAAGGTGATCGAGACAGGAGGTCGTGCCTCTTTACCACAAATCTCATCAAAAAAATTTTGTTCTTTTCCTTCTACACATAAAATTTTCTTTAAGGACCCGTTTTGATACAACAAAAGTCACGTCTAAGTGATATCTTTAATATTGGAAACTCGTGCCAATTTTATATACCGATCATATACGTTTTTGAGTTTCTCGTATAACGAAAACATCTTGACGACTTTCAAATAAAAAGCCTCAGCTCAAACCTCCTTTTATTTTGATCCAAGTGTTCTTAAGACATCACTGAACAATAATCTGAAAAGGTTAACTATATAACTGTCGAACCCGTTTTCCCAGTTATTTATATACAGTGATACACTCACCGCTCATCTTTTCAACTTCCTTTGGTGCCCACATTGAAACATTCCCAAATCCTTGTCCTACACCCCATATAATTTCATTTCTTTGTCCATAGTTTTCATTTTTATTTTTGGTTTCAAGGGTTATAAATTGGTTTCAAAGGTTTATCTTATAGATTTTATATCATTGGGTCCACTTCAATCATGTCATATTACGGAACCTATCAAGTTCCTCAACTGTATTTACAAGGATATTATGCCAACGAATACTATGATCTGAATGAAAATTTGGATATGTTGTCCAACTTAGGCTCCAGCAGCTCGTACGAAATGTACCACGAGATGAACCAAAGCCATCCTCACTTTCAGTCACAATTTCAACAGCATCCCAATCAACAGCAACAGACACCTCACCAACAATTTTCTAATGGTTCTCCTATGTTTGGACATCAACAAATGTTGAATGGAAATCAGGGTGGTATGGTTAACGGCCATGGCATTCCGATTGGTGTTGACTCCTTATCCCCCAACGGAAACGAGTTAAATGGTGATGATGGTTCTTATTTGAGTTCCGGTATTAGCAATGGTAATAACATGGTGTATCCTCCACCGCACATGCAAGGACAAGTTGAGTATCAAGGCGGATACATGGGTGGAAGTACTCCTGATATGAACATGAACTCTGGAATGGGTCTAATTAATGGCAACTCCAATAGCAGTGTCAATGTTAGTAATGGTGCTCCTTCGAGAACTGTGTACTTGGGAAATATACCTAATGACATTGAGCCTCGTGAGTTATTGGACTACGTCAGATCAGGGATTTTGGAGCTGGTGAAGATTTTGCCCAATAAAAATTGTGCTTTCATATCGTTTGTTGACCACCAAAGTGCTTTGTTATTTCACTCCGATTGTATTTTGAAGAAGTTGAGCATCAAAGGTCATGATATTAAGATTGGTTGGGGTAAGAATACCCCGATTTTGCCTGCAGTGTTGGAAAGCATACAAAGAGACGGTGCCACCAGAAACGTCTATTTGGGTAATTTGAGTAACCCAATCACAGGAGAAATGATTACCGAAGAAGAATTAAGAGCAGACTTGGCCATCTATGGAGTCATTGATAGTATCAAGATAATAGCTGACAAAGGAATTGCCTTTATCCATTTCTTATCGATTTTGTCGGCCATAAGATGTGTGGCGAACTTACCATTAAAGGAAAAGTATTTGGAAAAGAAATGCTTCTATGGTAAAGATAGATGTGCTTTCATCACCAAGACTCAGCAACATAATGCGGCCCAATACTTAGGTTTGGCCCCAGGGATGGAACACATTGTAACGGCTGCTGACAGGGAGTTTATATCTTCTGCATTAGTTCAACAATCTGCTGCTGCTGCTCAGATTGCCACTCATGCTGGTGGAGCCAATAATTTGGGTAACAGAACCGTTTACCTCGGAAACTTACACCAAGAGTCTTCCATTGAAGAAGTTTGTAATGTTGTCAGAGGTGGGTTGTTACAGAGTATCCGGTACTTGAAGGAACGCCATGTTTGTTTTATTACCTTTATTGATCCAATTGCGGCTGCCCAGTTTTTTGCCATGTGCCAATTACATGGATTAACAATCCATAATAGAAGAATTAAAGTTGGTTGGGGAAAACACTCTGGACCATTATCAAATGCGTTAAGCTTGGCAGTATCTAATGGTGCTAGTAGAAACATTTATGTTGGTAACATTATTGACTTCCATTACTACAACCAAGAAAAGTTGAGGACTGATTTCTCGAAATTTGGTGATATTGAACAAATCAACTATTTGGAAGAGAAGAACTGTGCTTTCATTAACTTCGTCAACATTTCAAACGCTATAAAAGCTATCGATGGAATAAAGTCTTTTGATGATTATAAGAGCTTGAAAATCAACTTCGGTAAAGACAGATGTGGAAACCTTCCAAGACAATTCCAACAGTCGAACATGCAATTCAACCAGTTGAGTCAATTGCAATTGAATTTGAACGAACAGTACTTGGAGCAAAGTAAGCGTAAAAGTCAAAGTAACAGTTTGAGTTCCAAGATGACACCACCATCGACTTCCGAGTCACACTCAAGACCTGCCAACACCCCCAGTCCAAGCCCTCTTCCTCGGTCAGTAAGCAACCATGATGATTAAGAGAGTAATGGTTTACGATTATCACAGACAGAAGTATTAATAAAACAGAACAATCCAGTTGTCAAAGTGCAGCGGATACATACGATTATTGCATAAATTGTAAACTAAAATATATATTTCGTGATAGTTTTCTTACATTTTGGGTAGAATGTTGATGATAATTGACATGATTAAAAATAATACCACCACCGCAGCCATGGTCTTTATCAAAAACCAAAACGAGATCTTTCCTCCAGACTTGTTTAAAACATAACTGGTGAGATTGCTACCCACAGTGTTCATCAAACTATCGTTCTTCATCATATTGTCTTGAGTCCTAGAAAGCAATACATTGTCATCCATTATTTTTTTTGACAATCTGATAGCACCATCTTTCATATCAGACACCATATCCGAAAGATCATGGATCAAGTCTTGCTGTAGGGTCTCATGGTAGTCGTTCGTCAAACTCGACCTGTTATTTTCAAGAAGCCTTTTACGAAGTTCATTAACATCGTTATTCCTTACACCTGTACTATAAGTTGAAGGGCTAAGGTTTGACCTGGGGTCAGAATGGTCATCAATAACAACTTGTGATGGATGTGTAGCTGCTATACTTTGCCGTTTCATTTGCGCCAACTTCTTGGTGTTCTTATGCTTTAAAGTATCGAGATTATGTATCAATTCTATTAGCTTGTCATTAATAGTATCATAAAGCTTGTTGCTTTTATACTTGTTCAAGTTCAACTTTATTGGTATCAAGTCATTGGATATCTTATCTAGCATGAGCTTTACCAAAACAGGGTTGTTGGGAGTCGACGAGACTTCTAGAAGATACTCATCGACGATGTGTTCCATAGACCGGATCATTGAGGAATACAAACTTGTACACAAAAATGCGGTGAGGTTTGTGTAGTGCACCAGAATAAAGAGATGATAGAGTTGAAAAATAGGTATAAAAAACGACGTACACTTTACACTCGGTAAGAGTTGATCTTCATAAACATCTAACTGAATGCGTGTAATGAATTCTTTCTAAGCCAAGAGAGGAATGATACTAATTACGTGAATTGATACGGTTTACTTGGAAATGACATGTCTGCCTAACTACTATCAAACAACGATCTATCAAGTTCTAATCGTGGTTAGCGAAAAAGGCAATATATTTCTTGAAAAACCCTACCAGTTGAACCATTCACAAGCACAAAGCTTCTTGGTCCAGAGTTTGGTAAAGTTGTCCTTAATGAAAACTTTTCACCATCACTCACGAAAATATATTGCAGGCGAGCGTGTAAAGACCTTGAAGATTTCAATTTGATATAATTAATGGCTAGTCCTGAAATAGCCTTCATTTTGACAGAATTATCCAAGTGACTATGTAATCCCGTTTTCAAGCACCCTTAATTCATAATTAAATCAAATATATTAAAGATGTGCATTTCAATTTCTCTACGTTAAAAATCTTCAGAAATCCTCTTGGTGGCCAAGCTGGCTAAGGCGCGAGACTGTAATGAGTACCTCAAAGTAATCTTGAGATCGGGTGTTCGACTCACCCCCAGGAGATTTCATTTTTTTTGCTTTTGATATGTGGAAGTGGATGCTGTTTTTCTACACTTCATACCACCACCCCTCACTGTCCATAGTACGATGCTTCTTGCTGGAATCTGGAGTATAGTAGCACCATTTTTATGTACATTGCAAAATAACACATCCTGCATATTGACACCATTCTGCCCCAGATAATCCCACTTCTTACACATCACATCCGATATATCATAATTATTTCATTCTATTCTTTTTGACTCCGTGTTTTGGAAATTCATCAACCTCTGTATTTGCCTTTTGTTTGAGCGGAAATGCAAGTATTGATCGACAACCCCCATGACAGCGAACAGATGATCAATAACCAGATTAGACTGGCTTTTGCCAATGTATCTGATGAACTCAGTAAATTGAATCACCAAAGCCTTGACTCAACTAAAGTTGATAAAGACAAAATTTTGGAGATTTATATTGATGTGATTAGATTATTGAACAACTTTCAATCAATTTCCCATACTAAGATTGATTATTGGACTTCGTTGGTCAAGTTTACCACATTCGATTTATCACCAAAACAAACCGATAAGTTGTTGTGTGTGATGAGTCTCCTATTGATCCAAAGTTTGATTAATCCCTTCATGTTTGAACCAATCTTGAACACATTGAGAGATCCAAACGTCTTGGGCGAAATTTCTCGGTTCCTTGAAAAGGTGGTTTTGAGCGATATGATGCCTGTTACTGATCATTTGAGTGTCAATAACATTGATAACTGGCTCACCCTTGTTGAGCACATGGACACCAATGATGTGTTTCCAAAATGGGCTTGTTTTAAGTTCTTGAACACGGTGGTTAATGATATTGATTCGATCACTAAACCTATGGATACTTTAATGTCTTTTCCTCCTTTGGCGTTTGGAAATGTTTCAGTCAAAAGAGAAATGACAGTGATTTTAGAATCATTGGTTACAAACCTTCTTAAGGAGGACCTTCGTACTCTTTCAGCTGTGCTCATTGTCCGGTGGACAGTTCTTGATAAAGTGCAGGAGATCTTGCAAAGAGGTTTATCTGATTCAATCAATTCTTACTGCAAAATCATCAATTATGTGATTATTGATATGTTTTCTTACAACAATTTCCAATCGATAATTTTGTCCAAACCCTCCTTTAAACCATTGTTTTCCCAAAATCAGATGAGATTGCCTACATCAGAATTAAGTGAACAGAACTTAAAAGTGTCGATTCAGTTTATGCTTGAGTGCCTCAACCATTCTGCTTGCTTCGAGAATAAAATGAATCTTATCTACTTGCTGTGGAGCTTTAATCAAGTCTTCAGCTACTCCCAATTGCCCTATGGTCGTGCTAACATTTACACCGTATTCAATAAATTGCACCCAAAAGTTTCTGTCCTTTCTGTGCTCCAGTTATTAAATATCAAGCTTTTGAGTGGTATTTATATGTCGTCCAAAAAGACTATCCCAGATCTTTTGAGAATGTTTTTACAAGAGTTTCAAAGTCCCCCATTTCCTAAGGAAGGATACTTATTAGATGTGTTCAAGAATGAAAATCCAGTTGATTTAGAATTGATAAAGGAAAATGATCATTTAGGTGAGAATTTGGTTAAATCACTTAGATTGATGTTGATGTTCTTTCAAGATGATTTAGAAGTACCTTTGACTGACTCGGGCAGTCTCAACTCAAAACTTAGCGTGGTCAAGATCAAACGGTTGTTCGAATTAGTAATCTTGAACGGTTTCGAGTTGCTTGAGTTAGAAGCTTCAATTATTACACATTCAGGGTTGCATTACAATACCTGTATTATCACCAGCTTGCTTAATACAGACTTGAGTGCTGTAGGTGTTCACTCGAAGACTATTTGGTGCATCTACAACGAAATAGTTAACAGCTTTTCTAAGGCTGACTTGAGATATTTGCCATTATTTGCACTCTTCTACAACCAGATTTTGATCAAGTTTGCAGACTCTGACATCCTTCAAGACTGGTTGGTGAAGAGGCACATTGTTGAACACTTTAAAGTATTCATGTTCGATGCTGAGAAATACCCAGCAATCGTTCAGTTCACAGGTATCAATAGCTATGACAATTCGCCTGTTATTGTTTCTCAAGACAATTTCAAGGATATTGGCCCCGATATTAGTACCAAAAACAGTAGTTTCTCGGGTGATGTGTCTAGTGACTTTTCTCATATGAGCTTAAGCAGAACTCAGTCTCAGTTTAGTATCAACACTGGGAAACAGCCACAGCCACAGCAGGAAGGATACCAGTACTATCAGGAGGCATCCAACTATCAAGATCAATTACCACCTTTGCAGCAACCCCAACCCTCAGTTGCTTTACCCTTTAAGTTTGCCGATATTCAGTTTCCATAGTTTCCTCACTATTTTAGCGTATAATGCGAAACAAAAAAATTCTAAGCTCATCTCTAATCTCATCTCATCCAAGAACTAAGATTAAAAATGGTTTTGAAATCAACTGCTGTGGGAGGAGTTTCCGTCTACCAGGTGGCAGGAACTAATGTATCGAGATCATTACCAGACTGGATTGCCAAGAAGAGAAAAAGACAATTGAAACATGATAGCGAATATCAAAGTCGTATAGAGTTGATTCAAGATTTCGAATTCAGTGAATCTTCCAATAAAATAAAGGTCAGTCCCGATGGACAGTATGCTATGGCGACTGGAACCTACAAGCCACAGATTCACGTTTACGACTTCTCCAATTTGTCGTTAAAGTTTGAAAGACATACTGATGCAGAGAATGTGGACTTCATAATATTATCAGATGACTGGACTAAATCAGTGCATTTACAAAATGATAGATCTATACAGTTTCAAACCAAAGGGGGAGTACACTATAAAACCAGGATCCCCAAGTTCGGAAGATGCATGTCCTACAATCCATTTATCTGTGATTTACTAGTGGGTGGAGCTGGTAATGAATTATACAGGTTAAACTTGGACCAAGGGCGGTTCTTGAACCCGTTTGTGGTTGAATCAGATTTGGGAATCAATGCTCTTGATGTAAATAAAACACATGGTTTGATATCAGCTGGTTTGGAAGATGGAACTGTGGAGTTCTGGGACCCAAGAGCCAGACAGAGAGCTGCTAAACTTTATGTTAGTGACCAGTTGGAAGAATCGTGTGAAATCTCTGCTTTGAGTTTTAGAAACGACGGTTTAAGTTTTGCATGTGGAACCTCAGAAGGTAAGTCCTTAATCTACGATTTGAGAGCTTCTACACCAACAATTGTTAAAGATCAAGGGTATGGGTTTGAAATCAAAAAGATCATATGGATTGATGAAAATTCTTCAGACACAAACAAGATTTTGACCAGTGACAAAAGGATTGCCAAAATCTGGGACAGAAACTCCGGTAAGCCTTTTGCGTCTATGGAGCCTAGTGTGGATATTAATGATGTTGAGTATATCAAAGACTCAGGAATGTTCTTCATGGCCAACGAAGGTATATCCATGCATTCATATTATATTCCCAACTTAGGACCTGCTCCAAAGTGGTGTTCCTTCTTGGAAAATGTCACCGAAGAGATGGAAGAAAGGCCATCTAATTCAATATACTCCAACTACAGGTTCATTACTAGAGACGATGTTACTAGATTGAACGTAGCTCATTTGGTGGGAACAAATGTTATGAGGTCATATATGCATGGTTTTTTTATTGACAATGAGTTATATGAAAGGGTTAACTTGATTGCCAACCCCAACTCATACCGTGATCAAAGAGAAAGAGAAATTAGAAATAAAATTGAAAAGGAGAGAGAATCTAGAATCAGAACTACGGGGGCGATCACCAATACCAAAGTCAAGGTCAACAAGGAATTGGCCAGCAAATTGGAAGGAAGAACTGGCTCACAAGCAGCTGAGGATATTGTTAATGATGACCGTTTCAAGGAATTATTCGAAAACCCAGATTTCCAAGTGGATGAACAATCTCACGAATACAAACAGCTTAATCCAGTTCTGGCTGGAGTGAAAGACATAACAGTAGATAATCCTCGTGGTTTGACTGCTGCTGAAGAGTCGGATGAAGATAGAATTCATGACAATGAGCACGGTGACGATAGCGAAAGCGAATCATCTGAGTCTGAAGAAGACAAAGAAGACGAAGAAACAACCAAACAGAGACAAGAAAAAGTCAAGAAGGAAATGGAAAGATTACGCCGTAAGCAAGATGCCAAGAAACAAGAAGAGAAGTTCTTGAATGAAATGAAGGTTGTTAGTAACGAAGGACCCCAGCAAAAGGTAGCCGACTCATTTGCTTCCCAAGTAAACCAAATCAACAAGGTGTCTAAGCAGAAGAGGACTGACCAAGAAGGAACCAGGTTACAGCGTCATGCACGTGGGGAAGTTGAATTTACATTCAACCCTGGCAACAAGAAATCTGACCGTAGAGTCAAATTCAACAGAGAAAAGTCCGATGACGATATCGACGAAGAGACGAAAGCACAACTCAAAGGACGCACGAAACAAAGATACTCCGGAAGAAGAAGTGCTTCTCGTAACCAATTCCGTGGTATGTAGTTATGTAGCAAAAACATTGCAGCCTAAATATTTCAATGCGCATCTCTTCCTTGGGTTTAGATTTATTATATCCAATGTCCAGAAACAAAGAAAAGGCACAATCAGCATTAAACCGATATCAGCAAGAAGTTAACCGACAAGCTGGGGTACTTGAAACCAACCCAAACCTACGACCTAAGTATGTTCAATCGGTAGAGTCTCTACCTCAAGCCGAGAAATGGCGATCTGTTGTGATCACAGAGATATCCACTAGGTTGACACGAATTCAGGATCCTTTGCTTGAAGAGTCTCAAATTAGGGAATTAAACGAAACCTTGAATAAGTTGATGCTGGAAAAGAGAGCATGGGAACATCATATCAAATCTTTGGGTGGGGCTGACTACCTCCGGTTTGGACCTAAATTTGAAAGCATGGGGATGATGGACAATGATATTTCTGGCATCAAAGGGTTCAGGTATTTTGGAAGGGCCAAAGATTTACCTGAAGTGAAGCTTTTGCAACAGGCAAAGATCGATAAAGCAACTCGAGAGTCTACGCAACAAGATACAGAGCAGAGAGAAGTTCAAGAGCTTGAGATGAGATTCTCCAATCTTGACCCTACATACTATTCCACGTTCACAAGAACCAACATATATGACAAGGCTGAAGATGACCTCATTGCGATTGTTGGGGATGTTTACACTAGGCAGGAGGAAAGAAAAAATGTCGAAGCATATAATTTCAAGGCTATTAGCAAAAGTCTCAGTGATGACATTCAGAATACGGCAAAAGACATGACTATTTCACAGGCCCAGCTAGAGGAAATTATGGACTACTCAGACATTATACCCAGTGAGGAAGACATCAAGCAATGGGTTCTAGACCAGAAAAAACAACAGCTTCTTGCAAAGCTCGCATCATCAAAATAGGCATTATCAAAATAGACATCATCACATTAAAAGCTATAGTCATCAATAGACTCGAGAATCTTGACACCACCATTCCTATAAGTGTCATCAGTTTGGGAAATATTTTCAGGAAATACACTTTTGCAAAGTGACTTGATGACATACGTAGTAAATCCCAGTTGCAGGCAGTCCACAGCCGAGTTCATTACACAGAAATCGTAGGCAAGTCCAACGAATATAACGTCTGTGACTTCTAACTTGCGCAACGTGTCCTCCATCTCCGTCTTATGGAGCTTCCATGTATCTTTGAAGCACGAATAATACTCTCTATCCTTCAAGTAGCCCTTTTGCACGATGGCCTTGGGAACCTTTCCATCCACCTGGTTGAACTGAGTGAGAAAAGCAGCATCGATAGAAGAACCAAACGTATTCTGAACACAATGATCGGGCCAAACCGTCTGCGTCAATGTTTTGACAGAACCAGTCTCGTCCTTTTCCCCTAACGGATGGGTGAATTCCAACTGAGAATAAGGTTCCACACTGTGTTGAGAAGCAAATGATATGTGATCATGAGGGTGCCAATCCTGGGTTGCAATAACAGCAGCCCACGGAAACTTTTGGACATCCAAAAGGTCAATGATCCCTTCGACAATAGACCTTCCGCCAGCCACTGCCAAAGAGCCATCAGAAGGAAGAAAATCTTCTTGCAAATCAATAACCACCAATGCGGGTTTGTTCATGGGGTGATGTTATCAACTACTTTTGAGGTCCCCGCGAAAACTGTATATTGTCTACTTAATGGTTCTTCTTAGGTTTGTGTTGGGGTTTCTCGTCGTGCTTCCACGATCCCAGAAACATGTGTTCAACGTAGCACAAAGGATCACTGGTGGGCTTGGATCCCATGTGACCAACATTAGGACTGAAAGACGTGATAGGTAGAACTAGCACATCATCAACTCCAATTGGAAGTTGCATTCCTGTAAAAAGTTCCCATGTAATGATCTCATCATACTGGCCTGTCTTAATATTGGCCTCCGACTGAAGAATATTGTTCATGTAGGCGAACACGTAGTCGGTCCAGATTCCAGGGCCAGTCCAGTCCATGATATCACCTCCCTCATCTTTACCCAATACCGTCTTCAACTGGCCATTTTTGCTTCTTTCCAACGTAAGCTCAGTGATTTTGGCAATGAGGTCCTTGAGCATCGGATGGCCCTTTTTGGCCTGGATGGCCCATTGACAAAACTGGATTCTACGGGAATACCAGTCATTCCAGTCGGGTCTATCAGGATCAGCTTCAATCCCAACTACCAATCCTGCGGTATTGGGCTTATTATATAGCTTTTTGTTGTTCGAAAGCCAAGAGTCGATTGGCTTAATTCCCCGTGTATCTATATCAGCGTAAACCCCTCCTTGGGCGTATAATATTAAGTAGCGGAAAAAATCAGCCTTTAAAATACTCTTGGGCATAAGCTGATATGCTTTTGCCACTTCAGGGACAGACGTGTATAATTTTGCAACCATCTCATGACAATCATTATCTGCTAATACATTGTGCTTGTAGCCGGGATTGATTTGGCTCCATTGTTGTTGAAAGCTTTTGTACATCAAAGGAAAAGTTGGATCGTCTACACCAACTTTCCAGGTTTGCCAGATACACTTGGGGAATGGCTTTTGTGGTTCATATGGAAACAGTACTGCCAACTTTTGCCTCAATACCGAAAGTTGGGGGAGTCTGGCTTTATTATTGGATTGGAAATAGAACCCTTCAGTCTTCCACTTGGGGTTCTTCTCTAGCTCTCGCAAGAGCCTTAACTTGTTGCTGTTAACTTCGGTTCGAGACACGACGCGGGGGAGCGAAAGGCCCGACCTCATGAATTGGAGGACGATAAACACAGCGGCCACTACCAAGAGCAATCTCAGTTTTCGGAGGGCCATTTGTGATAGATTTGGGGAAGAAGAACTCGATACCTCAAAGATAAAAAAACACGCGAATAAATATTCATTAACGCAATACATAAAAGATAAATAATGATGTGTCATGCACCAGCCGACACCCTGGTGTAGCTTTCTGACAATTAGCTTGACTTCACAGCAAGTTGCTCTTGCTTCTCAGACAACTTGGCAAAGTTTCGTTTCATAGCGTTGGTAATGTACTCTTTGGCTGTCAAGGCCTCATACTTTTTATTTGGACCTTGAATCACCACATCTTTATTGGCCTGGTTGAACCATGCAATGGAATAGCGGGACTTTTGGTTTTCTCCCACCATTGGCGTTCTGACCCGATGGAAATTCGACTTCAATGTATCGTCTGACCAAGACATGAGCATATCACCAATATTAATGACGATTTCTCCAGTTTGGGCTTCGACTGGGTACCAGGTATCACCCGAAGCAAATGAAGTATGCGCCTCTCTACCTGGACAAACCTCCAATCCAAGGTCGCCAGTTCTTTGATAGAGCACTGTCATGACGTCAAAGTCCGTATGTGCACCAGCTCTCCATGAATTGGGTGCTATGTGCTGGCCGGTAATGTCTGGATAGTGGAGCAATCGCAAGGTGCTTTGAGCAGTAGTTTTCTCGATCTGGTGGGCTGTGGTAAAGAAGTCCAGCTCAAATCCAAGACTCTCAGCAAGACAGCTCAAAACTTTCATCGACAACTCTTGGTTCTTTTGCATGAACTGCTGGATAAACGTTGCCCAATCCTCACCCATATCATCTGTATCTGGCCAATATTCATCCTTTTTGTGGTACTGCAATTGTAAGCTTTCCTTCAAGTCCGGAGTACCAGTTGATGGCCTAACCTGGGCTTGGAACTCATACCCACAGTTTTCGAGTTTGACGAACGGTCTCTTGTTTTTGACATCGTCTGGTTTGGCAAAGAAGTCTGCTGAGTGCGCAAAGGCCTTTTCGATGTCTTGGATGCTAGGACTCTCTTGATCTTTTAAGACAAAGAATCCCACGTTAGTGGCTGCTTCGTACAATTGTTGTTTGATTTCCTCACGCCTATTGTCGAAGTCTCTTAAGCTGATTTTGGGGACTATGGAGGTCATTTCAGGTACACAAATAGTTATTATCTAGTCTTCAGTGATTAAGATTATAGGGATTCATGGAGCTTTTTGTAGCAGATTTTTCCTCGCTTAGCTGCGAAACCTGATAATTGATGCACTCGCTCACCTGCGAATTTGCAGCCTTACAATTATGTTACAGTTAGAGTTATACATTTCAAATATATACACTTGTACAATGCATTCCTATTCTTTTAAAAACCCCAATGTCTAAATCCAATAAAAACTTTTTTGTGTTGTTTTTTCGAAGAACCCAATAAATAAAAGCATAAAATCTTTTGCTGTTTAAACCCATTAAATCTATAATCTGTGTTCTAGAAAAACAACCTGTATTTCACCTTCTTTCCCTCATTTTGAAGCAACAAATCCTAATAAATTAGTTTAATCGTAGGTATTACACTCAATAAATGAAAAGCAGACAAACAACTCCTCCCGTGAAAAAAATCAAACTAATTTACAAAACAAAACAAAACAAAAGCAACATCAACTAATTCAAATGAAGAAAGAAAGGAAATATCAACGCATTATAATAAGATTGAGACATTGACAATAATAATTGGAACCACAATGATCTGCTATCATCGTAAATATGCTGGCTTTTTTAGCTAATACCAGCTTCATGCAAAAAAACCAAGTGTATACTTAGCTTGAGCGCTTGGTGGTATCTCACCACCAAGACGCATTAGAGGAGGCATTGCCGTAGCTGCCACCACCGTTAGAGCGGCCAGCTCCACCGGCACTTCCAGAGTTGTAACCACCGTTACCACTACCACCCCAGCTAGTTTGGCCCCAGCTTCCACCACTGCTTCCACCATTGCCCCAGTTGGATCCACCGGATCCACCAGCTCCACCGGATCTTCTAAAGTCTCTGATTGGACCTCTTCCACCTCTGCTAGATCCGCCTCTACTGGAACCACCCCTCATGCCACCAGACGATTCTCTGGAGATCTTTTGCAAAAAGTCGGGGATTTCTTGGTTGGCTTCTCCTAATAATTCAACTAAACCTTTAACAATGTTTTTGTTGTTTCTGTTGAAGAAGGCAGTGGCAATACCAACATTACCAGCTCTACCAGTTCTACCGATTCTGTGGACATAGTCATCAATATCATTGGGCAAGTCATAGTTGACAACGTGATGGACATTTGGAATATCCAAACCTCTGGCAGCCACAGCAGTAGCAACCAAAATTGGAGCCTTACCACTCTTGAAAGAGGCCAAAGCCTTTTCTCTTTCGTATTGAGATCTGTCACCGTGAATGGCAGTGGCTGGGAATTCTTGATCGTACAAGAAATCGGCCAAGTTATCGGCCATTCTCTTAGTCTCGGTGAAAATAATAGTCAAACCATTTTCGTCGGCACTCAATAAGTCCAATAAAACAGACTTCTTTTCGTCGTCCTCAACGTACAAGATCTTTTGAGTAATATTTTCGGAGGTAGAACCAACTCTACCAACAGACAAAAAGATGTAGTCCTTCAAGAAATCTCTGGCTAATAATTGGATATCTCTTGGGAAAGTAGCGGAGAACATCAAGGTTTGTCTGTCTTGGACACCAGGCATATCACATTCTTGGACAATGTGTCTAATTTGAGGTTCGAAACCCATATCCAACATTCTATCGGCTTCATCTAAGACCAAATATTTGATGTTGGCCAAAGAGACACGGCCTCTTTCTAACAAATCCTTCAAACGACCTGGAGTGGCAACCAATAAGTCGCAACCTCTTTCCAAGTTCTTCAATTGAGGGTAGATGTCAGCACCACCGTATACAACCACTGGTTTCACCCAGGATCTGTAAGAAAATTTCTTTGCTTCTTCATAAATTTGGGAAACCAATTCTCTGGTTGGAGCCATGACCAAAGCAGTTGGATACACCTTATGGGAGGAGAAAGCACCAGACATTTCAGGAATAGTGGCTGGTCCATTCATATAGGATTCAGACAAAACTGGGAATAAGAATCCACCAGTCTTACCGGAACCAGTTTGGGCACAAGCCATCAAATCTCTACCACCAGCAACAATAGGCACAGAGTATTTTTGTACTGGAGTTGGCTTGGTAAATCTTGACAAGATGACATTTTCAACCAACAATGGGTCCAAAGGTGGAGCTGTGAAAGCAGTGATAGGTTCTGGGACGTCGTTACCAGTAGCTTCGACAGGAATATCATCATAACTGTCAAAGTTAATACCCGAAGATTGGAAAGTAGGGTCTTCCGCGACTCCAAATAATTCGATTTCTAATCTTTCATCCTTAGGAGCAGGCTCGTGTTTTCCATCAACCCATCTTCCCACACCAGGTTGTCTTCTGTTACCACGGCCAAATCCACCGCTGGAGTTACCACGACGGCCTCCGCCAAATCCGTTACCATTCCCACTGCCATAGTTGCTACGACGGCCATTGTTACCGCCAAAACCTCCACCATTTGGTGTGGATCTGTTTGAACGACCACTTCCAAAAGTGTCGTCATCATCGTCTCCACCTCCTACTCGGTTGCGGCGGTGAGGAGGAACGTATCCGCTAGCCCCTCTGCGACCGGATCCGTTGGAATTAGTCGAGGGCGATTCGCCCTGGCTGACAGAAAGGTTGTTCATTTTCTGGGTAAGATCAGTCATATTGTACTGTTTTTTTTAAGTTATTCTTTTCGTTCGTTATTCTTTCTGTATAATACAGTTAAATTCGATTATCTATAAGTTGGATGAGTATAAATTAATATATCAAATACCAAAGTTGTGAAGTTACTTGTGTAGATAAAATTTTTTCTCTGCAAAATTTGCCTGAGAAAATTCTGCATAACATCGGGTATAGACACGACTCTGGTATTGCTTTTTCCGTTTGTGTCATCTACCATGACCGATAACGTGTGAACACACTCTAAAGAAGAATGGTGAAGAAGTAGATAGAATAGTGGAGAACTTTGTAGAAGCTATTGGCTTACACTGGCGGGTGGTCAATTAAAGTTCATAATTTCTATATGGTTAGCTAGGCGAGGGCATATCACGTGAGAACCTCAAATCGTTAAACTCAAAGAAAGTTTGAGTGGCCACTGTTATCGGATGAAGACGAACCGAATGTTACATGGGCATTAGGGTGAGCGAAACAGTGCCTGTCTTCCAAGTTCGTATAAGATATCGTGTGGGACGGAGGTGTACTGAGCCCTCCGCCGAGGGAGGGCAAAAATGGGATGTCTTCTTCGGTGTCACTGGGTGTAGACATACCCGTTCCAATTTCTGAACAATCAGAAGCATTCACATTGGTGCCGTTGGGTGTAAACTGTGCCGTGTTAACTCTGAGTGGATAATCGTTAAGGTTTTTAGATGTCGTAGTAGACGCGTCAGTGACAGTAGCAGATTGTGGAGTTGTAGATGCAGGTGCAGTTGTAGTAACGGGGATAGGAATACCTACTCGACCCAGACTATTGCGTGTACTTGAGCTGTATTGGCTTGTGTTTTCTTCGGGATTTTCGTCGCTGAAATTGATATCATAGTCCGCATTATCATTGTCGATAGTTATTGAGGCATTTAATGATAAGCTCTCTATTTGCAGTTCCACATCTTCATTTGAATCATTCAACTTGTAGTCACTGAATGGCCGTTGTTGTTTCCGTACATTCCAGTGCAAGTTTCGACTCACACTGTCAATGTACTCTGTTTTGGAAGAAATCACCGTTGGAAATGGAAATGGTGATGCCTGGATAGTTACGTAATCTCCTTGTAACAACTCAGTACGGACCTTACCATCAAAAGAGGCCCAAGCAGTCAGTCTACTAGCAAAAGGGACCTTGACTTTCAAAAACATTCCGTCCGGTAAGAGAATAGGCCGAAACGAGAGTGTATGAGGACAAATTGGTGTAACGCTTATAGCACTGACCCCGGGATGAACAAGGGAACCTCCGGCAGAAAGAGAATAAGCTGTAGAGCCGGTAGGAGTTGCGATAATAAGTCCATCAGCTTGTGCTATTGTCAACAATGAACCATCTCCATATAATTCAAGGTTAGTCACATACGGACTGGGACCTCTATCAACAACCAATTCATTCAACACCTGTTGTTCACACACCAATTGTCCATCCAGACGATGAACTCTGGCAGTGAACCGCATACGAAGATTTGCTCGGACTCCACTTTCTAGCACGCTCAACATCTTTGAGCGGAAGTCATCAAAGCGGAAATTAGTAAGAAATCCAAGTGATCCCAAGGCAAAACTGATAACTGGAGGTACAATCCTCTGAAACAAGTTTGATACATATAACACTGTTCCGTCACCTCCCAAAGTCAATACGAGATCAAAAATCTCAGGGTTGTTGATAGTAAACTCCTTGGTCCAAAACTTGACATATTGACGAGCGGTTGGAACACTTTCCACTAAACCTGAATAATTAAACCTCTTCAGAGCTTCTAGCTTCGAGTCCACATAAATGGTGATGTTTTTGTTCCGTTTTAAAAACCACTCTACAACTTCTCTGGTTAAAAATATCAATGAGTTATCACGGGCTTTGGTAACCACCATGATGGTTTTCACATCAAGATGGATGGTCGCCTTAGAAAGGTTTCTGGCCAACATACGCACACCATTGGCTGTCTCCGCTAACTCGGTGTGTGATCTGACTGACTTCAACTCGTCGTGGTTCAACTTGTTGAGGACAGTAGATGGCGCACGTTTTATCTTATTCACTTGCTCACAGTACAATTTGTTGTGTATCTTGGGGGGAACACGGCGGATGGATGACCCATCTGGTGAAGTACTTCTCAGCGACAGGCCACCTTCTCTTAGCGACTTACGGTGCTTTCGAACACCATTTTTGTGAGCGCCTCCGGAGGGCTTTCGTGAAACAGCACTGCCCGGGGCTACAGCGACGGGGGAAGATGGCACTAAAGGTGCCTCCTTGGTAGGCTCGATGGCAGTAGACTTTGGGGACACCGCAATGGCCATATCAGCTTCGGTAGTGGTGTCTAAGAGGATGTCCGAATCTTTGGCGGTCATGAGTCTTCCACCAAGAACTGGAAACACTATCGGAAAGGGAAAATGTGTGCAGGAAACGTCAATATGTACGTCACAGAACCAGTGGCGGTTATTTTTGGGTTACCGAGAGGGAATTGAAGTCTATCCAATGGAGGATGGAAAGACTATTTGTTAGTTTGTGCTCGGGCAGTATGAGTAATAAAGTTAGGGGCGTTTCGCGATTTTCGAAGAGCTGCAAAAAGGCCAGTCGCTAACATTGACCTACGAAGCTTTCTAGAATAGGTGTGAAATTCAATATTAACGATACTTTAATCATTTGCAAACAAGCTAAACTATATCCATATGTAATAAGATACGGGTGACTAGTTCTAGCTAGTTCACCTCCAGAATTCGGCATTTCCAACCACTAGATTTCTCCAACAATGGCAAAGAAGCTCCCAAACACCAACCCAATTCGTTGTTGTTAATTGTCTTTGCAGTTCTGAGTTCTCTGTGCAAGGGGATATCGTAGCCAGTGTGTAACATGGCGGTGATGAACGATAAGTCCAAACACCATTGGGGCTCTTTATTCAACTTGCCCACCCCGTCATCAAGAAGCACACTTCCCCAAAACGCTTCACCCCCACATACAACTTTGGCCAATTCACTCAACTCTCCAACAGTGAAGCTGGATGGGAATCCCAATGGGTTGGTAGTGTCGTAGAAGTATGAGAAAACATACATGTCATTTAAGGCATTGAAAGACTTTGTTAAGGAAGGTTGGTAAATCCCATTAAAGGAACATGGACTTTCTGAGCACTCGATATCCTTGTTCAATACCTTCTCAGCAAGGAACCGACAGTTGGCACCGGCGTGAATAGAAGAGTCAGCCTCTGGTCCTTTCATATTGACCAAGTAGAATTCATCCTTGGCAAGTTCAACTTGAACATTCTCAGCCACCACTCCTGGAGCAATGCAAGCATTATTTAATGTAACCAGAGCCTTTTGGTCTTTTAATTCATCTTTCTTGGTGTACTTTTTCAATTTAGTACCGGATTTCAATGCCAGTTCAACTACCACTCCATGAACCTTGTTGCGGCCCTGCATCAATCCGTATCCCAAGTGAGAGTATTGATATAACGTGTAGTCTCTGTTTCCAAACGAAATCTGGTAGTTGTGATCTCCATCGGCCATAGTTTCACCCAGAGAGAACTGAGGCTCAAACACAATTTGAGTTGAACCACCTCCCAAGTCAAACACAGCAGCAGTAGGAGTCTTTTCAGCACCTCCTATGTTACCCAACAAATAGTTGGCGGTGACCCAAGCGTAAACACCTTCATCTGCACCGTCCATCATAGAAATTCCATCTCCTTCAACAACTGCGAATGGGTAATCTTTTTCCAAGTGGCTCCTTACTTCCTTCAAGATATTAGCTGCCTTTTCTTCTCCCAACAAACGTAAACCAGCTGTGGCCTTGACAGCTACAGGAGTACAACCTTGTTTATCCTTTGGTACAGTATTAACAGCCTCTTCCAACAACTCGTCTAAAGAATGGGCTGCTCCCACAGTGTCGGTGTCAAATGAAGAAAGGCCAGGTTTATTCATCTTGAACGTTTCTTGGATCAACGCTGGAGGCAGAACACATGAATCAAACTCGTAAACATGAACACGCAGTCCAGTAGATCCAGCATCGATCATTACCACAAAGTCTCTGCTGTTACAAGCACCATTAGTTTTGCCCTTTGCAACAGAACCAGAGTCTCCGTACTTCTCGTTTCCAAGACCTTTGTTTGCTGTTCCCTTAGGTGGTTTCAACGCAGAGTCAGAACCGGCTCCTTCCAACGAAAGCTTTTGGGCCAGGGACTTTTCACTGTTGGATGTGTCAGCCACAACGCCACCTTTGAGCCCAGTGTCGGCCTTGTATTTGCCGCTTCCACCAGAAGATGAGCCTCCTGAAAGGGGCTTGCCAGCCGCGTAAGGAGCCTCAGTACCAACATGAGGCTTTCCTTGAAGTGTGTTCTTATCTTCCTCATCGGTAGAGAATGGCACAGCATCGGCAGCCTTTTCCTTCACCTTTTGGACCAGAGTGGAGATGGGACTGTAAGACGAAGATATCACCAAAGCCACAACCGTGATCAAAGCTATGAGTGGCACGATCAAACGAACATTTCGTGTGGAAAGCATTGTTAACTATTAGAATTTTTGAATCGCGTTCTTTGTTTGGGAACAGGTTTGCCGATTTCAATTCATTTTGTCTCGTGCACAGGCAAATTGAAAGGAAGTAGAGGTTTGTGGTGTTTAGAATGGTTTAAAATAGAACCCTGCAGAGGTGACCTTTAAGGATTGACTACATAACTTCACGTGGTTTATGAAGAAATGTTTCAGTTTTTTTTTCACAGTTTTTTGAAGGATTTGGTCAGCACCTATCAGGGTTCACGTTAATCTATTATTGCTTAAACGCTAATTCTCGAAACCCTGTCACATTGATGTAAATCTATAAAAACAAGCCAACTTCTAAATATTGGAAGTTTATGAAAGAACCCCGGAACAGTTTAAACCAATTAAAATGTAGCATTTATAAGATTTTCCCCTTATTGGCTCTCATACAATTAACAGAGCAACACCCAAAATTTTGCAGCAAGACAAATGCCAAAAGCAATTACCATGAGATCATGGACCACCATAATTGCTTGCTCCCAATTAAAACTATATAAAGACCCCACAGTAATTATTCATACCCATCCATCAAAATGTTCCGTTCTACCGTATCCAAATTATACAGACAACCTACAAGATCTTTACACTACAGCAGACCAACCTACTCTGTGGTTAGTGGTGTGAAAGAGACCTTAGAAAAGGCCAATAAAAAGACTGGCGAGTTTTTGGCTGCCACTATGGAAACTGCTGAAAAGACTCCGGAAACCGTCGGAGATGTTGCTGAAAAGGTCAACAAGAAGACTGGTAAAGTGTTGGCTGAAGGCATGGAAAAGGTTCAGAGGGTTGCACCCAACAATTTAAGTGAAGCAGCTGATAAGGCCAACAAGAAAACCGGTGAAGTATTAGCTGACGGAGTGGAAAAGGTGAATGCTGGCGAACACTTGGACAGAGTTCGTGAAAACGCTAAGGGCTACAAGAATTTACAGGATAAAGGACTGAAGGCTGAGTCTGAACAAAACCGTCCAGAGGATGGAGTTTGATTTAAATAGATTTATTAAAATGTATGAAACTTGAAGCATTTGCTAGTTATTATGTCGTGTTATGGTCGTTAATTTGAACTAAAGATTTTAGTACTTCTTGAATTCTTCCACCATGGGATTCACATTTTCCACCATCTCTGGTGCAGGGGCATGTTGTTGGAATGGGAGTTGAGGCTGCTCTGGGCCAATTTGCTTAGGAGTAGACCGTCTTTCAATTACCGTCAAGTAGTTAGACGGTACATATCCCACCTTGCCGGAACGAGATCTTACTTTCCACCACTTACTTTCGTTACCCAAGGGATCGAGGCGTGATAACACTGCTACCAAATCATTAGGTTTCAACTCAATTTCAATATTAGGATTCTCAGGGTTGAATTCATATAAAGCTTTAGCAAATTGCAAATTGGAAGGGTCTAAAGCACCATTTACACCATCACGGGGCTGCTGCTGGGCTAAAGCCCTCCTTTGTTGCTGTTCATTTATCTTTTGGATTGCCTTACTCAATAAGTATGGGAAGCCAATCGAAGCCGCCAAAAACAAAAGTAATGGCTTGAGTGAGATCCGGCTTTTACCCGATGATGTACGGCGAAGGTTATCTTCAAGCTTTTTTTGGTTGGTTTCAAACTTACTAAATTCTTTCAAGTTAAGTCCATAGTTATAAGTACGGCCTGTTACTTTATAGAACAACTTCTTGGCGAAATTTATCAAGGCATAGATTCCAAGCAACGATCCGAGCGCGTTTTTCAAGTTTCCAAACTGCTCCGCCAACGACACCATCGTGAAAAACGACGAGTGCGTCGCCATATACGTTGCTTCAAGCATCTGTGCAAACCCTCCGACGGCTCCAATGATCAGTTCAATCAACTGAAACGTCGCTTGAGTTCCCTCGGCCAACCCTCCAGCCATACCTTGTTGTCCGTGCATTCCTCCGCCATAACCTCCCATACCATACATACTACTTCCGTAGCCACCCATGCCATACATACTGGATCCATATCCTCCCATACCGTACATGCTGGATCCATAGCCACCCATACCACCCATACCGCCCATTCCACCACCATACATGCTAGAGCCATATCCCCCGCCGTAAGATGAACCGTAACGGGACCCATAGCCGGTGTTCGAACCATACGACAGGGCGCCTGCGCCATACGGCGAAGTGTTGGACATCGCCGAGAGATCGGATGTGAGCCCACTAGGCCGTTCTGGAATGGCAGCTGAAGTTGCCGCTGCTTCTGAGTTTGTGGATGTTGGCATAGCAGAGGATGACAAGGATGGGGGCACTTGCGGAGCCGTAGCACTGGAGTCACCACCCGCGAGAGCCGCCAGCGATGTGCCCGACGACGCTTCCCATGGTTTTCTTCTTGGTACTGCCATTAGATATTAAAAACAAGCGTTCGATGACAGAAAAAATATTGAGAAATTGTGAGAAACGGATGATTTTGGGCGGGGCGAACACAGTTGAATGTGAAAGCGAGGATGAAAAAGTGCGACGATGACAAGAGATAGATCAGATATATAATGGAAAGAAGACATTGATGAAGAGTTTTTCTGGAATCATAGATCGAAGAGGTGCTTGTGCAAATGTGATGGGGTACCCATCCAATATTCTCTATGATTTTCTAGTTGTATATTGTTCTGTTTGGTCGTACACTCGTGAAATGGCTGCAAATCTTATGGAAGCGGCTCAGACGAACTAGATAACCGATTCAAATGCAAGTACACGTCAGTTCCGTAGCCTTCCATGGAAATCAACTTTAAGTCTCCCCCGAAGTATTGGGCATAGAGTCGAGAAATAGGTAATCCGTACCCAAACCCAGCCATGGGTGCTTTAAATGATGTTTGGTTATATTCCGAATCCAACACTGGGGTCTGCGAGACGGTAGTGTATAAGTAAGTCCAGATCAACGGGATTTCACTCCGCGGGATTCCACCACCTTCATCACTAATCTTCACAGCGATATCTTCGCTACCTTCACTGATAATCACCTTAACAGGAGGGAACTTAAGATCATTGATATCGATGTCTTCGGGTTTCAAGTCGGGGTTCTTCTCGATCATCTTCTGTTTAAGTCGCGGAGTATGGAACTCAATGGTGGCTCTTAGACTATTTTTCAATGTCTCAAAGAGCATATGGATCAAGTGACCTGGAACATACATAAACTGGATTTCGTTTTTAGTCAAAATCAATTGGATTTCGGGACAATCAAATAATCCGTAATACTCTTCACAGATGTACTTTGCAGTTTCAATGGCATCTTCGGCAATTTCCCCCACGTTACAGTCGGTGCAAATCACCCCCACGTAATTACTCTTAGCCTTCATACTTCCAGAGCCACCGCTGGTACCATTCATGAGACCAGCAAATTTAGACTTGGGTTTCTGTTGGGCCATATGAAGCGAAAGGTGCTGCCCAATGAGCATACGAATCCCAATACGGGACATGTAAAACCGGTCCAAAAACGTCTGAATGGACGAGTTCACAAACACTGTCTTATTTTCATTTTTCCACTCCTGAACACCCTGGGCCATAGTAGCGACAGTAGCATCATGCCGTTTCTTGATCTTGGAGAGCGCATCGTGCACTAATTTATTGTAATCATACACTTCCTTGGGCCACACCGCATTCATGGCGGTAGGTGTGTAGTAGGTTTTACCAAAAGTAGGCGACTCCGACATGGACCTGGAGGAGACAGCTGCAGAGCTAGCATTGGCACCAGCACTACTGGATGATGGGTGCCGAATAATTATACCGTCGTCACTAAACACATTATTGATGGCAGGATTGTTAAGCTCTTCATGTACAGGGTTCTGTTTCTCTTCCAAGACCGAATTGTCTTCGTGAAGAATCTGGTTCTCTGACACTCGGCGGGCGTTGCCGTTTTGGTTCAATAGGCGCTGGAGTTCTTCAGAGACAGTGGGTTTGGGGAGATTGACCAACTCCTCAAAACTCTGGGCGTACCAATTCTGAACTTTGATGGTGGAAGGCATGTTACAAAGACCCAAAGGAGCATTTTCAAGGTCCTTCACTTTGAGGGCTAGTCTGATAGGTAATTCTTCAACGATGAATTGAGACGCAAGGAAGAGAGAACCAGGACTGGGATTCGGGCCAAACTGGACCATCTGTCGCAAGGAAATAGAGGTCTGCTTATACCCAGCATATCGGTATAGCTGTTCTCGCAATGCAGGTGATAGTTTCCAACCTGTTCCCATGATGTGTTGTGGGTTTGTGGTCAAGTTTCACCCCAGAAAATAGTTGCCAGTGCGATCGAGCGAGAGCTTTGGGCGTGTACCCACCGCCCCATCAAACTGGTGTGGGCGAGCGGACAAGTGGGTCACGCCGCGACAAAAATCACAGGCCCACGTCGCCGCACCCGTGTGGTTCGGGTGACCGGGATTCTTCTACCATGTGGGCGAGCGGAATGGCTTCATCCTCAGCCCCGGCACAACCCCCTGAGAATCAGGCAATATGGGGATAGTTATCTGCGATTGTGGGGAGAGGTTGGGATTAGTGATATGGACGGGACCAGATATTGTAGATATGAGGACATCAAAGACACATTGAAACGATAAGAACTAACGCATAGAAAGTCGGAGTTCAAACCTCGGATTCCAAATGACTCAAAAAACTCAAAAAATTGCTCGGATGAAACATAATGCGGTGACTCAATATTTGCGGATTGACGGATCGAAAATCTGGGGAACCATCAAAATCTCTCAACTATAAAAGCCCCAGTGATCCCCCTTCGATAAATTTCTAATCAACAACTTTCATCTCTTTCATAAATGAGCTCCAGACAAATACTTAAAGTCGCTAACTTCAAGACTGCTTCCAGATGCTGGATTCCAGCTGCCCAACCTGCTAGTTCAAGATATTTTTCTTCTAAACAAAGATATATCAACTTTAACCTTCATAGCTTGAGCGACGCTAACTTGATCGCTAATGACGATGTTTTGACTCATGAAGCATCTAAACATACCACCACCAGAATCCAACACGACAAGCACGAAGAGGTATTTGAACCCACCGTTTACTCTTCAGAAGAAGTCCATACTGCCGGTCCAGTAAACAAGGAAATCTCCGGTTAAACGTTGTGTAGTTTAGTACGATTAACGAATATATGCATTTACATTAATATTTATGATCTCCTGTGGTCTAGTTCAATTGCTTGTGAGTTTTTGATGGTGTAGATAATTACGGCTCAACAAAGTTTATAGTTGAGTGGCTCAAAGTAGTATTGTTGTACTAATAGTCAAAGCTCTTCAGTTTGAACAATGTTTGTTAAACCAAATTGCGGCTTTTGAAAATTGTGAAAATTACATTACTTACAGATAATAATACACGTTCATTAAAACACATTTCATATTACGCAATTATATTAAATATGTACAGCGAGAGGAACTAGCTATCGTTCTGAATTACAAGTCAAAGGCGTACTTGGACTTTTGTCTCAAAGCTTTACCATACTTGTAGAACAAGAATGGTACTGGAGCCAACAAGAGGGAAAAACATCCCAAAAGGGTTCCACCCCATTGAATACCCAAGTGTTCGAACATTTGTCTAGCAAACAATGGAAAGACGGCTCCAAATGCCGATCTCAAAAAGGTATTACCGGCCAAGGCAGAAGCAGCAAAGAACAAGTAGCAGTCAATAATGTAATTAAGGCATGGTAAGAAAATGGTAATTAAACCAGTACCAGAAAGAGCAGCTCCCAAAGTTGGGACAATCCAATGAACCCTCTCGGCGTAGTGACCAGCCCAACATAACATAAATAAACCACCTGCAAACAAAAACGCTCCCAACATCATTGGTGGTAATCTTTCTTCTGGGACTGGCTTACCTCCATTATCATCCATGGCTTTCAAGAATCTTCTCTCAAAGAAAACACAGATCATACCTCCAATAAGGATACCAATTAACATACCCAAATATGGCAATTCGGCCACACCTGGAATAAAGTGATATTTACCTTGGAAAATCAATGGGATTGCCGTCAAAAACAAGTATAAAATACCGTAAATGAAAGCATTGTAGATAGTGATCAAGAACAAGATGGGCTCAGTAAACAACATTCTCAAAGGTCTGGTCAAGTTCTTTTCAGCTACTTCTCTAATATCCAAAGTGATTTCTTCATGAGGAGCCACGATCCCCCAGTTTCCAGTTCTTCTTCTCAAGATTTCGGCTTTTCTCACCAAAATCAAGGGGTGGTGGGTTTCTTCAAGGACAAATATGTCCAAGAGCAAACCAGCTGCGGCCACAATTCCGGTGATGTACATAGTCCATCTCCATCCCATGTGAGGGTTCTTCACGATAAATGCAGATAAAATTGGAGCTATCATTGGACCACCAAACAACACCATTGCGAAGATGGATGTAGCTTGACCTCTGGTTCTGACTCCAAACAAATCGGCCATAGCAGCAGGAGCAGCCACCAAAGGAGCAGCACCAGTAAACCCTGCGAAAAATCTGGTTATCATGATGGTTTGGATATTTTCAGCAGTGGCAGAAGCAAACGAGAAGCACACGTAGACAAAAGATGAACAAACCAAAATCTTCTTTCTTCCGAACAACTCGGACATTGGACCCCAAATGATTGGGCCGGATGCGAAACCAAATACGAACAATGATGTGCCCAAAGTTCCAACCGTTGAACCAACGTGGTATTGAAGTTCGACTGGGGCGGATGCAGATGAGAACATGGCAGAACCCAACACAATCCCCAACGCGTTGAACCCAACAATAAAGCAGAAAATTACCTTTTTTCTCAAAGGAAAGTTGTGAGGATGGATAGGATCATCAGGTCCATCGTAGCTTACTATGAATTGTTCTCTATCAGGCAAGGTTGGTGGATATGGTCTTCCTCCCCCCATTTGTGGAAGTGGTTCCTTGCTTTCTTTGGCCTTTTCGATCAACTCATCAGCACCCGTCAAACGACGGCTCAATGTTCTTGAAGCAGAGACATTAGATTCGTATCTACTCAACTCGTCGCCTCCAGAGTAGATCTCAGGTTCTTCGCGTCCTAGTTCCAAGTCTTGGTTCAGAGTGTCTAACTTCCCCTCGAATACTGTTGGATTCACAGCATCAGGATCAGTTTCCTTTGTGATTGATGATGATTTACGGCTGTTTGAGGAGCCCACGGATTGATTTTCCATAATGCAATTATAAGTTAAGACTTTGTTGGAAGAATAAAAATTTCATTTGAAGGCGCCGTTCGTCAAATATATATATTCCTAATACAGAAGGGAAAATTTTTGAGAAGAGCAGCTTTTGGATTAGTAAACAACAGTTTATAGCCGACCCGCAGCACCTTTCGGGAATAAAAATATCGTTTGCGAGGCACAGTCGCGACATATGTCGTTAGTCTCCTCATATAAGAACCGTGAGTAGGATCATTCAACGAACTTGGGATCTGTCAGTACCATGGATGAATGGAAACCATGGGGCACTGTTTCTGCAATACTGGTCAGCAATTCTTTATTGTCTTTGAAGAGAAAGTAATGACGTCAATTGCGACATAATGACGGACACGGAACGGAATCGGAAATATACTTTTCAGGGAATTAGCGAGACTACTGAGGGCATGGGTATAATAGGAGTTACCGTTTTTGACAGGTGTCGAATTCTTAGTATAAACCATACAATTTGCACAGAAACTTCTTTATCCAAGTGATTCGAGATTAGAACACTTACGTAGGTATTTTTCTGCAGTGAAGAACCTACTCTTATCACCAAATAAAAATATGGAAGTTACAAATGTCGCGTAGAGGGGGGACTGCTAATCTTTCTAGTACATGTTTTATTGCCGTTTCTAAATATATTTTCTAGTTTACTTTGACAGTAGGAGTAAACAAATTCTCTTAACGCTTTTAGATAGAATGTGCTATAGAAACCTTACTGTAGCCAAATTCTTATTATATTGTGGTGAAAGTTGCTTTAACAGTCTAATTAAATAGTTTATATCACATATAGCTCACACTAATTTACGATGATACAACTCAACGGATGCGAACGAATATGCAATAATTATTGCTGCACCGCCGCACACATTATGTCGCATTATGTCGCAGAATTACTCATCACGAACATCTCAATTGTGGAAGGATAAAGAACTTTCGTTGCACAAAGGAGGAGGTAAAAGCATATTTTAATACTACGCTCAAATGGTTCCCACAAAAGTATGAGGTTGTAGAGAGAAACATGATTCTCCTGGCATTGATCTTGAAGCTCATGAACTTTGAGGCAGATTTATAAGATTGAATTGAATGTCACCGACATAGGGTTAGTTGCTACCCAGTATTATGCTATGGTCATTTAATGTCAAACCACTGATCTTTCTACTGATAAAATCATCCCGATAACCAAGGAATAAAGTATTTTCATATGATGACCTTGAGGATGTCATTATTGGTACTGTAGCAATGACAACGGTTTTTGACTTGGTAACTAATAATTGAGTTCCTCTTTGGTTTGCCCTCGGAAGAGTTGTTCGACAACCTCTTCAAGATCCATTGTAATTATGGAGCATTTATGACTCCTGCCTGATTCAATATCTCAAGTAATTATAGAGATGAAATGAAGAGATGCGTCAGCGAAGGAAACAATTGGGCAAAAAATGATGTATTTTTAGTTCGGTGAAACACTAACTAATCAAAGAGAACCCAACAGTCTACATTTTCCAGCAGTATTGGAATTTAGGTGGTGGGCCACCTTTGCGATTCACCCGGTTTGGAAGGCCAGTTTTCGCAGCTACAATTTTAATCGGCTCTAGCTACTTGGTGACATTCAATAAATTATCTAAATAGTGGTACAAGGGAGTTGAATTGTATTGGAAGAAAGTCCATGTTAAGGTGCCACATAAGCATCTATGGGTTCAAAGCCCTCTCTAATGCCTCACCCACGTCTCCAACCGCATAGTCTTCCTTGTTCAAGTCAGCCAAGTCCTCAACTGGTCTTTCGGCCTGAGGAGCAATTCTAAAGGCATGACGAGAAACAGGAGTGTCCCAGTCGATAATGGCAGAGTGTTGCGTGTTTCTGTTATCCCATACCACCACTGTCTTGGGTTCCCACCGAGCCCGCAACTGCAAGTCATGGGATTGCTCGATATGCTTGTACAAAAACTCCAACAAAAAAGCCGATTCTTGCTCCTTCAACTCAACGATTCTACGGGAAAATGGCCGGTTAATGTAGATGTACTTCTCCTTAGTGGCGGGGTGAACTCTAATCAAGGGATGGATATTAGAAACTGGTTTTCTACGCTCAACTCCTCCCTGAGTTCTAGAGTTTGTGGCCTGGTCTTCGGAGGTATGCAATACATGGAGCCCGTCCAACCGCTTTTGGAACTCGGGCGACAACCGCTTGTAGGCTTCAACCACATCGGCGAAAATAGTATCACCTCCCGAGTCTGGCCCATCCAATACCGAAAAAAAAGTGGTTCCTGATGGCTGCAACTCATAACTAATGTCTGAGTGCCAAAGTACCGCATGGGTTTGGGAGCTAAACACCCTCTCAAAGTCGCCAGGAGTGGCCCTTCTGTATGTCACATGTAAGTCTGGGAACCCTCGTGGGACACCTCCGGTGGGGTGGATGTGCAAAGGCCCAAAGTGCCTGCCGAAGTCCACTGCGAATTGAGGGCCTTTGTCGGCGAAATCCTGGTCCCGAAACACCACGACACCGCGTTGTGCAACAAAAAGCGCCAACTCGTCTTTGCCCTTATCGTCCAACTGAGACAATTGGATGCCACGAATCTCTGATCCCATTTTTGGGGTGATTTTTTGATTGATAAATTCCCTGTCTTTGGGGAGCAAGTTGGGAAACTTTGGGTCGGCACGGCACCCGGGGTCTTCATGTTTGAAAAACTTCAATGGGGGGAGCTTATCGTTAGGATTCCAGGTTGGCAAGAATTCCGGGTACTTGGAAGTGCTTCTGTTTTCGGCACTAACAACTAATGTACCATCGTTTAACATCTCGTCGACTCCTTTCACAAAGTGCATATCATAGTTTCCATACTTGACGGCGTTGGACATTTTGTGTAAAGAGATGAAAAACCGGAAAGGAAAGTAGACGGGTTAGGAGAGAATTTTATAACAAACTACAGTGCATAGGTTCATGCACATCTACTTTAAAGAGGAAAACAAACCCATCCTGGATTTCAACTTTCCGGGGTCTATAAAATTTGGTAGACATTTACCGTGAGGGGTGCACGGTCTCCGACTGTATCCTATGGGTGTGCATGGTTCTCTGGTAGATGCTTCGGGTTAATGTTCCCATCAGGTTTTAGAGTTATCGAGATCGGAAGCGGAGCCTAAATGGGATACTCATCTTGCGACAACGCACGTGCAAATTTGGGACCAGTGCGGTCGGACATACGATCCGGGAAGGTCTTCATCCAATAGATACCAATTCTGAGAGCAAAAGTTGCAAAACATGCAACAAATATTTCAAGTCCCACAGTTTTGTTGCTTAGGTGAGATAAGAAATATACATACAAGATAGGTATTATAGAAGATACCTAAATATCACAAAGATAATATAAATAAGTTTCTCCACAGGCTGGCAATCGGAGAGCTTAAAGTCCCGATGCGGACTAATTTCCGGAGCGGCTGCCTCTCTATTGGCAAGTCCCAACCCTCACTGGCTGATAGTTAACTATGTACTAAAACAGTAATGCGGTGCATTGTGGAAAATTTGCACCAATGCGTACACAGTTAACTATCAAGATTTCAGGTCAGCTAGTATTTACTATAGGATAAGTGAACGCACAGAGATGGCGGTGGACTACAACATAGTTAACTTTGTAATATATTGGTATATTTATCATGCTGACAATCATGTTCGATCGTCTAAGTAATTGTCCCATCCCATGGGTGCAAAATAGTGCAGTCATAAGTCGTAGTATGTTCTCATAAGCTCATCAGCTCCGGAAACTCAGGTGGCAGTTGTCAACACACGTCACCACAAACTGAGGGGTAGGGTTCTGTTGTTGTTTGGGTTCTGGCAACCGTAATGGTGGAAGCTTGATAGGCATCTCATCCATCGTAGGAGACCTGGGACTGGGATACGAGTGGTACTTCGGACTCGAGTATGCATGAAGTTGTGGACTGGTTGAGCTCATGGTGGCCACGGTCAGGGCACTCACGGTCAGACAGTCGCTGCAATCACTTGATACACTGAGCTTTCTGCCATTGAGGGCAATGATGTGGTCCTTCTCGTCTCTCACCTTCAACTGGCTCAACACGGGCCAGCTGCAGTCCAAGAAGTTCCGACTACATCCCTGGCACTTTCCGTTGACGATGTTTTCATCACACTTCTTCTTCCTCCTTCTACAGGTCAAACATCCTGTCTTGGTACGGGTCTTACCTGAAACTGGAACAGCCGCCGTCTTTTTAGCCACTTTAGATTTTTTTTGTTTTCCGGGGTGTCGTATGGCTAGGTCCACCACTTGTTGGTATGATCTATAGTCTGTCATAGATGTGTCGTAGTTGAATGAAAATTTTTTAATGGCGTCTTGGGGGTATTTAAGGCCACCAACAGTGACTAAGTCATATTGATGTGTTAATTCCATGGATGGTAACAGATAACGAGGAAACCGCGGGTGCGCCGTCTGTGGATGCCGTTTGCGAATTTTAGTCGGGGATGATTTACCCTTTGAGGAAACGGCAATTGGTGCTCGCGTGAGTGTTTTCTGGCTAAACACCTGGCAACTTTTGATAGTAGCTTTAGAAATCTCGTGCTAGGGAAATAAATGTTGGTGTACAAACCTTCGTTTCATAAAATCTAGCCGGTGATAGCATTATCTTGGTGTATGGGGCTCAAAGTAGGTGCTTTAGCTAGAGTTCATCTCTCTATAAGTTTCTTTTTCGGTGAGCAGTACTCAGCGCAAAGTGACCGGTGTTTCAAATCTTTGTGACGAGTAAAAAGGACTACTTGACATAGGAATGTAGTACATGGATATGCTGAGCTGGGGAAGTTGACTCTTTTCGTGACGGGGTATGGGTTCTGAAAGTGAAATTAGATTTTTATTCGAACTACTTTAGGTGTTTTCGCAGCCATATTTAAAAGGATGAGTAAAACATGTATTGAAGGGAATGCTGGAGTAGTCAAAGATGGAGGTAAATGTCTTGTCGGATACAACGTGTCGTGAACAGTTTAGGGATGTTTGAATTTTTTTGGATAATCTATAGCTTCTGAGGCATTCTGCGAGACCATAGAGTCAAGGGTAGGAACCAGTTCAAGAGCTTTGCTACTCTTCGGCAATACACTCGTACGACAGGGTTGTCTACCAAGAGTGTATGTATCTACTTTCTGCCTTTATCCTTTCCAGAGTGTCCATTTTTTTTGGTGTTTAATTCTAGTCTCTCATCATCAACCTTTATTCGCAGTCGCACATTTCTTGTCGCACAATCCACAGTGAAAAAGTTTTAATTCCACCAATGCCTGTTAAACCTATATTCAAACCCTCGTTATTAAGAAACGGCTTGGGTACCTACGTCCAACCATGCCATAAGGTAACCATCCAGTACTGCAACTGGGGAGGCTCCTCTAAATCAATCAGAGACCTCTTGTCCACAGGATCTATCAACAAATTTGCTCTGGAAAATTTGAATATCTTCGTGGAAGTTGTCAAGAAGTCAGGCCATCCAGTATTGAAGTTCGACTATAGTCACGACAAACAAGATAGTGTAGAAGTTAGGAATAAGACCACCACAGAAGTGTTAAAACTTTTGTCGGACTATTCACAGAGATCTGGAAATGAGTTGTTCAAATATAATCACAAAGTGTTGTCTAACAACGAATCGGTGAGAGGCGTTTGGTCTCCAATGCACGAACATAAAGGACACAGGTTCAAGATATAAGCAAGCATAATACATAGGCAGGACTCCAAACGCTTAAATTTGTACATAGAGAATACACTACAACTGAAAAATTATTATTTGGATTAAACTATTAACTGACTTACTGCTCTTCGAGAATGTCATTATTGTTCTCATCGTTGGACACCTTGTAGAACTTATTCCTCCAAAATCCATCGTCACCAACCACTTCCTTCGACACTATCTGGTAGTTTCCAAAGTGGGGCAACAATTTGGCCCAAACCAACCAGTACACAAATCCAATACCAAAAACACCCCAAGTGACAACTGGGTGAATCCAGTAAGGTAAGTCATTATAGACGTTTTGGCCATCGGAAGGAGGAATATAAGGAGCTATGATCAAGTATAATGAACTCAAAGCGAAGAAAATGGTGATTGGAATAGGAGATCTGAGTGGAGGGTTCCATTCAATAACACCTTTTCTCTTTTGGTAATGCAAATATAATAAACCGAATGCCACAAAGGAATTCACCACATTTAAAGGATAGGAAATCAAGTTCAACACAAAGTTGTAAGCATCTCCAGGTGGTGGAGCCAACATGGTGACAATACAGACGATCCAGTGTTCAGCCAAACCCATGAATGGAGTTCCAAATGGTTTGGAAGTAGCCCATAATCTAGAAATTGGTAAACTTCCTTCTCTTCCCAACTGTTGGATGATTCTTCCTTGGGAGAAAATCACCGACATCACGTTACCCAAAGCAGACAAAGCAACAAACACAGAACTAGCCTTTTCCGCAGTGTCTCCGAAAGCATACTTAAAGAAGGTAGCTGCCAAGATTCTTCCTGAACCAGCAATCTCTTCTTTTGGAACCACAGCAAAGTAAGCGATGTTAGTCAACATGTAGAGAACGGTAAGCAGCAAAAAAGCACTTGGAGCTGCCACCTTTAACACTTTAGCTGGGTTCTTGGCTTCACCCAACGCATAGTTGGCATTGGAGTATCCCACATAAGACCAAATAACATTATACAAAGCATTCACAACCCCGTATCCAGTTGGAGAAGAACCCTCAAACGCATTGGTGAAGTTACCGGTGGGTTTGAAATGGGCTGTTTTAATACCACCTCCCAATGCCACCCATCCCGTGACGGTGATGAACAACACAATTGTAATTTTGAAAATCCCTAAAAAGTTTCCCAAGTACAAACCAGCCTTAACGGAAATGGCGTTGACCAAGAATGCAAAAGTGATAACTCCCACACCAATACCTCTAGAGTTCCATTGGGTGACTTCTTTGCCTGCCGCATTTAATAAATATTCACCAACAACGACACTATTACCCGCTGCCCATCCTAAAAAGAACACATATGATCCGTACATGGTTGTAGCCAAGAATCTTGGCTTCTTGTAAACGAATTCGAGATAGTTTTTCTCTCCTCCATTTCTTGGAATGGCCAGTCCAAATTCCATATACACCAACAACCCACTAAAGGCAATTAAAGATCCACCAAGCCACATCATTAAAGAGGTTCCCACACTTCCACTTAAGGTGAAAATAGTGGAACCTAACGAGAACACACCCGAACCAATCATTCTGTTGATACACAAGAAAGTGGCAGAGATAAACCCTATTTCCTTGGTGTTCTGGTCGATTTGCACCACCGCACCATGGACTGAAGAATCAACCGATGACAAATCTCCATTATCATCATATTCAACATCTTTGGTTTCCTTAGAGATTTCCGTCTCTTTGGTGATCTGGGGTTCTCTCGACAAGAAGTTGGAGAAAGCCATTTGTCTAGTAATGGAAAATATTCTAGGATAAAGGGTACCTTTTATAAAAAAATTTGCTTCCTACCTTTTTAGGCTGCAGCTTGTAAGAAAATAACTTGCAGAGAAGAACCGGGTTCGGCTTACGCCCTCGGAAAGGCCACATCATTGCATATTAGCACGTGCGCAGCCCCCACAGCCTACCCGTGAATGCCCTCGGAATACGAATGTTTGCAGCCGGCCATCGCGCAAAAAGAAACTTATAGCTTGTGGGCTTGCAGAGTCCTTGAAACCAACTCTAGGCATTAACTCCACAATTTCTAACGCCGTATTGGCGAAATTTCTATGTATATCACCCCATTCAAGCTCCATTATTAATAGAGTTGTTAGGATTTGGTAAAACCTGTTCATCTTATGCTAAGCCCTGAACCCTCCCGTCTTCTAAAGGGTTCAACCTGTTTTGAACGCGAAAGTTCAAACATCAGGAACAGGCGTTTTCCCTCTGCCCCGATGAGCATCCACAGTTTTAATAAGGAAACTGTGATTTTATAGTTTCATATAGGGCGAAAAATCTGGGATTTGCTGGCATTGAACGCCTTACAGGCTGTCCCGAATATATACACGCTCATCTTCGATCGTCGATGTGGCTTATTGGGGAAAAGTGATGAAAGAAATAACTTTCAGATCATTCGGCTACCGAGATCTTTCATTCTATATGATTGCAATTGTATACACACAGACCATTGCTAATTGTTGCAAAAGGGAAGCAATTGAAAGACTGCGAAGTAGCAACTAAACTATTTTGATTTTTAAACATAGAGCATCCCCAGGCTTTTACCCTCCGCCTTACATTCTCTATGTCTTCTTCAAAGAGACAAAAACTTGAGCCTCAGTTACCCCAGTTCCACAACAAATACTACCCGTCGGAAATTACCGACAAACAGGTGGCCCAAAGGTACCTCAAGGATGAGAACAAGCCAATCAACGTGTTGAATGACATTCGCATTCATCAAACCAAAAGCCTTGAGCCAGGCAAGGGGGTAGTGCACTTGTTTAACAATGACTTGAGAGTTTCAAATAATAAGGGCTTTTACGAGGCTGGAAAGCTCAAGGCGGACTTTCAAGTGCCGTTAATCGGGCTTTTCGTGTATTGCCTTGAAGAGCTATACTGTCACTCCATAAGTAATTTTCAGCTCAGGTTCAAACTAGACACTTTGGATGTGCTCCAAAAGTCATTGGGTGAAAGGAATATCCCTTTGGTGGTGTTGAAGATTGACAGAAAGGCAGACTATACGGAGTCAATCAGTAACTTTATGTCGTCAAACCTGTTTAATCATTTGACAGCAAATATCAGTTACGAAGTGGATGAGTTAAGAGACTTTGTGCATTTACATCAACAGGAGAAGTTCAGCTTCCTATCATTTCACGATACTTGTGTAGTAGAACCAGGGTTGTTAGCATCAGGTAAAGGAACTCAGTACTCGGTGTTCACGCCTTGGAGTAAGGCTTGGAACAAGTATGTTAATAGTCATTCTATCGACGATTTTCCCGCCCCTGAACCCAATGCCCCCTCAGCTGCAAACAAGTTTGATTATGAAGCTCCTTTGGTTCCAAAGAACAAAGAGTTGAACAGCGTGCAATTGAAAAACTATGAAAATTTGTATGAACCAGGAGAATTGGCTGCAAACATTAAACTACTGGAATATCTCAAGTCAGAAAAGATTATGAAATATGAAGAGAAGCGTAATCAGCTTGACGAGGATGTAGGATCACATATCAGTCACTACATTGCCAATGGGAGTTTGAATTGTAGAACTATTGTCAAGGAGATCCTTAAGACTGATTTGTTGAAACAGGTAGATCAAGGAAATAAGAGTGCAATCCAGTGGGTAAGACAAGTTTCTTGGAGAGATTTTTATAAACATGTTCTTTGTAACTGGCCTCATGTCAGCATGTTTAGGCCCTTCCATTTGGAATACTCTGACATCAAGTGGGAGTATAATCAAGATCATTTTGATGCATGGTGCAAGGGGCAAACGGGATATCCTATTATCGATGCAAGTATGAGGGAATTGAATCAAACTGGATTCATGAGCAATAGGAGCAGAATGATTGTGGCCAGTTTTATCTCCAAACATTTACTTTTAGACTGGAGATATGGAGAACAATTCTTTCTGGAATCCCTTATCGACTGTGATTTTGCATCCAACAATGGAGGTTGGGGATTCAGCTCAAGTACAGGCGTTGATCCTCAGCCTTATTTTAGAATTTTCAACCCTTACTTGCAGTCAGAAAGGTTCGATCCACATGGTCACTATATCAAGAAGTGGGTTCCGGAATTGGCTGAGGTGGATGAAAAAGACATTCATCAGCCCTACTCAAAGAACAATTATTCAACAATAAATGACTATCCTTTTCCCATAGTTGAGCATAAATTTGGCAGAGAAAGAGCGTTGCAACGATACAAAGAAGCCAGATACTGAAAAATATAAACGTGAATTGAATATAATTAACGATTAAAACCTAGAGCAAAGTCTCAATCAAACCTTTAGCAACTTCTAAATTGTCCTTGCTCCCTACCAAATAGATATAGTTACTGTTTTGGTCAGATGCTCTTGGAATAGTGATCTGAGACTTTGATTTTTCTCTAATCTTCTTGACGGTGGATCCACCAGGACCAATCACCTTAGAAAAGCTGGATGGCTTTGATGAATAGAACCAAGCACAATGATCAGCTTCTTGAGCCAACTGTAATCTGTGTTGTAAAAATTTCAATGCTTTGACAGTATTTTCCTTTTCACCCTTCAATCTCCATGGAATGATATTGGCACCATCAACAACTTCACGTTCTTGAATAATAAATTTGACCTTATCATCATCTGTAGGCAAAGAATCTTCTGGTACCTTAGGGAAAGAGGCATTAGACAATTTTGATGCTTTTCTAGTCAAGTTATCATGTCCAACATCAACATTAAAGTTAGATCTGAGGGTCCTGAACACTTGTCCTCCTTCACTGACAAACCAATGAAGGTTTTCTGGGATGTCGATGGAATCATTCCAGTCATCCTTGGTCAACTCCTGAATCTTGAGCTTAGCAGCTTCAATTTGCTCTGGTAAACCACTTACCTTCACAACAGCAGAGTCATCATTTTGTCTTGGCACTTCAATCGAAACACCAAATTCTTTTTCTAAAGCTTGACGAGTGGATCCAGAAGGTCCAACAAGAAATCTTTGTTTTTCTTTAGGAACCTCAACCTCAATCAAAACCGAAGCTTCCTTTAATGCAACTAGATCGTTTAATTGAGAAACAATCTTGTTGACAATTTCCTTGGGACCTTGAGAGTTAACCAAGTTTGATCCACTTCCAGCGTTTGGAAGGTTCAACAACTTATGGTACTTATAAGGAGGTAAAGAATCCCCTCCTGCAATGCTGATTATTTCCCTCATTTTGGAACCATTCTGACCAATAATATCTCTGTGATACTTGGAGTCAACTTCCACATCAATAGAAACAAAGTTTTCAGCTTCATCAACGATGCTTTGAATTCTACTGATGGCTTCTTTTAAGGCAGATTTAGAACCGGTCAATTTAACTTCTACCACTCCCGTTTCCTCTTCTTTAACGTTGTCTCTTTTGAATTGATATTCAACTCCGGTTGCATCTGCTATATCATTAATGGTTTCACCAGACTTACCAATGACTCTTGGAATAACTTTAGTTGATATTTCAATGGTCTGTTCAAATCCATTTTCCTTTTCAAACCTGTAAAATTCCTCCAATTCATCTTTAGCTCCAGCAACAGCCTTTGAAGGTCCTTTAATAGTAACTTCATCCTTGGTTTTAGGAGCATCAGGAGAGTTTGAGCTCAATTCGATAGCACTAGGGAATCTTATTCTAACTCCATATTTGTCTTGTAATCTGTTGATAAATTTACCGTTGGCACCAATCAATCTTCTGTGGTATTGGCTTTCAATCTTGATTCTAACAAGGGTTTCATCAGCCCACTTCTTGGACAAAGATACAATCTTAGCCTGACAAGATTCAACATTTTTTTTGATACCAGTAAGAGCAATTTCAGTCTTCTTATTTTCTTTCTGGTCCTCTTCTTCGGCAACATCGATCCGCACACCAAATTCGTTTACTAAGGAGTTCAAGAATTGACCATTTTTGCCAATTAATCTCGACAATGTAGTGGATGGAATGGAAACAGTGGAAACATATTTATCACCATACTCTTTGGCATCATTAATAACTCTTTCAATAGATTTTTGGACTGAGGCCACTTGGGATTTCAAACCATGAATATGCAATTTATCTTCGGACTGGATCTCTCCATCAAAGTTCAACTTAACAGCAACTGAATGTGGCTCAACCTCACCAATGATGGCATTTAAGGTTGTGTTACCACGACCAGAAACGAACTTTTGGATTGAACCAGGGACTTCCAACACCACTGTCTCAAGGTCGGATTTTAACTCTCTCAAAGAGTTCAATGCAGCATCAACAGACTCGAAAGCTTCGTTGATCTTTGAAGTGTCTTCGAACTCGAAGTCTTCGGAGTCTTGAACAGAACTGTCATTTGTGAACAAGGAGATTCTGTTATTCAAAATAACATAAGTGATATTATTCTCCTTAACCAAGCTATCGATGGCAGAAGGGACCTTAGAAATCAAGAAGCTGTCGATATCATCGATGACTTTCACGGAATCTGGAGCCAACTTGTTCACGGTCGAAACAACTTCCTTTTTAGCAGCTTTGATATTTTCGTCACTAACTTCAGCTGAGTTGACCACAAACTCAATAGGAATAGAAGTTATTGTAGCAGTATCCAAAACAGACTTGGAGGGAGCGTTGACAACAACGCCGTGTTTGAGACCAACTTGGTTGAAGAATCCTTGAACTTTCAAGAATTCAGCTACAGCACTTACGTGAGGAATGTTACCCTTATGAGCCTTAGACATATCCAACACTTCAATTTTATATTGTGAAGTGGTTTGTCTGGCTTTCTCTTTGGCCACAGGAATTTTAGCCTTCTCACCAATAAATTGAACTCCAGTTCCAAGCAACTTAATCAAGACATTTTCTTCCTCTAATATCTGGTCAATTGGTAAGAATTGGTGCTTCAACTTCGGAATTGGAACATCTTCAATGACAAGCTTAGAGGCTAATTGTGCCAATTTTGAGTTGATCTCATCTTTGGCACTCAAAGCCAATTCTCTTTCACCGATGATAGTAATGACGTTCTTTGAAGATTTAAACTCAGGAACTAAAATATCCAATTCCTTGAATTGTTCATCAATAAAATCTTGCAAGAATTTCGCAGCAAAAGGCTTGACGGTTTCATCAACTGAGATCTTGATGGACAAGTTCTTGGTTTCGTCCTTCACTATATCTAGGATTCTTCCCTTAGCCAACTTGCAGCCTTCGGTATCACCATAAATGACAATGGTTATGACCTTATTGAAGATATCGTCGTTCGATGCATCTCCATCGACAAATGTTTCTTCAGCTCCAATCTCAATCTTAACTTCAGATTCGCTAATAATGGGCCTCAAAACTTTACCTTGAGGGCCAATAATTTTAGCTCTCAACTTGGCAGGAACTTCAAAGCTGGTAGATACAGGCTTTGTCAATTTCTTAATAACCAATCTTTTGGCCAACTTAACATCCTCTGGCTTACCAGTAATCAAGAAGGTTCTCCTTTTGGTATGTTGAGAAGTAGTACATTCAATACTAGTCTTAGTCTCAGCTTTGACAGTTGTCAAGATTTTGATAAACTCAGGTCTATCCATATTCAACTGGTCATCAGCATCCAAAGAAAAAGCTTCTTGAATAGTCGAACTCTTGAACTTTCCGTTGGAACCAATTGAAGGACTCTTACTAGCAGTAGCACTGCCTCCAAGTCCCCAAGAAGCACCTACAGAAGCAGTAGTATTGGGTTTCTTGCCACCTCCCAATGTGGGGAAAGCGGACTCATCGGTCAAAGAAGGAATGGAAGCTGTCAATGATGAAACACCATCGTCAACGTCACTATCGGAATAATCATTGTAATCCTCTTGGGAAGCCTTATTGGCTTGGGCAGCAATACGGGCAGCAATAATTTCAGCAGGAGTAGACATGGGAAACAGATCTAGAAATAAGGAGGGAAATCACCAAAAAAAAACACTAAACACAAATGGACACCACACTGATTCCAAAATACAACTTTTGGTAACGATTTAAGAAAGACAATGGGTGATACAGAAAAGCTTAACCACTGGATGACGATCTACCTGGTACAAGCTTTAAACGGGGGTAAGAGCTTAGGGGGTAAGCTGGAGAAAAGCAGTTATTATAAAATGCCACTTGGAATCGACAGATATGAAAAATTTGGATTAGATCTGTGGTGTTGGCAGTTGTGAGAAATTTTGGCGGTTGGGCATTTACACGCCGGAATCCGGATTTTTCTCGTAAATTGATTACGAGAATAAAGACAATAGGAAATAAAAGAGTTTATTACTGTAAAGGCTACTTGTTCTATTGACACTAAAGGGTTTCATACAACAATTCACGGACACGATATTCTTCGTTGGCACTTTCAAAGTCTTCCCAGTTCCCAATGAAATCGTCTCCTCTCACTATTCCTGGCAAAGTCTTGCCGTTGGAATATCTTCTCCAGATTTTTTTGGCTTCATCGTCAGTCCCCAAGTCACGGGCGGTGAACTGGATTTCATTTGCTTTCAAAATTGTTTGCAATCTGTTCGTTTTGTGAATGATTTGCATTCCTCCAATCAAAGACGTAAAGAGATATACTGGTTGAGATTCCAAATGTTTGCGCAATTCTTCGGGAGAGACGTCAAAGTCATCGAAGTCATCATCTTTGATGTCAATGGCCTTGATTTCGGTAACAGGAACGGTTTCACTAGAGGTCTTCTCAGATTCTTCAGCTACTTCAATCTTCTTGGTTAGGTCATCTGAAACTTCTTTTGACTCTTCAATTTTGGTTACTTCTTCAGAAACTTCTTTTGACTCTTCAATGGATACTCTGTCGGTTTGAGCCTCTTCTACCGCCTGTCCCACGTCAGATTTTGTATCCACCACAGATTCTTCCTTTTCATCAGAAGCAATCTCTTCAGGTTCCTTGTCCTCCTGGATATCTCCTAAGTTTTCTTCTTCTTTTGGTTCAATTTCTTCCACATCTTCACCCTTTTCTGGTTCAGTTTTTTCTACCTCAGTGCCAGTAACCTCATCAGATACTTCTTCTGCCTTAGGTTCTTCGCTGGTTTCAGGTTCCTCCTTTTGCTCGTCAGCAACTTCCAATTCTTCTGATGTATCTTTAACTTCTGTCTTCGTAGGAGCCTTGATGGCCTTATCAACTAAGCTATCAAAGTTATCGATAGCCGAGTACGGGTCTTCATTGATCAAGGCACCTTCTTTATACAACTCTGCGGGATTGGCATCGTTTTTTTCATTCTGATCGAAATGGGGTTGTCTTGACCTTGATCTTGAAATCGATCTCAAATAATCAGTAGAGTAAGCACTGGACTTAAACTGATATGGGGTTGAAGGCTCACGCGAAGGGTTATCTACATTGAAGTTTGTGTAGTCCCCGGTGGTTAACAAAGAATGTTCTCTAGATAACAATTGACTTTGATACTTTTCATTGTTAATCTTTTCTTCCTCAACAGCAGCAATCGACTCACCCATTGTTGGTCTGGATTGTCTCGATCTTCTTTCATCACGCTCTTCCTCAATTGGTTTATTGTAGTCCGGAGGTAATTCATACTTGGAAGGATCTTCATCCTTAGTGTACTTATAAGAATCACCTCTAGCCAAATGAGGTCTCAAGCCTCTCGATCTGGATGTTGATCTCGACCTTGACCTGTCAACGGACTCAGCTCTGGTATCCTTAAAGAAGTATGGAGAATGGAAGCCTTCCGGCCCACCTCTTTGACCATTTTCTACCAAAGGTAACGGGTTGAACAGCAGTTGGGTTTTAGCCTCAGGTCTCCTGAACTCCTCGTTTTTCTCTCTTCTGGTTTCCTTAAGATGAGGATCTTCACGCTTCACCTTCGCCAACAAGTCTTCGTGGTTCTGGATCTGGTTATTCAATTGGTACTCGGATAAGTTAGGGTTCGAGTAGTCAGCTTGCGAATAAACACTATTGTTGTTGTTGACGGTGTCATCAAGCAACGGTTGGAATTGGATACTAGTGGTAGTTGACGAAGGAGGCACTTGCTTTCCGGCAGCTTCAGTTGTATCAGCAACAGAGTTGATAAAGTCAACACTCTCGTGGAGTACATCGGACTTTTCGGTACTGGTAGTTTCCACTTGTTCTTTCTCGTCGACACCTGGTGGAGATCCGGAGTACTTAGCGTCGTCTTTAACAGCACCTTCTGGGTCCAAATAATCCTCAAAGTTCTCTTCAGATGCAATCAATGCTCCTTCTCTCATCAAATCATCCAAAGAAGCGGTGATATCCTTGCTGAGTCCGGATTTCTTAGCAGGTGAACCAGACGACTTGACCCCTTTATATTTCTCAGGGTGTATGTAATTGTTGTGGGGAGAATCATCTGCCGACCGGACACTAGATCCAACTAATGAGGGAGATTCAGACTTTTCAGCCTTTTCTAATTGCTCTTCAAAATCCATGATACTATTATGTGGATAATGGGTGTGTTTCAAACAATGATTTATCGTTGATTTGTGTTTGAGGTGTTGCTTGAATCGCGAGGTCTCCTGTATGTACCTGATTGCGAGTGATTAATATTATTTACAATATTATTGGTTCACACTGAAGGGGGAAATTGTGCGTTGGGGAATATGGGGGCTGATGAAGAGATATAAGGTATGCGAAGAAAGAGTGGGACGGAGAGTATTATTTAAGGCGCTTTTGCGATGATATCGGACGGGAGGTCAAATTGTCTAAGGTGTCGCACGACGGAGCGATAATTAAAACGAATTTTGTAAAAAGTTCACCTTTTTAAAATAAGTGAAATTTGCATATTTCACGCGTGAAACGATTGTATATAAGTTCATATTCTTTTTGCAGCTATTATAGGAGGTCTACAAATGTCCGAACACCACCACGTTATTTTCAAACTGTCGTTTTCTACCCTGAAACAGTTCATTACTCACAGCCAACTAATTGCACATGCAGCTTGTTCCAAGCTGGAGGCTGTCGCATGTTCATTTTCTCGCGCAATCGGGGTCGCCCCACGTCCATAATTAATTTGTATCTATCTATATCACATACTAGTTGATAATGACCGCTGTACCTCCAATACCTTACAGTCCTAAAAAAGAACCCAAAGTCGAATTTATTCCATTTGATGGATTGAAGTTCAAGACGGTCTTTTGGGAACATACTGGTACCTATAAGGGTAGAATTCTTTTCGTGCACGGCTTTTCAGAGGACTCCCTCATATATACTGAATTTTTTGACAGATTGTCCGACTTGGGATTTGACATCTTTTTCTTCGACCAAAGAGGAGCCGGAGAAACCTCTGATACCAAGGATATCGGAAAGACCAATGAAGCTCATACTTTCAACGATTTGGACTTCATGATCAAAAAGAACCTTGAAATCACCCCCCACAAAGATGACAAATTGATTTTGATGGGCCATTCCATGGGAGGAGGAATCATATTGAACTATGGTATCAGAGGAAAGTATAAGGAATACGTCAAAACCATCATTGCCACTGCACCAGAGGTGTTACTTCATCCTTCGACATCTCCCAACTTTATATTGAAAGGATTTGGAACTTTTGCCAGCAAGTATCTCCCTAATGTAAGAATCGATGCAGGATTGAACTACGATTATATCACGTCTAACGAAAAGTGGATCAAGTACATTAAAGGACATAACAAGAAGTTTTGGATCACTGGACCTTTATTCATGGGTATGTTAGAAAGAGGTGAAGCTTTGACTAAAAGCCATTATGTGGCCAAATTTGACCCCGATATCTCTTTGTTGGTGTTCCACAGTAAGAATGATCACGTTAACTGGTATGAGGGTACCAAAAAGTTTTATGATTTATTGAATGATAACGTGCACAAGGAATTGGTGTCCTTCGATGATGCTCAACACAGTCTTTGTATTGAAGTGGACAAGTATGTTGATCAATTATTAGAGAAGATTGTAGAATTCACATCAAAGTAAATGCTTGTGTGCTTAAGGTGTGTTCATATAGTTTGATGTTTATTTAAATTGATGTTTCCCTCTAAGTGCATACATTAACCCGAAGTGGCTGCGACAGTTCTTCCGGTGATAGGAAAGCATATTTGAATAATCTCTAGCTATTAGGATCTTTTTTTACGTATTAAAGGTATCAGTCAAATGGGAATCAATACTACAACAAAGATAAGCTCTTCCTAGAAGAAGTACCCATTTTAAAAAGGAGATCAACATCAATTAGCCTCTGCGGCTCTCTCACTGCCGTTCGCATCTCAGAAAACCGAGATCTGGTGATATTTCTACGATTGCATAAACCAAATATTGCAAAATAAACATGCAGTAGAAGCAATCGGCATGGGTTATACGATCAAACAGAAGATAGATATATGCCTTCAAGCAGAAGCCCACCCCAATATGACACAAGCTGAGCTTGCACGATGGGCGAAAGAAACCTTTAACAGCCCTACTCAGCCAAGTCAAACTACGATTTCTAGGATTTTGAGCAGTAAAAATGATTTGGTGGCTTCCAAACAGACAGAGTTCACGTTGGTTAGAAGGCGTAAGAGACTGAATCCCATACTTCGACAGATTTTGACCGAGTGGGTCACTCAATCTATTTGGGAGAAACTCCCCATGACTACACCTATTATTCAATCCACTGCTAATGCGATATGGACACGTTTACCAGTGGATGTGAAGAATGGAGACGGTATTTTTCGACTGAAATGGTGCTATCAGTTCACAAAGAGTCTTAATATCAATTTAACGGGATCTGAGGAAGATATCGCTCAAAATTTTGGGTACAAGTTGAATAAGATTTGGCTTTTAGATGATAAGATCGAGTTAAAAACGTATCTTTCAAACTTGATTGCTAGGGACGGGTACGGCCCCAAAGACATATTTACAATTGATGAGTTTCAGCTATTTTACTCGCTGCCCTTGGATCAAATTTTTGACATCAATTCCATTGATAAAGGATTGAAACAATCTTCGAGCTCGACTGAAAACTCGTTAACAATTATGCTTGGAACTAATTTAGATGGTTCTGAAAAGTTGACTCCATTGATCGTGGGGAAACATGACAAATTTGATGTCTCTCAAAGTTCGGTAGCGTCTTTGAAGAACTTTCACCGCAGTTATTTGGATACTTCGGCTCATGCTCAGGTCAATCTTATGAATAAGATAACTGAAACCTATAACATTTTTTACAAAAATAATATCAATAAGTGGATCACTTCAACCATTTTTCACAACTACTTGCTTACTTTGGAACACAAACTAGCAAATAATTCTCCTGGTCGGAAGATTTTGATAATTCTTGATGATTCATCTACTCACAGAATCCTCAACTTGAAGTTCAACAACATTAAATTGATATACCTTAAGAATAATACCAACCACAAGTCTCCATTCAATTCGCTATTCAATGGAGTGAACTTCGATTACTGTCCCATGAACTTTGGAATTGTTCATGAGTTCAAGGTCCTTTACAGATTACAACAATACTTAGAGATGATCAACATCCAGCAAAGGCTACATAAGCAAGCCCAAAAAAACAATATGAACTTTGGTGTCGACTACAAAATCGACTCCAACTCTTTAACTACAGACGTGCTTTCCGAATCAGATTATGCCATTCCGCTTGTGAAAGCAATTGAGTGGATTAAACGAGCCTGGGAGTCAATCACTCCAGAAAGAGTTTTATCAGCTTGGCACCGAACACATTTAATTAACATCCAGAAAACCTGGCCCCAGGACTCAAAATTAATCTTGATGTTGGGCGGCGGTACTAAGTCTTTGGATGCGTCTAAGGGCTATATGAAACTCGATGAGATTATGAAAAATCTTAATGTGGTACTACCTTGGACAACTGATGAACTATTGGGCTTGGTTAACGAAAGGTCCAAGGCCACCTTAAACTATATTTCCATTGATGAAATTGTGACCAGTTGCCTTCTGGAGTCGAGTCTTACTCATGAACACGATACTAATGATACTGAAAACAAACCATCAGCTGATGATAATTGGGTGATGAGCCAAATGCTCAATCCATCGTTGAACGAATATAATGACTTTCAAATACTTGATGATGCCAACAATGTCGACACGGTTTCACGTACGATTAGAACTGATTCAGGGCCACTAATACCAACCATGAACAATCTTGACTTGGCCCTAATTAACCCAGTCGATATCCCTACTACTGTCACAGAAAAGAGAGACAAGTTCAGATTGGGACTTGATAATAACATGTCTATTAAGGCATTACTAACAGCAGCTGACGAGTTGAGAGATACCGAACCTTCACTTAGGCATTTGGAAAGTTTTCCTAAAGAGTCACAAACTCAACTCTTGAAGCATAAGCTCTCTCACGAAATACAAGGGTCTACAGATGGAAAAAAAAGAGCCTGTCATATCCCTGCAGTAACTCCAAGCAGTCAATGGAATGACTCTTTACCATCTTCTGCCTCCTCATCTCCGTATAGTGGGCCTGTACAGTTCCCAAGGGTATTCTCAGGTATAACCTACAAGTCTTCTTCTGTCAGCAATCTTCAGAACTACGGTAAAAGCTTCAACGATAAAGAGCTCCTCCAGCTGATCATTAGGATTATCGAGGCTTCACAGACAGGATACTTACCGCTTCTGAAAGATGCAGTTGAAGATTTGAAGACTAACTTGAAGACGATTCAAAGTCGACAAGAACACAAGAGCCAACACCAGACATAAAAAATAAGTAGCTACTCACATCCTTCACTCCGAATGTCATAGCAAATATAAACAAGTATATTTCATCATATGTACAGTAAAAATCATTAATAGACCTAAGCTTCTTCGGTGATACCCAACTCTTTGGCTCTTTCCTCCAATCTTCTTCTTTTCTCTTCCCTCTCCCTTCTAATTCTAGCTATTTCTGCCTGGATTTCGTGTCTTTCTTTGGGGATTTGGTTCAAAGTGGCAGGATCAGGCCAGAATCCTGGTAAGTTAAACTTCTCATCTGAGTTTATACCTGAGTATATCATCACCAAAATAGGGGTAAAAAGGTAGAACCCAAACTAAAAAGTTAGTATATTATGATTCTAAAACGTCTCTGCACCGGCTTTAGTACATACCTTCCCTGTTTCCAACTGGGTTCTGGTTATTTTGCTGATAAATCTGTTAAACATGTTTTATCAAATTTTCTGACGTGATCGCGAAATCTCAAAACGCTTATTCGATACGTTTCTCACTAAACACACATAAGTCAGCATGTCTGAATACACGCCAATTGAGCTGGATGTGTCGAATAACAGAGGACCCGCATACACAGATACTGCCACTGGAAATATGGGAACCGCTCCATCTAATACCAGTGAATGGACGTGGGCTCAGAAACTCAAGGAATCATCTCACCCGGTAGCCTTGTTAGCATTTTTGTTCTTCAGAATAGCTCCAATGTTTGTCTATATATTTGGGAATTTTTTCATTGGGTTCATCACCAAAAAGAACCGGTTCATTTTGCATTTCATTGTATTGATATTGCTTGTGACAGCCGATTTCTGGAACTTAAAGAACATTTCGGGGAGGCTATTGGTAGGTTTAAGATGGTGGAACGAAGTGAGCCAAACGTCCCCAACTTCTGGAGAATTTGAAAACGTATGGGTGTTTGAGACAGCCGACCCCAATAGATATATTAATCCTATCGATTCCAAAGTTTTCTGGTTCTTGTTGTACGGGCAACCGGTTGGATGGCTATTATTGGGAGTATTAGCGATCTTAAAGCTTGAATTCTTATATTTAATCTTGATCATCATTACTATAACATTATCATTAACGAATGCCGTGGCCTTCACCAGATGTGACAAATTCGGCAACGCCAACAATGTTGCCACCAGTATCTTTTCAAAAGCAGCTGGGTCTTTTGTTTCCAGGTTTAATCCCTTTGGCTAATGCCTGAAGATGCTCCGAAGTCTCTTCATATGGGTACTGCCATTTTCTAAACTAGTCGGGTTATATTCAATGTACACTATTCCATCACCATTATAGATCAGTGACTCGTCAAGGTCTGTGTAAGTCTTCCTCGTCTTTATCACCCCTTCACTAACTCTTTTATCGAATTCACTTTGGTATAGATTGATATTCAGACTCCCCATTACAAGTGTTGGTGGGTCATCATGGTGACTAGAAGATCGTTTTATATCCCGTTGGCCGTCAGCAAGATCATTTGATTTTTGGTATTCTTCTGTTATATAAGCATTCTTATCTGCCATACCCTCAGGAACTATCGGGATATCAATATTAAGAGAATTTAGCGGATAAGGGGAAGTGCACCTGAACCAGTGACCCAGCTTGTGGGGTGGGGTTGGGGACATAGTCTGATGGGATCGGTTTTCACGCATGATACGCCGTGCAGAATATTGAGATGAACCGACTGGCAACAGTGACACAAAAGTGTCACTGACGGCAGGGAATAAGTTTATCTCTGTGGATAGGGTTGGAAATGGCTCAACCTCGGCTCTGATTCTCAAGGGCAACGGGAACCTATGGGGAGGAGAATGGCCAAAAAACTGTTCCAAGGCCTGGTCTATCATGTCGTCTGAAGCTTGTGTCTTTCTGTAGAAAGGCGTGAATGCTAAAGGATTATGGAACAGGACGCTGGTAAGATTCCGCAATGTATTCTTGTATTTTCTCAAAGAGCTTGTGGTTGATTTTTGTCTTGTTGCAAACGGTTGCAACAAAACGTTTTTGAACGAAAACCGCCTATCAATGGCTGCAAATTCTTCATTCACCATGGTCGGGTTAACTTGAAACATCTCAGTGGAAGAAACAGCCATTTCTGGTTGGGGTTTCATGACTCTTGTTCTTGTAGTATCAAAATAAGGGGAAAAAAGTAAACTATATTTGTGGATTCCTCACACCGAACACAAAAATCATAAATCGTCGTTAGCTGATTTGGATTTTAAATAGTTGGTGAGAAACTGTAAATGCTCAAGTTTCTTATCAAGATTAGTGTACGCAGTTACAGCCATGCCTTGAGGAAACATTTCAGACTGGGACTTGAAGACAGGATTGGAATCAAGAGAATCATTATAGAATAAAATTGTTTGGAACTTTCCAATGAGCTCTTTGAATATAGCATCATTTGTTTCGATTTCATATCCTTTAAGTAGGTTTCTCCTGTAGCCTTTAGAAATGGCTTCAGATCTACCGTATATCAACTTCAAAATCAATTGGTTCATGAGGTAATTCAACTCGTTATTTTCGTTGATTTTTGAAACACTATTCTTCAATCCTTCAATCTTAACGTTGTTTGGAATACGTTTGAGAATCGAGATTGGATCATAAAATGGATTGGACTGGTCATCAGCAGTCTCAATCAAAGCCTTGATGAATGCGGGTCTGGTCATTGATTCATCTAACAATATATTCCATGCCTCTCGATCATTCTGGTGCTTGGCAAAGTTGATAGCTACTTCTGGGTCATTTAATTTATCGATAATTAATGTCAACGCCTTTTTGTTCTCTCCAATCTTACCTAAAAGGTACACAAGCTCTTCAATAAAATCAGATGACTCACATATGCTGATGGCCAAATCAATGTCATAGTCACTGCTTCTCATCAAGAATGGAAGGAGTTTGGGTCTATCAAATTCAGAATATAACTTGACTCTCTCATCACCAAAACTTGAGAGCAAAAAGTCATCAATATCATTCAACTTCTCCAAATAAAGGTAGTTTATAAACGTCAAGTGCTGCTGCTCCATCAAGTTGAAAATCAACCTAGTATTTAATTCGTGTCTGTGGTCAACCAAAACTTGAATCACATCTCGTAGCTTATTCTCTAATATTTTCAAAGGTAAATTGTTGTACTCATCATCAGAGAACTTCAATTTAATGATCTGAGGAATATCGGACAAGAAGTTAGTCAAAAGGTGGTTATCAGCCAAAAACATGAATAAATTAGGATCCTTCAACTTCATTAGATGTTCAACAGCCTTTTGAGGTTTATAGGTCTTCACATAAAGATCAGCGAGACATTTCCGAAGAATGCTGGATTCAGAGCCCTCAAGAGAAGTCTCCATCAAACTTTCAACTTTCTTTGAATCATAAAGTTCAACATCCCATTCGCTAATCAATTCGACAGTTTTGCTCACATTCTTTCCAATCCAGTAGGAAAGAATACTATCATAAATTGAAGCCGATAAAGAAAACTTTGGAGACCTAGGAATAACTTCAGTCAATTCTTTAATATGATTGGCTTGGATGAATATAGAACTCCAACTCTCCCATTGCAGAACCACATTCTTCACGAAGTCTTCATCATACGACATAGAACTGCTACTATTATTAGACTTTACAGTTTTTGTTGTGAGAATGGTGCTTCTAGTATCGCCATCAGGTAGTTTGTCTTCATCTAAGAACAAATATTCTGCCAAAAGCTGGGAAGCAAGTTCCCAACCGTCGTCTCTTACCAAGTTATCCACATGTTTAAGACCCAAGTTCAAGCGCTTTTCAGGACTAAGTAAATGTTCACTTATTTCCCATGCGTCTCTATACCGATCGTGACTAATGTACCAATCGAGCCTATCATTTAATTGGACTTCTTGAGCGATAATCCCATCCTTTGCACTGACAACGAAATAACTGGTACTGTCCAGACCAATATGACGGTGCAAGCTATAGTCATTCAATCCGAGATTATCGATATTCTTCATGCCGATTTCTTCCTCGAAGTCAACCTCACCATTCAATGAGTTTATCAATTTCAAGTCAGGATAATTGAACTTTACCTTTTCATCACCATCGGCAGTTGGAGGCTCATAAGACAATATCATCCAGTAGTCATCGGTAAAGCTCGAGATCCCAGCAATTAAACTGTCCAACTTAAATACATGTTCTATCTCTACCTTTTTTTCTTGAACAGCTCTAAACGAAATAGTTGCAGCTGAAGGGAGAATCCTCGATTTATTTGAAGCCATTTCACTCTTATCTTCAGAGGTCCGAATAGACACACGTATGCACCAGATGTAATTTGCCCAGCCAATCAAAACTCTATCCATCTCTAAAGAGTGAACTCGAGGCCAGTATAAGTCACTTCTAGGGGAGTCTTCTGGCTTGTCGATTACCTTGATAACTTGTCTAGCTTGGGTATGGAAAATAGAGATTCCTTTATCGTTCATCCATAGCAAAATGTCATCAACGGAGTGGATAGCAACGATAGGACCGTTGTTCTCGTCCAACACGATATCAGACCGTTGTCCGAGCCAATTCTTACTAGAATGAATTACCTTACCTGCCATTCCTCCACTAACAAAGCTTCTGGTTCTTGAGTAGTTGGGGTCAAGTACAACAGCATGAATAGGTCTTTTGAAATCATAGGCTATTATATCCTTTTCGTCTTTGATTGACCCAATGACAATGGTTCCGTCCATTGATCCAGAAGCAAAGAACTGCCCATCAGTATATATAGAAAGAATAGACGCTCTATGGGCCTTGAAAGTTCGTATGGTGGTGAAATTAGGGTCGGTGACATGAATTATACCCGAGTGGGTAGCAAAAATATAGTAATCATCGTGAATATTACAACATGAAACAGGGTCTCTGGAGAAGAAGTTAGGCGGGAGACCAGTTATTCGGGAATACTTCAATTTAGGAGGTTCATCTTCTTCATCGATGCTGTAGGCATCTATCTCTTCTGTTCTTTGTATATCAGCTTCGCCAGGAACGTCATTGGAGTCGTCCTCATCACTTCCATAGGTCGTTTCAAAGGTTGTGTTCCCTACCGTGTCGTTATCATCATCTGTTTCTGGAGCTTCTTCAAGATGGCTTGTATAAGTTGAAACAGGTTCATTAATGCTGACAGCAGTATCTTTTGTACTATGAAAATTCCTGTTGGCTTCTTCAATGGGGTCTTGACCCTGTTGTTCATCTACGTCTTCTGTATTTGCTTCCATTCAAGTATCTTTAGTTGTAGAAAACATATCGCGAACTATTTTTCTGTCGTTTGATTTTGGTAACTGATGGTGTCTGCAACAGGAGGAACGCTAGTACAGTGTGACCCGAGTATCAGGGCATTGATTTTACAAATGGATGCAGAGAGGAATGATATCGTTCTCCAAGAGTTGGATGATACCCATTTGTTCATTGTGACTGACAAGGTTCCGTATGTGAAACAAGAGTTGAACCAGATGCTTTCAAAGAACATCTATAATCCATTCGAGGAGGATGGTGAGTAAGTGGAGACGATCAAGAGACATTTACTACGACAGTGATGTACTTTATTACTATTCATGAGGTAGATTATTGGGTTTGATCAATGCTTTTCCTAGAACTTTGCTCGCCAGGAGACAGTGTGTCACCATTTGGGTTGAGGTAGATTGATTTGCCATCGTTGATGTTGGCAGGAGGATTCATAGCATCGTCAATGTTGTTGGAAGTACTTTGCGTAACGTCATTAACGTTCGTTTCTCCTTCGTTGACAAGTTGATTTAATTCCTCATCAAAATTCAATAACGGCTGGATATCTATTAAATTATTGTTCAAGGAGTCGTCGTTTAATAATTCATCCACAATGTTATTGAAGAACACGTTGAATATCTCCGGTTCCATTATGTCGTTTAAGTCCACATTGGCATGTTGCAAGGAGTTATAGTAGTTTTGATAGTAGTTAGTGAGGATTTCAATAAAGTTGTTGAAGAGAATTCGGAGAATGTTGGAGTCATTGAGATAGTTGATAATCTGGAGTTTGAACTTGGGCATAAACTCGTTGACATTGACTTTGAATTGCTTGAACCCTTCAATGGCCTGTTCTTCGTTGGTGTTGGGCCCTGTCAATGGGTCAATAACGACATTAAGGTACTCAATCAACAATTCATTAATGGTATTGTTGATCTCCAACTCAACTTCCAACTTGGCATCCATCATATTGTTTATGACCTTGGGGACTGTCTTTCTGATCAAGTTAAACCAGCCATTTTGATTCAAGCTGATCATTATTTCTCCATTTTTAATCAAATTATACAATTCGTTCAAACCACTAGTGAAATCCAATGATGTTTCGGTCCTGACAAACTGGATATCAAAATTGTTCAACTGGTACTTTAAGATAATAAGATTTTTTAAGAAGAACAATTTGGAATCGACTTTGCCTGAATACTTGAGACACAATGCAGCAGCGGTCCTCAATATTTCGATACAACTGTGGACAATGTAATGAGCTATATCGTCAAAAACCACAGAGTTTATAAGTTCGTAGATGTTAGAAAGTATCGTCAAGGCCTTTCCTAATGGCAAATACAAATCTTCAAACAAATTGTCACTGAATTCTTCCTCAAGGGTGTTTTTCGTCAGTTTCTTGTTTCCGATGTTCAAATCTTCTGGAGTCGGCTTGTATGGAACAAGCTTATTGTCAATATACAACTGGATCCGAAATATGAGTCTTGATTGACAGTCATTAAGGATAGGTTGGAATACTTCTCCAAAGTTTATTTCATCTTTGTTTGAATCTGGATAAGAGTCTTCTTCAAACTCATAGTAGTTTTGTAATAGGTTTGTCAACTGACATAATAAACTTATGTTTGATTCCTTAAGTATCCTTTGTCTTATAACGTCATAAAATGGGTCGATAAGATTCTTAAAAAAGTCGTATAACTGGGAGTATATGAATTGAGGAATCGGGGTTTCTTCAAACCCAAAAAGCTGCTTGAAGAGTTTAAACTCTCTATTCAACAGCTTCTTGATGACTGATAAATTATCCTGAGTGTACTTTACGAGTTCAGTAGAGTTGATCTTGGACAAACTACCAGAGTAGTTGATCAAACCCAACCTAATTCTGAAAAAGTTGTTTAACACTTCGAGTAACAAACCCTTATACTCTAACTCATGCTTCTCTTCTATTCTGATGATGAATATTTTGATCAAGTTCAGGAAACTGTAAAACTCTTGGTTATACTTCTCAATATAACTTTCGAATTCATGGTATACTGAAATTGATACCAAGTCTTCATTAGAATTTACTAAGCTCTCCAACTTTCTCAACTCGTTATTGAGATAATCCTTTACCAAAGTCAAGTATCTTGTCATACACTGTCTAAACTTTATCTTGTAGATTTCGATATTTTTGAAGTAGATGCTGTTCACCTTATCGTTGCTATGATTTAAGAACTCCAAGGAACTACTCAAATTTTCCAAAATTTTCTTGAAGGACTTTGATCTTATCAACCTGAAGTTATTGGGTGAGGACAACTTCTTTGTGATCTCATCCAAGTTCTCGAAATTCTTCAAGATTAAGCTGACAGACTCTGCCTTCTTATTCAAGTCCTCTTCTTTCTTACTCAATTCCGTTGCTTTAGAATTGAAATTTTGGGTCTTAGAAGTGATGGCCTGATAGTCCAAGTTTATATCTTGCAACTGGATCAGCAAAGAATCTATATCAGTTTGAAAGTGGTTCAATTGGCTCAAATTGACATTCAAGATCTTGAGAAAAGTTTGCACCTCATGTTGACTCAACTGGTTGATTCTGTTTACACGATCAAAGTCGTACTCCACCGAGCCACTGAAAAGTTCCTTTTCAAGAACACCAGCCCATATCTTGTCGAAGTCGGATTCTGTGAAGGGATGGAGGAGATGTAGATCTTTGGGCAGCTTGTTGAACATTGGAAAGGATTTCGATCTGACCACCAGCGGGCGGGACGAGTCTCTAACAGAATCATCTTCCGAGGAGCCATTTGACTCGTGTTCATTGAGATGAGGTCCGTCCAGCGCAATGGACTGGACTAAAGACTTGCTTCGAGATCTGGCCATCTAGTGGTCAAAATTACCAGCGGTGCAAAGTATAAGCGCGATTCGAAGTCGCGAACATTTTAATTTATTTATTCAATTTGCAAACAGCACTGATAATGATAGATCCAAGAGATGAGGTGGTGAATTCAGATGAAGAGCTCACTGGAGATGAACTTGAGGAGTTGCTTGACCTTCAAAAGGAGTACGATTTGAAGAAGCAACAACTTTTGGAGAAGAAGAACAAAGATGCCGCTGGGTCCAAGACGTTTATTGAAGGTCTTAACGCAGTCGCAGCCAAACCTATCAAGCTCATTGATTTGGATAAACGATTGTTTGAGTTCGACATTGACCAGGGAAAAAGTGAACCTTGTCATGAGGTTGATCCCTTGTCAAAAGAGATGATGCGAACGCGATACCATTCAGCTCAGACAATTAATGAAACCCTCAAGAAGAACGATATCAAATTATTGAGTGTCAATAGAGCACTCGCCAAAATAGTGAAGCCTGACTTCAAAGAACCACAGTACGACAACTGGGCTTTCTTTGGGTACATAATTGATAAATCAGACTTTCTTACCACTACCAAAAACGAAAAGTACGTTCGGTTCCAAATAGGGACATTTACTAATACCATCTCCCTCAACCTTTTTGGAGACGCGTACAAACGGTACTGGAAGTTAATAGTAGGTGAGTTGGTGATGGTGCTAAATCCAAACATATACAAACACACAAAGGGATTTGACTTTTTCCTCACAGAGAATCTAAACAGTTTGGTGGTGATCGGGGTTATTGAAGGAATTGGCAAGTGTCAAGCACCTGGGTGCAAGAAGTATATCAGTACTAAATTCAAGCTTTGTGAATACCACGAGCTTCAAGAGGAAAAGAAGATGTTGAAGAATAAGCGGATGGAGTTGAATGGGTCTATCAAGCTATTCAATCCTCTTGAGCGAAGTATTAATGAAGAGTCAAGAATCTATCAGAACCGAAGTCAGTTTGATTCTTCAAAGTATTTTCGAGAGGATATACTTCAAAAGCAAGGATCCAAGCGCAAGTTAATGGATGCAAGAGCTAACAACAACTTGGAGAAGAAGCTTATGAAGATGCTGAATACGCCCAAGTTTGAAAAAATTGGACTTTTGAAACTGAGATCCCGTCAACTTGAACAAGCAAGAGCCAAGACGGTGGAGGCCCATAACAACGTTAGAGACGAGTTTCGGTCGCTTACAGAGGGCAAAAAGATTAATTTGGGCATGAGTAAAACAGATAAGATAGCCAAGCGAAACAAGTGGCTGTCAACGGTGGAGACGTTGAAAATGGATCAGAAACAGGTCCGGGAAGCCAGTCGACAAGCCCTGAAGGAGAACAAGAGGCAACAGAAAGCGGAAGAAAGTGATGATGATTTGGAGATCCAGTTTACCCCCCAACAACTCCAGTCGTATAAGCAAATCAGAAAAGACTAGGAAGTCAGTGTACGAGATTCTGTCTGGAGACTATAGTCCAATCATCTGTTGGGGGAAGGTCAAGAGATGTCACATGCCGAGATAAAACTGCTACTTCACTGCATTACTTGGTGCTATAAACAATTACTAGTCAGGCATATGAAAATATTCCCATTAATCTATTCCAATGGCCTTCACACGTATTTCTCCTTGTTCCAAATTACCTACTCACATGCAATTGAATATCCGGAGTTTGTTCCGATATCCAATGCATTATTAGAGAGGGGACTATCTAAAAGATGCACACTCAACAATTTTGTCGACACGCCACGACCTTTGTTTGCGTGAAGACATAACCTCCATGTGAATTATCTAAATCAAAGATATAAATATGGCCCTAAATAGCTATCAGCCTAATTCTCTCCAGATTATTAATATGTCGTTTAAGGAACATTTTTCTGAACATTCATCTAAATGGTACGTCGCTATTCCAGCCGTGTTGGTACTTTATTTAGTACTCTCCAGTATTCAAGCCCGAATATTTGCATATAAAAGAGGTTGCAAAGCACCAGCTTATGCTAAAGGTGGTCGTTTTGGTCTCGTTCTTCTAAAGAACGCTATCAAGGCAAAGAATGAAGGAACTTTGGACAGGTTTAGCGAAGTGTCTTTGGGTGCAACCATGACATCCAAAATTAGTCTTGGTGGTGTAGTGCCAGTTATTCTTACTAGAGATCCTGAAAATATCAAGGCCCTTTTGGGTACTCAATTCAATGACTTTGCCTTAGGAACCAGACATGCTCATTTCAAGCCACTTTTGGGAGATGGTATTTTTACCTTGGATGGCCAGGGATGGAAAGACTCCAGATCCATGTTGAGGCCCCAATTCTCCAGAGAACAGGTAGCACATGTCAGATCATTGGAACCCCATATTCAGCTTTTGCGCAAACATATTCAGAAGTTTGGAGGTAAAGAGTTTGATATTCAAGAATATTTCTTCAAGTTCACCATCGACACTGCCACAGAATTTTTGTTTGGAGAGTCGGTCGACACCTTGAAAGATGCAAGTATTGGTGAAGTACCAGATATAGAGTTTGCTGCCAAGCATCAGTTTGCTGACAGTTTCAATGTTTCTCAGGTGTACTTGTCGACTAGAGCATATTCCCAGATTTTTTATTTTCTTATCAACAACAAGGAATTCAGAGAAAGTAACAGCAGAGTACACGATTTCACCAATTACTTTGTTGATAAGGTATTGGAAAGTGACCCTGAAAAGTTGAGTGAAATGTCTAAGGGGGGATACACCTTTTTATACGAATTGGCCAAACAGACCAGAGATCGTACTGTTTTGAGAGACCAAGCTTTGAACATTTTGTTGGCTGGTAGAGATACCACGGCTGGTTTATTAAGTTTCACGTTTTATGAATTATCTAGAAACCCCGTTGTTTGGGAAACCTTAAGAACAGCTGTATTGCAAGAATTTGGTAGTGGTACCGAAGAAGATATTAGCAACATTAGTTTTGAAACCTTGAAAAAGTGTGAATACTTAAAATGGGTTCTTAACGAAGCGTTAAGGTTGTATCCTTCTGTGCCAAATAATTTCAGAGTTGCTACTAAGAACACCACCTTACCAAAAGGGGGTGGTAAGGATGAAAGTGCCCCCATCTACGTTGGAAAAGGAACTACTGTTGCTTATTCTATCATTGCAACCCACCAAATGGAAGCATACTATGGTAGGGATGCCAAGGTTTTCAAGCCAGAAAGATGGGCCACCCAGAACAAGTTGGGATGGGCTTATTTGCCATTCAATGGTGGCCCTAGAATCTGTCTTGGCCAACAATTTGCATTGACGGAAGCATCTTATGTTGTGGTTAGATTATGTCAGATGTTCTCTCAAATCTCCACCACAGACACCGTTTACCCACCAAAGAAAAACATTCAATTGACCATGTGTTTGCAAGACGGGGCCCACATTAGCTTAAGCTAGTTTTCTATATTTATAAGAAATTAATTTTATATTCATTATGACCACCCGCACCTAAACCCTTCTCTGCGCGTGAGATGAGATGAGAAAATTCAAAGTTTGATGTCTGTGCTCAAGAAGCTCAAAATGTCTAAAATCTGTACCCATTCGGGCTCCTTCCATGCCGACGAGTCTCTTGCTGTTTATATGCTTCAACAATTACCAAAATACAGCCAGTACGATTTAATTAGGTCCAGAGACCCTAAGGACTGGGAAGAAAGTGAGATTGTCATCGATGTGAGTGGAAAGTACGATGGTGAAAAGTACTTTGACCACCATCAAAGAGAGTTCTTTGAAACATTTCCAGGGTTCAGTACCAAGTTGAGTAGTGCTGGGTTAATCTACAAGCACTTTGGACAAGATATCATCAAACACAAATTGAATCTTACCGACAGTGTACAAGACTCCGAGATAATCAAGGGAATCTGGGAAAAGATATACAAGGAGTTCATTGAAAGTATTGATGCTAACGACAACGGAATCAGCAAATACGATGAGTCTGCTACCGCTAGTTTAGAACCAAAATTCGTCGACAGAAGCTTGATGTTGCCAAGTATTATTGCCAACTTAAACCCGCAGTGGTACAACGACCCTACCCCAGAAGACTTTGATAAGCAATTTTTAAAGAGCAGTGCCTTGATGGGACAGGTGTTTGAAAACGTGTTAGAATATCATGGAGTCTCTTGGGTCAAATCCAAGGCTATTGTGGAAGATGCCATAAAAGGTAGGTTTGATGTGGACAAGTCTGGGGCTATTATCAAGTTAGAAAAATACTGCCAATGGAAAACCCACTTATATAATACCGAAAAGGAGCTCGGAATCGAAGAGGCTATCAAGTTTGTATTGTACAAAGATTCTTCCAACAGTTGGAGAATTAGCACTGTTTCTGTCAATAGTGGATCGTTTGAGTTCAGGTTGGGAATCAAAGAGAAATGGAGAGGAATCAGAGATGAGGAGTTGAGCAAAATGGTTGGTATTGAAGACGGTATTTTTGTTCACGCAAACGGATTTATTGGAGGGGCCAAGTCGTTCGAGAGTGCTTTGAAGATTGCCCGGGAGAGTTTATAATTTATTATATATTTATTTAATCCAAAAACACAAATTAGGAAGAGAGAAGAGGTTTAAAAAAAGATAGAGGATCCAAAGAGTTTCTAGCCCAGTTCTGTTACCACTGTGACTGGCACGCCAAAATCAGGATTATTTCTGGGCATATCTTGGCTCCTGTGTGAAGCCTTGGATTTGGAATAAGCAGCCATTATTGTTGAAAACGTGGGACTAGAGATTTCAGAATGGAGGAGAAGGAGTTGACAGTTAAAGAACCAATTGTTAAGTGAAAAACGTTGGGTATTGTAAAATTGTCGTTTATATAAGGTATGAGGCTTCTAATCGTGACTGACATGAAGGTGCTGCAAGGTGGTGCTTAGGCAGTACATTCAATAGACTAACTTTCCAGAGTCTCACATGGGTACAGAGAGTTGAAATAAGATAAAAACATGTTTCTCATATTTTGCGGCCAAGAACGGTTCTTTCAAAAAATTGAAGCTTCTTGGCGGAATACTTAAGTATACAAAATTCTCGTTTTGTCATTTTTTTTCACAGACTTATCTACTGATTCACAGATCTGTGCTTTTAATACTTTCGTTTAAAGCATATCGTCGTTGTCTACTCGATATATAGCGACTCTTACAGCCAGTTTATTGATTGTCAGACTTTCAACTCGTTTCTAACAATAAAGTCTACTTTAATTGCAACTGTTGAAACTGACAGAAACCCTCATGATTACGATGAGGAATTAAAATTAAGGTGTGTGTCTGCAAATAAAACATTTCAAGCTGAAAATGCTTATCGATGTTCGTATCAACAAGTCCTAGATTATTGGCATGTTGATTTCAATCATGGATTGACCCCACAACAAGTGGAAGAAAATTCAAAGATATATGGTGCTAACAATCTTGGTGAAGAAACCTCGATTAGCTACACCAAGATTTTGGCCCATCAGGTGTTCAACGCGATGATTTTGGTATTATTAATCTCCCTAATCATTGCCTTGGCCATCAAAGATTGGATCTCGGGTGGTGTTATCGGTGCTGTTGTATTGGTCAATATCGTTGTTGGATTCATTCAGGAGATTAAGGCTGAAAAGACCATGGGGTCTTTGAAGTCTTTGTCTTCGCCTTCTGCCCGGGTGTTGAGAGGTGGTGAAGAATTGAATATCAATACGAGCGAGTTGGTTCCTGGTGATATTGTTCATGTTAGAGTTGGTGACACGATTCCTGCTGATTTGAGGTTGATTGAAACAGTCAATTTGGAGTCGGATGAGGCTCTTTTGACGGGCGAATCTTTGCCAGTAGCCAAGGACGCGGAAGAAGTATTGGACGAGGAATGTCCGGTTGGTGACAGGTGTAATATGGCCTATTCTTCTGCTGTTGCGGCAAAGGGAAGAGGTGTTGGTATTGCTGTCGCAACTGGTTTGAACACGGAAATTGGAAAGATTGCATCCTCTTTGAAAGATTCCGACAGTAAATTGATTGTGTTCATAAAACCGGGTTCAGGCGTCAAAGGGATATTTAGTGCTATAGGGCAATCTGCTTACAATGTCGTGATGTATGTTTTGGGGGTTACTGTTGGTACACCTCTTCAAAGACGCTTGTCATGGTTGGCTATCATTTTGTTCTGGATCGCAGTGCTCTTTGCAATCGTTGTAATGGCATCTCAAAGCTTCAGAGTGAACGTTTCTGTGGCTATTTATGCTGTTTGTGTGGCCTTGTCCATGATTCCATCGTCATTGGTAGTGGTTTTAACCATCACTATGGCTATTAGTGCTCAAGTTATGGTCACTAAACACGTCATTGTTCGTAAATTGGATTCCCTAGAAGCGTTGGGAGGAATCAATGACATTTGTTCTGATAAAACTGGTACTTTAACTTTGGGTAAGATGATTGCAAGAAAGGTATGGATTCCAACTGTTGGGACTTACTTTGTGCAAAACTCGAGCAATGTTTTAGATTCTAGGGATGGTGATATTAATTTCAGCAAGTGTAGTCCTCAGTATACCAACGAAACTGACCAACTAATTGAGTTTAATGCAATCTCTTCAATATCCTTTTCTGAAAACGCAGAAAAATGGTTTTACACAGCGTCATTGGCTAATATTGCTAGTGTTAACCAGGTTAATAAAGATGAAGGTCCTGTTTGGGAAGCTCATGGGGATGCGACTGAAATTGCTATAAATGTATTCACTCAGAGATTTGGCTTCTTGAGAGATCAAATTATTCTGAAGGATCTGTTAGAACATATCTGTGAATTCCCATTTGATTCGTCAATCAAGAGAATGTCAGTTATCTACACAGAAAGTGTTACTCAGAAGTCTAGAGTATATACAAAGGGTGCAGTAGAACGTGTATTAGACATTTGCAGTTTCTGGTATGGGGAAAATACCGACAATCAGACTCTTATACCATTGACCAACGAAGACAAACAATTCATCGAACAAAACATGAATGCTCTTTCGAGTGATGGTTTGAGAGTTTTAGCATTTGCAACCAGAGAAATTTGCTTGACTAAAGAGAATAGCGAACGCCGTGAAGAAGTAGAACAGAACCTAATTTTCCAAGGCTTAATTGGGATTTATGATCCTCCTAGACCCGAAACAGCACCCTCAGTTAAGTTATGCCACCAAGCTGGAATTAACGTACGTATGTTAACTGGTGATCATCCGGGAACTGCAAAAGCCATTGCACAGGAAGTAGGTATTATTCCTCGTAACTTGGACCACTATTCTGAAGATGTTGTTAAGGTGATGGTAATGACAGCGATGGAATTTGATGCTCTTTCAAATGACCAAGTTGATTCTTTGCCTTTGTTGCCATTAGTCATTGCAAGATGTGCCCCACAAACCAAAGTCAGAATGATTGAGGCTTTACATCGTAGAGACAAGTTCTGTGCTATGACTGGAGACGGTGTCAACGATTCTCCTTCATTAAAGAAAGCAGATGTGGGTATTGCCATGGGTATGAATGGATCTGATGTTGCCAAAGACGCTTCCGATATCATCTTGGCCGACGACAACTTTGCTTCGATTTTGCATGCCATTGAAGAAGGAAGGCGAATGTCTTCTAATATCCAGAAATTTGTATTGCAATTGCTTGCAGAGAACGTGGCACAAGCATTGTATTTGATGATTGGATTGGCATTTATTGATACTGATTCTTATTCGGTGTTTCCAATGTCACCTGTTCAATGTCTCTGGGTTATTGTGGCCACATCGTGTTTCCCGGCCATGGGGTTGGGTCAAGAAAAGGCTGCGGAAGACATCTTGCAGGCTCCGCCAAATCATAATATTTTCACATTAGAAATTGTCATTGATATGTTTGTGTACGGGTTTTGGATGTCAGCCTGCTGTATGGCAGTTTTCGCCATTGTGGTATTCAAGATCGGTGATGGTGATTTGGGACATAACTGTAACACTGGCAGTGGAACTGGCTGCGAATTGGTTTTTAGAGGAAGATCCGCAGCGTTTGCTGCCTTCACTTGGTGTGCTTTGATTTTGGCTTGGGAATGCATTCATACTCGCTTTTCGCTTTTTAACATGAGGCCTTATTCAGAACTCCCTTGGTATAAGGTTTTGGCCACAGACTTATGGGATAATACGTTTTTGTTTGTCTCTGTGCTAGGAGCAGCTGCATCCGTATTCCCAGTGGTTTATATACCTGTGATTAACAACAAGGTGTTTTTACAAGGACCTATTGGCTACGAATGGGGCCTTTCTGTCGCATTCACTCTAGTGTTCATATTGACTGTTGAATGTTGGAAGTGGATCAAGAGAATGTATTTGCGGAAGGGTATTGCACGCAACCCCGAGGACGACATGGAGGAAAACCATCCTTTCCACAAATATTCCAGTTTCTCTAAATCCAGTGATTTTGTTTAGCATCATACTTGCTTTCAGGTATAATTGTGTACTTTTTTTTCACCGAACTACGGTTTTTTTGTATTATCAATTGTATGTCCTAGTTATATAGAGTCTGTGTTTTTCGCATTTTCGAATTTCGTTATTCAATGATAGAAGTCTCAGTGAACGATAGACTTGGTAAGAAGATCAAAGTCAAGTGCCTTCCGTCTGACACTATTGGTGACTTTAAGAAGATCCTCTCACTACAAATCGGCACGAACCATGAAAAGATTGTTTTGAAAAAGGGAAACCAAATCTTCAAGAACCACATCACCCTCGATGACTATGAGGTGCACGATGGATTCAACTTTGAGCTCTATTATTCGTAAACATATTTAATCGACCTACTTAAGAAGAGCCTTCCAGTTTCTATACCACCAAGAAAGACTTCCTCGACACGCTGAGTTCATCATAATATCCATGTTCCACAAACTCCACACATTCGTCATGTATTAATCATTAATATACATCATGCCTATAGAAAGTAATCAATCTCCTTGGACCTTATATATGCCAGTCCATCAAATTCGTTCACTCCATTCATCAGCTTCCCGTTGACGGTATCTTCATCATTTTGTGGTGAAGCCTCAAATACATTAAAGAATTGTCCGGGAAGTACCTCACGTTTCTCAGTGCTTCCAGTATCAAAGTTGGAATGACTGATTTCAAGCACACTGGCCTTGTTACCACACCTATAACAGTAGTTAGGGGCCAGCCATACTGTTACACATTTTCCTCGCCAATAACTTACGTATCCTTCATTACACAACTGATGAGCCCGTAGAAGCTGTACCAACAGATTGTCATGACAGAACTTGTGCATCACGTCAGATCCAAACAAGTACCCAGCACCCCGTGGACTTAACTTGAAGTCAAGGATCTCCGGATCCGGGTCCGACCACACCAAATCTGCCATTATTCCATCATGCGGAATCTCTTTGAATCGATCCACTGCACGGATCTGATCTATCTGTTGACAGCTTGGCAGTAATCCTCCGTGAGTAGCAAATATACGACCATCTATGATGGCTCCCAATGGCAAATAGTCAAAAACATCGGTAACGTAGCTCCACACCGCACTGCTTCCTCCATACTTGTTCAAAACCTCAGTGTAGAACCCATAGTTCGTGGTGATAGTACGAGACTCGTGGTTACCTCGAATCAAGAAAATTCGATCAGGGTATCGTAGTTTTAGACAGATCAAAAGGGAAATGGTTTCGACAGAATAATACCCTCTATCGACGTAATCACCTAGAAAGAGGTACGTTGTGTGAGGTGTCGGACCTCCAATACGGAAGATCTCCAAGAGATCATGGTACTGTCCGTGGATATCCCCCACAAGTGTTATGGGTGATTGGAGAGTCATGACATTGGGCGTTTCTAACAACGCCGATTTGAGCTGGTGACAAAGTAGCTGGATCACGTGCGACAGGAGGAGCTGGGGTGAGCTGTGATCAAGAAGCTGCGATAGACAGTGATCGAGGTCCGTTAGGGACGACATTACAGGGACTGTCATCTTGTATCCGTCGAGTCTCGCTCAAGCTGCTGTTTTAGATTTTCGCGATCGCAAATTTTCTATTACCATCGTCTACTGCTATCTAAGCTAGGTACCTGTCCACAGCTGTTGAGAAGATTTCAAGACCAGCGGTGATGACTTCGTCTGGGACATTCAAAGCAGGGACAAACCGAATGACGTTCATTCCAGCACTTAATAATAATAATCCATTGTCACGACACTCAGCGATGATTTGGTTAATATCGACCCTCTCATCAAATTGTAATCCCAACAAAAGTCCCCTTCCTTTGACTTTAGCAAGGTCTGGATAGCGTTCAGCAATCTTTCCAAGACCAGCCACAAATTTCTCCGACTTCAACGTTACTCCTTGCAAGAATTCTTTGTCACTGACTTTATCAACCACAAACAGACCAATTTTTGCACCCAAGGGATTACCACCATAAGTAGTTCCATGGTCACCAACCTTCAATACATTCTCTATCTTTTCATTGATCAATGTGGCCCCAACCGGGAACCCATTTCCTAAGGTCTTGGCCATGGTGACAATATCTGGATGTCCTTCAGTTGGAAGTGTAGAATGAGCCCACAAGTTTCCAGTCCGGCCCAAACCACATTGGATCTCATCGTAGATTAACACGGCGTTGTTTTCCGTACATAATTGACGCAACTGGATGAGAAAGTCTCCATCAATTGGAGTGACACCACCTTCTCCTTGAATGGGTTCAATTATTACTCCACAGGTTTTGTCGCTAATAACAGCCTTGACACTTTCGATATCTCCAGCCTTAGCCACCTTGACCCCAGGAATTAATGGTGCAAACGGTGCTTGGTACTTTGGGTTAGGAGTTACAGATAATGCACCCATAGACCTCCCGTGAAACGAGTTTTCAAAAGTGATGAGCTCAAACTTATCTTCACTAAAGCTTTTTCCATGTTTTCTGGCAAATTTGAGAGCAGCTTCGTTGGCTTCGGTTCCTGAGTTACACAAGAAAACTCGGGAAGCATCGTGCATTCCTCCACTGGCGATGGTCTTCGTCACTAACTTGTTGCACAATTCTCCAGCATGCAAATTGTAAAATAAATTGGAACAGTGAATTAATGTGCCCGCTTGATTCAGGATTAATTCGGTAACATCGGGATTAGAATGACCTAAAGATGTTACAGCAATACCTGCAATAAAGTCAATATACTCCTTGTTTTCCAAATCATACAAATATGACCCTTTTCCGTGGGTAAATACAATATCTGGTCTAGCATATGTAGTAGCTGTGTATGGCTTGATGATGGTATTGATGAAATCTTGACTCTGAGAAAGAATTCTGTGAGACTGATGAAACTTGCGGAAGCTGTGAGCCCGTCCGTTGATTTTAAATGTTGTTCTAATCATACTGGTAACACTACAAAGTATATTTGGGAATCAGATCTCGAAAAAATGAAAAATGTACTTCTTTGCTGAGATTTCGCATCGCGCTTGATTGACTCATGGTTACCCTTTTCGGACTACCACAAACTTTTATATTTTGGATACATTAGCGGTATCGGAAATTTCAATGGTACAAGTCTATGACTCACGTTCTATCTATATCAGCTGTAAGTTCTAACTTGAAATTACCTCGTTGGCGTCTTTGGAGTTTACGATTAATCAAACGACTCACCTCAAATCGAAAAATGGCTTCCTCGTCTACAGAAGCGCCTGGCATCGACACCTTAATTCCAACCACAAACGTATCGTAGTTGAACTTGGTGATGAACAATCTATCAACCTTATGGCTCTTCTTGAACATTTCCAAGCCGCTGATTTCGTTTAAGATTGACGCCTTAAGTTTGTTGTACACGATATTTGTGCTTGGGTACGATAAAAGTAGAATCTCCCCTAGGGCTTTAACTAATTTCCAGCCTGTGAGACAAAACAATAATGAAATGATTATAGACGCCATTTCGTTGAGGTCAATTTCAAATTGCTTCAGAATAAATCCAGACATTATGGGTGAAAGTACCAAGAATACTGCGTACAGCAAAGTCAATATGTAAGTTGGGTTCTTAGTGATGATACTGGCAAAGTCTTCAAGTTTTTCAAAAGTTTTGCTCAGCGTGGAAGGAAGCTCGAGATCATCTAGTAATCCCATATTGCTCACATTTCTATTATGGGACGGAGTTTCCTTGATGATTTTATTGATCTTTTTCGCTGCCAAAATATAGTTCGAGGTAATCAAGGTGATGGCTATCGTTGATACCAACACCACATAGTATACTAACAAATTCGTCACATTGCTGTCGGATCGATGTACATGATGGGAACCCCCATGGCCATGGTCTGAGTCTTCACCCATGTTCAAAAGAACTATAATAAACTCTTCGCATATGTGGCTCAATAAGTCAAACCCCACCATAACCAAAGAAGCCCCTAAAGCAAACCCTATGAGCACTTCAAGTCTTCCTAATCCAAAAGGATAAACTAGCGAAGCATTGTTCCAAACATCAAAGTTTGACATGATTTCCACTAATATGATTACTATTGAACCCAAGGAATCGTAGAAAATCAAATGAGCTAGCGTCGAAAGCTCTTGTTGTTGAATTTTGTGTCCCGACAAAAACACAAGCAAGGATAACATTAGGTGCACTGCAGACCATCCCAACTTGATCTTCTGGTCTTTAGTTATGGACGCTATTGACTCACTCAAAGTAGGAATGGGGAACAGGTCTGTGATCGTAGATAAATATTCATTATCAATATTAGACGGCGTTGGTTCTTGAAAAAAGTTCATTGACACCGACGAGTGCTTGTATTTATGTCCTTTTCTATGAGCCGGTTTCACTGATAAATTGTTGTTCATCAGCATTTCCTGAGACTTGAAATTGAACGGTTGGTACTGTTTTGTGGGCGACGACGGGGTTCTTACCGGACTTTTGGACCTGAAGTGCTTATTAGACCGTGACGGTGAAGTTGACCTCGTAGGTGAACCTGATCTTGATGAATATGGGGGGGCTATTATTGGAGGAGGAACATAATTTCGTCTGTGGTTATTTCTTGATACTGGAGATTGTAAGGAGATTGACAGGTTTGGGTTCGGGTACGGACTTTCTTCGTTTTTGAACACATCGTCGCCAAAAAATGCAGATTTAGGACGTGGTTTGGAAGAAGAGTTAGGCCTCATGATTGACGTTGGAGAACTAAGACCAGAAATGGAGTATCTTCGGCTGTGACTAAAGTTAATGATACTTCCACTGGACGCATTCGGTGTGGATGGACTGCCCTGGATGTTCAACAAGTCTTCTTCTACTTCTGCAATAGAATCAGTTGAAAAGTTGGCGCTGGTCAAAATCCCAAAGTTATTCTGACGTTCCTCAAACGGGGGGTTTCGATTGATTTTATTCACTAAGGGGGATGATTCCACACTAGATATATCATTGATATCATCAATTTCTTCCTCGTACGAGTTCAAAGAATCGTCTATACCAAACGGTTCTCCTAGCTGTTTGTTCATATTGATGGATGCCACGAAGAACTCAAGTGCGCGTTGTTGACCAAATCGTTTTTATATTATACACACATCATGGAGGATTCTGCTTGGTTATATACGCGTCAAAAAGCAGAAGATTGATCTTTCCGTTGTTAATCTCAGGATTAGTATTCTCTAAGATCTCGAAACTGCTGATTTTAAACTTTGGGGGGTCGCCTACTTTTTTCTTCTCTCCAAGAAGGTTAAATGGCTCATTAGAAAACATCGAATCTCTCGATGACTTAACCAAATACAACCCACTATTGTTGAAAATATGAAAGTCTCCACTGGCATTGATTTCGTTTTCCTGTAATGTCACTGCTGAAATGATGTTCGTATCATCTAGATACTTTTGTAAAATGTCATGGTTATCGATATCTGGTAAGTCGAAAATCGCTGCAAACTTTTCGAACTTAGACAATTGTCCATTTGCAACCAAATCTTGACTCAAGAAAACGTTGGATTTCTCTTGATTTGGGGTTAAATTAGATGGCTGACCACTTATACTGGGTGTTCCAGCGTTGTTGTTTGTAGGTGTATCAACAATTACATCCTTGATATCGTTTCTTTTACCTCTTTCTAGATTCAATTCTTGAGCAAGAAGATTCTTACTAATGAGCATTAAATCGTACAACAAGATCTTGAGCTTCTCATTACAACCAGTAAAGTACTCTGATACGAGTAGTCGTTTTAGGTTCACTAAGAAATTGAACCCTTGATCGTGGTTGAGGATGAACTTAGCAATCGACTCTTTATAAATAATCAAGATTCGGATAAATACAGACAATGATCTGTCAATAGATTCGTTTTCGGCTTGCTTTTTGGGCGTCGACATACTATCCAATAAAGTCAACAAATTAGAAAGATAGTCCGATAAACCCCCTAGTACCAAAGTTGTGGTTTCAATGGATTCAATTGAAGAAAAAGAAAACTTCTTGAAAAAGTCAGCTAGTAATGGTAGAATGTCGACTCCGTTAAACTCACATTCAGCCTTGAATTTGTCTTCTAAAAGACGAATATGGGAAAATAATATGCTACTCAATATTGTCAAAACATCTGACTTAAAGTCAGAAGGTAATGAGTTGAAGAGCTCTCCAAAGAATGAATTATCCAATGAGAATTGGAACCGTAACTGTGGAATCATAGTTTCAATGAACATTTTCAATTGGTTAAACCGTTCAATATCCGAGATTTTTATCATTTCTCTTGTTAGAATCAATCTAAACAAAATTTGAAATAACGGTAAATTGAATTCATTAATTTTCAGGGAATTGATTAACAAATCATCTAGCGAGTGAATATTAGTATTCAAACCAGAAACTCGATTAATCAAACTTATGATTTGATCATCATCAAAGTTGACCTTGATATTTTCCATGAAGAACCTAGATCTTGTCACTATCCATTTAGTAAAGAGCTGTTCCAAATTTTGATTGTAAGAGATTGAAAAAGAAAGAACCTCCATTGACTGAGCTTTGATTTCGTTTGCAATGATTTCTAAGGTTTTTGCTCCTTGTTTTGAATAGAACGCAATTCGACTGATTTGAAGAGGTAAAATTTGACCTTCTGTCAAAACTTGTTCTTCTTGAATATTATCACCAATTACTAAATCATGTAACATAGAGTTGTAATTGTAGACCATCTCTTGGTTACTGAAAATAGTGGTGATTATGGTCAATACCTCTTGGATTTCAAGGATCTCATTGGCAATCAACTTCTTTGCAACAATGGTGAACTTTAGCTTTTCTTGTTCATTCTCAAACTTTGGAATTTGCTTCTGAGTGAAGTAAGCAAAGCAATCTATGAAAGGGAAGAAAAACTGTGCTTGTAAGATGTGCTTCGTGTTAATTAAAAGCCTAATAAGTAGGTTCTCTTCTTCCTTTGATAAACGACCACCATATTTCATATAGTAGTCAAAAAGTACTATCGCAAACCTCTTAGACCCATTTTCACCATTGTAAGTTTCATTATTTTCTCCTAACTTCAAAGCGGAGAAAGCATAATTCACCTCACTGGTGGTCATAAACACGTAGCTTTTGTTAGTTAAATCATTGAGATCAGAACTGAATTCATCAATCGAATACTCGGTGCTGGCCTTTCTATTTTCAACTGTATGTGCGTTTAACTTCATTGGAGAATCCACTGTAGCTTTCGAGTAAATAAACTGTGGAATAGTAGCAGGCTTTTGTAATTGAGGATCAGCATTGATGTCACTCCTTGATTTAGTATCAAAGGAGGTCTCTATGAAATCCCATATGGATTTGAAGTTCAAGTATGAGGGCTCCCTAGTAGCCAAATCCTTATAGTTAACCATTATCAACCTGAAGATTTCATAACCCACAGATCCTGTGTCACTTCCAGAGATAGTCTTTATCAATTTGAAGTGTCTTACCATCAATTTTGCAATCAAATACAACGAATCCATGTCTAGAACAATGACTTTTCCATCGTTTCTCAAGACACTCTTAACCAATACTTTGAAAAATACCGCCAAGTTGTCACACAGAGAATATACCTTATATAATAAAGTCACAGTCAAAAACCTTATGTGGATCAATTTTGAGGAGCTGTTGATGATCTTCTTAATTTCTTCTGTCATCCAGTTGACAAGGAGATACTTGACACCAACTTCTAGGTTTTCAAGGTTCTGTAAATTGCAAGATACAAGGGTATTGTTGGCAAATTTATCAATAACTTCCTGCTTAAGGACACTTTGTCCGTGCTCGAACTTATGAGTAAAGTTGATTTGAGGGTCTGACCACTTCTTCAAGATACTATCACATTGCTTGTTATTCAATACCGGGAGGTTCTGCAAAATATTAACATGCATCTTCACAGAAGGATTATTCAACTGAAGTTCAACGCCAGGCTCTGAAAAAAACATTCCCGAGGCGATCAACTTTCTCAAGTAGGCAGAGATACTTATGACTTTCAACTGGTATAGTTCGTTTATCAAAACATAGAGGTTTTGAAAGTTGATCAGCTGGGGTTGACCAGCGAGTAAGTCATAGATGGTATCTAGTATTGAGTTTTCGATGGAAGCTTTGATTTTAGTGATGTATTTTAGGCTTCCTGCTGCTAGAACTCTATGTTTTAAAAATCCACAAAACATCAAGATATTTTCGCTTGAATAACCAGGCTCTCTGTGGATGGTGATACACCAAGTAATAGCCACAGAAAGATTGAGCTTCCAATCAGTATTTCCGGATTTTTGCTTCAAAGAGGGCCTTAATAACTTGGCAAGTTCTTCATTGAACTTGAGCTTATCCAAGTAGTCGATGATCCTGAAAATATCATCCGAGCTTCTGTTGATGAATAGTTCACTTTCAAGTGTATCAAGTTCTTCATATTTCTGCTCTGGAGAAACCACATTAGTTTCAAAAGGCAAGTTCAAAGGGGTGAACCCAGCTGGAAAGGAACTTGTTCTTCTATGGGAGTTTATGAAAGGTTTCTCTTCTTTTGTGGACTTCAGGTGTTTCATATTAAGCATGAGACTTTCATTTCGGTGTTGTATGAGCTGTAGTTGTTTTTGAATATCTTCAATTTCCTGGTTCGACATTAACTCCGACTCACCCAATATGACTTGATAAAGGGTTGATCCAATGAGAATCCAGTAATTGGGAATGATAAATGCATTTGTGTTTAGTTTGAACATGTATCTGATAGAGTCCGATATCAGGCCTAATACGCTTTCTTTCAATTTTAAAGATAATGATCGTTCGAGAGTCCCCGGGATTCTGGACTGTTTGGATGTCAGTATAGGTACTCTGGATATAAAATAATAGTTCAATAGTAAGGCTTCACTAAGATCCTTACACAAATAGTCCAACTTGGTTATATCTATCCAAAATACTTGGAGAAGCAATAACGCAAGAAATCGTTGGCCAAAGTTTATTTCAGCATCTCTATGGGTACCAAATTCTTCATCATTAGCCTCAGATTTAGACGATTCCAACAAGAGCTGGACAATATAATGTGGTTCCAAATTCAATCCGTCTTTGAGGAAACGCACAATGGACAGTAGGAGAGTGCTCTTGTCAATCAAGCATTCGATGTAAAGCGTCTGCACATATTTAAGCAAATAATTCAATTTGTTCATGATATCCAGTTTTTTTTCTGGGGTAGAGACCATAGAAAAGTCCCGTGAAAATCGGTACATGTAGTCAACCACCTGATGGGTCCACTCTTGAAGCCATTGGGACTCTAGAGCATCCAGTTCGCCCCTGTTTTGCATCTTTTTACGAATGGCCACGGCGTCTCCATATAGAACACACTTGGTGAACCAAATTGCCCTTGGGATCGGTACCGAGTTAGAGCATAGGACGTCCACTAAAACCTTGTTCTTGAGCCCATGTGGAATTCTCAGCGAGATTTTCAGAAGTGGAACGCTGTCATTAGCCAAATCTGCCAACCACGCTTCTCGTTTTAGAGTCGTAAGAGTAACTTTTGCAGGTAATTTGAAATTGTTGGAATCAGCACGGATCTTGTTGATCACCTCGTTTCTTGTCTTATGAACACCTGCCAAGTGCTGAGATAACTCTTTCAAAACCTCAAAACAGTTCTCTCCACTTGAAAAGAGAGTAGCTTGAATTAGGTTTCTGGCAGTGTAATACTCATTAGGGACTTGAGGAGCTTCAAAAAGACCTTTGTTCAAATAAAGGGAATTGGTCATCTTGTCGATCTCAACTCGAGAAGACTCGTCGTCCATCTGGGTATGATCTTTCCAGGGATGAAAATCGGGATATGTGAGCTCCCTGCCCTTTTTGTGCTTGAGCTTAACCTCGTCTTTGTTGGAGTTGTTGGAGTCAAGTGGATATATGGAGTCTATTGGTTTATCCAAGTGGTACTTCATCAAAGACAACTCATCAGTGCCGTTGAGACTATGGGCCACTTTAGAGTGACTCAACAAGAGGCTATTTCTGCTGCGTGCTTTTGACATGGTGTGCCATTAAATGATAAAGATATTATAGCGCGAGATCTGGTAAATTTCAAACTGGCTTTTGGAGTCCATACATTTATTGATTTTTCTACTTAGTCTATATTCCATTACCAATCGTCGTCGTCATCTTCTTCTTCGTCACTATCTCTGGTGACTTGTCGTTTCTTCAACGCTTCAGCAATAGAGCCGGCCAAAGTAGACTCCTCTTGTTTTTTGGCTTGTAACGCCGCCGCAAGCCCATTGGCAATGCCATTACCATTACCAGAACCTTGTTGGCCAGTCGATTGAGCAGTGGCGTGTACAGCTGTTGGCGGTGGGGGAGGAGGAGGGACAACGTGTCCTCTTGTGCCAAAAATACTGGCTGGAGGTTCACATTTTTCCATGTAAGACAAAGGTGCCCATCCTTCTTTGGTTTCCTCCAAATCCTTAACCAAACCCCATTGGCCATTCTCGTTGGCTACATAGACTATATCGTCTTTCTTAAGAGGAATTGACCCGGCCACCGAGCCGTCGTAGTCAAAGTTCACCTTGTAAGTAGGATACTTTGGAGTTTTGGGTGCTGATACTGCCGCTGGTGGTGCTGGAGGAGGTGGTGGAGGTGCCGCTTTCTTAGCTTGTTCAGTAGCTCTAGGTGCTGGAGGAGGTGCAGCAGCCTTCTTGGCCGGTTTGGCTTGAGGAGTTGGTGGTTTTCTTGCCTTTTGAGGAACTGAAGGAGCAGCAATTGGTTGTTGATACGAAGCTTGAGCGACGGGTTGGTAAGAAGCTTGAGCTGCCGGTTGGTAAGAAGCTTGAGCCGCCGGTTGGTACGAGCGATGAGCAGCTGCTGTGGAAACAGAAGCTGCAAATCCATTCGATCTTCCACTACCTCTATTGTAGTACTTGCTGTAGTCCACTTTACCTGAAGCCCCTCTTGGTCTCTTCGGATTTTTACTACTTCCTGGTAAACCAGCAGCCACGGTAATGGTACCTGATTTGTAAACATCACCATTTTTCGGAGCTGCTCCAACCACCACCTTGACTACATGGAACTTTCCTGGTTTCTTTTGATACTCTATTGTGGGACCGATTTTAATGGTTAAACCAGGATTGGCTTTTTTCAAATGGGCCACTAGTTCAGTCTTAAAATCCAAGTTAATGAAGAGATCTGGGTTGGATGGCGTGGGTGAGTGAAGTGAAAGAGCAAGCCAGTTATCTTGATAACAAGATAATCCGACATAGTTCAAGCCACCAACTGGAAGGGTGAACTCCTTAAGCAATTGAAGCTTTTTCTCCACCAAAGTCTCGGCCACCACGTAGAAGGAGTTCTTAGTCATGATAAAAATTCTTGCAAGTCTCTTTGAAGACCGGCCAAATTTGGCAATGAGGATTTCTCCTTTTGAAGAAAAGATAACATGCTCACTTATTCCTGCTTGATTAACCACATATTTTCCGTAACCTGTTGAGTCATTACATCCGAGATAATCACCCATGAACGCACGAGAGCCCAACATGGAGAACCGGCGACGTTCTTTTCTTCCTTGAAGCAATCCATTTCCGTAGTCTCTGAACTGTTCGAATTTATTCCCATGGGTCTTATTCCTCCAAGCTCTCTGCATAACAATGGCGGCGTCTTCTTTACGTTTGAGGTAACGTCTCCAGGCCCTTTGAATCCTTGCAGCCATATTGTGCCAGTACTTGTCTCTCATGTCTTCCAAGGCAAATAATGTTTCGGGAGTCTTGATGAATACTTTGGTGGTTCCCATTTGGTACTCAGAGTCAGGAATGAAACAAGCCTTAAGAATCTCCTTCACTGCTGAGATATCATCTCCTCTCCAGATGTAATCACCAGCATAGCCTGTTTTGGAAGATAATAAATAGAATCTTTGCACAAATTTATCAAATGTAGTACGATAAGCAAACCCTGCTCTTCTGATTCGGACATTTTCCTTCAATCCCAAGTACTTGACCTGGTGTAAAACTTGTGCATTATCATACTCCTTTGGCCTTTTGGTTTGATTTGGCTTAATAGTTCTGATATATGAAGGTTGGCATTGGGATAAGGTGTCGACCAACAAATTGGCACTCTTTTTGATTTTATCGGATGCTGTTTCGAGCCTCTTCTTGTTGTCAAGTAATGCAGTTAACATTTCTGGAGGGAACAAAACACTGGAAATAAAAGAATTCTTGGAGGTAGACAACATTTCCAATAAATCTCTTAACATGGAATCCTTGTTCTTATCAGTCATTCCACTGACTTCGTAAGTAACATCACCAGCATAATGCTTAATGATAAATTTACCCTTCCGGTCTTCAAAGTGACGACTTGTAGATCCAACCATACCCAATCGTTGAGAAAATACTTGATCAGCAGCATCGGAATCAGCATGGGCAGTTTTGACCGAGTCGTTCAAAGCAGCAAAGAGACCTGGGGTAGGTCTTGTGGCTTCGATCAAATCACACACAACCTTATTGTTAAAGTATTCGATAGGAGTCCATTTAATTTGTTCTTGAACGTATTCATCTTGTTCAGCTTTCAATGTCAATTGAATAAAGATTTGTTGCAACTTTTCGTTAACATAGTTGATACAAATTTGTTCAAAGGAATTGTGTTCAAAGATTTCAAATCCGTAAATATCCAAGATACCAATCGACTTCTTTTCCATTCCAGGGCCTTCACCTTTCAAGGAAACATTAACACGTGCAACAATCCAATCAAAAAGATTGTTGTAAAGACCTTTGGCCAAAGCATCTCTGACGGCTGTAGCTTGCACAATGTTCAAAGGAGAATGGTATGTAGAACCACGACGCATACCATGACTGGTTTGAACAATCTTTTCGGTAATTGACTTCTTGACAGATTCTGCGTCGGTTTCCAAAAGATATGCCACAAAGTTAATGACACTTTCATCCCGAATTGCGGCATTTCCATGTTCGTCTTCCACGTATGATATATTTCCAACCCATAAAATGGCTGCTAACATCCGGAAAATATGGTCCTGCTCCTGTGGGGTTATTCCAATAACCTTCATGGCGTTCAAAGTTTCTTGAAAGTCGGAAGAATCGTTCACTCCATCAACACTAACACAACCGGCAGCAGACGTGTATATATAGGTTTCTGGACCCTGAATGCCGAATTTCTGCTTATAATCATCAGGACAGTGCTTTGTGAATTGGTAGAAAATGTGGAAGTTTCTCTCGTTGGTGATTTGAGACACTACCCGCTGTTTTTCCAATAAATAGTTGGTGATATGAGCAGCCACAGGTTGGTAGTTTGAAGGATTAAAGTAAATCTCCAAGTATTTACCGTGTCGGGAAGAATTATTGTTTCTCAAGGTCTTTGCACATCCGAATGATTCCAATAATGGGTTTGTGGCCAACACCATATCTTTAATTTTCAAGATATCATTATTGGCAAGAGCTTTACCATGATCTTCTACCGAGACGTTAGCGATGTATTGCATGATCTGCTTGGCAGCTTCGGTCTTCCCGGCCCCAGATTCACCAGAAATAATCACACACTGGTTCTCGCCGTACGATTTCAAATTATAATACATGGTTTCAGCAATGGCAAAAACGTGAGGAGGAACCTCCAATCTATTCTTTCCCTTATATTTGTTCAAGTTCTCTTGGGTGTATATTCCAAGGTCTTGAAACGGATTCACTGATATCAACACATGTCCAATGTAGGTATAGATGGTGTTGTTCATAAATCTTTTATGGAGATTATCATTGATGGCATCGTCGGTAATCTTGGAAAGGAGGGTGAGGTCCGATACACCAACTTCCTTCTTTTTGGTGATATCGAATTCAGCCTTCTTAATCCCACTCTTGGCGGGTGGGGCTTGTTGTTTGTCTTTCTTTCGGCCACCTCTTTTGACGACAGCCATTTCAATTGATAGGGGTAAAGAAACAAACAGTTGGTGGAGTTTTTCGAACGCAGATTGGGGGTCATTTCGCGGCTGTGAGACAGCGGGAGCGTATGTACCGGTTAGTGAGAAAGAAGAGAGTGAAATGGAGGGACAAGAAACTGGAAGTTCAGGCTACCGGCGAGCGTACTAGATGAGTGTAAGAGCTGAATGTCTGACGAGTGAACTGAATGTCTGTTTGTTTGTGAATTTAAGATTAACCACTATTCCCAAGTTGAATGATTTGGTGCATACAGAACTGGTATAAGTATAACATATGCTGAAAGGTGCAAAGAGCCAGTGGCATGTGCATAATAAAGGTAAATGTATATTCATGAGTGCACGGTACATATATCGAAAACTGTCCTCCTGGACATCTTGGCTTTAATGAGACCATATTCTCACCAGCTTATCTTTCCCACCACTAGCAACACGATGTCCGTCGATACTCCAGTCTACCGCAAACACCTCATCCGCGTGACCCGGTAAGTCTACACTGAGCTTTCTGGTTCTCACGTCCCAAACCTTCAACGTAGTATCCTTAGAACAACTCACTAAAAGTCGACTATCGGAAGACCAAGCTGTTTGGTAAACAGGTGCAACATGCCCACGAAGCGTGCCAATAAACGTTCCCTTAAGCCCGTCCCAAATCTTGATGGAATTATCAAAGGAAGAGGAAACGATGTAGCGGCCGTCGGGCGAAAATGACACATGGTTGACCAACTTTTGGTGACCGGTCATTCTGCAGATGGGCTTTGATTGTTTCAAAGGCTCCCATAAATACATGGTGAAATCATCGCTAGCAGTGACGATTCTCTCGCTAACACCACCACCAAGCTTTGCAGCCTTCTCATACGCCTGTAAAGCCTTGGCTCGCAATTCGGCAGGGGTGGTATTCTTAATGCTGCTGCGAGAAGAAGTGTGGTCGAATCCTCCTTGACGGAGCACATAATCGGTCAGAAGCGATAAATGGTTAACCCAATGAGCATGACTTCGTAACGTCTGAATACACCGGCCACCAGCCGTGACATCCCACGCCCGAATTGTCTTGTCGTGTGATCCACTGTAGATAATATTGGAACCACTCCACCGCACACACAGCACCGAATTGGTGTGTCCGCTCATAGTCATTTCACACACTCTGGCACTGGTGTCCCACACTCTCACAGTACCATCTTTGGACCCGGATGCCACCCGAGGCACCGCATTGGCTGCTACAAGATGTAACGGTTCCCACGTAAGACTAGTGATCCACTTTCCGTGGCCCACAAGTGGCTTTCCTAGTGGCTTTCCACTGTCTGCTTCCCACAACCGTACTGTGTTATCCATGGATCCGGTGGCTATCATGGTACCACAAGGAGAGTACGATACACATAGCACCCAGTTTGTGTGGCCTGCTAATGTGGCTACTGGCGTATGGGTTTTGCAGTCCCAGATTCGTGCCGTCAGATCACCAGCTCCACTACACATTCTTCCCGAGTCGTTGGGTGAAAACTGGCAACAAAGAATGGTGGATCCGTGGCCAGCAATGGCATTACTTGAACGAGTCACTGGACGCACTTTGAATACGGCTCGTGGCGTATACACTAATGTCATGAAGTCTTCGGTAGTCTTGATTTTGGGCTTCAAAATAGACGAATACACGTTATCTTTGATATCCACCATTTCAACGGAGTCATCCGCCTTCTTGTTGGCCAATGCGAACGTGTATGGCACGGGGTCTTCTGAGGAATTGTGAAGCTGGTTCAAAAGTTGTTCCAACTGTTTTTCGGTGATGCCTCCAGGAACTCTTATGGATCCACCAATGGAGTCTCCAGTATCTGCAGCTTCAAATTTGATGAGAATATTAGGGAGATCAAGAGGTATGAGGTCGACCTCTTGGGTCTCTTGGGCCTCACGCCTTTGTCTTTTAGATGGTGGTGGAAGTAAAGTAGCCATTAGGTTGGATTATTTATTTTCGTTTGTGCGATGAGATGAGATTGATGCAAAAGTGAGAATAGTGAGAAATATATTTTGTGATTTGTGCTATATATGATATGTAGAGCAATTTGGCAGGGTTAAAGGAACAACGGCGTACCCATATCTTGAGAGTCTTGAATTATCAGACTCAAGTCAAGGTGATTAGAGTCAGCAAGGACCCTGTGGCCCTTCTCTTGATCTACATCTGTATTCCCGTTGTCGTTGTCGTTGTCGTTGTCGTTGTCATTTTCATTATTGTTCGCTTCCACTGTTTCAATTTCTGAAAGCTCAACTTCCTCTCTTTCATCAACTGATTGTACTTCTACCTCTTCCGCTAACACCTCTTGACCAGGAAAAACTGCTTCATTCAGAGTAGCAACTAACACGACCTGACTTGTACTAGTGGCTAGTAGACCAGGTTGACTGGTTCCAAGTGTTAGTGGCCCACCTTGACTAGTGCTAGTAGCTAAAGGCATAGACAGAGGGAAAACACCGGGAGATGAGGACAAGTTGTCCAAGAATCCGGTATTTGCTGCAGGCTTTGAAGACGATACTGTTGATACTTGCACCAATGATGGAGCCGGTAAGGGTTTAGAAACTTCACTTAAATCTACCAAATCATTATCCACTATTTCAAAGTAAATGGTTTCGTCGCCGTCCACTCGAGCCCCAAACACCAACTTCTCCTTCCGTGATCGTTTGCGAGTTGCCTCTGGTGTTTTATGATACCAGTCTTTAAAAAACATTACACGTTTTGTTATCACCGCCTCAAATATGCCTGAGCTCAGTCTGTTTCCGGGAGACATCTGGTGGTCAGAAAAGGTCAAAACTAGTCGCCCCTTTGGATGATATTGAGTTGGTGCGGGAGAAGACCGTGAGCCAGTAGATGGCAAGGCTGAGGCTGGAGGTGTTGCCTGAGAGCTATCAAATGATGCTGAGGTATCCATAAACGACAGGGATGGCAAAGACCATGTCTTGAATTTAACATCTAGGCTTCCGGTGATGAAGACAAGCAGGTTTTTATGGTACGCGAGCTGAGAAAGCAAATTGTACACATACGTGACGTGAGACCCATACTTCAGATTAGGACTCTCACGTACCAAGTTGGATATTCGTGGAATTTCTATCATACGGGGAAGTGTACCTTCAATTTCATGCTGTTGGGTATGGTCAATTATAGTCTTATTGTTTGCAGCATGAACTCTCAAGATCATTTCTTGATGACATGAAGATAGTTCAAGTTTATAGAGCTCAAGAAGTTCGTGAAAGTTGTTAATCACCACTATGGTATCACTGGAAAGCGACTGATTGAGCTTCTGAAGGTGGATCACTAATTTACTTACCGTGTCCAAATTATATACTTGGATTTGATGAGAAAACCACTGGGAGTTGAAGTCTTTTCGGAGCTTCATGAACTGTAGGGGGAAATCGTTGAACGTATTGATCATCACCACACGCTTATCTGGTCCCTTTTTCAAATATGACGCTAGCATCTCACAAATCACCATCTCCATCAGCAGGCTGCTAGGAACCACTTGGAAGTCGTAAACTCCCTTGAGACCACCGCCGAGTAACTTTTCGTCTAACGACGGCACCCCTGTGGTTATACCACTCCATGCATTTGGTAGAGACTGCTGCTGGACCATACTATAGAGGGTCACCATGACTGTATACTACTAACACGTCCCCAGTGCCATGAGGTTCGGATGCACTAACGCGCACCTCAATCGCACGGTAGTCGCATTTTCTTGCACACAAACCCCCAGTCGCACTGGCGAGTAAAATATGTTGAATCCTTATAAGTTCTGAATATCTCATCGTATCCTAGAATAATCACATTAACTATGGCAGCTGGAAACAATGCTACCACAGGACCAACTCGAGAGCGGTCCAACTCCACCCTGCAACTGCAGCTGCAGCTGCAACTGTCCAATTCTCGGCCTCTCCATCATCCCCCCGGAGGTCCTCCTAGAAAACCTACATTGCTAAGAAACCATTCGGGTTACCACCACAATCCAAGTGCTCTAGCTGGCAATGGTGGTCTGGGCAAACGTCCATCTAATGGGGGTAACTCGTCGGGCACGAGTTCGGGTGAAGACTCTTTAGTCAATTCCCCCACTTTACATTCATCTAGTATGGCTTCCTCTATCAAAAGCACCAATAACCAAGCCAATTCAAGTATGACTCGTTCCCATTCCAAGGCTTTGAGTTCCATGTTAGCCAACAATTTACAACACCAAAACGCGCTGTTTATGGCCCAAGAAAGGGCGTATATTCGTCGGATTCGTAATCAGATTGTCGATGACTACTATACCAAAGGTATCACAGGAGCTGATGACGACTTCAAATACAACGATAATGATAATGACGCTAATATTAATGACGATGACGACGATGACTACGATGAGGAGACTGATGGTAACACTTCGCTTTTAGCGGATATGGTTGATGATGCCTATCAACTTGATTCTGTGTCGGCTCTGACGTTGTTAGCTAGTAGGCTCAGCGATCTAAAACTCAATCCCAATAAGAATATCACCCAGTTGGAAAAAGACAGTACCGAAGATCCGGCTGTTCTTGAACGTTTGGAATGGCAGGCCATGTTGACGTCGGTGTTGACAGGTGATGTGGTGAAGAGCGAAAAGACCAAAATCATCAACAACAATAATTTGGATGAGCAAGAGTCATATTTACAAGCCACCTACAAGGAGAGTTTGTGGTTTGGAATTCGTGCAAAGTTGTTGAATCGTACGGAGGACGACCAAAGAAAGATCATTTCGTATAGGAGAACTTTGGTGGGTCTGCTCATTGAAGATGTGCTTAATTTTGAAATCAATTACGAGGATCCATTGGGGAATCCTCCTAAGACTCAGATAACAGAGATATTGGAAAGATACGAGCGGTGTTGCGACCTCTGGAGAACTCAGGAAGAAATGAAGGCGGACAAACCCGCTTGTAAGACTGAAGAGTTTCAAAATAGAATCGATTCCTTAAATGCATGGTTGTCTATCACTACTGCCATTGAACGGGAGTCATCATCTCTCAAAATTTGGATTGGAAATGACGAATTAGATATCACCAAGAGTCCCCTGGAAAAAGTTACGCCAATCTCAACACCAGCTTCTGAAGTTCCGGAACGAAAAATATTTGACGAAGATAACAAGTCGTTGGCAGAAAGATTGATGAAGGAAAAAGATGTCCATAACATTTTCCGAAAACGTATATTCTTACCTTTGGCTCCATGGATGGTCAAATCCAAAGATACATATATTCGGTTGGGTTTTATGTTTGAGAATCTTAAGTTGCCCGATTATATTCATGACTTAATCGAGTTGTGTCTTATTCCTATGAAGTTGATCAAAGAAATTATTAACGTCAGACTCGGGTATGCTAAGAAATTACAAAATCCCACATTGATGATGATTGACCAGATGATTGATGATCTTAGAACTTACTTGACTATAGCTTTGGAAGTAAAGCTGGGGGTTCAAGAATATTGTAAGTCTGACTTTGGTAAAACTTGGGTTGTTGGTGACTTTTTTGAAGCTGAGAATGCTGAATTTGATAAAGTGGTCCTCGAATGTTTGAGGTACAAAATGATCTTGTTGAATAGAAAACTATTGGACAGTGCCAGGTCTCCAACGAACTTCAGAACATTCAAGGAACCAGAGGTGTTGGAAGATTCATACAATCACGTCAAGCGGTTGGGAAACTACATCGAAGGGGGTGGTACTGTAGTTGCAGAGCAGATGACCTTGTTGACATCTCGGTTGATTCAAAGACTATTGGCATACTTCACTAGTCAAGTACGATCACCTCCATCACAGAACCCCACTGTGTCTGAACTAGTGAGATGGTACAGTTCCACTACTGAAAACTTTGGTCAATTGCGTCGTAAATTAGCACGATTTACTGGCGAAATTTCTAGAGACTTCACTAACTCTTTGGTATTCGACATTGCTTCCACACCAAACTACAGAACAAAAAATTTGCTAGACGTTTTGAGGGCCACTGATCATTTCTTGGTGTACACGGGCACGGTTGAGACTCAAGGAACCTATTTCTTTGCAAGCTCCGAGTTATTCGGTAACGAACAAGATATCTTAAAGATAATCAATGGTTCGTATATCGGCCTCGATTCTAACGTGGATACTCTGGAATTCTCAACTTTGATGAACATTCTTAAAAACTGTGAAGAGGGAGAAAACTCTGCCTCTGAAAGCAGCATCGAGCATGCCCTACCTTCTCATTCTAAGGATTTTGCGTATATTTTGGCATTATGTCCTCCAAAGCCGATTGTGTGGGAGGGTGATGTTGTCAATTTGTCCATTGAAAAGGTTCCTATTACTGATGTAAAGGTGGGACAGATGTTGTTGATTTCAAAATTACCTTCATATAGTTTGCATATTGTTAAGGAGAAGTTCTTAGACATTGTTGGTGATGTTTTGTTTTCTGGAAATGGAGTTATAAAACCCATTGAACAGAGATGCTCATTAGCAAAGGTACATCATGAATTAACCAGAGTGAACAAGAACTTCTTCAAAATGTCTTTGGCGGTATTGGACTCTGTGAAGATTGTTAGAGAGCAGTGCAACAAAATGTGCCCACAAGGTGGATGTCAAGAGATCATCAACAATTACTTTGTATATGCCAAAGACTATGGGAAGAATTCAGTGAAAAACTTGGACATCTCCAGAAAATCTACTGTCATTATGAAGTTGATACAATTGTGTATTGAATGGGTGAGTTTCATCTGTGACGACTGTGTTCCAACAGACAGAAAAACCTTCCGTTGGTGTGTCTTGGCATTAGAATTTGCCATGTATATGACCAGAGGATTTAATGTGTTGGTACTCAAAGATGACCAATTTCATAAGTTGAAACTCAAGGTGGCTAGATGTATGTCGTTATTGATTTCTCATTTCGATATCATGGGAGCCAGGTCCAGTGAAGCTGAACAAAGAAAATTGTTAAGGTGGACTTCTCAAAGACAAAAGATTGAAAACTCGGCTGACGATGATTTCATCATCAATGCCTACAAAGAAGATATGATGGTACAAATCAATGAGATCGAGGAATCTAGAAGCGAATTACAAGGAGAATTGAATTCAGTAGGAAGAGTGTTGGATGTTAGTGACCTGGAATACCAATTTGTCACGCTATTGGCATCGTCTTTCTCGAGTGTGTCTATCAGATGGCAGAAGGGTAAATACATTGGAGGCGGTTCTTTTGGTGACGTTTTTGGAGCTGTTAACTTGGACACTGGAGGTATCATGGCAGTGAAAGAAATCAGATTCCACGATAGCCAGTTGGTCAAGAATTTGGTGCCTTCTATCAGAGACGAAATGACTGTTTTGGAGATGTTGAACCATCCAAACGTTGTCCAATACTTTGGAGTAGAAGTACATCGAGACAAGGTGTATATTTTCATGGAGTTCTGTGAAGGAGGTTCTTTGGCAGGATTGTTACTGCATGGCCGTATCGAAGATGAAATGGTCATCCAAGTCTACACATTACAGATGTTGGAAGGGCTTGCATATTTGCACCAGTCTGGAGTTGTTCACCGCGATATCAAGCCAGAAAACATTTTACTCGATCACAATGGTGTTATTAAGTTTGTTGATTTCGGAGCTGCTAAGGTCATTGCCACAAGCGGTAGAACCATGGCCCCTACTCAGAGTAAACCTCTTGCTGGTAACCATAGCAATTTGAACTCAATGACTGGTACTCCTATGTACATGTCTCCTGAGGTTATCACCGGAGCATCTTCAGATAAGAATGGAGTGGTAGATATCTGGTCGCTTGGATGTTGTGTGTTGGAGATGGCTACTGGCCGGAGGCCTTGGGCCAATTTAGACAATGAGTGGGCAATCATGTATCATATTGCAGCTGGTCACAAACCTCTGTTACCTTCTGCGGATCAATTAAGTGAACCTGGTATTAAATTCATTGCCAGATGTCTTGAACACGACCCAAAGAAGAGGCCAAATGCTATTGAGCTATTGAATGACCCATGGATTGTTTCCATCCGTCAAGCAGCTTTTGGGGGCTCTGACTCGTTGAGTACTCCATCATCAGATATCGGGTCTGAACCTTGATTATAAACTTACATCTCCTTCTTTTGTATAATAATGTTAATATAAGTATATTATATGTAAGAATCATTCTATTTACATGTGTCATTACTCCTTTAGTTTATGTGCTTGTCAAACACCAGTCTCAAGCGCTCCACTTCATCACCTTTAACGTTGACGTATCCAGCCGTTTGGTTGACCGTAACAAATTTTGGGTTTAAACGGGTCAAACTGACCAAATCCTTCTTGAATTGCAACACATCACCTTGGATCCGCTTGATTTCGGTGGTTATTTTGGTGTTTTGCACTTTCTTGTAGATGGGCCAGTGGCCGAACTTAGTCTTGGATATAAAGTAGTTACCGTTTCCAAACCCATTATTGGGCAAATCGGCAAAGGAAATCAATGATAATGATGGGATCTGGAAAACGGGCTCAGGTACGCTTGGCAGACGCGGTTTTATGGTCCTCAACACTGTTGGAGAAGGCTTCATCTTAGTTTGTGAGTGAAGTAAATTTTTTCACAAGTGCGAAAATTTGAACCGGTACTTTTCACGAAGTATCAAGTGTTAGATCATTGATAAGTTGTGGAACTACAAATAACGGATTGTCAAATGCAGTCATATGGGCTGTGAGTGCTTTCAGTAGTTGTTTTTTCAAGTATTTAATTAAACTTGCCTCTTTCGCTAAGTACACCCCGTCGGCAGCCTACCTAATCATGAATATCACTATTTTCTGTTGCACTACACGATTGCAAAAAGAACCTCTATAAATTTATACTAACTAAACTCTTCTATTATGGATTGGAAGTCATCACTGGAGCGACGTAGTTTGTTGGCTGCTCCATTGTGGGTGGACATGTGTTTCATATACCTTATTTTCTTGTCAAAGGTGATATTACATAGTTCACAGTGGAATTGCTTGATATGGGTTCTCATGTGCTTGGTCAAATTGGAAGACTCGCTGAACTTCTTGTTGCATCCAGGAAACTTGCACTTAAGAGGTTTTTCACCAGTATGGACTCTGTTATGGATCGAAAGACTTGAAGACGTAGCAAACCGCTTGCTGCAAAAGGAGCACATAAAGGGTTTCTCGCCCGAGTGGATTCTTGAATGTTGTACAAGCATCGATTCGACTGCAAAACACGCACTACAAACCTTACACTTCCAAGGCTTATAGTTTGTATGTATATGGATGTGTCTTAGTAGCTTCTGTCTTTGGGGGAACATTTTTCCATTGTGACGATCACAGCCTATCCATTTACATTCATAAGATGACCTGCCAGACCCAATATGTTCGGTTAATAGATGCTCCTGTAGCTCACCAGCAGATTCAAACGACTTTTTACACTTGGTAGGGACACTTCCGTCGTTGCCAGTTTCCCAGCAACAGGTAAAGTTACTTAATGAAGGTTCTTGCCGCTTGATTTCGAGGTTGGAAATTTGAACATTGTTGATATTCAGATTGAATGGAGAAGTAGTCTCGATAGCGGTAACAGACTCCGGTGTGAGTATGGAATTGGTCATTTTGTCGGAAGAGTTGGTCAATGGTCGATTCTTGTGCATATTCAAGTGGTTCAAGAACGAGTTCTTGTCATTGAATAAACCATTGCAGTTGAGCCATTCACAATTGAATACATCATTCTTGTTGTTGTATAAGGTATCTTGAGAGAATTGTTGACCCCGAAGGTGGTTGTTGAATATATGGTCAACGAGTCGGTCATTATTGAGGTTCGTCGAGCAGTTGTCCCATTTACATGAAACTAAATCCAGAAGCTCTTCAATACGATTCCCACTGGTGGAACCGGGTGCTAGTAATGATGATGACGAATCAGGATTGTTCAACTCTTGAGAGTTGTCAAAATGGAAGTGGAAGTCATAGTCGCCAAACTCATCGATCAAGTTCTGCTGGGCGACATTCGTATGGAAATACGCTTTGTGGGTGTTGTCTTCCGGGTGTACCTCAAGCGGATAATGAATATTTCTGGGGCTGATCTGTGGTTCTCCATTGTTGGCGTCCTTGTTGAACTCGTCAAAAATCCGGTCAAACACAGTTCGATTATTGTTCTTGAAACAAAGATTGTTATTATGCGAGTTGGGTCCATTGTAGGACTCGGCACCAATCTGGTTAAGGTTGTGATCATGGTCATGAAAATGGTCGTGCACGTGTTCCTGGCCGAAGGTCGGAGACACGGGTGACTGGGTGTATTCTGCTGTAGATTTAGGATCTACCGGAGTGGCGTCACCACAGTTGACATAATAACAGTCATCCAACTCTGTACATAGCACCTCACACAATGGGAGCTCATCAAGTGGACAATCATCCGGATCATCGATGTCGGGAGAGGTAGAGTTGGAATCAGGGGCCTCTTGCTGAGAATATGAAGTGAAAGCGGGTTTTGGAGTCGGAGTTTCGTTCTCATGACCGTGGGTTTCCATATCATGAGAGTGGATGTGGCCATGGATGTGTGTGTGGTCTCCGTGTTTGTGGATATGTCCGTGGACGTATCCGTGGACGTTTGAGATGGATCCCGACAAAGCTGCCAAAGACTTATTAGGCTTGTGCTCATTGTGGTTGAGGGTAAGATTGACAGAGCCCACATTGGCCAAGCCATGAGAGGGAGTATCAGGGTTGACAATCATGCTTGAACAGTGGGAGAAAGTGAAGAAGATCACTTATGAAAGAAAATGAAGAACTATAAGGTTTTGGGGAGTGCCAGGTGTATATGGGAAATTTGCAGTTGAAGCGCACCTTGGTGGTTGAGCGGCTGCGTAAGATAGATGTCGCGGGTAGGCATCGACACCACGACATAAAAAGTGTACCGACATTCAACCGATGGTCGCGACACCGACATTATACTTAGACTCAAGCCGCGACTTGACAATCGCGATTTGCGCAAACACAACAAGCCACAAGATCACCAACAAAACTCAACGGGGATCAACACGCACACAAAAAACTTAAGCTCCCACTCTCACCATCTCAACTGAGTAATTCTCCCACCCATTCCCCTCCCACTAGTTATTGTTAGATCTTCCCCAACAAAGATCAAGATGAACCTGGGGACATAACTTTGCATGTCTTTACAATATTACTGTAGGCCAATGGTATGACCAAAGCAACTGGAATAAACCCGTATACCGATCTCCCATGCGCAACCAGCTCACGACCTTACCTAAATAATTTTTGTAATTGGCTTGTGTACTTGTTGCCCTCCAACGCGTACGTTTAACCTTAAATCAGCTAGGCAGCAAACGTTAATATTATCGCAATCATGCTAATTTATCGTCAACCCACACCAAATACTTGAGGTACAAGCGTGGGCCTAGAACAATATCTCCTTAGTCACACCCCCCATTGAATGTTAAGGTTTCTAGGCTGCACTCGGCTGGGGCATCTGCCTTTCAGTGGAAAAAACCTAAGGTCTTCGGCTGCCTTAGGCTAGCATGATTTCCGTATTCAGCCAGATAATAAATATTCATGCATTTGGTGTTTTTTTAATCGTGCAGCTGTTATTGTTTACCGAAAATGCATCTCTCTTACTCTTCCCCTTACAGAGAATGAACTCTATGGGTGTGTATACACGTATTGTGTTAAAGTCCGTTTCAGTGCATCCCATTGATGCATAACTTGTGCTCGCTGCCTACAAATGAAATTAGCCCTCTTCGTTCCCCAAGTTTCGTTAGTTGTTTCTCATCACCCTTTGCCTTTGTTATTAAATACCTGCCACCCGGCTTATTTATGTTTTCAATCACCTATCAACTTCACCCTATATTTTCCCTTCTTTTATCTTCACTCCCCTTCCCTTCCCGTTCTTCACCTTCATGGCCTTAGGTACCCTTTTCCACAGGAAGCATAAACTGAAGCTGGAACTTCCGCCAGCTGTATCAGCTCCAGTTCCACCACCACATAGCATCCTTTCCAAGCTTGTCCAACCTTCGCCCCAACTTGTGGCTCCTCGTGCACCTTCGGAATCCTCCGTCAATGAATGTCCTAAAAAGTCTAAAAGTCAGCGTTTCCTTTCCAAATACCTACACATATCATCTTCCAGTAGAAACATCCGTGTGGTAGACATCCACTCTGAAAATTCGGCTTCCAACTTACTACAAGGAGTTTCACCGCCTTTGGATGAGATGCTGATTGCTATGCACGATAAACAATTTCTGTTTGACCACTCACACCCAACCAACAAATTAGCTGACACCCTGGAAGGTGATAGTCTCCTCAACCACTACCACCGCTCAAGCGCTAAAGCATCGGTGTCTCCTGTGATATCCCCAGTCAAATCTTCTCATTCGCTCACCTCCAATATCTTACAGGACTTGTCTTCCATTAACATACAATTGCCTCATGTAGGGGAAGAGCCGTTGTTGAATACTAAACTCAACCGTGAAGAAGGGTCCCCTGTAGACGTACCGTTTGATATTCCAATCCGCTATAAAAAAATTTCTGCTAATAAGGTTAACCTTCTATCACGAGCTGAGAAATCTCATATACTACAAGCACAAGATCTGTCCTCGCCCCAGGTGAAGTCCCTCGCCTCGGTGCGAGTGGCGTCGCCCCGGCTTATGCGATCAGACTCTAACCTCAACCAGATCTCAACAACCGTGTCGTTTGATGATGACGATGATATCAGCCACAGCACCTCCAGAAGGAACTCGGTGAACAGGTCTACGGATGAGCTGAACGATAATGATAAATCATATACTGAGTTTGAGACCATTAAAGATGTGAATTATCAGGTGATAAAGAATTACATGACAAGCTCCAATGTCAAGATTGTCAGCCCTGTGCGTTCAGTGCAGTCACATCATTATGGAGATGAAAACATTGGAGATTCTGCAAAAACAATCCCCATTAATGATGATATCGAAGATATGGACTCCAAAATAAAAGAGCTTCTGAAGCCTTTGAATATACCGAAGGTCGACTTTTCCAAGGTTGATTCTCCGGATGATGCAGGAATCAACTCTAGAAATTATTACACTCCCCCTAGCCCACCTTCAATGACTTCTAAAGATGAGGTCTACAGAAGCGAAATGTTGTCTTTGATTGAAACTCATGTTCTCATGGTTCACAAAAAACAAGAGGAAATCGACCATTTGAAGGAGTTGTTGCTTCGGGAACGTAAGTTGAACGCCTACTTCGTGTCTCCTCAGCTGAGGGAAAACTCTCCATCATTCCCAGGAACTCCAAAGTTTGGAAGGTTCAATTCATCTCCCAAAGCCGCGCTTTCACCTTCATCAGTCGACGATTCAAAGAAGATAAGAAAGCAATTTATTCCTCTTAATATCACTGTTACAAGTGAACCCAAGCCCAATAACTATTATCCCTTGAAAAGAAATAGAGATCATCTTCTTCCTCCTTTCGATTTATCAAATAATATCCACGAGAATAATGGACAGCTTGCTGCTAATCAAGATAATCACGAATTTAATTTAAAACCGTTCCACAAATTCAAAGTGGCAAGTCCAAGCATGTCTGATGGAATACATTATATGCCTACATTTGCAGAGGATACATTAGAAACATTAAGACCGGGAAGCTCTCGTGCCAGTGTTGCTTTAGAAGGTTTGCAGCTTATTAATTCTAATGTCCCACGTTCCTCAATAGCTTCCTCGCGTTCATCTGCTTATTTCACTGCAATGCTGAGTTTCTGTGAAGACTCTGGCGACCAAGATGAACTTGACAATGACAGCGTATTGTCACACGAACAATATGAAGGATATCCTTCATTCGGTTTAACTCCAAACTTTATTTCGAAATTAGAAAGAAGAGAAGTAAGCGGATCCACCACCCTTTCTTCTGCCATGAGCAGACACACAAATACTACCAATGACTCAATTACCAACAACACTTCTATTTCCACTGCCATCACAACTCCTGACTCAATGGAGTTTAATATTGATCCCAAGTAAATAGAATTCATGAACTTGTAATATATTAATATATACCTGACGTAAAGTATTTTAAGCTCTATATACCCTAACACGACCAACTACTATTCTGTCTCCAAAAAAGTATTAAAAAATTTATTTTACTGTTTATTGAAGAGTTTATTATCCTTTTTTCAGAAATTAGTTTTCTTGCTTGTTAATTGAATTAAACTTTTTCATGGTTTTCGCAACCGTTAGAATTTTCAAAGCCTTTTATTTATTATCACTTTACAACAATTACACACATCAAGATTGTAACTCTTTGATCTCATTCTCATCCGCAACTAATCCCATTACAACCAAAAACATGTTCAAGTTGTTCAAGATGTTTTGCTTCTTGTAGAAGTTGTTGACATCCGAGCTGTCTAATGCCTTGGCTCTGTTCATAACCGAGAAAATCTGGTCTCTCACCTCATCCACAATAATTCTCTGGTGATTCAACTTTCCACCCAAAGCCAAAGTGGCCAAAAATTGCCAGACATAACTTTCATTGATATCTTCAGTTTCTTGTTGTGGAGGGAAGATTGAAGCGATTCTGGATTCTAACGATGTGAATAATTCATCGTAACAAGACGACCATTCAGATAAGTCGGTAGCCGATATAGAACCTTCACCTCTGATCAATTCAGCTCTTGATAATAATGTTGTAAAGATTGACAAGCCAACCTTAGTGGTTGAAATGTATGAAACATTGTTGTGCTCAATCAAAATAACCAATAAACCAATGATCTCATTGAACTTAAAATCCTGTACCGCAGTCATGAACGCCTTTGTAAAAGTTAAAGAATGTGTTTCAATTAATCTAGCCGTCTTTGGAGGGATCTTGTTATCTTCGTATTTGGTATAAGATCCCGCTTTCACTACATTCAAGTTTTCTAAGTTTGACATGATCAACGTTGCAATGGTCAATATTTGTTCTCTTGACAAAAACTTGAATAAACGGGATACAATCTTTAAAGCTTTTTCATGGTTCAAACATTGAATGAATGGGTTGACTTCGGATTCATCATTCACTTTGGGGGATGGCTGTTCCAAAATTCTCAATGACTCCCAAAGTGGGGTGGTGTCAACACCACTGGATAATCTTGACTCACTTTCAATTGTCATCAAGTTGGTTATTATGTTTTCCAATATGCTCATGATATCCTTTTTGGTGTACAGCTTCACCTCATTCGAATTGGAAGCCACAGGGACAGCGGCTCTTCTTATGGTTGTCTTCTTAGCACCAGAATCACCTTTACCTTCTTCTTCTTGCTTCTCAATTTCCATCTGAACAGCTTTGCTAAAGAGTTCCAATTGTTGTCTAGGCTTTTTACCAGATCCAATAGAAATCTTACCTAAAGCACCTTCTCTGGCATATTGAGTCAACTTTGGTCTTTCCTTAGCGACAGTCACAGCTCTTTGAACTTGTTGTTGCATTCTTTGTAATGCCACATCGGCTCTCTTGTGACGTCCACCTAATCTGTGACCACTTTGGTCCAAGTAAGCTTGAGCAATCGAATTATTTTGTTGTTCTTGTTCTTGTGACACCTGGTTTGGGTTTGGGTGAATAACCTTGAAAACCTGGGCATAAAAATCTTCATTGTACGGATCCTCAGTGACAATTTGAGACAACTGGAACCTGGTTACAAAATCCTTGTCTTTAGGGTTCATGATACCAGAATATCTCATGATTCTTGATACTTTTTCCTGTCTTTTAGCGGCCTTAGCTTGTTGTTCAGGAGTCAAAGCAATTTGTTCGTGAACTTCTCTATTTTCGTAAGGATGCCTTTCATAGCCTTGTCTAAAATCATGCCTTTGCCTTTCGAAAGGTTGTCTTTCGTGGCTTTGTCTGGATTCAAACGCTTGTCTTTGACTTTGAAGACGTCCCCCTGACAATGGAGCCTCTTTCGATCCCAACACAGGGAACTGAGATAAATTAACCGGTTTGGTCTGCTTCCTAGGGGCATGAACTGGGAGTTCATCATTTGGGGAAGAAGCAATAATCTCAGACATAGAAACAGCTTGAGGAGCACTTGGTGTGGGTTCAACTGGTTCCGAAGCAGCCTGAGGAGCGTGAAAAGGTTGGGGAGTAACACCCTGAGGAACACCCTGAGGAATACCCTGAGGAACACCCTGAGGAATACCCTGAGGAACACCCTGAGGAATACCCTGGGAAATACCCTGACGAACATCTTGAGGAGGCACTCCCAACATTGGAGGTTGTTGAGCCTGGTTCATGTTAGGTATTTGTTGACTAAAAAACTGAGGAGGCATTTGCTGAGGAATACCAGAGTACTGGCCACCATAAACAGGAGGTCCTGGAATGAATCCGTTTGGAGGCATCATTCCAAATTGAGGTGGAGGAGGCATCATTCCTGGCATTCCAAAAGGTTGCTGAGGAAACTGTTGCATCTGAGGCTGATGCTGAGGAAGTTGACGCTGATTGTGGTCAATGGCAGTCAACTGGGCTTCGATTTCTTCCAAAGACAAGATCCTTTTCTCAGGGGCTGGGGCTTGTTGGGGAGCTGCTTGTTGCTCTTTTTTGGCAGGATTCGAGGATCCCCAAAGCTCAGACATAAATTCATCGTCGTTGGTGGTGTTGGCGGCTTGAGCATAGCTAACATCACGAGGAAGAGTAGGAGGTTTTTGAACAGCAGCATTGGCATTAGTGCCAAACCTAAAGTCTTTTCCAATTTCACCCGACGCACCAAAAGTTTCGTCGTTGAAGGCGTCCTTAGCATCATCTAATTGTTCACCTAATCCATCGTAAGTACTCTCGAAATCAAAAGCTTGAGAATCAGACTGGTTGGCTCGTCCTTGCGGAGGAGCATTAGGGTCAAATCCAAAAAATGACATTGTGAGTAAGTCACTTATGAGCTCAGCTTGTGGTTAGGTATTTAATTTTGTCGACGACTGTGCGAAAAGTGAAAAAAATCAAAATGTTCGTGTGCGACGTATTTATTGTGCAGTGGTTGCAAAATACGGCATACTTAACTATATACAAATAATAGATCAAATAAACGCCTGTAAAGCACTGGTAAGCTTTAACCGCATTTCTTCCCATTCATCATTACAGTTACTGAGAACAGTGATGGCACCCCCGGCACCAATACGCCACAATTTGTGGGACTCAGTATTTTCTTTATCATCTTTGTAATGGAAAATAGATCTAATAACCACAGACCAGTCAGAGTCATCGGTGACGGACCAGTATCCAACAACACCACTATATATACCTCTTCTGCCTCCTTTGATGCCCGTCAGCTGGAGCTCTTCGATGTTTTGAAGAAGTTCAATCGATCTCTTCTTTGGGGCTCCCGTCATGGACCCTGGAGGTAGAGATGAATGGAGAATATCAATGCCGTGAAAGTCATCAGTTTCAAGGTGTCCTTTGATTACACTAACCAACTGATATACAGTTTTGTACTCTTCTACCTTCATCAACTGGGTGACCTCGATGTTCTTGGTAAACTGGTGAAGATCGTGTCTAATTAAATCGACTATCATAAGGTTCTCGCCCATTTCTTTCGGGGTTTTCAAAAGCTTGGTAGCACCTTCAAGAGTCATTTCAGGGGTGTTTTTGACAGTTCCTTTTATTGGTCTAAGTTCAATTGTTTTTTGGGAATCCTCCTCTTTCCAGCTCAAGAATCTTTCAGGAGATGAGGAAATTAATACTACATCGTCGAAATCCATAAAACAGGAGAATGGCGATGGGTTCTTACTTGAAAGGATTTTGTAGATGTCCCATGATTTGATGGTACTGGGTAGGTGGATTTTCAGTGGAGTCGTGAGACACAACTCATAACTATCCCCAGAGTGTAAATATTCTTGACAAAGTTCAAATTGTCTTTTGTAGACTTCCTCAGAAGGAAGGTCAAAGTGGACTTCCTGATCCTCGGAAAGCAAATCTTTGATATCCAATCCAAGCTGTGCTTTAAGATCTCTTTTGTGGTAAAGCTCCTGGAGCTTATTTGCAAAGGAACTGCACCAGTTTGAGTGATCACTCTTAGAACTCACGCACATCAAGAACCACTTGCTGGTCAAATGATCAAGTAAAAGAAATCTTTCCACAAATGCAAGTTTCAAATCTGGAGTTTCGTCTTTGCATATCTTTCCAGTCTTTTCAATAATTACATGACAGCCTTCTTCATACGAAAATACTCCAAGGTAACCGCCCAAAAACGGGAAAGTTCGTTCATGCGAAAAGGGAAGCTTGTTAACAATTACCTCTCTAGAAATGTAGTTGTCAGCGAACCTTTGTGCCACAAAAGCCCAAACCAGCTTAGAAGGCTCAAGGGAGATTGTTTCATAATCTTCTGATTTGAACATTTGTACCTTCACATTCTGAGGATTATCGACTGAATGGGTGATAATTTCAGACTTTCCGGCCTCTGGTAATCCTATAATAGACCATTCTCCGGGTGTGGAGGCCGAATTCAACAAGATAAAGTCAGTTTCGCCAGTTTCGTGCACCAACGTGTCGCAAATGTCAATGGGAGTTACTTGATGTTCGCTAAAATTAAGCTCTATTGCCGAAACAAACACATTTGATTCACAACTTTGGTACCTTCCTTCCACTAAAGCCTTTTTGTTGATTTGTCCTCGAAGGTGATCCACCAATAACGAAGTCTCCTGGGTGAAGTTCAACTCACTGTGCCTGTTTTGGACATTGTACTCCACAGCTATAGAATCAAAGCTTTTAATCAAATTAGCTCCTTCTTCACTGCAAATGGACTCTGGATGATACTGAACGCCATAGAAGGGCAATTTATAGTGTTTTGCACCCATTAGAATCTGGGTGGTTTGTCCATCTTCAATCTCATCGCACACTGCTAAAGCCACAATTTCCGAGTTCATCTTATTGATATCCACAAACAATGAGTGGTATCGGACACTGGGTAATAACTTTCCGTAAAAACCGTCGTATAACTTCTCTGACTCATGTAAGGAACGAACGTTGTAGATCTGGCCGTGTTTAACGTTTTGTAGCTTTTCTACCTCGTTTCCAAATTTATAGCAAAGGCACTGGAAGCCGAGGCATATTCCCAAAATTGGCACACAATTGGCAGGATTCTGCTTGAAATAGTCAAATAGCCAGTCAATAATTCCTACATCAGAAGGGTTAGATGGCAGCCCAGGTCCCGGACCTATGACAATGTACTCTATGATATTGATGTATTTTGCGAGAAACACATGATAATCTGGTGGAGAAACGGTATCATTATGAAGAACCACCACATCTTTGTTTGTGGCCCCTTCAATCAAGCACACAAGATTGTTAGTGAATGAGTCATAAGAATCGATCAAAAGAATCATATCTTCGTGTCTCTTGATGTGAAATCTTGTATCACCACAACCTTTGAGTCGGATGAGATGCAATTTTTCGACGCCTGCATCGTAGATTCTGCGATCATTGAGTAGAGCTACTATTACTATTATGGTATTAAGTATATACCTTTTGATTAAACTTTTATTCGACGTCATCATCATCTTCGTCTTCATCCTCTTCGTCATCGTCGTCGTCATCATCGTCATCACTAACTTCTCCTCCTAAGGCTTTTAATTTTGCCTTGTATTTGTCTTTACTGTCTTCCATCTCAGAAAGCAAGAGCATCAAATCATCGAGTTCAGACTTTGCAACAGTTTCTTTAGTACTGGATTTCAATTGGGCTTTTAAGGACTCGATGTGTTTCTTCAAATCAGCTTGAGTAGACTCAGACTGTTTTCTGAGTTGGTCAATTTCGGTTCGGAGTGTCTCAGAAGAGTCTTTGTCAGCTTTCGATTGTTTCTGGAGTTCAGCTTTGAGAGTGTCAGAAGATATCTTCGAAGTAGCCAATTCAGCCCTGAGACTTTCAGCAGACGCTTTTGAAGTTGCTAATTCAGTGTGAAGACTCTCAGCCGCAGCCTTTGAGGTGGATAATTCCGCCTTGAAAGTCTCAGCAGCACTCTTCGAAGCTTCCAATTCAGCTTTCAATTCCACTACTACCTTGCTCTGTTCCTCGAGGTCCTTTTCACTCTCTATTCTAGTATTCTTTAACTCCTTTTCACTCTTTGCTTTTGCATCCTGTAACTCTTTAATTTGCTTTTCATATTCAGAGATTCTCTCCAGTAGATCCTTAAGAGCCTTTGAAGTTTCTTCATTGGTCTTTGTGTGTTTCAATTCGCCTTCCTTAACAGCTGCAGCCAGTTTCTCCACTTCAGCATTCACTGCAACCAATTGCTTTTCCAACTCTTTGATCTTCGATTCTTTAGAAGCTAAAAGAGCATTGCTCTCAATTTCAAAAGCTTTGTGAGAAGCTTCGAAGTCGGTGAACTGTGTGGATAATTCCTCCTTTTTGGACTTAATGTACTGTAACTCTTCGTTGGTTTTCGAAGCAGAATCGGATGAACTCCTCAACGTATCGTTATCCTTTTCAAGTTTGGTCACCTGAGATTCCAACTTCGAAATCTTTGATGAAAGTTCGGTCTTTTGTAGCTCTAAATCATTTACAGACTTCTGTGATTTCTCTTGTAATTCTTTTGTTGTTTGAAGTGCCTCACTCAGGTCTCTTGAAAGGGTAACATGGGATTCTTCTAATAAGATATGTTTAGCTGTAATATTAGCTAGCTCCAGCTCCAATGCACTAATTTTATCAGCCTTCTCCTTCAAACTGCGTTCTTTTTCAACCAGACTTTTGCTGAGTTCTTGGATACTCTGTTGTGAATCTCTTAACTCTTTTTCTTTGGCAGCCAAATCCTTGAATTTTGAATCAAGTTCCACTTTCAAGTTGGCCAATATCTTTTCTTGTTCTTCAGTTGAGTCCTTGAGGTTCGCTTGTTCGGATTCTGAGTTAACCTTGAAATCTTCGTATTCTGTTCTTAATTTTACTAATTTGTCATTCAAAAGATCCTTTTCAGATACCAAGCCTTTGGATTTTGTCTCATGATTTGTCTTAAGTTCCGAAATGGAGAGCTCTAACTTCTTGATTCTATCGGTGTACTCTTTGACAACCGTTTCGGAGCTTTGACTGAGAATTTCTCTATCCTTTTGTACTTCCTTTAATCTTTCTTCTAAGTCATTCTTAAGACCTTGAATAATCTCCTCAGAAGTAGCAACCTTCTCGTTCAACTTGCGAGTCTCATCATCGTATTTGGACTGTAAATCGTTCAACTTCAGAGTTGTCGTTTTGTTCTTTTCCAAAGCTTTTTCGGAGAGTAACTTCTGTTTATTCAACTTTTCTTCCAAGTCCTTCCTTTCTTTGAGTTCAGATTCCAATTTTGATTCAGCCTCATACAAATTTTCTTCTTTCAGTTTCAAAGATTTCTCCAATTCCGTAATTGTCTGCTGCTTATCTCCAAGTTCTTTGGTTTTACTTGACAAATCCGCTTCAATAGCTTTAACTTTAGCAGTTTGATCTGATACACTCTTTTCCAGCAAATTTAAATCCTCTTTGAGTTTAGAAAGGTCGAGATCCCTTTCCGAAATAAGCTTAGCATGTGCTATACGCATGTCCTCAAATTCGGTTTTCAAACTGGCTAATAACCCTTCCTTTTCCATGAGTTCCTTGCTGTGTGATTCAACCTTTTCTTCTATTTGTTTCTTCAAATCGTCCAACAAACAGTCCTTTTCGCCAATGGTATTTCTAAACGAATCAACCTTTTCATCCAACTGCTTCGTCAACTCACTCAAGGAAGTCTTTTTCTCTTCCACTTGTTTTCTGAATTCATTTAAAGAATCTTCTTTTTCTTTGATGACTTTTTCGTGGGAAGCAACCTTCTGATTCAATTCTGTTTTTAAGTTAGTAAATGAATCTTCTTTCTCCTTCACTTGTCTATTAGATTCCTTTAACAACGCTTCTTTTTCGGCGTGAAGCTTCCCAATGCTTACAAGTTCTTCGTTCAACTTTGAAGCCTTCTGAGATTCTTCATCAATGCTAGTACTCAACTCAGTGACCCGATCTTTCAATGAGGTGATTTCACTTTCGTACTTGTCCTTCAAAGCACCAAGCTCTTCTGAATGCATATCCTTGAGACTATTGACTTGTGAATAATTATCCTCAATGGTTTTCTGACTTGTGGCTTCAAAGACTCTATACTTCTCTTTCCACTCCTCAAGTTCAGCAGCAAGGGTTGAATAACCTTCGAGGCTCTTAGAATGTTCGCCAGTCAACTCTTTTATCTTCTTTTGGAGCTCAGTCCTTTCTGTCTCAAAGCTCAAAGCTTGTGTTCTATTGGCTTTCACCAATCCATCAAAATCTTCTTCAAGACCAACAAATCTAGTTTTTAGATCCTGAATTTCAACATCCAACTTTTTGTTCTTAGATTCGAGTTCTTTATTTAAGCTTTGCAACTTTTCCACTAACACAGAACTCTCGTCATTCTTGGTTTGAATCAGGGACTTAAATTCATCCAATTCCTTCTGTAACGATTCCAATTTACTCTGTGATTCTCGCAACTTGAGAGTGACATCTTCAACTTCTTCCTGCTTCTTAGATAAATCAGTTTCAAGTAGGGAAACTCTCTCATCCGAATCAGACTTTGCCAATTTCATTTCCTGGAAAGCAGTTGCAGCAGACCTCAATTTATCCATGAGATGTTCGTTGTTACCTTCAGCATCCAAGATTTTCTCCTTAACTTCTTTCAATTGAGCTTCAGACATAGATTTGGAGGAAATCAAGTCTGCCTCCAACTTGGAAATCTTTCCTTGCAAAGTTTTGTTCTCGTCTTGGAACTTTTGAATCTGACCATTACTCTTTATAGTCGCTTTCTCTGACTCTTTCTTCAACTTTTCGATTTCCTTCTGGAGAACTTTGACTTCAGAAGAAAGATCCTCTTTGTCCTTAGTCAAATGGAATAGCTCACGGCTCATCTTATTGATACCTTCTTCGGCCTTTTTACGAGCATCCTCAGCTTGCTCTAATTTTGATTCCAACAATTTGATTGACTCGTCTGAAGTAGTTAATGTCTTCTTTAAAGACTCTAGCTCCTTTGATAAGCCAGTGGATGATTTCTCTAGTCCTGACTTTTTCTGAGATAGTTCGTTAAATCTGTTTGTTATCAGCTCCAACTCAGAGATTGTGAGAGCATTTTTTTCAATAAGATCTTTGTGGTTTAAAGAAGTTTCATCGAACTTCACTTGAAGCTCTCCCCTGGCAGCCTTTAGTTGATCAATTTCTTTAGTTAAATTTGACTCATGCTCTTGGGTAGCCTTTTTAGCCTCCTCATATTCCTTGTACAAATCTTTGAACTTCAAATCAAGTTCCTCGAACTCTTCGTATGAAATCTTGGTTTGTGGTTCAAAGTTGGGGTCATGAAACAACGCTCTTTTGATCCGAGTGAAATTATCTTTCACCAAGTTAACATAAATGGAATCAAAGTATACGTCAGGCAATCCGGTTTCGTCTTGGTGGGCAAAAAGAAATGAATCTTCTTCAAATAATCTGAATTCAGGGCTTTCTTTGAACTTTTTCACTTTCAAAGAATAGTTATCTTTTCCTAATGACTTTACTAACAAGGAGTGCAAGTCTACTCTCAGTATTGGAGCATCTTTCATACAGAAATCGTACGCCACACCCAATAAAACAGTGCACATACCTCTTGTAATCTCTGAGGACTCGGAAGAATTATTGGTGATAAAGGTCAAAATGGAATGAACAATTGAACTATCCTTCAAGAATTCATTAACAATAACTGGATCTTCGTACATCCAAGTAGTCAACAACATCAAATAACCTATAGCAATACGAGGGTCGTTATTCTCCAAAGTGGTAACAAGCAAACCGGATACTGCTTCAACACAAGTGAGCTCCTCTTCACCTAAACTTTCATCCCCTGTCTTGACATTTCTGGAGAGCTCTTTACATTCATCATTGTCTTCAAAAAGGTAAAGCAAGATAATAGCAGCAAACCAAATTCTATAAGGATTCAAGTTGATTTCAGAGTTGTAGTCCATAAGAGTGGAAAATATATTTCCCATTGGAGATGGGATAGCATCGGGAGGCGGACTGTTTCCATTGGCAATTCCTTTGGTACGACCGTTCTCATGAGTTTCCAAATTTCCATTTTCTTCGGTAGTTTCAGTTTCAGGGGTCTTATATGTGTTAATCTGATCCTGGAGAAAAGCTATTTGAGCTTCCAGGTTCCCAGTGAAGTAAGCTCTTAAACAGTAAGCAGCAGCAGACCTAATGTTGAAACAGTGAACCGAATTGATGTACAAAGTCCAGTCCAACAACGCCACAGTGATTGGTAAAGGTTTCTCGTACGACTGGATTTGGGTGGGTAAGGATGGGTCTATGTATGGAATATCGATATTAGAAAACTGCAATTGGATCTCGTTATTTCCTCTTATCAAATCAGCTGCTGTGAGTAGAGCAAACGATCTAATCTCATTGATAGTTTCAGGAGCAAATACTAATCGCAATACAATGAACAAGATACCCGAAAGATTCAACTTATCTTGGTTAGATTTCAAGTTATCATTGGCTTCAGATACAAAAGTTCTGCAAATATCCAACGCAATCATCATATTGTGAACTCTTTGTTCTGTCCAAATCATCGGTGGTGTAGCTAGAAAAGGCTCTTCTTCGCCACCATTCTCTTCGACTAACTGTTCATCTTCTAAGGGTTCACCCAATAACTCTGATAACCTAAGGGCCCCTTGAGTCTCCAAGAAGAACTTCTGATTGGAGGCATTATAAATCAACAAGTTTGTTATCAATGTCAAGCAATCTTGCACCAATACAGAGCCCCTTATGCCCCCTTCTTCCTCGATTATTGCAAAAAGCCTATCGAAAGTGTTCTCAAAAGCCACCAACTTTTGGATATTAAAGTTGTTGTTGGTGATGGCCATTAGTAACAAAATAGCTTCGTTCCGCACAGGATCGTTGGGGTCTGACAAAAGAGATACAATGGTGGAAATCCCCGTCGGTATGTTGAGCAAACAGTCCTTCACTTTTACAGATCTGGTGGATACCAAAGACTCCAACAATTGGATGGTGTACAACCTCACATGGTAATCATTGTCATTCGCCATAATGTCCAAAACCACCAGGATCATTTCTCCATCCTTGGTCAATTCGTCGGAGATCCACAAAGAGAATTGATCATAAGAAATATCCTCTAGTAATAATGGGCTGGGGTATTTACCGTTTTGGATCCTAGACTGTTGCGAGATCCAACCTCTAGTCATATCCTCATCACCTTCACCTCGGATCAACAAAATCAAAATACACTCCAACAACGGGCGTATCACTGCCGAGTTATCAGAGTCCTTCTTCAATGCCAAGAGCAATGGCCGCAAACCATACTCCACCACCAACTCTCTATATTGTCTACTGAAGCTCTTTAACCCTAAAATAGCCGAGCGCCTATCGGAGGAAAGCGTGGCATGTTGAAGCCGGTTGCACAAGGTTGGAATGGCTTCATCCACCAGGTGCACCTTCAGGTTGTTTTGGCTCAAGATGTTATTAAGATAATCCATTTGGCCCCAACCGCTCTTAGTAGACGTAGTAAGTTTGTCTTTGAGAAATCGACATCGCGAATTATTTTGCAGTTTAAAGCTCATGCTGGAGTATAAGTTTGTGCTCAACAACACAGGTCACATTCACCTACCTGAAATTGAAGACTTTCTACGGAGTGAAGATGAAGAGGAAATTGAAGACTTAACTCCTTTGTTGAAAGTCGCTTCTTTGTGGGGCCAGTCTAAAATAGGAACTCTTCAAGCGAGACTTGAGATGTTGCAAACACGAAGTACAAACAAGTCATATGAGCTTCCTAATCACCGGATTATGAGTTTGGCTAATGAAGTATTTGGATTTGCAGGGTGGTCTACGCTGTTGCTGAGCTTGGAAGTCAAAGAACAAGTGGATCATTGTCAATCTTCTATACCTGGAGACGCGACTGAGTACAATGTCACGGCGTGGGCAAAGGTGCTAATAACGCTAAAAGACGGCACTGTGTTGGAGAGCAGTGGGAAATCCAACGTTCAGAAGTTCCCAGATAAGGGAATGGCTTATCGAACCGCCAAGATGCTGGCGGTTACAAATGCGGTGAAAACTGGGATAATGATGCTTCCAGTTCTCGCAGTTGAAAATGAAGAAAACTAGATGTTTGATGCTGTTTAATCTAGTTATACCATAATTTTATCGCAAAGTCATGTAATGTCTATTAATGGAACGCTAAAGATATGTGCTTGTTTTGGTTAAAGCATAAGCATATGGAACGTACGGTCTATGTATATTAATATCGTGCATTGAATACAGCTTAATAGTCTAGGGTATGGCTGATGGGGAAATCATTTATCTTTGGAACAGGAATTTCAGGAATCAAGTAGATTTCTCCACTATCATCGATTCTTTCTCTGTCTCTTTCTTCCATCTTGTAAATTTCTTCACAATTTTGTTTCAAGAATTCCACCAACTCGAGCCAGTTCTTTTGAAGTTGGTATGCTTTTTCTTTCATGTTCCTTCGGATCAACGCTTCGATTAACTTAATGGCATCAGGCTGAGTTTGTTCCATTCTGTCGATTAAACGCCCGACTGACCTGATAAGGTATTCTTCTTCATAAATAGTACCTTTTCTCCCCTTGGCCTTCTTCCTTTCTTCTCTCTTACGATTCTTAGAAGATCTTCTAGATGCACCTGTTTTGGCAGTCCCAGCAGTTTTCCCGGTATATCTGGTGAAGAAGGATGGGGCTGTAGATGTTTCAGATGGAGCAATAGACACATTATCAGGGACATCAAGGTCTTCATTTGGAATTCCATAAAAGCCATATGGATCTTCGGCCTTCTTCGCTCTCAACTCTCTTAATCTTCTTAATTGGGAGTTCAATTGTCCCTTGAAGTCAGCAAGAAGTTCGGCCACAGAACCAAATCCTTCATTCAACTGAGAGTCGACAATACTTTCCACTAACTCGGGTTGTTTTTCTTTGACTGCCAAAAGAATTGCCATATCGTAGTTGTAATGCTTACAGTATAATCTCATAGCCTCATTGACATTATTCAAAAAGTTGTACTGAATGAACCCAGCCTCCGAGTATCTGTGATCCTGTACTAACCCATCACTCAATGATTCACAAGACTCTACTAACTTATCTTCGGCGAAAGAAGGATTGGTAGCAATAGATAAAGCTTCTTTCCAGTTTTTGCTGAAAATATAACATTCGAGAGCTTCTTCCAATTCTCCCAACGATTCGAAACTGAACCCAGCTTCGGCATAGTTCTTCTCGTTACGTAAATGCTGGGCAAACATGTGCAAGGTCTCGTTGTACCTTTCCTTGTTATTTTCGTAGTTGTAGATGTATAAGGCTTTCTTATACAATGTGTGCTCAATTACATAGTCATCAAACTCACTTTTAGATTTGTCTCCTAATTGGTACAACCAGTCAAGGGCCTTCTCATAATTCTTCAAGTGGTCATCAATTAAGAACTCCTTTCTCTTTGAGGGTTGAATATGCAAGTTTTGTAGAAAAGGCAAGTATTCCTTTGGATCCTTTTGAGACTGTTGCGCAATAACTAATGACAATTTGACATCGTATAATCCCAATGCAGTATTGTACAACTTGTTAACATCCAGTAAGAAACACAAGTGGATTACTGATTGTTCAATTTGCTCAGCAGATTTGAATGTTCCGATCAATTTCAAGGAGTCTGACAAGTTTGGTGGTTTTTGACATGCATACGCAGTTAAGATGGTTTGCAAATATTTGTCGAAGTATACCGGTTTTTGAAGAACTGCCAAAACCGCCTCGCACACTTTATTAACCTTAGAGTCCTTGTTGTAAATGTTCTTGTCTTTGTTTTCTATGACTTTTCGGTGATTTTCAATGCCATTAACTTGTAGAGCTTGAAACTCATTCATCAACTCAGAATTATCTGATTCCTTCAAAGTATCTTTGTACTTGGTTAATGTGACATCTTCTTCATGTAACCCAGAGACAAATAAATCAAGGTAGTCCACTTTTTCAATCTGCTTGACAAAACTTTCCAAGTTGTTTAAGAACAATGATGGATCGTAATCATATAAAATGTCCAAATCGATTCTGTGAACTCTGCAAGCCAAAAATGCTTGTTTGTAGTCTTTGGCTTGAATGAACTTACGAACTCCCGATAACACCATGATTCTTGGGTTGATGGTTTCCAAGTTTCCCCTTGGAGCTTGTAAAACCACCGAATATGTTGAAGGTATTATCGATACGAGAATAGAACCTCTTTCGATTTGTCGTATTCTTTCATCAACAAGTTGGTTCTCAAACTCAGAGTTGAAAATATCGTATTTGTAGTTATCAGTGGCAGAATCCAAGTGTATGAAACAAAGCTTGGATTGGGCAGTTGTGAACAACAAATGAGATTCTGTCACCTTGATAGAAGTAACACCCACGGCCACTTGGGTGTCGTTGGCGAACAACTTACCATTGGCCGAGATTCCAAAAGCTGTTAAAGTTCCCGTTGCATTAACCACAACTTCTAGATCACGGCATAATTGTGGGAAACTTACCACATCTGTGATAGTCAACGACTCATCGATCTGAGAGACTGAACCAGTAATCGACTCCAAGATCAATGCGTTGAAGTCTGATCTAGCTCTGATCAAAACCACTTTGGTTTCAAAGTCAAAAGCATCCAAAAATACTGCATTCTTTAAGTTGGAAACATCGTAAATTATGACCTTGGAGTAGTTCACTCCGTCAACTAAAACTCCCAAAAGTGAGTTGTTGATAAATGCCACTTGTTTGATAAACTCATCTGGTCCTAGAAACTCGGACCTGCTGATAGTTGAAACAACCTTGGGGTGTTTACTCTTCAACAGATTGACCCTCATATAGCTCAAAATAACGTCTCCAGAACTAGTGGATAGAGCGTAATATTCGTTATTCTTGCTGATAGCCAGGTCGTTGATGTTGAAAGACCCAATATCCAATTCTCTGAAAGATGCTGGAGGTGGAACATTGGCAATTCCGAAAGGTGTTAATTTGATTTGAGAACCGTCAGTCACCAAAGAAATACCAATATCATCTCCCAAGATAGTTGGTCCAGAACTAACTTTGTAGGCAAGATCGACAATAGAAACTCCTTCCATAGACGTACCAATCATTAAATGGAGAGGCTTTTCTGGGTGAAATTGAATGAACAGAACCGTGTTAAACTCATTAGTCTGGTTGACAAATATCTCCTGTTTTAAATACCAATGGTAGTTTTTGGTTGTCCATAATTGGACTCTATCATACAATTGAAAAGCCAATAATTCTGAGTCACTAGACCACTGGATATCCGAAATCAGTTCGAAACTAGAATCTAATCTTGTATTAAACTCGCCTCTTCTCAATCCGTTTCTCTCATAAAATATCACATCCAATTGGGCATTTCCTTCTTCTGTGATATGTCTGGCAGTAGAGGCAATTAGGGAGCCTTGTGGCTTCCAGGCCAAGTTATGTTCTAACCCATCAATAGCTTCTGAAACAGAGTCCAATTCTCCGTCCCTATTGAACACTCTGATGACTCTTCTGGCATACATTTCGTCCGTATCTTCAATTATGACTTCCTCCTTCGTAATAACACTGAAAAATTCACAGTCCCCTCTCCAGCTGATTTTGCAAGACAGGTTATCGAACTCGGAAATAGTTCCTTGTTGAATTTGGGCAACAGTAGGATCTCTAAATTGAGAACTGTCATCTTTAAGATCCAATCCAGCATGTTTCAACGCTTCTTTTTCTCTTTCCAAAGCTCTGGCTCCTTTACCTCTGAATTGAGTTTCAGCTTTCCCCCAACCCACTGAGACGTGTTTGGCTTTAGAAATCTTGATATCATTGGGATTCAACATCTTCTCTACAATGGGTTCAAAAGACCTCGAAAGAAGAATCAAGTTGTTTTCTTGAGTCAATAAACTTAAAGTTTCCTCATCTGGGGACCAGCTGGCAGTCTTCAACCCCACGTCAATTGATCCAACAATTTCAATAATTGAACTATCGGGATCCAAGTTACTAAGATCATAAGTGATCAGGATGATATCTCCATTGTCGTAAATTAAAATCAACTGGGACATTTCGACAAAGTGTGTGAATGATATAAGTGAAGAATTTGGGTCTGAAATAGGAAAATTTGCCAACAAGTTGACGTCTCCTGTCTTTAAGTACTGTTGGATCTCAATGATGCCTTCATTGATCAAAGTTAATGCAAAAGTAATGGAGTCGGAAACTACATCGAACACAGCCTTATACGAAACATTTTCTGGCCCTGTTTCAGGATAGTATTGGGAACTAGGTACGATATTTCCTTTGTTGAGTATGACCAAGTTCCTCATTATGGATAGATATGATGATAATTTTTTTCGAGACATCTCATCGCGAAGACGCAAGACATTTTGGCGCGACAGGGGACCCAAGATGGTGGTAGATATTAACGCGCGTGTCGAACAATCCAGTGACCCATGTCAACCATAGATCTAGAGGAAGCATATATTTTTACCTATTTAACTGCTCTGTCCAATTAAGCTAGTAATTGAGTTTTTCACCGCTAAGTTGGGATATAATTGAGCCGGCTTCAAAGTTTCCCTAGTGATGGGATCAAAGTTTCCATTTCGATCCAAATGGTCTAGAATGATAGCTTTTTCGTAGGTAATCCCACCAGGAGTCACCACAGGATCTTGAAATACCTCGTACGACAAAGGGTCAACTAAATCGTCGGGAACATCATCTAAAGGTCTATAGACATGAGATGCAGTGCTGGATGATGCTATCTTAGCTTTAGCTTTGGACAATAAGCCGTTTGTGTGGTCATTTTTCATCATCAGCAAAACGTCATCGTATTCTCTCAAGAATCGCTTGTTTAGTTGCAAAAGCTGTTTGTAGTATGTAACATTGGTGGTGTAATTATGTTTTTGTTTAAGGGCATTGAGCAGGTCTGTATTGGATTTTTCAATCATCTTGAAGAGCTTGTAGAGCACTATGTTCCGAGTGAATGCCTTGTTTTGTGAATTGTATGCTTTTATCTGTTCTTTCACAAGTTGAATATCTTTGTAGACATACTTGGAAATAGTTGCCGGGGATCCTTTGACCAATTGACGGTTTTGTTCAATTTCCATTTGTGCTTTTTCCCAGTAAGATGGTGATAAGAATGAACTTGACAAAGCAGATCTTAAATGGTTCATCAGGATGTAAAGAGTTTGTGGCTGGTTGTTACGGTAGAGTTTTATATGACCGAAGATCTGAGAATATCTTGAAAATAGACAAACTCATAACCTAGCTGTTGCTGTGATCTAATTCCTGCGTTTTCACAATCGTGATATTGCTGTCATCCAAGATACCAGGAAAAGACACTAATTTCCAAACTGTTGCCTGAAATAGCAGCTCAGAAATGAGATCAACTGTACTTAGCAATCAAGTAGTGAATTACGTAAATGCAAACTGAGACACAAGTATTATGTCCGCATTAGGTAGCAAAACTAGGTTAGCAATTTCCGGAACATCATGCCAACCTCAATCTTACCATCACGAGCAGTTGTCTTAGGGTCATAGGTTGGAATTCGTCCAGACACGAAGTGGATTGGTCTAAAGGATACTTCCAGTAGTGCCCAATCAGATCAATTAGGAACAAACAACTCGATGGCCCATTAGCAAAACCACGGTGCTACGACGCAAGTTCGCATTGAAGACTACACACAGTCTAATATTCCACGGGTATTAGCCCAGACCTTTAAACATTGCCATATTCAAATTAAAATTATCAACTCACGGGACCTCTACATGCAACTTCCAGAGTTAGCCGATTCCAAACCTAGAACAAAGCTTAATTCATCGGGTTTAACTTTTCAGTATCTTGTCGCCTATATCTAACCTCACATTAACTGGAAACCCAAATGTAGTGTGTGCCTGAACCGGGGAAAAAAGTGAAACATTGGCCACCCAACGAAGGTGGGCCAATAATCACCGGGTACATACACAGGTACAATTTCCTAGACAAATCCGGAGTCCGCGATGCACATCCTGGATGTATGTAGCTAAGGGCGTTGTCCTTGTACGGCCACCTACCAAGGACTTCCTCAAACAGTAAACAGGTTGTTAATCATGGCTCCTGAGCAATCAAAGTGCCGGCAATTGCCATGGTAGTAAAAAAAAACATTCTTGAACATGGAGAGATTTACGAACACAAAACGAGATTTAGTCCAGTGTTTTGAAAGCAATTTTATATTCAAGTGCACTTGCCACGATTTGAGGAAAATTTTGTTAATTAGCCCCCTTCACAAATTTCTCTATCCACATCACATTTGTTACCTTTCACTTTTTACTATTGTGACTATTCTATAAGTCTCCAATTAATCTAGCTCCTTTTCTATAGATCCTGACATCCCAGAAAGACCTGCCCATAGATAAAGCCCTTTTCAACTGCCAAACTCCACCACCACGAAATACAATGGCAGACAGCTTGCCTCGCCTAGTAAGGACCTCCTCCTTACATCCAGAGTTTATCAGACAAAACCTTGGTCTCGTCAACACTCCCATAAAGCTCTTGTTTGATAAAGACACCAGCACCGTGACGGAGAATTGGACGGAAGAAGAAGTCAGACAACAACGACGTCTCGTGAAGTTTGAATTTGTCAGTCTAACCAATGCTGATTTTCTTGTAAATTTCAAGCCCATCCCCAAGTCGGAGTTTACCAACGACACACCCATAATCTCGTGTATCTACTGGCAGGAGAAAGATCTTCATATCGTCACCTCGGTTGATATCATTTTACTTCTTGAGTTCTTGATCCAGCAAAGTTTTTCAATCGAAGAAAAAAATAGGATCAGAAGAAACCTTCAAAGTTTACAGCCTTTGACCATAACCAGGTCCAACAAGAACTATGAGCGGTTTTTCCAGCTTATTATGTCCATGGAAGATCCGAGACCCAGAAATATCGAGAAGGATCTCAAGGTTTTCAAGTGGACTGATTTGTGCAGCGCCTTAAACAAAGTCATATCCAAATATTGTTCAAGAGCAAATGCCAGTGATAATCCTATCTCCAATACAGAGGCCATAGGCCTCAACTCAACGACCGCTACGCCCACATATCATCCAACTAACGCCCACACAAATCTAATTACCTCCATGTCACCAACAGACGATAAACTTACACCGGTGCCAGGAGCAGCCGATACGTTTCTCCCTCTTGAACGAATCAAAGTAATGAGGAAAAAACTGCAAACTGGAATCCCTAGCACCAATCTTTATTTCAGTACGCATCTTCAAAATAAGCATAAAGTTTACCAAAACGGAATTGCTCCAACTGACCCGGTACCCTTGAAGCAACGGCACATGGATACTGCAGCGCCCGCTATTGTCTCAGGCAGTGCCATTTCTACTCCAGTGGCCAATCCGAGTTCTGAAAACGGACCCCCCAATGTGGCTAGTGCTATTTCTACTCCCGTTACCAATTCGAATTCTGAAAATGGACCACCCAATGTGGCTAGTGCCATTGTGGCTGGGAATGATTTCACCGTCGTCAAACCCGAGCGCATAAGCGAAGACCAAATCGAAATTAACAACGAATCTTCGGGTATCGAGTATGATTCAGCTGACTCTCCGGATTCGGGAACCATGGCTGTTTCGTCTTCTGATGACCAAATTGAAAAATCGGGAACCAATTTACTGAAGAACTCCAATTCGGCTGATGATGAATACATGGGAGATGATGAGTTTGCAAGTACCTCTTTCGACAATGTCTCAAAGTCCGATGTCAGCTCTATTAAGGCCAATCCTGGTTCATACAAGGCAAATTCGAAGGATTTTGAATCGAAGTATGCGAAGCGAAGTTCGAGAAATGGTCCTACCTTAACTCTTGAAAACCCCGTAAAAAAGGGTTTGTTGTTTAAAGGACCTAAAGAATCTTACAGTGGAGGTAGTGGATCACGGTCTTCGGGTGTGTTCAGTGATAGAAAAAATACTTACCTCGGTCAAAACACCGGGGTAACCAGTGTGGACAACGGAAGTGATAACTTTAAAGTAAACAAAAGTGGATATACCCTCAATAGGCATAATGATCCTTTCAATAGTATCAGCAAATTTGCCCAAGACCAAAGTGACCGGATCTTTGGCCATAAAAACCAACCTGTACAATACCCATCTAGTGACCAACCCTACTATCAATACCCAGATGTTTCACAGCTTCAACATGTGGATAATGGGCCAAAGTTGACTATGGGAGGTGTTTCCAAGGTTGGTTCAGGACCAACCCAACCTCAAAGTGATATCAAATTACCTTCCTTAGAGGAATACTTGATTACCAATAGGAATCACCAGCAGGATCACCAAGTGAAGTTGCCTCCTATCATCAAAAATTCTAACCCAAACAGAAATGTTTATTCTGATACTTTGAATTCTACCAGTTTATTGCGGTATAGTGAACTGGCCGATGGTACGCGTAAACCCCATAATCACCATTACCCTGTATAAATTAGCTAGTATTACTAGTGTATCCTGAGCCTACCGCGTCAGAGCGTGAATGTATATTATATTATACTATGAGTATAACTCGTGTCTAGCTTTGGAAGTCTTTTGTACTTTTTATAGACAGATTTTGAGATCCAACTTTGACCCAATTCAAGTAGTCACTGGCTTTTTTATTGAATTGTTTTAAAGACTTATCAAAGTCATCGGTAGGAAATTCAGGTACTTTGTAGTTAATGTCGGATTGAATTAATATGTTTCTTGGTCCAATTACTTTGACAAAATTTTGATTTCCTATCAAGTAATTTGTAGATTTAGCCTTGAACAAGCCAAAGAACTTCAATACTCGTAGGAAGTAGTCGTTGAAAGTAGTATTTGAAGTGGGTTCCACTGGTTGTGTCTGTTCTGAAGTAGGAGTTTCATACTTAATGACACAATTTTGTAAGTCATAAGGGCCATTTACAGTAATTGCTAATAAGTTGTCCTTGTTGACCAAGACTTCTTCATTTTCAACAAGGTTGATATTATAGATTGAGCCTTTCCCGACTACGCCAATTTGGCCCCGACCAGAAACAAGCTGGAAGTACCATTTGTACCAACCAAATAACCCTGTCCTGGTACTGGTAGGTAATTTTAGTTCTCTTGAAAATCTTTTGGAAATTTTATAGGGAAGTATGAAGTTTTTCATAATCAAAGAATCACCAATGTAAAAGTGGGGTGAGCTTAAAAGTGCCCAATCAGTAGTTCCATCTAAGTTCAAGATAGACATCGACTTATTGTTGGTGGCGTTGGACATTTTAAACCAATTATTGGCATTTGATGTCAAAAGTAATGATATTTTGGAGGTGGACATAAGGCGTTGGTATCCCCAAGACGAAAGGGACTGTGTCAAAGAGGACGTAGACAAAGTAGAGATCCCATAAATCGATATTAATGCTCCCCTCCTTATATAGATAGGAACAGAAGCAGGTAAGTCCACAGATAATACTGACTGGTCAATTGGAACGAGATTCGAGGCATCAAGCGAGTTGTCTTGAGATTGATCTTGGGTCAATTTGCTTACATTTTGGATGTTTTCGTTGGTTGTAATGGTCTTTCTTGTAGAAATTATAGGGAGTGATGAGGTTGATATGCTAATAGATCTAACAGACCCATAAAACACAGATAGTCTATTCATGTTGATGGAGAGCGTAGATTTATTATTGGATAATTCTTCTGCGACTTTTAATTATGGCCATGAACAGACAAATCTTAGAAATATCGAGCACTGTGGATCTGAGAATATCAGGAGAACCAACCTTGCCCTTAATATAAAGTACATAGAACAAGAGTTCATTGTAGTTAATTGCCATAACAGAGAGAAACAGAATATAGGAATCCTATTCAATACGAGCTACAAATTTAGAAAATTTGTTTAGCAGGTGCTCCAGTGGCGCAGAGGTTAGCGCTTCGTGCTTATAGCCGTTTTGACGACGCAATAGGTTATACCTAAAGTCACGGTCGTGTGAGGAACGCGACGGTCGTGGGTTCAATCCCCTCCTGGAGCATTTGTCCTTTTTTTGCAATCGTTTGTTATATTAAGCTATCACTATGCTGCATTTTTGACTTTAAAAACCTTTTCGTCAAATGCAGCTTGTTGTTTGGCCATTCTCCTATCGGCCCAGTGTCTCAATCTTTCACCGTATTTCAAACAAAAGAGTGGGAAGGGAATTCCTAATGCCAACCCAATAAATGCACACATGGTATTACCCCAACCATAACCCAACCTATCGTACATTGCGGTGGCGAACAAAGGGAATGAAAACCCGAATAATGATCTGAACATGGCAGCTGCCGCCACCGAAGAAGCACTGAATCTTGGGTTCATGTCAATTAAGTAGTTCTGGATGGTCTGAAACACGGCAATGAAAGAAAAGGCAAAAATCCCCGAACCCAATGCAGGAACCATCCAGTGGGTTTTATATTGCACCGACCATCCATAGATCACCAACCCCATGGGCAACCCTACTCCTGAAACCACCAAACAGGGAAGTCTATATTCTGGTTTGGGGACCCCACCATTTTGGGCCGTGAGCTTATCGTAAAAGTGTTGCACCAAAAGCGTAAACACAATTGTTCCTAATATATACCCAATCCCCATAGGTATGAACATCAAACCCGATATCTCAACAGAGAATCCATAAGACCCTTGGAAAACTTTAGGAAATGTCACAAGCATCAAGTACATGAATCCGTATGCGAAAGCCATGAAAGAACCTAACCCAATAACCATAGGATGATACGTCAATAACTTAACAGGTCTCAACATGGTGTACCTAATAACAAGCCACCTGGGGACATCATTGGCCAAGTCAAAAATAGTGTGCAAGTTTTCATTACCAGTTTCCTTTCTCAACCTTACTGCTCTATCGTGCAAGAGCTTTGGAGAGTAGGTTTCTTTGAAAAAAATAGTTCCCACCACTGCCACCGCAAAGTTGAAGATACTTAATATCCAAAAACACCACCTCCAGTTGAGGTTCTGGACCACAAACCCAGATATAATGGGTGATACCACCGGTCCTAAACTGGGGCAGATGGAGTAGAATGCCATGGCGGTGTTTCTAGTCTTATCATCAAATAAATCAGCCAACGTGCCTGCCCCTACATTCAAAGCAGCACAACCACCCAACCCACCCAAAAACCGAAGAATACACAACAGGTAGGTGTTCTTAGTGAAACCACATCCCAAGTTGAAGCAGAAAATAATCCAAATCGATAGGTTCATAATTGGTTTCCGGCCAATTCTGTCACTCTCGGACAATGGAGCAATTACCAAAGGGCCAATTGCAAATGCAAGAATCATGATACTCACCGTCAAGGCCTGAACAGACTTGTTAGTGATGCCAAAGTCTTTGGCAATTTCAGCAGATGCTGGAGACGATACAGATGATGACATGGGAGATATCAAGGTGTAAAGGGCCACTATTAAAGTCTGCATTGACTTGGCTTTAAGGCTCCAATTTCTGGGGAATTCAGGGTCGTTTTCATCCCACGTCACCAACTCAGGGTCCACATCATCGAATTCTTTACCAAAGTTGGTGGTGGGCACAGAAATATCGGGCACGTCTTTATAGGTGTCAGTCTTCTCCAATCTGCTGCTAAGTGTTTTCATAATGGTCTTCCTGGATTGTGTCCGTCTCAATGAAATGACGTCTGGTTGAGCATCTCCATAGATGTCTCTGACTGACAACCGGGACGTTTTTCTGGCCAATGCTTCTGAGTCGTAAGACAGTAGAGAACCAGATCTGGAGAGCGATGCCCTTCTCGCACCCAGGGACCTGGTACGCGAAGAACCTTCAGTTTTCAAGGCTACTGGTTGAGTCTGGGGCCCCACATCTGCTGAGCGGGCCTCACTACTAAGACTTTCGGTGTCAAAATCTTCGTAATATGAACTTAAATGAGGATTCTGCCCATCGGATGACGTGAGGTGTTTTTCATTGGGGCTGCCCGCCCTATTGTCACTATCTTCACTGGTGCCGGGTATCTTATCATTACTTGCGAAGGAGGAAGTGTCTTCCAACTCATCTTTATCTGTCCTGGAGCTCATGGTACTGTCAAAGTTTACAGAAAAAAAAGAATTACAAAAAATTTGAACAAAGAAAATTCGAAGTATCCATAGTTCATTCCGTTATGGACTTTGCTGGACTCCGCGATAAAGAGCCCGATTTTACGGTAGTGTGGCGGTAGTGGGGGAGAAATAGTACAAATCTGCGGGAATGTTCTGCCAACTGCTTAACGGCGTAGGACTACTGAGACCTTGTAATTTTGGGATCGTCGGTGCTGGGCAATCTATTTATTATCATCCAAAAGTGACGGTTTCTGTCATAGACGCACGGTGGCATGAAGTAGGGTTTCCCGGGCGCAAGACCGACGGAGAATCATCACAGTTTTCCGCAGACTGGGGCTGAGGGAAAGTGCGCATCTGCAGACTCGAACCGATGCCATGGCCCGTGACAAGTTGCTAAAATGGATGTCCCTAGAGGCGTGGTATCGTTCCCGTCGTTTAACTTTCTTTTTGGCGCTTCTCGTTTAAGAGTTCGCGATAGGTCCACGCCCGCGTTCAACCGCATTATTTAAACCCAGCTGCCAGAAAAAAAATCACTAGTCACTACAAGAGCATGTCGGCATCTCAGGTTTTTAACGATTATTCTTCGTTTGGAAATGTCACCACCTTGGCTGAAGCCTTCAACAACTTCAATCAGTTGCCCCAATTAAGCTTTGTTGAAAAATTATGGGGGACATATTATTATTACATCAATAACGATTTGTTCGCTACTGGATTGTTGATTTTCATCAACCACGAAATCAACTATTTTGGAAGATGTATTCCCTGGATGGTAATCGACAACATTCCATTTTTCAGAAAATGGAAGATTCAAGAAACCAAGGTTCCTTCCAACAGAGAACAATGGGAATGTATGAAATCAGTGTTGACTTCACATTTCTTGGTGGAAGTATTTCCAATCTGGTTCTTCCATCCTTTATGTGCTAAGTTGGGAATTGCTTTCTCGGTGCCTTTCCCAGCCTGGACCACCATAGCTAAGCACTTGGCAATTTTCTTTATTTTGGAAGATGCATGGCATTACTGGTTGCACAGAGGTTTGCATTATGGGGTTTTCTATAAGTATATCCACAAACAGCACCATCGGTACGCAGCTCCGTTTGGATTGGCTGCTGAATATGCTCATCCTATTGAGGTGATGTTGTTGGGATTCGGAACTGTTGGTATTCCCATTGTGTACTGTTTGATCACTGGAAACTTGCACCTTTTTACCATCAACTTGTGGGTTGCCTTGAGATTATTCCAGGCCATTGATGCTCATTCAGGTTATGAGTTTCCTTGGTCCTTGCACCATTTCTTGCCATTCTGGGCCGGTGCTGACCATCACGATGAGCATCACCACCACTTTATTGGTAGTTATGCCAGTAGTTTTAGATGGTGGGACTTTTTCTTGAACACTGAAGCTGGCCCAATTGCCAAGAAGAAGAGAGAATCCAGAATGAAGACAAGAGCTGAAATGCACCAGAAGAAGGTTCAGTAGATAATCATATAAGAAGCACCGGGTGCCATATAATATTCATTAAAATTGATATGTCAATGGTTTTATAGATTCAAATGTACGAAACAATTATGGAGAGATCCAAGCGCTTGTCGAACCGTATATTCATTATATCATACATTCATGTACTTTTCTCAATTGATGAAGCATATACATTGTATTCTCGTCTCATCTTGACAATATCAATAAAGTCCAACCGGTTGCTGAACTTGGAGTAGTCGTCAATACCAAACTCATTCGACTCTTTCAAGCTTTTGTTGATATGTATAAAGTTCAAGTAAGGAGATGGTGAATGAACAATCTCGTTATCGAGGTTGAGCCTCAGAGGCATTTGAATGTTGGTGACGGAAGAATAGAAGATCAAGCAGAGACTTATCACCAACTCAAGAAGCAAGTCCGACCTGTTGTATGAAATGGGGAGCTTATTGTACTCATAGGCCGAGTAGGCACAGTGCAAGAGTAATGCTATTCCCAACATGTTGAATGGAAGAAATGATAGTTGATTTGATTCTTTCGCGACGGTGGGCTTGTTTGCGTGCGAACACCGAGTACAACAGCCATACTCATTTGCATTCACTTCTCAGTCCATACAGTAGGGATATATACTATGGAGAACATAAACAAGCATTCACGATGCACATCTGCCGGGAATTTGAATCCAACCATCAGCTTAACCACTCCAGAGTATCTCTGAATCGTTTCACCCGAAAGTCACAAATCACCCTAATGTCCAACTCATCTCTTGCCTCATGGGTGCAAATAGCCACCAATGTCCTGCCTCCCTAGCACCATTTCCACCACCACCGAGGCACGCGGTGGTCCTCGATGACCCTCACTTCCGACCCCTCTTCCCCATCGCACATTCCACTGTTCCCTCGCCTCCTCGTTATATACAGAACAATACCATGGCTGTTTACATCTAAATCCGGGGTATTGACACCGCCTATAGGATATTTGTTGATTTGTTTTGTTCCAACTACCGGGATTGTTTGTATTTAAGAACTGCTGCTCTCGTTTCACCAAAAAAAATAGCAGTGATTAGTCCAGCATTCTTTTTTTTGCTGACGTTGCTCAAGCAACTGGCCAAAACCTTTTTCACAATCAAATACACCCTCTGTATAAACCACAACCCTCTACCATATTACATACTATCTGGAAGACCACACATCACATAAGTGATGTAGAATCATTGTCGCCATATTAATACTCATCTGGTGTCCCCGGATTTTCTGCCGGCCCATTTGCGATGATCCGCTATTCCTGTCAGTTTTTGTGGGGTGTAAATAATACAAAGTCATCCAGGCTCCAGAAAAAAAAAAACATAAATACCCTACTACACCCTTTTTGTGGATCGACAACTTTTTTTATAACACATCACCCTCATCATGAAGTTTTCCTTATGGTTATTGGCAGTTTCGGTGCCCTTGCTGACGGCTTTACCCTTGGGATTAAAACAATACTTTTTTAACTTGTTGGTTGACATCAGGTCATCAGATCCATTTCCAGTTGATCCTACGTTCTCCGACAACGTCAACAAAACCACACTTGATTCGTGGCTAGCTGATGAGTACGACGTGGCGTGGAACAACTTGCTCCGCAACATTGGTAACTCTTCCACTTGTTTGGACCCTAATATCTTTCCGGGTGTGATTGTGGCTTCACCATCAAAAGTCAAACCTGACTATTATTACCAGTGGACCAGAGACAGTTCTTTAACAATCCGGACCTTGATACACTATTTGCAGGACTCGGTGAATAAATCCGACTCTGACCCCAGGTTTCAAGAATACCAGTGGTTGGTAGAAAATTATATCTGGAACAACTTCCACTTGCAGCGGTTACCCACGATGTCAGGGGACTTCGACTCGGGAAACACTTTGGGAGAGCCCAAGTACTTGGTCAACAATAGCCAGTTCAACCAAAATTGGGGAAGACCTCAGAACGATGGGCCCGGCCTTAGAATCTCCTCGATATTATCGTTTGTCAGCTTGGAGTTACCTTCTCAGACAGGCTTAAACACCACGTTTATCTTCAACGAGATCATCAAGCCTGATTTACTCTTTGTGGCTAACAACTGGATGAAAGAGTCGTTTGACTTATGGGAAGAAATCAAGTCCTTGCACTTTTTTACGTCACTGGTACAGTTGAAAGGATTGTTGGATGGAATTCAGTTCATTAACCTGAACTCTTATTTGAACGTTGACCAGGAAGTGGTTGATACGTTGGTCACCAACTACAAGGATTTGAAAAAGTTTATTGAGTCATACTATATCAGTACCAAGACCAATTATGTGCTTGAATCTCCTGCTTTGTTTCCTCATACCAGATCTGGTTTGGACTCGGCAGTATTGTTGGGGGCTATTCATTCCCATGACATGAATGAAAACGATAAGCTTATACCTTTTGACATTGACAGCAACCATATCTTGAACCATTTGGTGAAGATTGCTGGTGACATGAAATCAAGATATCCCATTAATCACCATTTGGACTTCAGCAATGCGGTTGGGATCGGTAGATATCCTGAAGATGTTTATGACGGTTACGGTACTAGTGAAGGAAATCCATGGTTCATTTCGACTGCTACTGCTGCAGAATTGCTTTATAAGTTCGCCTACAAATTGGTGACTGCTAAAGAGGACTTGATCATCACGGCTGCAAATAAAGATTTCTTCAAATTGGTGTTGCAACTTGACGATACACAGGACTTTGTTGTAATCAAGTATAAGTCGGCGGTTTTTAATGACTTGATTGAAAATCTTCTCAAATTCAGTGACAATTTCTTAGTAGTGGTGAAAGATCATGTGGACTTGAAGGGTGGTGTCAGCGAGCAGTTCAATAAGTACCATGGTTTCATGGAAGGAGCCAGAGACTTGACATGGAGTTATTCCAGTTTATTGAATGCTTTCAGGTGGAGAGGTAAGGTTATGAAACTAGTGACTTAGATATTCTGGAATACTTAACTTATTCCATTTTTTTCTTATAGATTTTTATAGTGACATTTGTAGAGTAGAGTATAGCATAAACATGTGTTAAATTAAACCTTATGTGGACTGTTCGTCTAGCTTGCTAACACTTTCGAATACAGATATGTTATCCCACCTGCCAGTGTTTTTAAAACATTCGTCGCTTCTATCAGTTAATTCATCGAGTTCTTCTTCTGTAAGTAGAGGACATCCCAGTCCATTATTAATATCAAACTCAAACCCTTCTATGCTCATACCGAACTGCTGGGAAAGCTTGACCAAATTACTAAACTCAACCTCAAAGTCAGCCAACCGATCGAAATTCTTACTTCCTATCTGAATAACCAACCTCTCTAAAAACCGCTTACTGTAGTTCTTTATAATCAACAACTCTTCAATCAGATTTTTCACTAAAAACCTGAAGATCTTGACGGGTTTGTCTTGGCCAATTCTGTGACTTCTATCGATGGCCTGGATATCAACTTGAGGGTTCCAATCATTATCAAACAATATCACAGTATCGGCATCTATTAAATTAATTCCCAACCCACCTGATCTGGTACTGAGCAAAAATACTTGACTTGCGGTAGTTTTGAACTTTTTGATTTCTTTGTCTCTATCGACGTGGGCAGTAGACCCGTCAAAACGGCACGTTTCAATCCCCTTATAACGGAAATAATCAGATAAAAGGTCTAATGTTCTCGTAAACTGAGAAAAAATCAATATTTTATGTCCTTCAAGTTTGTCTATCAATTGGTCAATGATAGTGAACTTGGAGGAGTTCTTTATAAGTAGTTCAATGAACCTATCTTCTTTATCTCTTGGCAGAGAGTCGTATTTCGTCAAGTTCTTTTCCACAGGAAAAGGCTCATAGTAAATGTATGGGGAGTTGCAAATGTTACGTAATTGCATCACAAGGTTTTGTAATTTTAAGCTCTTCAATTGACTTTTAATAGCGTCGTCAAGCTCTTTTCCATACTTTTTGGGATCTCTTCTGCTAAGGTTGAATTTTTCGTATTCGTACTTGTATAATTCGAAGATCCCATTGTAAAGGTCGTTATTCAATGCACTCAAGTACAATCTCTTCTGATAGTCGGTCAACTCAATATGAATCAAGTACTCCTTTTTAGGAGGTAAGTTCAACACGTCTTTTTTGAGTCTTCTCAATATAAATGGAGACAAGATGGTATGCAAATTCTTTATCAAATTCTTCTTGAAGTTCTTTTCAATGAACTGCTTTATTTCTTCGTCTTTAACAGATTGGATATTTTCAATTTCATCAAAATTGAACCACTGTTGAAACAATTTTAAATCATGAAAGATATCTGGTAAGATGAAGTTCAACAAAGACCAAAGTTCATTCAAGTTGTTTTGAAGTGGAGTCCCTGTGATCAAAAGCCGATTTGCAACATCCAATTTCTTAAGAATCTTAATAAGCAAGCAATCCATGTTTTTGAGTCTATGACCTTCATCAATAATCAAAAACTTCCAATTACACTTAGCCAACTTGGAGAAGTCTTTTATAGATAACTCATAAGACGTAAGAACAATATTAAATCCTTCAAATCCCATGATCTTTCTAGAATCCTTGGTTCCAATATATTGTAAAACCTGCAAGCTTGGAGTAAATCTCTTGAGCTCACTATACCAATTGGAAATGGTTGAAAGAGGAGCAACAATCAAATAAGGTCCAGTTATACCTTGTTCAATCAAAAAACTTATGAAAGAAATACACTGAAGTGTTTTCCCCAACCCCATTTCGTCTGCCAAAATCCCGTTAAGACCATTTTCATAAAGCCTGATTAACCAGTTTAATCCCTCCAACTGATAAGGTTTCATTGTTCCCTTCACGAGCTTAGGTTGACGACTACTTTGTTTGCTGGTCAACATCTCCAACACATTTCCATTGCGTTTCTGCCGTTTCTTAGTGGGACTTCCATTATCCTTCTGTTGAATCTGCTTCTGAAGAATCTTATCAGCAATGATCTGAGAATAAATTTGGGACTTTTTGATGAGATTATTCAATCTCTCCACCTTGGCGTTGTTGGGCAAACTGTTGAACTCATCTTGTTCATTGTCCAGCTCGTTCAAGATCTCGGAAGCCTTATGTTGTAACTCTGGGTCTTCAAGCGTCATATTTATTAGAGTAAGAAGTACGCGAACGCGTTTTGGTGAGAACCAGGGAAGGAACATATATATGACACTGATTAAGAGAAGAAAACTTTACTAGTAGGCCTGAAACTGTGTCTTCATGGTTCTGTGTATCTTCAATAGTATTCACTGTTTATTTAATCACCAATTTAACACAGAAAAGGCCAAATTTCACAATCACGGTCCTACAGGGCTATATACGTAAAGAAGTTTTCCCCAAAGGTTCTTCAACACACCAATACTACTCACGTCCACTTTCCGGGTCATATAACCCCATTTTTTTACGTTTCCCTGCTTTTTAAAGCATCACCACTCACAAGCCTGTTAAAAGTGCGATAAATGTAAGAAAATTTTTAAATGAGCACGATGATGATTAGAACTAGAATCTCAGTTAGACCACAAGTATTTGGCCTTAGATGGCTCAGTAACCAGAGCAAAGTCAACTTCCAGACCCAGAGTATTCTCCAGCAGTTTAAAGACAAAGAACCCGAAATGGACGCCCCTAGTAAAATGGCGTCTGAGTCCACCTTACCTCACATCCAGCAAGATCTCAATATCAAACCCAAACAAGCAAAGAAGAAACTGGCTTTCTTGTCCGACAGCAAAGAAGAAGCAGAAGGATTTGAAATGTCCAGCATTAAACAAAGCTTGGGTCAGATGGTTATCAAGTTATTCAAAATTGATATGGATAGTGCAAGAGCCGGTTCTGTTGCTGGTTCCAAATATTTTGGAGACTGTAAAAAACAGGGAATGTACTACCCCAACGAACCACTCAGCGACACTGCTAAGTTCTACTACGAAACATTACAACTTCCACAGTCATTTTCTCAGTGGTTTCAGATAACCACCTTACATTATTGGATGCTCGCTGTGCGGATGAGAGCGATGCCCTTTAAGTACGGTAAGAACTATCAACAGAAATTAGTGGACAGAATTTTCAGAGACATGGAATTGCGGTTGGCCGAAGAGTTGGGAATCACTTCCAACCGTCTTATTGAAAACTACTTGAAAGAATACCACACCCAGATGTTGGGATGCGTATTATCATTTGACGAAGGATTAATGACTGATGACACTACTTTGGGAGCAGCTATATGGAGAAATGTCTTGAATGGGAACCCCAACGTGGACATGAGACATGTTGAGGCGTTGGTAAGTTATGTGAGAGGAAACTTGTATGTGTTGAACCAAATCACCGATAGAGAGTTTGGGTTTGGAAAATTCGAGTTTGTACCACCCCATCAGGTAGTGAAACCTTTGACGGCCGCGCAGAAAGAAGCATTAAAGGAGATGGCTAAGAAGGAGTTTGCTAACAAGAACTTGCCATCGCAAAAGACTGTTCTCTCGTTGGACGAGTAGTTGCATAATGTTCATATTCCCTTGTATATATTTAACATATCAAATACTCATTGATGTGCATATTGAATAAATAAAGCTACATCTACAATTTAGGGCTGGATACAGGTGCATCTTTAGTCCAATCATGGCCATTTGTACCTCTGATCATGACGTTCATTACCGCATAATCGTTACCTGGCTCAGATCCAGCCTTCTTCTCTCCCAACATAATATCTTCATAGAAATGGAATCCGAACCGCTCATAAATGGGGATATTACTCAAGGCACTGCTTTCCAAGTATGAAAGATTGTCAGGACAGACATCGATATAGTTTTGGAACATAAAATCAAACATCTTTCTCACGTTTCCTTTTCCTCTTGCAGCTTCAGTAGACCCCAAATACACCAAGGTGAACAACTTCTTCTTATGGAATCTCGAGTCGGTGGTGAGAATCCGTTCACAAGTATCATGCAATAAAGGTAACATTCCATCAAACACTTTGAATCTGCCTTCTTCTCCATATATTTCCCATACTTTCCCATAACCTGACTTCATCAAGGTGGAGAAGCTCTCTAATCCTTTCTCGATGGAATCAGGTAGGGACCATACACCGACGGTTTCGAATTCCTCTTCGGTTTCATTAATTCCAAGAACTAAACCCGCCATGATGTGTTGTCTGACGTAGGCTTCATAAAGAGACAATTCACAGAGGACTTTGTGCTTGGGATCATCGATATGATTTACCAACAATGTGGCCAAATCATCAGTGCCAAAGGCAGCCAACAAGCATTTGGCGGCTTTGGTGGTATCGTTGATGTTCAATATTCTGATATTCTTGAATTGATCTGGAGTAGACATTGCGGACTTATCTTGAATGAGATTAGCTTGGGCCATTAATCGAATGCGTGAAAATAAAATTGGTTTGGAATGGAGTTTAACAGGATATTGTATTCATAACTTGGAAGCTAGTTATGAAGATGAAACGGTTGGGCTTTGCTGGTATAGCAAAAATATTGGGAGGAGCGATGGGGATTTATATCTCACCCGCAAGGACTTTCTGGATTAGGCATCTACCTCTCATTTGGGAACTGGCGCGCCGTGGCAGAACGATTGGTTTATAGCCAGATAGCGCATAATAGGCGTTCTGGGTCGGGCAAGTGATAACTTACAACATTGATTTAAAGCGGAAGTGCGCTAGCAGTTTGAACTATCAAACTGATGATCATCGGTACAATACGAGTTTGGTGGGAGAATCCTCCCGAAAGTTTCGGGATGAGCTGGTACTTACGTATTCTGTCTCATACTCATTTATGCCATTTCTATCATTGGTTTACACGACCCAAATTTGCAAATTCTACCAAAACTAAGTGTCCGCCCTGCACCACTCCTGGCATATACCAAAGACAATTGTAAAATTCTCACCTTTTAGACTTTCATGCTCCAACCCTCCAGTCAAGCTGTACACACATGCCAATATTTAGATTGAGGCGCAGTCAGATCAAATAATGATTTAACCCATACACCCACTATTGACGTATATTAAGAGACTGAGAAGTGAGTCGTGCGGATTCATCCTCTCCTTTCTTTAGAATCTGTCAAATACCAACCATTGGAAAGTAGTTCTCACCTGTTGCATTCTGTAGTCACTAGGGTCAACCAGTACCTTTGCCGTACCATAATTAAAAATCACTGCTTGTTTGTAACATTATTGTATCAAAATATCAGATCCATTTTAAAATTGGCAGCCGTTTATGGGTGCGGCCAAGGAGTTCCTTTGACTCATATTCCTTGCTAGATCATCTTTTGTTATCTCTCTTCTATTCTTCAATTATATTTATATTTACCAGTGGAAGAAGCGGTGGCATTATTCAACTTCTTTATCATGGGAAATCTAAATGTGGACCAGATCGTCCCTTACGAGATAGACGAACTCCAGCAGCAAAACGAAAAGAAAATTAACCAGATAAATGTTACAAGGGCTTTCGCAGACTTGCCTGTCCCGTTTTCTATCTACAGTGCCCTCGAAAAGTACTTATTGATGCTCATCATCGCCATGATTGGTTTCTGGGGCACGGTTTCACCACCTTCTTTTTTTCCTGCCATTCCTACTATTGAGTCATATTTCAATGTTTCAGAGACAGTTGCAAATTTGTCGGTGGTGTCGTACCTTATTCTTCAAGGAGTGGCTCCAACTTTTTCTTCAAATATTTCAGATTCCATTGGTAGAAGGCCCATCGTCATCCTTTGCTTGTTGATATATATTGGTGCAACTATAGCATTATCCCAAACCAACGTTTTTTGGCTTCTAGTTCTATTAAGGTGTGTTCAAGCTGCTGGTATAGGGCCTACCACATCCATTACGGCCGGTTTTTCTGGTGATATTTGTACCGAAGCTGATAGAGGAAGTTTTGTGGGGATAGTCATGGGAATGCAACTCACTGGACAAGCGTTTGGTAGTATAATTGGCTCAGGCTTGATTCATTCGTATGGCTGGAGAGGAATCTTTGTGTTCTGCGCAATTGGTTCAGGAATCACCCTTATCGGGGTGATTTTTCTTTTACCAGAAACAGTTCGTCTGATAGCTGGAAACGGGAGCGTCAGGCCTAAACGGGTCATAAATATTGCACCGATTCTTTTACTTAAACCTTTCAGTACAAGATTGACCAACCAGGTGGAAACATTAGCTCCGGTCACCCAGCTAAGCCTTTTGAGCCCCTTTCGAATACTTTTCCGATCGCATATAATCTATGTCTTGTTTTCCCCAGCAATAAAATTCGCTGTGTGGTCTATGACATTAACTTCACTAACACTTTTAGAAGGAGATGGGTATGATTATTCGGTACTTAAAGTTGGTTACATGTATTTGCCCCAAGGGGTGACGTGCCTTATAGGGTCAGTGATCACTGGCAGGTTATTAGACTGGAGTTATAAACGAAGCAAGAAAGCTTACGATGAGAAACACAAACACATTCAAGAGTCGGAACTGCCTGGGTTCAATATTCTTCCTTCACGGATTTACATTTCTATTATTCCTTCCGTCCTCCAGTTCATTGGCATTGTCATTTTTGGTTGGTGCTTGCAGTTCAAATTGAATATTGGCTCTATTATTGTTGGAACCTGTTTGATTTCATATTCCTCCGAGGCGGCTCTAACAATTTCCTCAACCGTCTTGGTAGACATGTATCCTACCAATGCATCAGCCAGTGTATCTCTTATGAACTTGACAAGATGCTGTATTTCTGCTCTTGGTGTGGGTGTTCTTTCCAAGATGACTAGTTCCATGGGCATTGGGGGTTGTTATACATTTTGGGGGGCCGTGGGGTTGGTGGCCGATATGGTGATGTTCTATGCTGTTTGCTTCAAAAAGCAGTAATATTTATATATCCAATATAGAAGGCTGATGTTCTCGTAAGTGCGTGGCACAGCCGCATGCATGCCCGAGATTCAAAAAGAGTGCCCCTTTAAAAAAAAAGTGTCTCTTTGTAAAAGGTGGGCATATAATACCAAGGAGGCTGTTCTTTACCGTGTATTTCCATCTTGCAGTTATATGTTGCACTTTCAGCACTTTGAAATTACTTTTATTTGGCTTACCAAAAACGCTGCGAAGAAACTTTATAAACGTAGCCCGCAACCGCTTCGCTTTTTCTCCACATTAAAATAACATTTTCGGTCGCATCATATTCAACTTCCATCATGGATACGCAGGTACTATCCCCTACAGGGGACGAATTAAATAAGGCATCCTTCGTCTGTGAGGTTGCTGGGTGTGGCAAGCAATTCAAACGATCCGACCATCTTTTACGACATAAACGAAATCACGAAAGCATCTCGCTATTCTCCTGTTCTTGGCCAGGGTGTGAAAAGAGCTTTGTAAGGAAAGATGTAAGACTCAAGCATTATAAGAGACATGTTCAGAAGGAGAAGGAAAAATCCGGTGTTTCGGGCAACAAGATCAAGCATTTTGAGATCTATACTCCCAAGACGGTTATGGAAAAGTCCAAACCTATAAAAGGCGAGGATCTTTACAAGTCTAATGGTCAGGATAAAAGGGCAGTTGTGTCAACTGAACTGAATACCCCTATTAATATGCTACATGGTTCATCTGGGGATGACGGATACTCCTTTGAAGACCAAACGCCTCAGGAAAAATCGAACATTAACTACGTGATGAACTCAGATGACAATTTGATAGCGGATTTAGTTCCATCGCCAACCATCAACTTCGAGCAAACCAACTTGGAAAAAACCGGCTTGCTTGAGTGGCTTCTTCATAACAACGAAGAAAACTCTCACAAATACTTGAATTACTCGCCGTCTTCCTCATTTAAGGATTTGCTTGGAGATACCCCTGATTTGACGTACTCTACTTCTCAAACTTCGATTTCAAATGCAACTATCCGAAAAATGGCGGAACTTGTGCCATCATTGATGACTGATTCATACTTCACGGCGGAAAATATCGAAAAGTACCTTGTCAACTTCTGGTGTATTTACCATATTCAATTTCCTATTATCCATCGTCCTACATTTTCCACCACCACAGCTAATCCGCTATTACTTTTAAGTATAATGACTATTGGGTCGTCTCTCGAGTCAAGAATGTGTCATGAACCAGAACGGAAGTTGAGGTATATCAAGTTGGCAGAGTCCATTGCAGACCCTTTACGATGGCTCATTTGTTCTCACGGTGAAGTTCTTGAAAGTTCCACATCTTGGTTACTACAAAGTTTACTCATCTTGGAGTGTTATGAAATCACCTGTTCCAACAGAAAGCTTCATAGAAGAGCACACTTGAACCATGGTTTCAAGATCGAGTTGTTAAGGCGGAGTCCCCTTTTGGGTGGAAACTTGGAACAGTCCGATGATCTAGATAAGGATGCATCTACAAGTCCATGGGAAAGTTGGATTGAGCTTGAATCACTCAAAAGATGTGCTTATATCACATTTTTGGTGGACACTTATAATGCCATTATTTTTGGCCAAGAAGCAGTGTTGTACACCCATCATATCAAGCTTTCGCTTCCTTGTATTGACCTGATATGGGAAGCTGCTAATACAAATAAGATGGACGTTAACAACCAACTTGACAATTCCAAATTCCTTTCGGTATTGACTGATGTATTAAGGTATGAAAAGGTGAATTCGACACCCTTCACCAGTCGAATTCTTCTTGTCGGGATTATCAGTTTAGCCGTTCAAACAGAGCAGATAGATCTCCTGGTGAAAGCTCTTCAAGACCAAGGCTTGAAATCATGGAAAACCAGTTTGTTGCAATCACTTGATTCTTGGTACGATAATGTGATAGATGAAACCTGTTGTGAACTTGACAGTGCATTTTATTGTCCCATTGATATTCCAGAAGCAGGATTGTCCAAACCTGATGACACAAGTTGCAAATTTGCAGTCTATCATATAGCCCAGGCATTTTTGAGGGTTCCCCAATATGACTGTATAATCTTCGCTGGTTCACCCCAAAGAATGAACATTAAAACTTCTCCAAAAGATCTTGAAAACGTCAGGAGGAGAATGGAAAACTGGACCAAAAGTCTTGATGGCCGGATGGCTGTCACTCATGCATATGTGCTATTGTGTGAAATATTACTAACACAAGATGAAACTGGAGAGCATGTCCCCGTCACTTATGAACCCAACATGGATCCAATATTTTACAGACCCAACATTGTTGCCTCATCATTGTTTTTGATTTGGTGTTACAACTACTGTTTGTCTGGGGCCGAATCAAACTACTTGAAACGTTCGGATCCAATGCAAAATTCAAGCTATATCCCGGAAAGAATCAACGGGTACCAATATGTTAGAAACGTCAAGAAGAAGTTCGAAGAAGAAGCTCGAATCGCTGGAGTCGACTCGAGCTCCAAGAAGTTTACTGCGTATGCTAATGCTTTACAGAATATCAACAGGTTGCATTGTACGGTTGGGTTATTGCGGTTGTTCAAAGACAAGTTTATTGCCTGTAATTCTCAGATTTGTAGGGAATACGGTAGACTCATGGAAAACTGTATTCAAAGGTCATTGGGCAGAGAGCTGGTCATCTGCCCCGATATGTACGTTGATGCATAGATGGACGTTATAGTAATAAAAATGGATGGAACAAAAATTGCCTTTACGCTTTACATGTTTGTGTCCTCTCACTGTAGTAGTTCAAGACGTAAACTCATGAATTATAAAATATATACAGTAGTTATCATACTAATTACAAGATTCTAAAGGTCTGTTAGTAAATATACCAAAAATAGGGTAAAATATTGTCGGTCAGATAGGCATTTTTCGACACGGTGATTAAGAAGTCAAACGTTCATATAAAAAAATTGGGGTTCATCAGGACAATTTGGTTAAAACTCAATTAACGTACCGTTAAATCATAAAACTTTCATTAATAATGGGATCGGGTCCTTTTGGTTGTTAGTATATGAGTATAAGTCAGAAACAGACTTTATCTTCAATAGAATTCAGCAGTCTAACGTCTAAAAAAGTCACAAATCATCATCCGTATACATACTGCTTGATACTGTGGGCTTTAGCCGATTCTTATTCCCTGCTTAGTGGCATTAGGTAAACTTTTGATCCACGATTTTCTAGACTTTTTATCGGTGATGATAAATACTCTTCCACTTTGCTTCATTCTTCCTGTTCTACCCATCCTATGGATTAAGTCCACCGAATTGTTGGGGAAATCCATTAAAATGACATTCTTAACTGCCAGGAAGTTCACTCCCCTTGCAAACAAGTCGGTTGTGACCAAAACTTGAAGTCTCAGATCGTCATCAGGGTTTTCCAACGATTCAGCATGATGGATAAATGGCTTAATTTTTTCGGCTCTCTCCAAAGGAGAGTCATCACCGCTAAGGCCTATCAAACTATCATTCTCTTGGTGGTACTTGGTAGCCAAGACACTGACCAATGGAAGAACGTCTTTTTTGTGATTCACAAACACAATTACCCGCTTGACAAATCCCTTCTCGCTCCCATCCTTTTGAATGGCATATAAAGCTTGAGCTAAACATCTGGTCTTGCTACCATTGAAAGGACTTAATTCAGCATCAATCACTTTGACATTTACTTGTTTAGGAACCTTGTGTAAAGATGGAGTGATAACATTGATAACACTTTTGCCGAAAAATTTCTCAACAGTCTTGACAAACCTCTTGGGCATAGTAGCTGAGCACAAGATCACATCTTTACACTTACTAAACTTACTGAGAATAGCAGTGGTATCATTGACCCATGAAGGATCAAACAAAGTATCAGCTTCGTCAACCACACAGTAGCTCACATTATACAAGTATCTGTAAGGGTTACTTTCAGTACTATGTTGTTTCCCCAAAGATTGAAGCTTGGTAGGAGTGGTGATCAACACGTCAACAGTTTTGTTTAGAGCGTTGAAAAATTTAGAAGCCGGCTCTCCAGCTCCCCATTTCAATATATTCAAACTCAACCCATTCTGATCCTCCATCTCCAAGAAACTTTTATATTTGGTATCTTTCAAAATGTGTTCAGGAACATTGTTCTGTAAATGCAAAGGAATTGAATTGGCTGCATTCAAAGTCTCAGACACTTGGTCGACCAACTCATTAGTAGGTAAAAGAATCACAGATCTGACCTTTGAGAGTTTTCGAGACTCTTCAAATACTCCAGGGTTCTTTGTGAATGAGGCAAGATCGTCTTCCTTCAACTTACTCAATATTACGGACAAATAGGCCCATGTCTTTCCTGATCCGGTCTCAGCTGCCACTGTGAAAACCTTGAGTTTGTTGTTGAAATTTTCAATCATCTCGTTATATATGTCTTCACTATCTTGGAATTTTGATACCTTTACGTTTCTTGATTTGTTAATCTTTCTGACACTAGCAACTTGAACAGGAGTTGGTTTGATTTCCACTTCGTCTTTCGACTTCAAGTAGGTGTTTTTGAAGTTATAACAACTCTTGATTTCTTCCATCATTGACACCCGAACACTGGGGAAGATTTTGAGTTCATGAAAGTCTGTTATACGATCCACACTCAAAGCTGCTTGATCAACCTGTTTTTTGTCAGGATCTGCTAGTTTAGAGAAGTTTCCAAACAGGAAAGAAGGTGGTCTAACTCCAGATTTACCTTTAGTTGTATTGTATCTTGTTACTCTGTTGGCATAATGTCTTGTAGCCTTCAAATTGTTGAATACTGATCTAAAATTCATATCATCGTAGTGTTAACCAAAGTGAAAAAATTTTCTACTCGAAAAGTTCCGCGATCTCTGGAAAAATTTTTTGAAACCTTTAAAGCTGAATAGCATTGGACAATGAATTGGGTAGCCTTGAGGAGAGGAAATTTCCCTCTAACAAGAAATCTTCATAACAGTGCTATCTCCTTTGCTAAAGCAAATGTAAAGAAAAAGCCTTTAGGAGGAAAAACCAAGGCCAAGCAAGGTTTCAAAACCAAAAATGCCAGTGACTCCAAGGTGAAGAAGAGTGGTACCACCCATTTAGTATTCAAAGATGCCGTAAGAAGATTAGGATACGAAAAATATGCCCCAGTGTTCACTGCCAATGAGTTGGCTCACAAAGATCTTGATACTCGGGTCGGAGAAATCGTCAAGTATAAAAGAAGTACCGAGTCTAAATTAAGGCTACTTGGTTCATTCAAGAAATACCAACATCATGAACTTTTCAGAAATCCGGTGCTGCTTATAAGTGAAAACTTGATACAAATCAACAACAGGTTTGTCGAAAAATTCGACGATGGTTCCGCCAACAACCGTACCATTTTAATGGGAGACTATAAAGTTGGTAAGTCGACATTAATATCCCAAACTCAGAGTTTGGTGGACGATAAATATAATGGAGAAGTGGTACTTTTACATTTCGATTATCCCGAAAGAACCAAAGAAGGTACAAGTGACTACTTGTTCAATAAAAGAAGAGAAATCTACCAACAACCAATGTTCACAAAACGGTGGATCATGAAGACTAGACAAGCCAACAAAGATATATTCCTGAAGATGTTGTTATCCAAGGATGTCACGTTTGTCACCAGGAAAGTCGAGTTCAAATATGAAGCTGGAAAGAATACTTTGTATGAGTATTTGAAGAACTGTCATGATTTTGGTAAGACCGAGAGTAATAATGCTTTTGAGTTTTTTATTTCTGAATTGAAGCACCACTCAGCTACTTATCCAGTGTTGTTAAGTATTGATAACTTCAATGCCTTGACTACTTCTCCTTTCACCAAATACAAACATCCGGATTTCAAGCCTATTCACTTCAAAGAGTTTGAAGTTGGCAAGTTTTTCTTGGATTATGCCAGTGGAAGTGAAAATTTTACCAAAGGAGGAGTCTTATTAGGTGAATCTTGTGATAGTGGTAAACACGATAACTTATCTATAGCATTGGGATTGACTGCTTATGATCCTTATCGTGCAAGCAGCTTGGATACCAACTTGATTGAAAGGTTAATGAGCAATGGTGGTATCAGTGTGTTCGATGTTCAACAATTACCCAAATCTCAAATTAGATCCTTATGTGAATTCTACCACGAAAATGGTGTGTTATTCATGAGAGATTACATTTACAAAGATGATGATCGTGAAGTTGACTTGAGCTTGGAACAGATAGCCGATTTAAACTACACCAAATCAGGAGGAAACCCAGGTCTCTTATTGAAGCATGTAACCATGAGCTTTTAGAACGATTTTGTAAAGAAAAACTTGTATATAATTAGTAATTAACTTCTTTTTCATTATCTATACACTTCGTGGCTCTTGAAAAGTTGATCTATGTAAATAATGTGTCCTCTTCTCTTAAGTACTCTCCAATATCAGATTGTCTGAATGCAACAATTCCAGTAGGCACCAAGTTTCTGGTTTCAGCAGTTGATTTAGCACTAACCCCAAAACCTAAAGGAATGTCGTGCATCGAAAATACAACTACTCCAGCATGTTCTGGTATGTCTTCGGACATTCTTCCTATGTGAGCCTTCAAGATATGGTTTCCATATAAAAATGGCATTTCACCATTGGGTTTTATCCACACTTTGTACTTGGCATATTGGGCCAAATATGATAAACTGGTGATATGTAACTTAAACTTTCCAGTCTTTGTGAACTTTCCGAAACACACTCCGAGAGACATAAGCTGCTTTCTCGAAACGGATGTAGCAAAGTTAGCTATTTGTTCAGATACATAGTAGACTCTGTCTTTTTGAAGTCTGAACACATGAGGAGCAGTTGGATTATCCACTAAAAAAGAGATGTTTCTTCCAATATAGTTTGCAAGCTTCTCAAAAACCACCTTGGTCTCTTCCTCTGTTAAAGGTCTCATTGGTGATCTATGTTTATTGGAGTTTTATATGGTTGATGCAATATATTCAATTTATTTTCACGATGAGATGCGGTACTCTTTCGCACGACTGAAGAAAAAATACTTTACCAAATCAATAATGGAAGATGTTGAAGTGGATGAACAAGTTTATAAGCGGGACCAAGTCAGTAAATGGACCAGGGCCCGCAAAGAGGATAAACGAGAAAATTCCAATAAGAGACAAAAGACAGAGGAACGGCCGGATCGCCGCAGTTCGAACAACGAGTAGGTAAGTTTATACACCATTCAACTGATGAACCTTTTGATACTAACTGATTTCCTATAGTTACCAACCTAGAGTAGATGAAGAAGGCAATGTTATTAAGAGTGAAAGAAGACCCAAGCGGAAGGTTGCTTGTATGATTGGATACTGTGGTACCGGTTATAATGGAATGCAAATTCAGAATAATCCTGATGTTAAGACTATAGAGGGAGAACTCTTCCAAGCCTTCATAAATGCTGGAGCTATATCACAAGAAAACTCGAACGATTTGAAGAAGAACGGTTTTATGAGGGCCGCTAGAACAGATAAGGGGGTTCATGCTGCAGGAAACGTTATTTCTTGCAAGTTGATTATTGAAGACGAAGATATCTTGCAAAAAATTAACAAGGCGTTACCTGAACAAATCAGAATCTGGGGAATTGAAAGAACCAATAGGTCTTTTGATTGTAGAAAGATGTGTTCTTCTCGTGTCTATGAATATTTATTGCCTACCCACAGTTTTTTGCCTCCAAGACCTGGAACCGTATTATATGGCCAGTTGAAGGAAGAAAGTACTGCTAATCCTGGCTTTTACAGAGATAATGAAGAAGACGAAAAATGGTGGAAAGAAACCCTTGCAGCCATGGACAAAGTCAAAGCAGAAGTTGGTTTGAAAGATGAAAATGTTCCTGATGCTGACCAAGAAAAAGAGAAGTTGTACAATGAAGAAGGTCAAATAACAGAATTTGGTATTAAGGCCAAGAAAATCAAACAAGCGGAAAACACAAGAAGAAGAGACTACAAAGTTCTGAATGATAAGCTTGAATTATTCAGAGACGCTTTGAAGCAATATGAAGGATCTCATAACTTCCACAACTACACTGTTGGTAAGAATTACAAGGATCCAAGTGCTAGAAGATATATGAAATCGACTAAAGTCAGCGAACCTTTCATTATCGGTGATACCGAATGGGTCTCTATCAAGATCCATGGGCAATCATTCATGCTTCATCAAATTAGAAAGATGATCGCCATGGCAGTGATGCTCGTTAGAACTGGATGTCCTGCCACTAGAATCAACGAAACGTTTTCTTCCACAAGAGTCAACATTCCCAAGGCCCCAGCCTTGGGATTGCTCTTGGAGAACCCGGTCTACGAAACTTACAATTCCATGTTAGAAAAGTATGGATATAACAAGATTGACTTCAGTCGATACCAAAAGGAAATGGATGACTTCAAGATGAAGTTCATTTATGACAAGATTTATAACGAAGAACGTCGGGAAAACTCGTTCCATGGATTCTTTGGTTTCATTGACAACTTCGAGAATGAAGAAGCCGAGTACAATGTATTCAAATTTTTGAATACAAAATTCGAAGTAGGATTCAGTGAAGAGAAGAACAAGGATTCTACCAAAGACAAGGATTCTAAGGACAAGCAAGACAAATTCGACAACGTAGATTAAAAATATTACCATTATGCACAATCTATAAAACACTAATAGATCATTACCTCTAACACATTACTTTGGTCAAGTTATAACCAGTTCGGATTCTGCTTTACAGTACTCTTCTTTGCATTTGCATACAACTGTTGTTGCTGTAATTGATCAACATTTTGATACTCTATTGGCACTGTTGGTTGCAGTTGGCCTCCCTGTTGATGAGGGATATGCTGGACCACCGGAGGAGGCTGTTGTGCTTGTTGAAGAACTGGGCGAAGCTTTTGAACTTGGTCATTCTCCTTATCTTTTTCATCATTATTATCGTTATTGTTGTTAGCGTTATTGTTATCAATCATCTTTTGTTCCCTTTGCTTTTCTTGTTGGAATTTGTACAAAGTCCAATCAAAAACATAGTCATATCTATAGTTTTCTCTCTTGAATAAATCCCTGAACAACTTTCTCAAAAATGGGTAATCCGGCTTATCCTCAAACCGCAAAGATTTGACATAATCCATGTAGTCCAAGAACTCCTTGGGTAAACCCTTGGTCAAGATGTCACTGGGAGTAGTCATCTTCTTCTCCATGATCCGGTCATACTTTTGTCTTTTTGTGGCAGCTTTTAAACCTTGCCATGGTAAGGAACCACGACAAAAGTAGATCAATACGTAACCCAAACTCTCCAAGTCATCTCGTCTCAGCTGTTCAATCCCCAAATGAGTATTGACAGAGGTGTATCTTGCGGTTCCCGTCAAGTTTTTGTTTTCTCTGTATGGTATGTGCAAGTGGGTTCTTGGATCCCGGTATTTTTTGGCCAATCCGAAATCAATCACATTCACCTGAGAACCTCTGCGTCCGATCCCCATCAAAAAGTTATCAGGCTTGATATCTCTATGGATAAAGCATCTGGCATGGATGTATTCTATCCGGCAAATCAACTGATCTGCCAAGAGTAACACAGTTTTGTAGGTGAATTTCCGGTTACAATAGTTGAATAAATCTTCCAAAGAAGGTCCCAATAAATCTATCACCATGGCGTTGTAGTCACACTCGGTTCCATACCATCTGACAAAGGGGATTCCAACCCCACCACTCAACGCTTTGTATACTTTTGCTTCATATTCTAATTGAGGGTGTTTTGCTTTGGTGTTCTCCAATTTGATGGCCACTTCTTCACCAGAAATGATGTTGGTGCCAAGGTAGATATCACCGAACGATCCACTACCGATCTTTCTTCCGATCCTGTACTTTTTACCGACCCGTAAATCCATTACTGAAAATAAATCCTGAGTCTGTGCCTTGTGGTAAAGCTCTCAGCAGGCAAAAATTCTCTCCGATGTTTTTTGTGGATCTGTATCCTTGGGCGCGGCACGCAACAGCCAGCACCACACGACACCTCTGTGCACCCCCAAACTAAACTCGCGGCGGTTTCGGCTCCTACACCACCCCCCCCCCCCCCCGACAGGCCGGCTGAACTCTACCACAAGTCACAGGCAGTATATCTAGAGTCACGATTTAGAGGCGTAGTCAAGACAACAAAGTGAAATCCTGACACGTAAGTGTACGTTTCACTCCACTACTGGCTAAATTCCCCAATCCCACAACAAAGATTTTCGGACAATAGGCAAGCTTTTGTTATCAGTTACCGTAAGTACACGCTCAAACCAAAATCCGTGACTGGCTCAATAGTTGCAAAACATATCATTTTTTCTGGTACCCCCGGCATTTAACCTTTTACAAGAGTGGAGTGATAGTGTCAAGGGGAATATTAATTATTAAAACCATTACAAACAAAACTAAAATTATTACACATACACTTCGCTGGATATGAGTACCTATGAGACACGTATCAAGTTGATCTCTTAGGCCTTGTTGGCTTCAGGCTTCTTGAATTTGTTGATGAACTTCTTGAAGAACTTGTTCTTCTTCACGGCCTTCTCAACCTTGTTAGAAGTAGACTCGACTTCCTTCTTGGCTTCTTCAACCTTATCCTCAGCCAGATCCTTAACCTCATCAACCTTAGATGGTTCAGCTTCAGTAGATTCACCCTTGACAGCTTCTTCAGTCTTGGCTTCAGCCTCAGTGGCTTCATCCTTGGCCTCTTCAGCCTTGTCTTCAGCCACTTCCTTAACTTCAGTAGCTTTGTCTTCAACGGCTTCAGTGGTTTCTTCGGCGGTATCTTCGGTGGCAGCAACAGCTTCTTCAGCCTTATCCTCTACTGGTTCAGCCACGGTTTCGGATTTATCTTCCACGTCCTTAACGACGGGTTCATCCTTGTCTTCATTGATGAAGATCTTGGAGGCTCTCTTAACTCTGTCTTTAATACCCATGGTTAAAATAGAATAGGTTCAAATATTATGTGTAATATATAAATAGGAAATTTGTAGGGGATCCCTGCAGTTTAAATAGTTTTTTTTGCCTGATGTTGTCAGTTCCACAAAAACAAAAATACCGGCGGATAAACAAAGACAGTAAATCGTGTAATTGTCTGAATTAATCAGGTAAAATTCTGATACCAGCAATATAAAGGACCCGGATGGAGCGTAACAAATTTAGCAACAAAACCCTAGACGAGGATAATATTATCTGTAGATAATGTACGTTCATGGACATATAGTCATTACCCGTCAGGCCAGATCTTGACTTTACTGGGACATGTAACAACACTTCAGGGTCGGGGTTCGGTACATTGAGCCCCCCATGAGCGACAAACTTATGACCCACAGTTTCTGCCTCAGACTACTGCACATCCTGTGTGGTGTGAGTCTACAGCATAACAATAAGAAACGGCTGAGCGATTGCCTATTTGAGAAGGCGCTCAGCTAAAAAAAAGTGGCCAGAGTTCGATTATGTTCTATGGACGCTGCGGCCGGTATATCGCCGAAGACTTAAGAAGCGTATTGAACGATGGCATGGCTTTGCAGCGTTTTACTGGGTTCTGGCATGTCTGTATTTTAGCGTGTTTTGGTGTCTCGGCTCATGCACGCGAGACGAAGTAAACCCAACACGCTTTGATGAGCACGACAACCTCGATGAGGCTCCGCCAAAGAAATGAAATGATTGCTAGACGGGCGCTTTATTCATATAAACTGGTGACACACGTCTGAGCAAGTTTATGATGGCTCGGGAGGTGGGTGTCAAGCTTTTAACAAGCGATTGCAAAACTGCCATGACGTCGGCGTTTAGTGATATCTGCATTTTGTGGCAGTGTCTCCAAATTTAGTTTCAAAGCATAATTTTGTCAGATTTGAGATACGGCTTGTGTGACGGTTTTTATGTGCATTTGTTTAATGATAAACCAAGCTGTTACAGGTTTCTGGACACTCCTAGGAGGGTCTGGGTGTGGCCTGGAGGGTGGAGCCGTAAATGTGATGATTGTTAATGGTCTTTGACCTGCTGGGTGGGTTCAGCCACATCTGCTGGGCTCGTGTCAGCCCCTCCCAAATCTCCGCGCCATTTCGTCCCATTGCCTCGTCCTTTTTCTGCCTTGTTTTTCGCATCTCTAAATCGCGACTGTAAACAAAAAACCGATTCCACTCGCTACCACAGGTTTTCTACACCATGATACGAAAGTCGCTTCGCCCGTTGAAAGACACCACCAACGTCCATAAAGATACTCCCGTTGCCCTCAAACCAGTGATTCTCAAGAACGCAGTTGCTGACTCCCTTCAATTTCTTCACAACTCCAACCTCACAAAACTCAAAGTAAAGCCTCTGGTCTCACTTTCTCATTTTGAAATTGGCAAGACTTTGGGCAAAGGAAAGCTCGGCCTGGTGTACTGTGTCAAGCACAAGGCCCTGAACTTTGTATGTGCCTTGAAGGTAATGAACCTCGAAACCCTTCGGTCCCTAAAATTACAAAAGAACTTACAACGAGAAATCGAAATCCAGTCTTCCTTACAACACCCCAACATCCTCAAACTTTTCAGCTACTTCTATGACTCTAAAAACGTGTACTTGGTTATCGAATATTCCATCAACGGTGAGTTGTATCATCACCTAAGAATCAACAAGCGTTTTACCAACACTTTGGCCAGCTTCTACATTTATCAAGTAACCTTGGGGTTAATTTATTTGCATTCAAATGGCATTATTCATCGGGATTTGAAGCCGGAAAATATTTTGGTGGACTTCAATCATACCGTTAAACTAAGCGATTTCGGCTGGTCTGTTAAAATCGAGAGAAATGCTAAACGATCAACCATCTGCGGTACATTGGACTACTTATCCCCAGAAATGGTCAACTCAATGGCCTACGATTTCAAATCGGATATTTGGTCTTTGGGGGTTCTCATATACGAATTGCTTGTGGGAAAGCCACCTTTTGAGCATCATGACCGTAATGTCACCTATAAACGAATTGTCGGCTTGGATCTTAAGTTTCCTCCGTTTGTCAATGACGAGGCCAAAGAATTGATCTTGAGTTTACTCAAGACCAACCCTTCAGACAGACTACCACTTGAGCAAGTTTTGACACATCCATGGTTGATGAAAAATAAGCAAAAATGGCCGGGAAATTAGCTTTGTACAATACTCTGTAACATAACTTATATTAATACATAAACGAACAAACATTCACCAAATACCATCGACCCCCGGAAGATGGCACTACACCGCACTACCTCTGGACTTGAGCCTGCGCTTGCTGTTGAGCTTGGGCTTGAGCCTGTTGTTGGGCTCGTTTTTGCCTTTGCTTCATCAACATCAACTGCTGTTGTTGCAACTTGGCGATCTGTTGCTGAAACAATTGTTGTTGCGCAGCATTGTGCTGGGCAGTTAACATAATTTCCTTGGAAGGAGCACGAACCTGGTACATTTCACCTGAAATATTGGTGGAGTTCTGAGTGACTGAGTCATTTTCGATTCTCTTAGAATCAACATTGACCAAGGCACTTCTTCCTTGTAATCCACCAATAGAACCAGAAATGGCCTGGTTGGCCAATGTCTGTTCATTAGATTGGCCCTGACTTTGTTGAGACCCCGCTCCACTGTTGATTATCAAAGCATTAGCGTAGCTTTCTCTCATATACAAAAACCGGTGCCGGTTTCTCACTGGCAAAATCACTTTCCTTTCCAACGGAATGGGTTGGTTCTTGCTCAAACCTTCCAACACCAAGTATGTTTCATCATCTGGATCCAATACACGTGCCGCAGCCATATCCGAATCGGTGTTGACAGCGTTCAATTCATCATTCTCTTTCTTCTGGAGAGCCAAAGCATTATTGGCAGCCATCTTGGCCTGGTTACGCTTCTGGTACTGCTGTAATAATACATCATAAGGAGCACTACGACCGGGAACCATACGCTTGGCACCCATAGAATGGGTCTTACAGGTCAAAGATCTGGCACAGAATCCTCCATTTGGTAATGGTACACCACACTGTTTCTCAACATCAACAGGACCTTTTTGTTTTGTCGAAGATTTTTGTGGTTTCTGCAGTTTCTTCTTCCTCTTCTCCGTCGTATCTTGGGCAGCAGCAGCTGCTGCTGCTGCATTGGCAGCTTCCTTCTCCTTCTGGGTTTGAGACTTCTTATATTTCTTTTTTGGCTTACCGGTAATAGAACTTATCGAAGCACCATTTGGTTGAGGAGTGGTATTTCTTGAGGAATCTATAGAGCTTGTTTCAGGCTGCTCAAGTAGTTTGGCCTTTCTCTTCTTGATGGGAACGTCGTCCAGGTCGTCGAAATTCTTCTTGTTCCTCATTTGAGTACACTTATCGTAGTGGTCACCTAAACTTTCAAAACCAATAGGTCTTTGGCAGCTTTTGCAGATCTTATACTTTATTACCTGCGATAATAAGGAATTCTCTCCCGAGAAGTGGGATTGAACCTTTGGTTCAACGGCTAACTTTTTATCCAAATATACACCTAAATCCTTCCAGACAATAGGCTTTGAGTCGTAATTGGTAAGCGAGTTGACACTATCTAATGTAACGACTTGTGATGATCTATTTGACATTCTCTATTGAGAACTGGTTTAATGAAGGACAGATCTTAATGGCTTTCAAGATGCAAGGGGGTTGCTATGTGTGTTCAACCTTTTTGTCTGTGAAGTCAATTGAATTCGCGAGTCAATGAAGAGGTGCGTAGGCGGTGGGCACCGCCGTTCGTCAGAGAAACTCCGCCCGGCGGCGGCAGACTGGTGCGAACTCTGGCCTTGCTCTAGATCTGTTCTTTCGCAGCTGGAAAAATTTTTGAGGTTACGCTAGAGATGCTTTCAAGTCTGACACTAGTAGTATTGGCCCTATACCTCCTTGTGGGAGGAAGAGTGTCGTTTGCGGCGGCAGGCATATTCATGCACTTCGCTTTCAGAAAGGGAGTCGAACAGGAAGATCCAACACTTCAGAAAACAGTCAAAGCTAAATCTCAATCCAAGTCACCAATCTATGCTATAGACTTTACTTCTACAACTTTTACTCCTGATTTGACAAGTCAAATCCCAAAGCCTAAAAAGATAAACCGTCGATCAAGACAGCCAAAGGTTTTCAGGGCAACAAGGCCAGCAGTGGTGAAGAAGAATGAACCAGTGTTAACCTCATCTGTCAAGTTAACTGAGTCTCAAATTTATATCTTCTATACCACATTAACAGGCTCTTCTCAAAGAGTTGCCAAATCCTTGTGTGACAAGTTGTCCAATATTGACCTCAAACTTCCTCCCAAGCTAATGAGTCTCGATGACGATGTTGATGACCTAGAAGAATACTTTATGCGTACTCCTACGAATGATTATAAGAACATATACCTTATTGTATTACCTTCTTACGAGACAGATTCCCCCATTGATTACTTCCTTGAACACCTAAAAGATACCTATCAAGACTTCAGAGTCGATAAGTATCCGTTGAGGAATTTATTAGGTTTTGCAGTGTTGGGGTTGGGAGATTCCGAGTCTTGGGATGGTGAAAAATTCTGCTATCAGTCGAAATTAGCTGACAAATGGTTGGCAAAGTTAGGTGGAAGACGTATTTTTCCTCGAGGAGAAGTTTGTATGAAGTACGAAGGAGAATCAAAAACACAAGAATGGATTCAAAACTTTGCAACTCTTCTCAATGATGATGAGCCGTTTTATCTCAATGACGAAGTAGATGATAGTGATAAGGAAGACGTTTCTAGTGATGAAACCGATGACACTTTGGTAGATGTTGAAGATATGGGAGATGTTATCAGAAAAGAAGGAATAAAAACCTCGATGAGCAGTGAAACTAAAGAAATGGTTGCAAAGGATTCGCCAACTTACAAATCGCTCACCAAGCAAGGTTATACAATAGTCGGTTCACATTCAGGAGTTAAGATCTGTAGATGGACCAAGAGTGCCTTGAGAGGAAGAGGATCGTGTTATAAATTTGCATTTTACGGGATCAAATCCCATCTTTGTATGGAAACAACCCCTTCGTTGGCTTGTTCCAACAAGTGCGTGTTTTGCTGGAGACATGGAACAAATCCTGTGGCCAAACTGAATTGGAGATGGGTATTGGATCCCCCTGAAAAGGTCATGGAAGGAGCTTTACAAGGACATTATCAAAAGATTAAACAAATGAGAGGGGTTCCGGGTATCCAAATGGACCGGTTCCAAGAGGCATTTCAAGTCAAGCACTGTGCTTTATCCTTAGTTGGAGAACCGATTTTCTACCCTTATATTAACGAGTTTGTACAGATGTTGCATGAGCAACATATTTCCTCCTTCTTGGTATGTAATGCCCAGCACCCAGACAACTTGGCCAAGTTGCTGAAGGTAACTCAGTTGTATGTGAGTATTGATGCACCAAACAGAAAAGACTTGAGAAATATTGACCGTCCTTTGAACTCAGACTTCTGGGAAAGAATGATGGCTTGTTTAGATATCTTAAGAACTGTTCAAAGTCATCAAAGAACTGTCTTCAGGTTGACTTTGGTGAAAGGTTTCAATATGAATGAAGTTAAAGGATATGCGGATATGGTCATTAGAGCTCAACCTTCTCAAATCGAAGTTAAAGGTGCTACATTCTGTGGTTCTTCTAATGGAAATGGTAACCCATTAACAATGCAGAACATTCCTTTCTATGAAGAATGTAAGAGATTTGTCGAGGAATTGACTGAAGAGTTGCAGTCAAGAGGATACTTCTATGAAATTGCAGCCGAGCATGCCCATTCTTGTTGTATCTTGATCGCTCATTCCAAATTCAAAATCAATAACAAATGGCACACGCATATAGACTACCCCAAATTCTTCGAACTTCTTGAGTCAGGAGCTGAGTTCACCAGTATTGATTATGTGAAAGAGACCCCAGAATGGGCGGTTTGGGGATCTGATGAGGCTGGTTTCAACCCAAATGATACGAAATTTGACAGAAAAGCCGAAAAGTTAAAAAAGAGACTCGACAGAGAAGAACAGCAAAAAAAGGTCATGGAGTTGAAAGCTGTAGTGTAGCTAATTTATTTATTTATATTTATACCTTAAAATACTATACAAAATATTTGCAACCACAGCCCTTGGGTCGCCCATGCCTTCGCGTCTCGTCAGAAAAACGGTTTTTAGCAATAGCACCAGCTTTATGTCCAAGGCAAAAATAGCATTTATCCATCCTGATTTGGGGATTGGAGGAGCTGAGAGACTCGTGGTGGATGCAGCCGTTGGGTTGCAAGATCTCGGGAATGATATCACTATCTATACTTCCCATTGTGATAAAACTCACTGTTTTGAAGAGGTGTCAAGTGGACTTTTGAAAGTTGATGTTTATGGAGACTTCTTCCCCACAACTATCCTCAAACGGTTCCATATCTTCTGCTCAATACTAAGACAGTTTTATCTTGTGGCGAAGTTGATTTTCACAGGGGAAATCAGCAAGTATGATTACTTCATCATTGATCAATTATCATTCTGTATTCCCGTATTAGTACTTTTCAAGAACCCCACCGCCAGAATCTTGTTCTACTGTCACTTCCCTGATCAGCTCTTGTCACAACCAGCAGGCTTGATTAAGAAGCTCTATAGAATCCCTTTCGACTTTATAGAGGAATACACCACTGGGTTGAGTGACAAGATCGTGGTGAATTCCAATTTTACCAAATCGATTTTCCACAAAACATTCAAGATAAACCAGGATCCCGGGGTAATTTATCCATGTGTTGATATAGATCAAGCACTCATTGAAACGGACGAAGACTCTGTTGCTGATAAAGACATACACAGCTTCTTCAAAGCACACAAGTATTTCATTTCTATCAATAGATTTGAAAGGAAGAAAAACATAGAATTGGCTATTAAAGCGTACAAGATCTTCAGAGACCAGCAGAACACTGGACCGGCTCCAAGGTTGGTGATTGCAGGAGGATTTGACGCGAGAGTTCGAGAAAATGTCGAGTACTTGCAACAGTTGGAAGCGTTAAGTGATTCATTGGGTTTCAAATCCTTTACCATTCGAGGAAAACTACTCTTAATGCCTCCCGCTACCGATATACTATTTTTACCATCAATCAAAACATCTCTCAAGAAGTCTTTGATTAAGAATAGTGACTTGTTGTTATATACCCCTTCACATGAACACTTTGGTATTGTTCCAGTGGAGAGTATGCTTTTCAAGACTCCAGTATTGGCTGCGAATAACGGAGGACCCATAGAATCAATCGTGAACTACTATGAGGACGCTTTAAATGCCACGGGTTTCAACATGACATTAAATGAGCAAGAGTGGGCGAAGACAATGATCTTGGTTAATAAACAAGGGCTGGAACTCAACCAACTATTGGGAAATAACGGGTTTAAGTTAGTATTAAAGAAGTTCCTGAGACAGCAAATGAGTAAAGCCTTTTCAGAGAGCCTTCTTCTGATAAAACAAGGAAGTGACAAGGGGGCATTCCTCACGGTGGTGTCCTCTATTATTAGATTTAGATATGCTATTGTTGCTCTCTCGGTGACTGCTCTCGCCTATACCTTCATATAGTAATTCATTAAATCATATCGCTATTTACATCTATAAAACTGGATTCATATTTCTCGGAACATCTTCTTGAATGATGACCAAAACTGGAGTTTTTCCACACGTCTTTGCTTCACGGCCTTTTGTTCATCAAAAAGACTCAAAAGTCCTTGTTTGGTGTTGGAGTAGACAACATTTTGGCTCAACTCCTTAATATTATCAGGGAGTGTGTCGTAGTTTCTATCAATACACCCATCCAACTCTTCAACTGCATTTAATTTGATTTTATGAAAACTAGAAGATGGAGACTGTAGATTGTAGTCTCTGATAGAAGCGTTAATAAGTTTCACCTTATGTGTGCAGTAGTGGAGTTGCTTTGAACGGAATATGCTTCTCAATTCCGACTTCTCGGGAATTCCGCTTAGCTTACAATAGTTGACCAACAGCTTGTCAATGTTATTCCTGAAGTTTTCTATTTCTAGGTTGACATTCTGCTGGTTCTCAATCCAAGGAGGAAGTACATCTTGCTTATTTAGAATCTGGTTGATAAAGTAATTTGTGTCGGTGGCATTAGCCAAATGGTCTCTAGTCAATGGTTTCCCTCGAACTTTCTCCATGTTAACATCATTGAACCTGCCCGTGGTCAAATCTATTTTGGAATTAATCTGTGCACTCGCCAAAGTGTTGACCATGTTTAGAGTAGTATGAGGGCTATTTGGATTTACCAACATCGTTGGACCTAGAAGTCGTTCTTTGTAGAGCTCTCTGAAGTTATCTTCATTATCCGCTGCGTTTGGAAGGCTTTTTGTTTCTTTATACTCAGAACTGATCTCTCTGGCACTCAAGATCCGAGCACCTGCTTTCAAATGTCGAGTAGGTTTGGGTTTAGGTGTCAGGTCGATGATCATTCGGAGATTGACGTTCTTTGTGGACTCTGTTCCATCCCATGGCCTTTCGTTGGCTATTTGTTTTGCATGCTTGTTGTGGTTTAGAAGGTTTTCCAGCTTCAAGTAGTTGAGGTGCTTCGAGTATTGGGACTCAAATTTCAACTTCTCCTGATGGCTTAACTTGTTGGAAATGACCGGGTCATTCTTTAGCTTCTCTTCGAGGATCTGGCTGAATCTATCTGCCAAAGCAGATTGGGTTTCAATTTTAGTGGAGTTAAACCGCACTAAGCGAAGCATCAGCATCCATAATTTTTGAGGAGGGTGCGAACTAAAGATATCACCGTTTATTTAATATTGTGCTACAAAAACACCATAGCATAAGCGCCTCAATAGCTGTAAATGTCTATAAAACCGTCCCTTTAGCCACCCTACCGACTCCAAAAGTTCATAAATCTCTTGGTCCTTCACCTCGAATCTCTTGAATCTTCACCTTCAAATCTCTTGAATCTTCACTCCTCAAATCTTTCAATATCCAGATCCACCTGCCCTACAAGGCATAGAAAATCAACACCCCCGATCCGATCACAAGTATCATTAACACAAACAACTTGATGAAAAAACAACACACATCTTCTCTGCTGCCTCCCGCAGTTAGTATTAGTTGGTTCTCCAAGTCAACCTCACTCAACTTCCTGTTACGGTTGGCATAGGGATTGTTGGTGCCGAGGCCATCATCCATGTCGGATCCGACAGACAGCACCGAATACGAATATTGTCTTTTAACCTCTTCCTTGGTTTTTCCCACAGCAGGAGTTATGACTTGGGAACTGGACCTGGACCGATTAGGCTTGTGGCTGGGGAATGGTATCGGGCCGGAGTCCGGTTGCAGAACGCTGATACTGGGTCTTCTTGGTTCTTTGGTTTCGTGGTTCATAGTACAATCAGAAACACAACGTAAATAAGTAACGTGAGGTAGCAAGAATTCCCCACGGCATTGCAAAGTATATTTATAACTGGGGAGAATAGGGCGTGTCCTGGAAAAATTACCCCTTCAGGGCGATCTGCAGCAGATGCCGCTCCCATTTCCGGGCGGGGCACCTACACCGCTGAGCTTCGCCGTGCTGGGACGTGCGGATCTGGTCCCGTCCGACACAGCCGTGCCAGTTTCCGCCATGCTCACAGCCCCCTCTCATATTGGAACAAGTCCTGAAATAAGGCTCGGGATGCAAACACGTGTACAGCAGTTTAATATAACCCTTCAACAATGGCCAATTCTTGTATACTTGCAATGGTTTTGTGGATCTGTTCCAGTTCCTAACCAAAATTCTGGGTGCATTGCCCTGACTGTATTGCTGCGAAAGGAAGACAAAAAGCACTACAGCTATCACCATATACAGCTGCCACTACATGCGGAGTAGCAAAGCCACAAAAGAATTTTGAGTGGTAGTTTCTTTAGAACCAAAATACGAACGTAGACCCAATGGCAACCATTGGAAAAATTCATGTAGTATCAGGGATAGCCTGGTTATAAATAATCCAGGTCATGTAGATAATGGGTAAGACGCGGATGTTCATTTGCAAAATATGTCGAGATTATCAGTTTATTGAAACAGATGATGATTCACGAGAGAAGTTCCAATTGCACCTGAGTGATCTGTAACCAAATAGTACCGCAAATTTTGCGTATGGTTATCTTAGAGATACAATTGAAAAAACCTCAAGAGGTGTTGAAAAATAAAAGGGAGACTTAGCTTATCAATGAGCAATGTGCATTCAATAAACTGTCCTAGTTCTTCACTCTATATCTCTTAATGTCGTCTTTTGCAACACCAACATCTTCACATTCTCTCTCTCAAGTGCTGGCTGCAGGTGCAAGATTCGCACTGGCAAAAATTTTCGAGCTAGCAGTAGGTTAACCGTGATATGAACAGATATGAATAAACGCAGCAGCATACTATCGATACGGCAGGGCCCTAGACTTCTAGGAGTGGTGTCTACGTGTCGAATTGCAGCTCTGTCTATTTCGTTTTTCCGAGCCTATTCGGTGCTGTTAAACTCATTAGATGCTAAATGGACCAAGAAATGGAAACAGCTTACTTCAAATAAAGGGTTGAACCCCAAAAAATTCACCATCGATGACACGGCCGACCCGTTCTATGCCCTTGTGATGTTCCCTTATCCTTCGGGAATTCTTCATATGGGCCATGTGAGAGTGTATACCATTAGCGATGTGATCTCTAGGTTCAAACGACTCCAAGGAAAGCATGTTATACATCCTATGGGATGGGATGCCTTTGGCTTGCCGGCTGAAAACGCCGCCATTGAAAGAAATATCAACCCAAGGGTATGGACAGAAAGTAATATCGGTAAGATGAAACAACAAATGGAGTTGGTGTTGGCTGATTTTGACTGGGAACGAGAACTTGCAACTTGCAATCCAGACTACTATAAGTGGACTCAAAAAGTGTTCTTATTGTTGCATCAGCATGGATTGGCATATAAAAAGGAAGCGGAAATCAACTGGGATCCAGTTGATAAAACTGTTTTAGCTAACGAACAGGTTGACTCCAACGGAAGATCCTGGAGATCAGGTGCTAAGGTGGAGAAAAAGAACTTGAGCCAGTGGTTCATAGGAATCACTAAATACGCTGAAGCCTTGAACGCTGACTTAGAAGTCCTCCAACAGTGGCCTGATAAAGTCAAGGCAATGCAGAAACACTGGATAGGTGAATCCCATGGAACAGAAATCACCATACCAATCAATGATTCTGCCTTTCCAACAGTGGATGTGTTCACTTCCAGACCCGATACGGTGTTCAGTATTCAGTTTTTGGCATTATCTTTGAACCACCCCATCACTCTTAAAGCGGCTGAGACCGATAGGGAATTGCAGCTGTTCATAGAATCTGCAAAGAATGTTGATGCTGATTCCAAAGATGGCTACCTTCTTAAGAACATCAAGGCTTCAAGACCACTTGACCCGTCAGATACTAAATTAGAACAGTATGATATGCCTGTTTATGTTGCACCCTATGTTCTTAATTCTTACGGGAGTGGAGCTGTTATGGGATGTCCTGCTCATGACCAAAGAGATTTCGAGTTTTGGAAAATCCACAATCCCAATGTTCAAGTGGTGGTATCTGTGGGGCCTTCGCAGATGAAGTCTTCTCCTAACTGGAAAATACCTTATTGTGGTAAGGAGGGAATTCTTCATGACAACTCCACCATTTCTAATGGAGTAAAGGATTTGAGAAGATATAAGGGAATGGATGCAAAAACTGCTGGAGACGAAATCACTCATGTGCTCGAAGCCTTGGGAATAGGTAAGAAAAAGACAAACTACAGAATCAGAGATTGGCTTATAAGTAGGCAACGGTATTGGGGTGCCCCCATTCCTATAGTTTATTGTGACCACTGTGGTACTGTTCCTGTTCCCGATTCTGATTTGCCAGTCAGGCTACCAGACCTTCAAGGAAACGACTTTGGAAAAGGAAATCCTTTAGAAAACTTGGATTCTTTCGTCAGTACTACATGCCCTTCTTGTGGTGGCCATGCCAAGAGGGACACGGATACTATGGATACATTTATGGATTCATCCTGGTATTTCTTCCGGTACTTGGACTCCAAAAACGAACTTGAACCTTTCAATAAGTTCAAGGTGAACAAACACTTACCTGTGGACATGTACCTTGGAGGCATTGAGCATGCCATTTTGCACTTGTTGTACACTCGTTTTATATCTAAGTTTCTTGGTAATATTGGTATGTGGGAAGGGAATCAACTTAATAATGAGCCCATTGTTCGTTTGGTTACTCAGGGTATGGTTCAAGGTTTGACTTTTATTGACCCAGATACCGGGAAGTTCCTCAAACCTGAAGAGATAGACAAAAGTGATCCACAGAACCCAATGATCATTGCCACTGGAAAAGTACCTTTAAACTCCTATGAGAAGATGTCCAAGTCGAAGTACAATGGTGTTGATCCAGCTGAAACAGTACAGAAGTATGGTGCTGATGCTACTAGAGCTCATATTTTATTTCAAGCACCTATTTCAGATTCTTTGAACTGGAACGAAGATCAAATCCAAGGTGTAGACAGATGGCTTCGTCGTGTGATTGCCTTGGAGGACAGTATTGTGAACTACGATGATAGCTCCAAGATGGGAGCTAAGAAGCAAGCATTCAAGAATGTGAATCTTAATGGTATTGAATATGAAAATATCGAGCTCACAGATTTGGAAGTCAGTTTATTCAACCAAACAAATGAATTCATCCAGAAAATAGACAACTCCATTAACGTCGATTTGTCTTTCAATACCGTCATCTCGGATCTTATGAAGTACACCAACACTTTGACTAGTGCTATTAAAGCCGATGAACGCGTCAGTAAAGCCTTGCTTGTGGATGCATACAAAAAGCTTTTGGTCATAATGTCTCCCGTTACTCCATGTGTTGCAGAAGAATCCTGGGAAATGCTTCTGCTTGATTTAGGCATCCCCTGGAAGTCAATAATGTTGGAAGCTTTTCCCGAAGTTCAAAAAATTGGATCCATGTCTGTCAATTATAACATATTCATTAATGGTAAATCCAGACTTCTGTTCAGTCAAACCAAAGACTTCCACTTGGAAGCAGAAGAAAAAATACTAGACACCATTTTTGATCACAAAGTCATCCATAAATTTGCATCACGAGGCAAAATTAAAAAGATCATCAAAAAATCAGGTCTTATATCTCTTGTACTTCAAAAGTGACCGTCGCTTGTAAATAGATGTAGCATGTAAATATTCAAATAATACAATAAATCATTTATTTTCTTAGTTTAGTGTACAATATTTACAAGATCTATTTACATGTTAGTTAATCCATATCGTTTCTTCAGTAAGTACTCCTTGAAGTCCTTCTTTCTAATTTTCCCTTCAAATCTAATTTGAGCTCTGCTTGCAATACTTCTTAAAGTACTACAATGTTTATCATAACCAAGTTCAACACACTCTTGATATAAAGGGCTTAACTGTAGCCAAGCCCATTTGAACTGGTACTCGGTGCTGACAATTATAGCGACTGCATCATCAATCAACTGCATCTTGGTTAAACTTTGCACCATTTGAGTAGCAAACTGGAAATCTAATTTGTCCTTTTCCTTTCTAGGAAGTAGTTTAAACTCTTTAGACTTACGATACTTGCCTCTTTCCATCCACACATCCTGGGAGAGTTGATAATTCTTCAATATACCAGCTCCTTTCAACGCAATCATATATGTTAAGGTAGACCTGGTGATGTTGAATTTAGATTCAATACTTGACAATTCATTGAACACTGGAGACTTGGCAAGATCATTCAATTTGGTTGTTTCCAGATTGGTATTAGTTTCATGAACATCTGGCTCTTCTATGATAACTCTTGTAGAATTCATAGCAGCATCGTCTACCATTTTGGAGAAATCGTATCTGTCCATCAAGTCATGCAACAGGCCAAATTCGGCTGCGATGTTTAAATAAGTGTTGTACGATTCATCATTTATGAAGTCGGGATTGAACATCAACGAATGGGCCCAAACAGCACTGGATTCCGCTATGATTTCTTCAGGGGAGGCCAAGTCAAGAACAGGTAAAAATGGCACATGATACTTGGGTTCTATCTGAGTTGGTAAGGTGTCTGCTTGAGACAAAAGGTTGGCTCTGAAATGTCTACCTCTTTCATGAACTGTAATGGCTGGAACTTCTGCGTCAGGTTTCAAACATCTCGATTTGCTATATGACATCAACAAGAAGGTAAACGTTCTTTTGGTAACAGAGCTTACCAGGGCCAATCTCTTGTACAATGCTCTTGATAAGGCAACATCTCCATCCTTACTAGACAAATATACCATATACTCAAGAGTTTCACGGGTCGGAGACCATTCATTATCGTAGATCTCAAAGATAAAATCCCAAGCCTTGAACCGCAACTGTTTTCTTCCTGTACAACCTCTTGCCAATGCCACCAATATCTCCTGGTTAACTGGAGTTCTGGAAGTGAGCATCTCCTGGTACAAGTCCAATGCCTTTTCAACATCATCATTGTTGACATAGGAGACAATGACATCCTTATAAGCGTTTGTGCCGGGTTTGGTTTCCTGGGACAAGAACTTCATCGAGTCAAAAATTGAAACTGCCTCTTTGTGGTCTCTTGATTTGTAAACCAAAGTCTTCAACACATTGGAGTATATGTCAGCTGAAGGTTTGAGGTTATTTTCCTTCATTTCCATCAATAATGCGTTGATCTTATTGATATCGTTTGCTTTCCCATAGATGTGGATCATAGTCTCGTATGTATCTCTAGGTAATATTCCTTTATTGGAAGCTCTGATGGTTTCGACATACGATTCAATAAGCGAAAGGGTCTCTGGTGATACTTCTTTGCCCAACGCTAAGCTATTGATGAACACATTAAGGACCTTAGACGTTGGCACCATCTTAGCTTCAACCATAAGAGACTCTACCTGTGGTATAATGGAAGATATCTTGTCCTTGGGAATATTGTATATGAGTTTTCTCACATCTTTTTCTTTCAAGTCTTTGAATCCACCACCCATTTTCAACGTCTGAAGCACAGCTGGCCAGTTCTGGTGTTCTTTTGAGACTAGAAACTTGACTGAAAGTCCCAACCTTTCTTGAATAGACTCAGGTAAATCAACCACTGGTGTTAATAACGAAGCCGAAGATGGATCAAAAGCTGGGCCTCTCTCCAACACCTTATACAAGTTCTCTGCTTCCTTGTCCAATTGTGAAGGCATGGGAATGTCTGTAACATATTCCTGCTGTCTTCTCTCGTCTTCTTTCTTCTGAATCATTCTGGATACACTGGAGGTCATTTGCTTTATTTCCTTCAACTTCTTCTTATACTCCATCTGCTTCTCCATTTCGTATTTTCTGCTGTGGTCTCTTGCCCATCGTTCCAATCTGTCCGCTTCTTGTGGAGTTTTAGCCTGATGCTTCTTTTTATTCTTTGGTCGGGAGCTGCTTGCAACAAATATAGTTCGATTCGGCAACCTGGGAGAGTAAATATTGTTCATCAAAACCCGATGAATGCCATTGTATATACTACCATAAGCATATAAGGTTCGTTGTCGTAGCATTTCTTAAAGAGAAAATGCAGACACTGGTTTTTGCAACTACTTGCACAATATATGGAAAAATCTTTAGATGCGATGAGAACTGTCTGGCTACACGTTAAACGATTCAAACGGAAAATAAGTGCGAGCGAATTAATTTCTGTACCAAACCACCCAGATATGTCTTCTTCCACCGTAGCAGGAACGGGGCCTGGGCGTCAAAGGGCCAGCTCCTCTGTCAATCTACCTCCTGAAATCGCCATGGCTTCCGCCACCGATGCTAATATGACCACCTCCTCCAACGTGATAGGTGCTAATCCCAACATTGGGGTAACACTTGGAACTGGGTATGGCAGTATCTCCCATGATATTCCTCCTGACATGGCGGTGTTGTTACAAAACCTTGAGGAAGACTTCACCGTCCATAAAACCATTGACCAATGGACTTATATCAATAGAAGAGAAGAAATTATTCAGTCCATTAATAAATTACGTCAACAACAAATAGAACAAATAAAGTTGGATCCTGATAGCCTAGAGAAACCTCTATTTCCCAGACAACCTAGTGCCATTGTCAAAGACCAGAAGTTCTCCACAAACACTCTTTTGAATATCTTGAAAAGAAGAGCAACCACATACAAGTCGGAGAATGCATTCTTGGTATTGGATCTCAAAGGTAAGGAAGTGTCTGCCATCACGTGGGATAAGTTGTACCTCAAAGCCGTCAAGGTCGCCTATGAAATTACCCACAAGCTTTCTTTGAAGAATTCAGATACGGTAATCTTGTTGTACAAAGAAGGAGAAGTGGCCGAATTCGCCATAGCATTATTCGGATGTTTTATGGCCGGGGTTACGGCGGTTCCAATCCATCAGGATGTGTCATTATATGAGGTACTCGACATCATTAACTTGACTCTGTCCAAATTAGTGTTGTATTCAGAAAGTGTGGCCAAGGAATTGGATAGGCTCAATAGTAATGGTCTGAGGATTGTGTGGCCTCCAAAGTTGACCAGGTGGAGAACCACCGAGTTTGGTTCGGTGAAGAAATCTGATCTCAGTGCTTGGGACTCGAAGCATAATCAAAAGAAGCAAGACGAAACCCGGTCTAAAGCAGATTTGGCGTACGTTGAATTCTCGAGATCTCCCCTTGGAGAATTGAGAGGCATTGCTTTGAGTCATAGGACTATTGCCCATCAGATGTCTACTTTGAGTCTGTCTTTACTGAGTTCTCCAAGCTCTGATGGAATTGTGAGAAATGATAAGGAGTATAGACGAAACAGAAAGGTGTTCATGGCTACTTTGGATATCAGATTCTCCATAGGGTTAATCTTGGGCATATTGTTTACGGTATACTCAGGGAACATTCTTATTTGGGCCCCTCAAAAAGTGATGGAAATTCAAGGTCTTTATGCTAATATCGTTTCGAAATTCAAGGCTTCTTTACTTTTAACAGACTATATCGGTTTGAAACGGGTGACATATGATTATCAGCAGTCTCCTAATGCGACCAGATACTTTTCAAAGACTCAGAGAGTTGATTTGTCTTCAGTAAAATGGGTTTTGGTTAACTCTTTGACAACCGATGGTGAATTTATGGAGATTCTTGCTAATAGATACTTGAGACCTTTGGGATGTCAAGAGCCAGAGAATGCCATCATTCCAATGTTAACGTTGAGTGAATATGGAGGAATGGTTATGTCTATGAGGGATTGGTTATCGGATGAAAAACCAGGATCCAATAATCAAAGTAAAGGTGAATTGACGTCGTTGCTAATAGACAAAGAAGAATTATCCAGAAATAGGATCAAGGTTGTTGAAACTAATACATCTGCATCTGACGACACCTCCAAAGATTTATTGAGAGTCGATGCATTTGGTTATCCGTTGCCTGATGCTACATTGGCGGTAGTTAACCCAGAACTGTCGGTTATTGTAGAAAAAGGTGAGGCTGGAGAAATATGGATAGATTCACCGTGTCTCTCTGGAGGATTCTATGGTTTGCTTAAAGAATCAAAGCTGATCTTTCATGCAAAGTGTAGAGATGCAGATGGTATAATGGAAATGGATTTCTTGAGAACTGGTTTATTGGGTTTTACTTTTAACGGGAAGGTTTATGTTCTTGGGTTATATGAAGATAGAATCCGTCAAAGAATCACTTGGATCGATCAAAAAGTATACAGTAAACAAGGTAAAGAGTTGGTTATAGGAAATGGAACCATATACCATTACTCTTCTCATTTGTTGGCCACATTAGCAAACGAGGTCAGACAGGTATACGATTGTACTATTTTTGATGTTTTCATTGGTAATGAGTACTTACCTGTTGCTATTGTAGAAGCTGAAGTCATAAGAAAGATTCTTGAGGGTACTAGTGGAGATACTTCCAATTCATCATCTGGAAGAGGTGATTCTGCTGGTCCACAATATGATCCAATCCCATTGAATGAGCCCGTTCTTAATGCTATTGCCCAAAAATGTTTTGATACCTTGTATAAGCACCATTTGCTAAAGCTATACTGTGTGTTGGTCGTTGATTGTGATACTCTTCCAAAGATTATGAGAAGTGGAGGTCGGGAAATTGCCAATATGCTTTGTAAAAAGAAGTTTTTGGAAGGTAGTTTGAAGGCTGAATTTGTGAAGTTTTTCGTCAAAAAGTCTATCAGCTTAATCCCCCATGGTGAAGATGTGATTGGAGGTATTTGGTCACCATATGTGTCTCAGTTAAGAAGTGTTGCTTTGGGTAACTTTACTCCACAACTAAGCCAGGTCATTTATAAAGAAAAATCATTAGATGACAAAACAGGTGCCCCCCTTACTGATTTCAAGAGTATTGTGGATATATTGAAATTCAGAGTTTCACATGGCGGAGATTCTATTGCTTTTCAAAACTTAGACCATGGAAAGAGTAGTTCAAAACCATTGACTTGGAAAAAGTTTGAGTTGAGAATTTATGGTGTTGTCAGTTATTTGATAGAGAAGGCCCAGGTCAAACCTGGTAAATACGTGATTTTGATGTACTCTTTGTCGGAAGAGTTCATTGTCGCTGTTTATGCTTGTTTGATGTGTGGAATAGTAGCCATCCCTATGCTACCATTCGATTCAAATAGAATTGGTGAAGACTTGCCAGCATTTTTAGGTGTCATAAAGGATTTTGATGTGAGTGATATACTTGTCAACGAAGAAGTCGAAAGGTTTCTAAAAAGTGGCCCCGCTGCTGAGAGTCTCAAACGAATGAATGTCAAAAGATATAAAAACTGGAAGATCAAAAACACCGCCAAACTCACTAAAGTTTCTAATATTGCATCTTTACACTCTAAAATTTCAAAATACCAAGCTGCTGTCAATTTTCGGGATGAAAAAACCACTGCGTTAATTTGGTTAAACTTCACTTCTGACCATTATAGAGTTGGAGCCAAATTGAGTCACAAAAACATCATAGGAATTTGTAAAGTCTTCAAAGAAACTTGCAACTTAACATCCAAATCAGCAATTGTTGGTTGTGTGCGTCATTGTTCGAGTATTGGTTTTGTACAGGCTGCTTTATTGGGTGTGTTTTTAGGTACAACAACCTACTTATGTTCTCCAGTCAGTTATGCAGAAAACCCATTGGCTTTCTTTTTGGCTCTTGCTCGTCACAAAGTTAAAGACGTGTTTGTAACAGAGCAGATGTTGAAATATGCTGCCATTAAGTTTAGTCCAAAGGGGTTTGACTTATCACACTTGAAGAATATGATCATCAGTACTGAGGGCCGTGTGGAAATTGACTTGTTAAGAAAGATCGCAAAGGTGTTCCAGCCAACGCAATTGAGTGCAGCTTCCATGTCTTCTGTTTACAATCACTGGTTTAATCCCATGATATCTTCGAGATCGTATATGGCCGTGGCTCCTGTTGATCTCTATTTGGATCCAATTGCTTTGAGACAAGGATTTGTTTCCATTGTCAATCAGGTGGATTTTCCGAATGCTTTACATATTCAAGACTCGGGAATGGTTCCTGTTTGTTCTGAAATTGCAATAGTCAATCCTGAGACATGTAAATTGTGCAAAGAAGGAGAATTTGGGGAGATTTGGGTGTCAAGTGAGGCTAACTTAACTGGTTTTACTAATGGTCCTAAGGGTCCTGTTGATTCATTCGCTGAAAGTCAGTTTTTGGGTAAGATTGTCGATGGAGACAAGACAATAACCTATTTGAGAACTGGTGATCTAGGATTCTTACATCACATTACGATTGCCAAAAATAAGACCGGTAAAAAGTCTAACGATGAACAAGAAATCACTTCATTTCAACCATTATTTGTCTTGGGAAAGGTAGCTGAGACCTTTGAAGTCTTAGGCTTGCATCATTTCCCAATCGATATTGAGAACACTATCGAGTCTTGTCATTCAGATATCTACAAGAATGGTTCTTGTGTATTTAAGTGTGCTGATTATACAATTGTGGTTTGTGAATCAAAAAGAAAGAGAAACTGCGCCTCATTGGTTCCAATCATCGTCAACACGGTCTTCAGTAAACACCATTTGATAGTTGATATAATTGCGTTCATGAAAAAAGGCGAATTCCCCATATCAAGATTGGGAACCAAACAAAGAGCCAGAATCATTGATGCTTGGGTACAAGGAATTATCCCAGTGAGTGCTGTGTATGGAGTTAACTATGGTGAAAACAGTATGATACAATTGATCAAAGAGATCGATTCTGTTGCCAGAGATAACCCTATAACCGGATTGAAGAATCCTGCTTTATCCTACTATGATGCAGATCCAGTTGATGATAAATCCTCCATTTTTGACTCCAATCGCCAGGGATTAACCCTCAATGATGATTACGAAGACTACTACAATTCTTTGGAGCCTAACACTACAAACTCTTCGGTGGGCCCTGATTATGGCTCTCATAAGGCTACTTTCCAAGTATAATTCCAGGAAAAGTCGTGCGTTCGTGGTTAGGTTTTGATGCGAAAAAGATTTTTTTGTGTATAGAAGAAATATTCACTTACAATCAAAATAGATAACCTAATAAGTAATATGAATGCATCCAGGAAGCGGTCTATTAGTCCCCACAGCATGGACCATCCTCCCGTGCAGCCTAGCAAGTTTAAGAAAATCTGGTCGTTCTTCACGTCTGCAGACAATAAGAACCGAGAAAAACAAGTGAAGTTCAAATCAAGCTATGAAACTGATATATCTACCGCCGACAAGGTCCCCTACGTTCAATCACACTATGAAGATAGCTACTACAACAACAGTGATATAATATCTGACAAAAGAAGGAAGATATCCATCCAGCAAACCAATGAATTGAGAGGATACATCCCTCGTTCCTCCGTCGACCATAGCAAGACTATCAGTAACTACGGGAATTATTTGAGTAAATTACAAGAAGAAAATAACGAATCAGAGGCTAATCTAGAACGAAGAGCCACTATAATACCCGAAGATTCTATTGATGAAGGTGAACGATTCAATTCCCCTATTCCTGATATGAACGAAGTAAGACGACAATCGATGCAAATGATCAACAACCTTGAGAACAATGGTGCTTTGGAGCGGTTCGTAAATGATGTTGATACTACCCCCGAAGAAGAATCTGACACTGAATCTTTTCAACGTGAGTTTGCTCCTTTGTATACAGACGACGAAGGTAACTTAGTCAGACCCCCATTCATTAACCTTGCCCCCAGAGAAAGGTATAAATTGTTACAACTCAAGAGATCAATTGAAACATCTCGTGAGTTGCAGTTGAGGCTCAAGTATATGGTGAACCCCAATGAGACCAGGTCAATATTACTCGATAATAATAAGGTGGAAACATCTACACAAACTCAGGATGCCAACTATTTGAAGAAAAGATTGCATTTTAATGATTTCCAGAAATCGTACACCAATACTGGTCCCGCAACTAAGAAGCAAAGACCTGCAGCTGTGTTTTCTGGTGAGTTTTTCTATGACATAGAGGACGAAGAACCGAAACAAAGTCAAGCCAACAAGTTCAATGGATACTTAGGAAATGTCAGTAAGCCCAAATTTAAGTCCGATAAGGGTTCTGGAAGGAGAGAATTCACCCAGGATACTCAGGTTTCCTTAGACTCTGAGTATGTTTCGAAGTCGGAAAAGATATCGGATATAATCAAGTTGAAAGAGAGCAAGGTGAACAAGAAATCAGCAGTGGAACCCAGTCTGGGTTTCAAGTTTTCAATCAACAAGGATGACATCAATGACATTATCAACAAACGGAAAGAGGGTTACAATCTTCTCAGTAATACTGTTGGGCAGAAAGGAGTAAAGTTTGCTTTGAATGGTTCTGCTGCTCCAGCTTCTACTCCCAAAGCACCATCTGAAGAGTCGGAATTGAAGATAACTCCAAAATTCAACTTTGGTGGAACGTCAAATACTGCTCCTCCTACCAAATCACCTTCCTTGGGGCAGTCTGAAAAGAAAACCGGGTTCACCTTTGGGGCAAGCTCAGCAGCTCAAAGGCCAGCTTCTGCTACCAATGAAGTTGAAGAAGAACCAAGGAGAAAAAGAAGAATTCCTTCATCATCTGCAGAGGCAGACGACAAATCCCAATCTACCATACCAACGAAAGGTGGAGATTTTAAGTTTGGTACAGGTGAGACTTCCACCAAGCCTACGTCTTCTGATAAACCTGACGGTGCTCTAAAATTCAGTTTCGGTGATTCGAATTCAAGTAAACTGGAGAAACCAGCATTCAGTTTTGGTGCTTCTGAGAAGAAGGACACCCCAGGTTTCTCTCTTGGTGCCTCATCGCAGGCTTCTAAACCTAGTTTCAACTTTGGGTCTCTTCCACAAAAGAATGAGAAAACTGCCAACATTGGCCCTAATGCTTATGAAAACAAGGACGCAGTACCCAAGTTTGGTCTTGGTTCTACTGGGACAAAGGATGAAGCTCCTAAGTTTAGTTTTGGATCAACTACGAGCGAGAAAAAAGATGAAACTCTAAAGATTAGCTTGAGTTCAGAAAAGAAAGACGAATCTCCGAAGTTCATTTTTGGATCTTCTGAAAAGAAAGATGGACCTCCTAAATTTAGTTTTGCTGCTGAAAACAAAGAGGCAACCCCAAATCCCGGCTTTGGAAAAGTCCCAAGTGAGAAAAAGGCAGAAGCTCCAAAGTTTTCCTTTGGTCAGGCGGCTCCTCCCGCTACATCGTCTACGTTCAGTTTTGGTCCTGGTCCTGGTACGGTTGACCCAAAAGATTCTGACCCCAAATCCATATTCGGTGCCAGTTCTTCTAATTCCATTTCTTCGGCTGCAGACAAAAAGGAAAGCACTTCAAATTTCACTTTTGGCGCTGGAGCCTCCAAAACTGTCACCCCAAGTGCATCTGTTACAGCTACTATTGGGTCTGACAAGCCAGAAACCACCCCTGGATTCCAATTTGGTGGAGCGACCGAAAACAAGCAAAGCACACCATTTGCATTATCTGGAGTCGCTAGTGCCGACAAAAAAGAACAATCACCATCTACTTTTGGAGCCAATCCTAGTGGAACTGCTACATCTAGCTTCAATTTCGGTGCAACTACAAAGCCTACTGTAAGTGCTACACCTTCAGTTGGCAATGCCGAAGACAGAAAGTCACCTTTCAACTTTGGATCTACTCAAAAGCCTTCATTCAATTTCGGCAGTTCACAAATCCCAACGCTTACACCCAGCTCAGCAGCTTTGAACCCTCTTGGTGGCTCTACTAATCAAGTTCCAACCTCAACCTCGCCGTTTCAGTTTGGATCTGTGGAAAAGCCCTCATTAGCTGGAGCGGCTACGTCTTTTTCAGGAGGCTTTGCTAATGGTATTACGCCTGTTAAGCCTGTCATTCCAAACTCTATATTCGGAAACAGAGAAGGTACGCCTGGCCAATTCAACTCAGGTGGTAGTAGAGGTACTACTCCAGAAATTGGATTTGGTGCTCAGCAGAACTTTCAAGGTGCCGGTGCCATGGGGATGCCAATCAACTCATACCCCGGTTTCAACCCTTCCATGACCCCTTCGAACATGAATATGAATTTCGGTGCACCTGATGGTCTTACCCCCGTTAATCCATTGAACAATCCGGCCAATAGACCCAACCGTAAGTTCGCCAAAATGAGGAAGAGAAGGACGTAGGCATCCAAAGATCAATATAATGATCTTTCTTGTACTATTATTTAGCATTATTACATGATTAAATGTATAACATAATCATAAGCAATCTTTAGTTTGAATAATCATCTCCGCAAAATCGACAAATTCATGTGGAAAACTCAAAGCGTGAAAAATAGCTTTTTGGTAGGTATTTAAGAGGAGTTAATTTTTGTTTTTTCAACACCTTGAAATTAATTAAGTGGTAATCATGTCAAGTGGACATCATGCTGGTGAAAAGCCAGGTAGAATCCAGAGTATCAATGCCGATCAGGAAATTGTCTTGAAACAAGTCTGGGCCTATATTTTCAGATTCTTTGGCTATCAACTTGAAATTGATGATGAGGACTTGGCTTACAAGGAATGTTTCGTCAGCTCCACTCGGTGTACTCAATTGACTGATTCTGGATTTGGTGGGTTGAATTATGGGTTGGTCAGAACCGGCACCAAAGATTCAACCACCTCTTCCCATATTTCCCATAAGACCAGCGCCTCCACTTACAGCACCTTGAACAAAAAGAAGAAGCTGGGTATTTTGAAGAGGGGAGGCAACAAGAAAATCGAAGTGCAAGAGGTGAGAGCACCTGCCACATCCAAGAGAATGAAATACATTCAATCCAACTCGTCTTTTGAAAAGTACACTGGAATTGCAATTGATCCAAAGGTTGCCTATGTGTATAACAATTTCTACAAGTCAACTTTTGAAAATAGCGAAGACTACATGAGTGACAACGAAGACTACGGCGAAGTTGATGATGATGATGTTTCGATCAGCTCTTTCTTCACCGCTGAGACATATGTTGATGAACCTGATATGAAGGCGTTTGTGTCAGCTGTGGCGTCGTCAATGAATAAGAGTGCCTCAGCTTCTTATCTAGTAGAAGAAATCAAGGTGAAGCCCAACACTTCTCTCGTCTCTGGAATCAACAAGTATGATCCTAAAAGGTTACACCCAGGTGTTTTCGGTTCTTTGAGAAACGATGCCTTTGACAACTACATCTTGAGATTTGTCAGAGCTAGAAAGTTCAAAACCGAAGATTCAATGCACATGATTTTCAAGGCCTTGGACTGGAGAACTTCGGAAGACTATAGGCCAAATGAGTGGGAAAACGAAGGGGATGCCCCCTCCTACTTGTCAGGTAAAAATCCAGGTTTTATCAGGAACTACACCTCTCAGAAGTCGTTTGTCAGGGGACATGATAAGGAAAGAAGTCCAATTTTCTTCTTTTTTGCCAAGAAGCATTTGATTTCTGAGTCACCATTGGCTGACACACAAAGATTTGCTGTTTGTACCATTGAAAGTTGTCGGTTGTTCTTAAGGGATATTACTGATTCGGTTGACACCTGTTCTATTGTATTTGATTTGACTGGATTCTCCTTGAAGAATGCTGATTACAATGCTATCAAGTTTTTGGCTGAGGTTTTTGAAGCTTATTACCCTGAATGTTTGGGTAAAGTGTTAATTTTCAATGCTCCATGGATCTTTTCAACTGTGTGGAATGTTATTAAGAATTGGTTAGACCCTGTTGTTGCATCCAAAATTCATTTTGCGAAAGATTTCAAGGAGTTGAACAAGTTCATCGACAGAGAATGGATTCCTAAGTCTATGGGAGGTGACGACGATTATGATGGAGAGTACCCAGTTCCAACTGAAAGAGATGGACACTTTATGAAGCAGAGAGATGGAGATTTCTCAAGGTTGATGAGGAAAAGAGATGAAGTGATATTGAAGTTTTTATCCACTACAAAGAAATGGATTGAGGCTACCGACCCGGAAATAAGTGACAAATACTTGCAAGATAAGATCAATTTGTGTGGAGAGTTGGCTTATACTTACATCCAGTTAGATCCATACCTTAGGTACCCAGGTTTCTATGATAGAAATGGACTGTTGCAAGTTTCCTGCTAAACGGCTCAGCTCCAATTATTTTTAACCATGTATTTTTTATTGAATCCCCACAATACACACTTTATGTTTGTTGGCTTTTTACTAGATAATCACATTTCAATCAAGGTTTTGGGGTCCCTCAATAATTTCCACTTTAGGAAATCAAAAAGTAGAAGAGGATGTACCAGGAGATCAGGGACAGATTAAACTTGGGAATGCACCTACTGTGTCTCGAGAACAGTGGCTGTGAGTGTAGTGTTGATGTAGACTTAGGTCATAAGAATTTGTTCTCTTTTATCATCATCAATAATATAGAATTTGCGAAAATCATAGTAACTGGATAATTAGAACCAGCTTATGAAAATTCCTTTAGAAATCTCCAAAAAATACGGATGATTAGCATTCATATTAAGCTCCCCACCAATAACTAATAGGATACCCATCCTTCCATTAAAGTGCTTATTATTCTAAAGAATTACTGGTATATTCAACGGTCGTGTAGAGTCATTATGTTTCTATTGCATAGATCTGGTGTAGTGCTGATGGCATACTACTACAGACCTACCATCACAAGTGACCCTCGATAAATAATTATGAAGCTAACACCTACACCTTTCACGTCAAAAATGAATTGAATCAATCAAACATTATTGCTGGCTCTTCGCCTTACCTTAAAGGCCGATCGCTTACAGAAACCGCGAATTTTTTGATTAAGAGACAAACTTCAAAATATAATATTCACCATAAATTATGTCACGAAGATCCACTAGAAGGAATTATAGTGAGCGAGTTGGTTCTCAGACCGAAGACGAGGTGGTAGATGGCACACAACTTACACTTCTACCCAATGGAGATGACGACGAAGTAGATGAAGAAGATGAACTAGAGGTGACCAGATGCGTATGTGGGAACGATGATTTAAATTCGGACACCATTAACCCAGCAATGGCAAGCTTGTTGCAGGCTGAGTATCAAATAAAGGTTGATCAGGGTTTATTTATCCAGTGTGATAAATGTTCAGTCTGGCAACATGGATACTGTGTTGGGTTATTCACTAATGATGATGTGCCTGATAAGTATTGGTGTGAGCTATGTAAACCAGACTTACACATATTTATTCACGAGTCCAGTGACAGTAACAGAACCCTATACAGACCCGTGAATGAAAAACGGAAGAAGCTCATTGCCGAGAATGACAAGTTCACCAAAAGAAAATTCACGAGGAAAGATAGAAGAAGTTACGATTATGATGAGCAACTTCAGAAAGCATTAAGAGAAAGTGCCAAAGAAAGTGGGATACCAATTGAGGAACAGACGAGAAGGAATGAACGATCAAGAGAATCCAGTTCCAAAGAGTCAAAATCTGATACTGAAAGCCCCACCCAAATCCCTGTTAAAGATGAAAAGCCTAATGAAATCCACGAAGACGAGACCAATAATGAAATAGGTGATGAAGAAGATGAGGTTGAAGGCGAAGAAGAAGGTGAAGAGGATGATGAGAATTCTGAAATAAAGAAGGAGGCAGCCAAGAAGAAATCCTTAAAGAGAGCTAAAAGAAAAGAGGGTAGCAGAGCTAAACCTAAGAAACAAAAGACTGATTCCAACAATAGCAATGGTTCAGGCTTGTCGAAAGAAGAGTTGATCAACCAATCCTCCAAACCAAGATTTGTCAATGATAAATCAAGCATATATGAATTAAGGAAAAGAATCAGTGCCATATTAGAATGGTTAAGCAGATCACAATTAGAACTCGGAGACGAAAAAGAATTGAAGAGTAGCATGACTAATGATGTTACGTTGATTGAAAATTACGAAGAGAACTTGGGCTTAATGCAATCGTTGACTGTCAAGATTTTGAATTGGGAAGAAAAGTATGGAAAGTATGCTCCTTAATCATAATCTTAATATAGACACAATATTTGTTAGATTTTGTTGATGAAATGTATATTAGTTGATAAAATCATAAAGCTCTTCGAGCCATTCATTACTGTTTATGATCTTGTCACTTCCAATAATCAAATTGAATCTCCTGTTTGTGTCGTTGAAGTCCCTGACAATTTTTGCTTCTTCATAGGTAACACCATTTTTGAAATAAATGATCACATCTTGAACTATATTTGACTCCTTCAAAGTATCGGGCACCAAAGTATTCAAACCATGGCCATTACCATCTGCACGCAACAAAAGAAAGTCATTCAAGAAATCTTTGAGTGGTGGATTATACTGCAAGAATATGTTATCAATTTCGTTAGTATTACTGAAATTCTTGAAGAACTTCTTGAAGTTGTTCTCTTCCTCTTGCTTGGGATGCTTTATCTTGCTGCTGAAACTTTTGCTGAAGTTGTTTAAAAGTTTCAACTGAACCAACGAAGGTTCATTCAATAAGCTCACAAACCTTCCTATATGATCACCACTAAACCTAATTGAATAAAGTAGGATTAATTTTATTTTATGATTCATGCTCACAGAATCGTTAGACAATATTCTGATTAAGCTATTTTCCACATTAATCTTCGTATCAAGATTGCAGATAATTGTTTGCTGTAACTCACTTATTTCCCACAAGTTTTGTTTTGAAATTTGTGCATCTAGCTCGGTTAAGACATTTAAATGCTTCATAATGTTACTCAGCTTCTTCTTGAAATCAGGTAGTCTGGTCAAGATCTTCTTCAACTCAACAAGGTTAGAAGTCTTAACATTTGCATTTGACTCTTTTTTGAATTTCTCTACCTTTGTTTGAAATAACTCTGTCAAATCACCATAGTTCAAATAAAGAGACTGGCTCAAGAAATCATCCAGTTGATCATCAAGTAGAATCTTTTCACCATTTATTTCAACGATATTCTTATTAATTCCAATAAGCTCATGAATCATGGCTTGATAAGTCCATGGATTAATTAATGGGGTGATAGGATCATTGAACCTATCGAATAATAATAATACCGGTACAGTATCATAGTTCAAGTTCTCAAACAAGTTGTTGTTTAGATTCGAGTTGATCTGATACAAGATTTCACTTGATAACTTCTTTAAACTTAAAGAGTTGTTTTCATACTGAATTATGGGGAATTTCTTAATGGAGAGCAATAAACTCACTAACTTGTTCGTTTCGTCAATAATTGAAGTAGAAGTTATAGTAAATAAGTTGGCATTGATAACCAAGTAATCTTGAAATAACTCCACAATGTTACTAACAACCTCAAACTTATCACTTTCTGCTATTCTTTCCAACTGGTTCTTGTTGATGATATTATTAAAGTACACCTTGTAATCATGAAAGTGAGGCGCTTGGAGCTCCTTGGTCAAAAACTCTATTGAATCAGTCACAGGCTTAATGTACACGATACAATTCAAGTGTTTCATTTGATCCAACTGATGGAAGTTTTCTATGAGATCAATTAAGATGATATCTTGCAGTAAAAGTTGAGATTGACTGTAACAGATGGATATGATGCTCATAGTAAACTTATCCACCAAAAGGACTCTTCCTTTGGCTTCATCAATATTGCTATCTTTGAATACCTTGTCGAAGTAGGTGTCATTCACCTTATATAAATTCATTGTCATTGAGCTCACAACTGATTAAACTCTTCAAAGGTTGAGATCTTAACAAGTTATCCACAAAACAATAATCGGTTCCGCGTTGCTCTAAAAATGAGCTTAGCTATTATTCTAAAAGTTCTAAAAAAGTTATAAATGCAGTTCAGCGTAATGAAAGTTCGACATTGGCTCAACTGAGGCAGGAATCCCAGCTTTAGGGAAATCCTTGAACTCGTTGAACTTGATTCTTTTATCACTGAAATCTGGGAACCATTCTTCCATTTTAGTCTTGATTTCCTGCAATAAGTTCGCTTTAAAGTCAGAAGATTCATTCTTTTGCTTAGTCACGCTACCAACCAACTCTTCAATATTATCTTCATACCTTTCAATCAATTCAATGATTTCAGAGTCACTAGAACCAATAATACTCTTCAATGCCACAAACTTGCTCTTGTGGGAATTGAGGTTCAATATAAACCTAGGAGCCTTGCTAGTAGAAGGTTCAATGAACTTGTTATAGAACTCAATAAGTTGATCTTGAGTTAAAGTCTCAATGTGATCAACCAATTTCTGGTTGGCCTTGAAATCGAAATGGCCATCAGTGATAGAGTTCCAAAATTTGCTTGACTCTTCACCTAAGTTCTTCAATTTTATCAACTTCTTATCAATTAAAGTCTTCTTGTACTTTTCGAATTCGTCAGAAGTCATGTCAGCCAATTTGTCCTTCATCATAGAGAAGAAGTTTTCGATTCTTGATCTCAAGTAATTGGGAGACTTTTCAGATTGAACCAAAACTCTGTAACCCATATAGTTTCTCAAGATCCTGGTTCCAGAGAAAACAACGTATCCCAATTGCTCTTTAGTCCTAAGCTGGTTGAAACATGGTTCATGGAATATAGTTGATATTAACTCTGCAAGACTTCTTTGTTCATAATCGGTTGGTTTGCAAATCTTGACGAAGTAGTCAATAGACGAGTTCACATTTTCTACATCATCCAAATCCAAGTCCACTATCACATTGACATCACTAGTGTGGCTTTGTAATTTGATCATTTTGTGAACATTGTTGAGGTTAGTGTCGAGCTTGGGAATGTCACTAAAACTCTTGCCAATCAAATCAACATATTTGTTTAATTGTTCCATGTTAAGATTACCTACCAACAAGGACTCAACAAACACATTACTGAATAAATCTTCCTTAATGAAGCTGGTCAAAGCCTCATAATTTATAGCCTCCAACACGGGAATCTTATCATTTGTCAAATACGTTCTCTCATTAACCATAGTCAAAAAGTTGGTGTTGATCTGCAAGTATGGAACCTCATATCCAAAGTTTTTGAAGTCTTGCAACAATTTGAACTTGATTAATTCGAACTTATTTACAGCTGGCTGGAAAGAAATGATTTTAGCCAATACTTCCTTTAATAAGGTAAAAATCTTATCGTTATATCCGTTCAACTTCACAAGTATACCGTCCCTCCATTGGTTGACAGATAATGACAATCCAACTGTAGAAGCGTAGTAGCTGATGTCGTTAAGCTCATCATCCAACAAGTCACAGAATAATTGAGTTTTAATTGAGGATTCAATACTGTCATTCGATTTAGGTAAATGCAAGAACAAATGAAGGATCAAGTTTGGCACATTGAACTGATCATCCTGTTTAAACCAAACTTGGAATTGATTATCATCTTTAATCAAGAACGGAGACTTCAAAGGTTCGGAATTGGGCATGTTCTTATTAAGGATCTCGAAGTTCTCTGGTATGAAAGGATTTTTCATTGGTAAATTGAAGTTTTCATTTAATGAGCAAGATTGGATTCTTTGGATCAACTTTTTATCAATATCATCATATTCATAGCTAGTTCCATACCACTTTTCCTTTTTGGTGAAACCGGAGAACGTTTTGGCTGAAACTTGAAGTCTCAAGTTTTCTAAGCATAAGAAGTTACCGAATTCAGTTATAACATCTGGATTGAATTTGGTCTTTGAAGTGTAATTAAACATCCACTTGGAAGGAATATTTGACGCAAATTTGTATAAGCTATTACTCATCCGACTAACTGTTTGAGCGGCATTTTGCTTTTGCTTGAATCTAAAGTTGATTTCGTTGGTCTTTCTAATTTCATCGAATAACCATTCCTGTGGAGATAAGCTTTTGATCAACTTAAGATACTCAAAGATATTCACCACGATGTCCTCGTAGTTTTCTAATCCCTTCGGAGTCAACTCACATTCAATAACGAACAACGCAGAACCGGAGCATACTTTAGTGCTACCGCAACTCAAGGAGCTAATCAAACCCAACTCATTGAGATGATAGTAAATAGAACCTCTACTTTCGTGGCCAATCAAATGGCTGTAGTAACCAGCTGGTAAGTATTCCCAATTAGAATCCTGATCATCTGGAATCATAAAAGTTAACTCCATTTTGTTCGTATCCATAATAGATTTTGCCTTGGTACACTTGACCAAACTGTCTTCATTATAAACGACTTCATTGTTGTAATCAGGTCTCTCTGGCAAGTGCTTGTTTGCGATGGAACTGAACTTTTCTATAGCAAACGCAGTCAACTCATCCAAGGACTCCTTTCCCAATATAACCAAATTCATCAAGTTAGAAGAATAGTTCTTATCATGGAAATCCAACAAAATTTCTCTAACATTTAGGCTCTTGGACAATGGCTCATCACCCAAAGTCACATGGTTTCCAGTGGAGAAATGGTTATAAGGATGCTTGGGATTGGAAGTCAGTTTTTCCAATTGGTAGAATCTCCACAAATCATTCTGCAAATTCTTCTTGTTTTCACTGTCAACAGCGTTTATTTCCCTGTCCTTGCAAGACTCGTCAAACAATGGCTCGATGAAAAACTGGGCAAATCTGTCCAAAGCTCCTTCCAAGTGACCAGAGTTGACTTCAAAATAGTAGTTTGTGTGCTCGAAAGATGTAAAAGCGTTAGAATGCCCACCATGGTTGGACAAATATGAAGCATACTCATTTTCCAGTGGGTACTTCTTCGTACCCATGAACAACAAGTGTTCACAGAAATGGGCCAAGCCTGGGATTTCAAAGTCCTTGTCTTTGTAAGAACCAACGAATACGTCCAAACCTGCGGCCGACTTGTCAGTTTGGGGATCATGGATCAACAACACTTTTAGTTCATTGGAAAGTTTGATGAACTTATACTCTCTATCATCCACTAAAGGCTTCTCGATATTATCTGCCAACACTTCGTAAGACATGTTTAAGGATATTGTTGGTCACTAGCTAATGTTATCTAGTGTGAAATCTTGTGAAATCGCGGTTGGATTTTTCGCCATCAAAATTATACTAGGTAGAACTACGATAACGCATTAGCGTGGAGGGGGAACTGTGGTATGACCAGATAACTAGTACCAGGTACAAAGACTCACTTGATCTACATATACAGGGTTTTTTTCTTTAGGAGAAAGAAATTACATCCACAAACAAGAAATCAAAAGATAGAATGACTGCAAAAAAAAGGTAGCGTTCATTAATCATTAGTGCTGCTATACAGAGGAAATTCCGTCTAGGTTCTGAAGAAACAGGCTCAAAAGGTATTCAATGGAATCCAATTTGGTGAAGACACTGGTCAAAATCGGGTCTGGAGAGCTCACATCAATTTTGGTGTTAACCATCACCACCATATCATTGAAAGTCACACACTTGGTGATGTAATCCACGGGATCTAACTTGGGTTTGAAGTTCAAGGAGTTCAACATGTTGTTCAAGAAGTTGGAGTCCCTCAAGGTTTTCAACTTGGAGTCCAAATCGCTTAACTTCAAAGGCTCGCTTTTCAATTGAGGAGTGGAAGCGGCTGTGGAAGGAGCACCCGATGTAGTTTGAATACTGGGAAGCTTCATTTCTTCTCGGATGTTGTCAACGTACGACTTTCCATTTTCGATCTTGGACCATGGAAGTTCGTTAATGATGTGTAATTTCTTCAAGTCGATACAAATCTCTGCCTGGTTCAAGTACAAGTCTATTGCGATGTTGGAGGGGAGCTCTGGCCGAAAGAAGTCGGCTTGTATTACATTATTTGGAAACACAAGATTGGGATTCAAGGGGATCTGGAGACTCTGCTTACTTATAGATATATTCGATAATAACTTGTTGAACAAATCAATTAAAACGTTATGATTCAAGTCGCAAAGATGCGAGCCGTGCTGGTTCATTTCTATGAACTGCTGAAGATTATCGATAGAACTATCCAAAGCCTTCTTGGCAGTGATGATCTGATGTAGGAGAACAGGCTTGATCAAGTCCAACTTATGGATCACCTTGTTGAAATTAGATTGGTGCAACATGATGCTCAACTGAACGATATACGGACCATCCCGGATGAGAATACCTTTCAAGATCTCCAGCTTATTGGAGGTCAACGGAAGTTTTACTGGAGGTCCTCTTAGTATTTGCTGGGTTGGGTCCGGGTGCTGGGGAGTATTGTATAAGAGGAGATTGGAGCAAAGGTCAAGAGTCTCGATCAATTGCGGGAGCTCAGGTACAATCACCGATGTGATATACCAATGGAGTTCTTTATCGGCATTTGCTATTTGAGTATCATGGATTTGCTGAATTATAGACATTGGCCACAGTTTAAGGTACGCGCGGCGGTCCTGGTTATAACAGCTAGCCTATAATATTTACGTGCATATACCGATTGGATATTTTTTGTGCGCAGTGTCAGGGTCATAAAACCAACAACAAAAAATTTCATAAGGATACAAGACCTAATAATTGTACAGGAGCAATACATTGTATACAAGATTTCCTGCACTATCATCACCAAACCTACCACATATCAACTATCAAATGGTCAAAACCAAGCCTAAGAAAGAGTCGGATGCTAATCAGATCCAGTCACTTGGTCACCAGTCACCTCAAAATCAACAACAATCGCCGGGGCTTCAACATCTCCTCCCTCAACATCAACAAATATCGATTGCAGGAAATGGACCTGACACCAAGTTATCCCTCCAGGATCCACGTCAACATCAACAGTATAACCAGCTCTTGAGTCAAATGCCAATGAGCCTGTTGCAGCAATTGAGTAATAGTATTGGTCAGGATTATCGGGGAATGCCTCAACAACAATCTCAACCGCAACAACAACAACTGCAACAACAAACCCTTGGCCAATCTGGTTACCCTGGATACTCCGACATGTTACAACAGTTGCAACATCAAGGAATACAGCAACAATCGCATACTCAGATCCAGCAGTTACAGGCTGCGGCCGCTGCTGCTGCTAATGCCAACAACCCTCAATTGAGTCAGCAATTGAACCAACAAATAAGCCAACATTTGGGCCAACAGTTGGGCATGGGACAAGTTGGTCAGATGAACCAGATGGGGCAGCTTAACCAGATGAACCAAATGGCGCAACGAGGCCAGTTGACTCAACAACAATTGCAGCAGTATCAACAGGTCCAGTTGCAGCAGCAGTTGCAACAACAGCAACACGCTCAACAGATGCAAGTGCAGATGCAACAACAGCACCAGCAGCAACAGCATCAGCAGCAGCAACAACAACAGCAACAACAGCAACAGCACCAAGGTATTCAGGGACTTGCTGGTTTACCTCGAGGTAATGCGATGGGATATGAAGAGACTGACGACTCGAACCTCCAATCACGTTATTTGGAGAACGAAATCATCAAGACGTTTCAGACCAAATCTGAGTTGGTAAAGTTTGTTAAAACAACCTTGAATGATGAAGAGCAGTGCCGTATAGTTATCAGTTCGTCCAAACCCAAGGCAATCTACTTCCAGTGTGAGCGGTCGGGGTCTTTCCGCACGACCGTTAAAGACGCCAGTAAAAGACAGAGAGTGGCCTACACCAAGCGTAACAAGTGTGGATATCGGCTAGTGGCTAATTTGTATCCTCCAGAAAAGGATAGAAGAAAGTCCAAACGGGATACTACCAATAACTTGGATGATAAGTTAAACGACTTTGACCAACAGAGTGGGTCTCCATCTGATGGTTCAGAGATGTGGATTTTGCGAATGATTAACCCCAAACACAATCATGCTGCTGATCCTCCTAATATGAGCAAGAAGAAACGGACCAGAAGCTCGAGAATTTTGGTTGAAAAGCCATTGCCTAAGCCCCAGGGAATGGATATTAATGCCTCGTACCAACTTGGCGGACAACAACAATCTTCGCCTCAGACTCAGAATCAACAACCCCAGCAACAGCACATGCTCAATGGCCAATTACACTCTCAGCTCCAGATGCACTCTCAAATGCATGGCCAGCTCCCTGTTCACGTCCATTCTGGGCAACAACACCAGGATTTGCAAGATCCTGATGTGTTAGCTGCCATAACTAATAATGTGGCCGCGGCTGCTGCGGCTGCGGCGGTGATGAACCACCCTCCAGTTGAATCCATTGACCCAAATGTGGATCCAAGCGTCCAGGATCATGATCACTCCCACTTGCGTTAACCCCGGTATTTCTACCCTATTCTCCAATTTTCGGCCCTCTCCCCCTTTTTGCTTTTATTCGTAATTTGAAAAATTGTACTTTATATGTATTAATATAAACCTAGAGATGTTTTGTGCGTATGTAGGATTAATCACCTTTTTTGTGCCATTTCACTCGCGCTAGACGAGATTAAGGATAACGGAAAAGATAAATAAGTGAAACTTGAGTTTTAGGGGCTTCTCATTTTTAATTACAAAACACGTCTTCCATAACATTATGGTATCTTTAATGGATAAAGCGACCAAGAAGTTGCGTAGCAAGAAGGATGAAGACTCAGATGTTTCAAGAAGTAGTAGTCTCTCGCGGTCCTTCTCAAGAAAGAGTAAAAAAGAGAAGGAGGAAAAAGACAAGAAAAGATTAAGCGGATTGAAGTATTCCAATAAAAGCAAAGACTCGGTTAACCTGATAGCCTCGTCCAAGAAAAGTGTTGAATTGAAATCTAGAAAGAAGGAAGAAAAGAGAGAAGCTCCAAAACTTGAAGAACCAATACCAGTGGTACCACCTTCTAACAAACTCACAATTGCAGATGAAGAACCATCATCTCAACTCAAAGAAACTGCTGATGTTACGGCTTCTTCCAGTGAACCAGAACCTGTTAAAGCTGAGTCCACACCAAAGGAAGAAGTAGCATTGATAGAAGCCGATGTTCCTTCGCGTTACGATGACCTTTCCCCAAACACACCTCTTAGTCCAACCCACCAACCACTTCCAATTCCTCTTGCCGATGAACGTCAACCTTTACTTGTCCCACCTTCGTCCTCCTCCTCAGCTATTGTCCCAACTGACCTTGATCCTTATCAATCCACATACTTGACCTGGAACTACTTAGGAACTCCCGTCTTGAGTATTGGTCTTATTATCTTAGCTATTATTGTAATAATATTTTGTTTCCTTTATCATGATTTCAACGTAGATATCCAGAACTCAGTACATCCATCCTTGAATTCCATCAATCTCATCGGCATTAATCTGGAAGGTGTGGTGGTAAGAGTTGACTGTTCCATGCTTATTAACTATAACAACGTGTCAAACAGCATTTTTCTGAAGGGGTACATGTTGGCAGGTTTATTGGTAGGAGCGGTTCAGGTCAGACCAAAGGATCATATCAATATAACCATCAACCATTTGGAGTCTTTGAACGTTACAACTCCTGTTTTGAATGTCAATTTGACCAACAATGCTATTAGCCAATTTGAGTTCGAATCCACGGTAAGTGTAAGTGATACCAACTTGATCCGGTTATTGAATCAATTACTCAGTGAAGATGAAAGTGAAATAAACCTCCAGGCTCTGTTCACAGCAGATATCTTCTCAAAGTTCATCATTCTTCATGATAGACCTTTATCGATGGAGCAGAACCTTACTTTCTCCAATAAGTTGGACTCGAACCTCAGCTTAGAAAATACCTCTGTCACCTACAACGAGAAAGAAAGACGAATTGAATTCAATGCTACCACGCAATATCCCAATGAACTTGCTGCAAGCTTCTTACAAGAGTTCCCGGAATACCAGTTGATGCTTAATTGCGAGGACCGTTTGGTTCATATTGGTGACATCGATCTTCTGCTTCACACAGACGGGTTCTCAATAAGCGGGTGTGTTTCTGAATTAGATTATCCAACAGACCTGTGTTTGAACAAGTTGATGTCTGACTTGATAGAGGAGGAACAAACAGACTTGTTTGTGCGGGCATCCACTAATAGCTCGTATCCTCCTTGGCTTAACCATATCGTTACCAATGTGAATGCTAAGGTTCCAAGTGTTCCTATTGAATTGCAACCTTTAGAGTTTGATTTCCGTAATGTGGAGCATATGAATATCACCCTTACTAATTACGGCATTATTGGTAATGTCATTGGAAATACAGGTCTTCCGGTGGAGTTGAGTATCGATATGGATGTCCATAGTAGGCAGGTATTGCTCTCATGCTCTTGTTCTATTGATGATGGCACTTTGGTACTGGAATTCGAGATCTCCAAGTTGGATCCACAGTTGGTGGCCAAGTTCTTGAGCAAAGGGGTTTTACAATTAGGCTTGAACGCTTCAGTAAATCAATTGAAAGTTAAAGTTCCGATGCTCAGGTCTTCAATTGAAGTGTTTCATGCGCAAATGACGAGAAATATCAAATTGCAAAACAAGCTCGATATCAACCAACTTAACAAAACCGTTGAAGTCTCGAGTGTCAATATTGCTGGAATTAGCCCTGAAAAATTGGATCTTTCAGTGGAATGTTTTGTGGAAATACAGCAGCTTGGTATAACTATTGACGAAACGGTAGAGTTAAGTCTCATTTTCAATGGTACAGAGATTGGAGTTGCATCAATAGACCGAATTTTGCCAGGAGAAGCCCTTAATATAGGTATAACAGTTTGGAAAGATAAGCACAACTACATTAACAGGTTCATCAACCAGTTTTTATCGAAAAAGCGGCAGTTCATTGATATTGGGTTTTTGCAGCCTCAACTACTTTCCAAACTGACTATAGAAGGTATCCTGGTCCCCGAAGTCTTTTTTATGTTCGGTAACACACAAGAGCGTGTTGACACCTTTATTGTTTCATCTACCATTCACATACTTGGATCCGACGTGGAGTTGGAGATTTTTAATCCACTCCAAAATCAGGATCTCGAGGTGGAACTCACACTGGTAAACGCTACTCACGAAGGCGAAATGATTGGAGAACTCACCAAGTCTCACTTGATGGTGCTAAAGCCTGGAATCACGAAAACCGGCCGAATCCCCATTCGTGTCACCGGGATTGGAGGTGATATTCTTAGAAAGGCCATCAATGGACTGCTCAAAGTCAATATTGATGCAAAATTTCAATTGAGCATCGGGAGAGAAAACTACAAAAACCCATTCGAGATAGGGCTCGAATACCAAGGTAACGACATGAAGGCCAACATTCGGTTTTGAAGATCGGCCAAATTTAACGAATTACGAATGTATTTATAGAGATATATTAGGGCTTATTTTAATGAAGGAAAATAAATGCGTCAAGGAAACGTAAAAATAGACGTAAAAATAGACGTCAATAAAGGCTTCAGGAATGCCTGGTAGGGATGTAGAAGAATGACTTTGAGACACCTCGACTCCAAAGTCCACCACACCAATCTAAAAGATTTGCCTCAAAGGGTGTGCTTAATTTGGAGAAATATAATACCCAACTCCAGACCTAAGCTCCATATGGAACCCCAGGAACCCCAAAAGTCTAGACCTGCGAATTATGTTTTTTACTTAAAATAGTAACAGTCGCACCAAATCTCGAGAATGTTTACACGTAAAATTTTCATTCACTGATCCCACTTTAAAACAAAGCCAACAAAGCCAACAAAAACACATCTTTTTGTTACACACCCTTCATCACACTCGCTTTAAATCATGAAGGTCTCCTCGTTGTCATCCTCGGTCGTTTTGGTCTTAGCTGCTGCGCAATACGCTGTTGCCACCCCTCCAGCCTGTTTGTTGGCTTGTGTATCACAAGTTACCAAAAAATCAGACTGTTCTGCTTTGAACGATTTGTCATGTATTTGTGGTACTCAATACGACAAAGTCGAAGACTGCTTGAACAGCATCTGTCCTGAAGGTGTTAGTGATACTGCCGTGTCTGCTTTCGAAAGTGTATGTTCACCATATGCTAAGTCGTCATCGTCTTCGTCATCATCCACACAAGCGTCGTCTTCTTCCAAAGCTTCTTCTTCTTCCGAAGCGCCTTCTTCTTCATCCACCACCTCGTCGTCTTCGTCTTCGTCGTCGAGCTCTTCTGCTGAAGTGAGCTCTTCCACCCAGGTGAGCTCGTCTACCGAGTTGTCATCTTCTTCATCTACTGTTGAGTCTTCGTCTTCCGCTATCAGTAGCTCATCCGAAGCTTCTTCTTCAGTCGAATCCTCTAGTGAGTACTCGTCTTCCGAAGAGTTGTCTTCTACTGTAGCTGATTCTAGTTCAGAAGAACCAGCCACATCCGAAGATTCTACAAGTCTTGCAGCCGTTGCTGTCACCACTTCTTCCAAGAGCTCTTCCACTTCGTCAGCAGATCCAACCTCGACGTCTATTGCTGAAAAGACCTCTAGTGATATGGCCAACAACAAGGCTGTTTCTTTCGGAGCTGTGATTGGTTTGATGGTCGCTGCTTTGGTTTAAGGGGATGTCTATTTGTAGTAGATATCAAGGGTTAATAATATCATCTTGTGGGTAAACACTGGCACTTCTTGCTGGTGTGCCCAGTTTATACCATTTTAGGCTAGGTTTAGGAAATAGATATCCTGTAAAAGAAAAGTGCGGTCTGCACTCGTAGTTTCATTCAACCCACCTTGCATTTAGGGGTATCGAGATTGCCAATTGACTGTGACTTTTTTGAAGGGGGGATTCGTAAAAGTCACAAATTTCACACTTTTCTATGCAACTGAGTAGTCCAAACAAAATTTATAACAATAATTTATTCTACAGGGGAGGTAAAATCACCAAAAAATCATCACCAGGTACCGAAGAGAATTTAAGGTTCAAGACCGGTCCAACAGCAGTCAAAATCAATAATTTCTTGCCAGTAATCTGTATTATTATGGATCGGTGTTCCGGTTGCTCATGCTCACTCATGGACGCTTTTTGCAGCAATCAACGAAAAACCGGGACACCGGTTTACCCAAAATTGACCTGAATTTGTCGTACTTTAAATTGAGTTGCCACCAAATAAACCGGTGGCCGTGACTCTGGATAATTAGGGTAGAGCAACCAATAAGCATATAAGATCCCTTGGAACCGTTCGCTTTCTTGCGTTATAATTGAATCAATTACGATTTCATTCTATCGGAGTCTCCGCGGATTCATTTTACAGATAAGAAAATACAAATACATTTTAATATAAGGTATTGTAACTCCCCTTTGATCTGACAAGAACATCTACCCTTGAATAGATATGCAATTAAGAAAAGATAAATGGTCTTATGATCACGAAAAGGACAGCCCGAGGGCCATGGAATCCATTCCATACAGCCTTTACTATGGAACTTTTGTCGACACCCCAGAGCTTGGAGAGATCAGAATCAGGACCAAGTGTTTAATAGGAGTCAACCAACAAGGAGTCATTGATTTTATTCACCCTGATGTGGAACAGCCGTCAGTGCTTGAAGTGTTCAAACACAACTACGTCCACTTTGATAGTGTTCAATCGTACTTTAAGTATGTGGATGTGTCTAAGAGCCCCAGTCAATTTTTCTTCCCCGGTTTCATTGACACACACATTCACGCTTCACAGTACCCCAATGTCGGTATAGGTTTGAACATTCCCCTTTTGGACTGGTTGAAAATCTATACCTTTTCTTTGGAGAACTCCTTCAACAAGGAAAACTTTAAGGTTGCTAAGGATATTTACACCAAAGTGATCAAGAAGACTTTAACCAACGGAACAACTTGTGCTTCGTACTTCACCACCATTGATACCGACACCAGTAAGTTGTTTGGAGACTTATTGTTGGAGTTTGGCCAAAGAGGATTTGTGGGTAAGGTTTGTATGAACCACAATACTGATTATCCTGAGTACCAAGAAACCGAAGCAGAAAGTTTAAATTCCATCAAACACTTGATAGAGTACTTTGATGGCAAAAACCCCGAACCAGAAACATTGGTAAAGCCAATAATCACTCCACGGTTTGCTCCCGTTTGCACCAGGTCGTTATTGAAGAAGTTGGGCCAGGTTTCAACTGAAAACAACTTACCAATTCAAACTCATATTAGTGAGAACAAGGGAGAAATCCAGTTGGTGAAAAAGTTGTTTCCAGAATGCCAGAACTATGCTTCTGTTTATGATGACCATAACTTACTTTCCAGTTCCACGATCTTGGCTCACGCAATCCATTTATCGGACCTGGAATGTAAGTTGATTAAGAAGAAAAGCTGCTCCATCAGTCACTGTCCTACTTCCAATACTTTTATTGCCAGTGGAGAAGCTCCTGTAAAGCAGTACTTGTATAAGCACAAGATCAATGTTAGTTTAGGAACGGATATCAGTGGTGGTTTTGACCCGCTGATTTTGGGAATTGTGAGACAAAGTATCTTGGTAAGTCACCACTTGTCGATGAAAACCAATAACAACTCCGACAAGTTAAGCTTGAACGATGCTCTTTACATGAGTACTCAAGCAGGTGCCATTGCTGTTGGTATGGAGTCTGAGATTGGGACATTTGATATTGGGAAGAAGTTTGACTCTCAATTGATTGATTTGGGAGGAATGAGCAGCAGCATTGATTTGTTTGATTGGCAACTTCCTAATAAAAGTGACGATCAAGACGAGTTGCAGTCAAAGATCCTCAACTTGTTGAACAAGTGGGTATTTTCTGGAGATGATAGAAACTGTTTGAAAGTTTATGTCAATGGCAGGTTAGTTTTGGATAAGTCCAATCAATGGGTATTAGTTAATTAAAAGAGTACTTTATTACTTCTAGGTTTAGGTAGGTTATCTAATAAATATCAAAAATTAAGTGTTTTGCAGACTCTAATGGATAGTGTAGTTGTGTTTGCCAAAATTGGGGGTTCCTCCAAGGCTGCCGAAGATGTCTCCCACATAATTCAGACATTTAACTCCTTCAGCGTAAACCTCATCCCAATTCTCCACTATATCTTCAACAACAGGGTATCCTCCCAAGAATAAGTTATCTAATGCCAACTGGAATCCTCCCTTGTTGAAATTATTGAAAAAATCCACAGAATCGTCAACCGATGGTGGAGGTTTCACAAAATTGGAAATGCTTCTCATTACAATTATCCGATCAAAGGACACTCTGTGCAGCTTTGCCATACGCAACAACGACTCCAAAGTCCCATTCTCTTCCTGAGCAGAAGAACAGTAGTATGCTGTGTTGTTGGTGACCATCAGAGTATAGTCCATGAAGAAGTCGCTCATTCTATGTCCGAAAAAATAGTTGTCCAGAGTGGTAACATCACAAGCCATCACAGTTGGGGGTTCTCCCCCAGGACCATCATACATGTTTCTTAACAAGATGTTCTGAGGAGTTCCTGATTGTAACGAAGCCTCATTCTTCTTTGCTGCTCTAATTGCCCTATCTCTCAAGTGTTCATTGAGTTCATAAATTTCCGTACCATAAACGGCATCTGGGTAGGTGAAAGGGTCCTTGGCACCATAACTAAAATAGCCAGATGGCCAATCTTTGTACGCAACCGGTAATTCTCTGGAATCTATTTGGTACATAAGTCCCACTTGAATAGCATATTTGGCAAATGTTACCGAACCAGTGGTTACTCTCAGTGGTTCCCCGCCACCGATACCATTGAGAAGGAAGTATGTCCTTGATAAGTCGAACTGAGGATTAAGGAGAAGTGCCATCATTGAGTTGGAGGCATTAATTTCGCCTTCTCCCGTGGTCATATGGCAAATACTGTAGTCTTGAACACAATGAACTTGTGGGAAGAGGAGGGACAATCCTGGAACTGTTATATGATGGGGGAAGTCTATTTTGCTGTTCCAAGCTTCTTGTTCTGGTATAAACATTGTAATGATGAATACTTTCGGCAGGATGCCATGAGATTGAACTAAGGAAGTAGAAAACCTAAACGGTAACGAGGTACACTTGAAAGCTCCCAACACAATGAAGAGAACTACCCAGAGCAAGAGACCAGCGCTTCCCTTCGAGCGTGCGGTAAACAGCGGTGATATTGGCAGTTGTTTCATCTCTATTATTGTGCTCGTTAAAATTCTTGGGTCTTGACTCACAAGAGAGGGAGATCCCTAATCACGTGACCGGACCAACGCAGTCAAATGCAACAACCCAAACACGCGCGCTGATGTGAAGATACAAACACATCTATCTATGCCAAAGCGAAGTGCTGACCGTGGGTCACCCGACCTATTGGACAGCATTATGAAGCGTACGAAGATGAGTCAGAGTATCAACGGTGTCGGGAATGTGGATGGAAATACCGAGGATGAGGATTTGAGTGCTTCAGAGTCAAGTTCTTTCTCTGGTAGTGATTCTGAAGATGAAGGTGAAAACTCTGGATTGAGCGATTCTGAAACCAGCAATACCGAAGGGACCGAAACAAATGGTATTATGGAAAAGTTCCACGCAGGAGTCATTGAAAAAATCAGTTTAAAAAACTTTATGTGTCATGATTTCTTTGAATTGGAGTTAGGTCCTCGTTTGAATTTTATAATTGGAAGGAACGGATCAGGAAAGAGTGCAATTATCACCGGTATTTCGGTTGGACTTGGTGCCAAGGCTAGTGATACCAGTAGAGGGTCTAGTATTCAGGATTTAATCAAGGACGGTAAGTCTATGGCAAGGGTTACAATCGTGTTCAGAAATAAGGGAATTGATTCTTATCAGCCCGAAGTCTTTGGTGAACGGATTATTATAGAGAGAAGACTTATAAGGAAAGGTGGGGGAGGTTATTATATCAAAAACAATCACGGGAAAACCGTGTCCACAAAGAAATCAGACATTGATCAAATATTACAAAAGTATAATATTAGGGTCGATAACCCTTTATCGTTTTTATCTCAAGACAAGGCAAGAGAATTCTTAACTTCGGCCAATAGTAAGGAAAAGTTTCGTTATTTCATGCAGGGAACATCGGTGGAGGACATCATTGACAATTATTCTCAAGCTCAGACCAACATCCAAGAGATATCTAGTCAGTTGACTGCAGCCCAGAATCATGAGTCTATTGCCAGGAAGAAATATAATGACAGTTTGGAAGTGTACGAAAAGTTCCGACAATCGGATCAATTGAGAGAGAAGTTGTCTCTTTTGAATGGTAAGGTGTTTTGGTTTAATGTCACCAAAATTGAGCAGCTCATGCAAAAGAGGAACAACGAAATTTCGACTCTTCGAGCGAGTATCTCCAAAATAGAGTCCTCATGCGCAGATAAACAAGTATCAAAAGAGCTGGCTGCTGACGAGAAACTCAAGATCAGAGAGGAGAATGTCAAGCACTCGGAAACTCTTCACCAGTTGGTCCTTGAACAAAAACCTGTAGAGGCTGAACAAGAGAAAACCAAGGTATCTTACGAAGAAATAGTTTCTGAAATTAAATCCAATCAAGGCAATATTGATGAATATAAGAAAAAAATTGAAGAATTCCAACACAAATTGATACAAGAGATACAAAAGCTGAAAGATAATACCTCAGAGACAAGAGGTCAGAAAATTGCTCGTTTGGAAGGTGAGGTGAAGCAGCTCAAGCTAAAGAAGCGGGAAATTTTGATGGCTGGTTCCAAGTTCAACCTGGGTCACCAAGATCTGCCTGAGTATATACAAGCACATCAGCGTTACAGTGAATGTAATGAAAGCATCCGTGAGTTGTCTAACAAGCTAACCTCTTTGAATAGGGCCAAGAGTGATAAGTTTAGTCCATGGGGTAATACAATCAAGAGATTGGTGCACGATATCCGTCAAGATAAATCATGGCATCAGACTCCACTTGGACCAATTGGCTCTTATGTGAACGTTAAAGAGAATTTTTCGAGCTGGAAAGATTTAATCAATGCCGTATTAAACAAGAGCTTAGATTCTTTCTTGGTGTGTGATGAGCATGACCGTCGGAAGCTTTTGAACTTATCAAGAAAAGCAGGGATTGAGATCAGCATCATCTCCAGAAGAATTGAAGCCTTTGATTTCAAGAATGGAATACCCAGAGGTGAAACAACCTTAGTGGATATGTTGAATGTCTCTAATCCTCAAATTTTGTACACTTTGATTGATATCAATAACATTGAACAGTCTGTCATCACCGAGCATAGTGATAAAGCCTTCGCTTTGGCCAAGGTTGCAAATGTTAACAATGTTTACTCCAAAATATCGAAATCCAGTGGAAGAAGAACAAAAACAATCGGTAATTCCAATTCTATTGCCAATGACCCAGTTCATTATTTCAAAAATGCTCCTTACAAGTTTTCCGAGGATATGGCAGCTATTGATAGAGACATAAAAGAAACACAGGTTCAAATAAAGACAGAAAATATCCGACTCGAGGCTATCAAGTCTGAGTTAAAGCTAGTTCGGAAACAATTTGAGCTCGATAAAGAGAAGTTTCAAGAGGAAATGAAGGAGGTGAATAATGAGATAAAAGAAAAGGAAAATGAGTTGAATGATCTGGTGTTGAACGATGAAAGTGCCGAAGATCCAATTACTGTAATAGAGTCTACCATTAAAGATTATGAGGAACAAATTCAAAGCTGTAAGAATATGGTGTTATCATTAGGAAATGATCTTAGCTTAGCAAAGGCCAATCTAGATTGTGCGGACTCCACACTCCAGGCATTAGATGATGAAATCCAAAAGGTCAAGGGCTTAGTGGCAGAAAATGAAGAAACTGAGTCTAAACTACTGGACCTAATAATCAAATTGGATGTGGAAGTAACAAAGTTAAAGAATGAGAAGGGCAAAATTCTAGAGTCAGTAGCCAGCCATGAAGAGAAATTGGAGACCTTGAATGAAAAGCTTGAAGAAAACCAGAAAAGTGCACAAGAAATATGTGAAAGAAGTATAGTCCCAATCTCCCCAGATGACACTGCACAGTCCATTCAAACAGAGTACATGGCAACTCAAGAAGCCGTACAACAAGCTGAGAGTATGGTTGGAATCACATTTGAAGAAGCTCAAATGCAATATGACAAGTGCAAACTTGATTTGATTGAAGCAGAAGATATTAACCGTGAACTTCATACGTTAGAAACCAATCTTTTGAGTGAACATGTTTTGAGATTAAACTATTTGAGACAAAAAATCCTCCATAATATTAAGGATGTTTCACACTCTTTCGAAGAAGCGTTGGACGCCAGAAATTTCAAAGGGAAGTTGGTGGTAGACGTATCTCAAAAGACTCTCACTATGATGGTTGCACCACAAGATACTACCGAAGGCAGAAATGTCGAATCATTATCCGGAGGAGAAAAGTCGTTTACTCAAGTGGCATTCCTTCTTTCTATTTGGAAGGTTATGAACTCTAAAGTTCGAGGCTTGGATGAGTTTGATGTGTTTATGGATTCAGTGAACCGTACTGTCAGTATTCAGCTATTATTGGAAGAGTTAAAGAGAGTTCCTAATTCTCAAACTATATTTATTACACCTCAGGATATAAACACCATTGCTAATCTCAGCAAAGATAGTGTAAGAATCCACAGAATGTCAAGCCCAAGAAGCGGGTGATTTCAGAAAATTGCATTTTATTTATAGGATAATAGAGTTTGTATGCTTCTAAATGGAAATATTTACAAGGTGCTCTTTAATTAGGAAGAACAAGATCTTTAAACTGGCTTCGTGAAATGTCATATACTTGGTCAAGTTTCTTATAGTCATCAGGTGATAAATAAATTTTATCATTTTTTTGTCTCTTGTTCTTGAAAAAGGTCAAGTTAGATTCTAGTATGCTCGATTGGAATTTTGGCCCATCCACAATTAGCGAGATGTAAATAGACATGATTACTGGATTAACAAAAGGTTTCTTGAACCTTTCCTTCCCTTTGAAGTAGAACTTCAATAACTCATTGATATAATCGTTGAACTCAAGGAGTTTATCGAAGTTGTGAAGTTCATTTGACTCTGGGTTATTTAGTCTTCTCTTGCAGTTCATAAACAAGATTAGGAAGGTCTCATCTTTTAACAACACTGGCAACGACAAGTCCAAATGCTTTAATTGAAGCTTTTTCATTATTATGAGTGCTTCTGCAAAATAGTTGTTGGATGCAAGGCCGGAAACTATGAAAGTGGTTAGCATATAATGATTTGATTTGATCAATTTCATTAAGGTTGGAATTTTTTGAGTAGAATCCGATTGCATATGCTTTAAAACCGTTTTGGTAATGAATTCATCAAACATGGGCAAATCATTGAGTTGAATAGATCCATCCAATGTGGCAAACACCCTTGTACTATTACTTTTAGCATCAATGGGCCGAAAAAGAGAACCTTTGACTTCCAGATCTTGTAGTTTATCGTCTTCACTCTTTAACTCCTCCGGCCAATCTGGATACTGAACTCCATTGGTACGAATGTTATTGACACGCCATCGGGATGTGTCGTTGAGTATAGAGTAAATGGTTTCAAGATAGTCGGAACGAGCTTGGAAGTTCAGATGATCTCTGAACAACATGCACAAATACTTGAAAGACCGTAAGGCATTTACAGCATCACCAGCACCACAATACGCTTCCACCAAGGAGATGGAAATTGACTTAAACGTAGTACGATGGCCATAAAGTGAATAAAACCTTCTGAAGTAATCTCTTAGAAAGATTATATACTGGGGTTCCAGGTTCTTCTGGAATATCATTGCCAAGGTTGACAAGCTATCAGGACTCACTAGAAAAGGGACTGGATGGGTGGAGTTATAGGCAGAGCAATCTTGTACAACGAATTTATAATCATCAATGACGTTGTGAAATATCAATTTGGCTCCCTCAAGGGAAAACACTTCACACGTCAAACTCAAATATCTTGACCAAAGTGCATTACTTGGTATAAATTGCTTGTCTTCGATACAAAGCTCTAGGAGGGACACTAGTGACACAAAATTCTCAGCATTGAGATAGTTGAAGAAGAAAACCTCCAAAAGACCATGGTTTAAAGGACTTTGGATGTTCTCTAGAATGAAGGTCGCTACCGTTGGGTCTTGTCTTTTCAACATTAATTGTAACTGGACATTTAAAAGGACAGAGCTCCTGGTTTCTTCAGGAACATCAACGAGAACACTACTCTGTAAACGTGCAGGGATCTTGGCCATTAATATCAAGACTTGATTCTCTTTAGCATGATTTAAATCTCCTGATAGTACCAAATCTAGGAGCTTAAAAATGGTATTTTCACTGGTCTCTATCTCTCCACGAGATCCCAAACTAACAGAGTTTACTGCACTGACATTGAACCGTCGTATGTCCCTGTTTATGACAGCCAAATGCCGTAGGAACCTACTCCCACACTTGTTTCGTATCATTAGTGGAATGATATTTCGCAGTCCATTTGTCGCGATCGTAATACGAAGTGTGTTTGTAGGAAAATTTTTCAGCCTATCGCTACCACCAACCGCATGTTCAGATCCACATTACTTCGCCCGGGAGTGCTCAAGGCATTTCCGGCCGCTAAGTCCAACATCGGTCCTGGCACCATTGGTTTGGCTAGGTCGGGAATGTCGCCAGTTCGGTTCAACTCCACAACCCCAACCTCAGAAATCACCAATAAGCTCACTCAGTTCACAGAAGATGCTATCACCACTTCCACCATGACCTCTGACCAGCTTGGATACTTACAGTCGATAGGAATGGGAGAGGGATACGGCCCCACGGCTATAATTGAGAGAATGTTGGAATTCACCCATGTGTACACGGGATTACCTTGGTGGGGCACCATCCTTGCTGCAACCGTGATAACCAGAGTTTTCATGTTCCCATTGTACATGAAAGCTTCTGCCAACACGGCAAAGATGACCAAGATCAAGCCGCAATTGGATGCGACTGCTCAGCAGATGAGAGTGGCAGAAACCATGCAAGAAAGAACGGAAGCTTCGTTTGCTAGAACCAAGTTGATGAAAGAGCACGGCATTAAGATGAGCCATGGGTTCCTTCCGTTTATTCAGATTCCTTTTGCATATGGGTTCTTTCAGGCACTAAGAAAAATGGCTAACCATCCAGTTGAAGGGTTTTCTACACAAGGTACTGCCTGGTTTACTGATTTAACACAGGTGGATCCATACTTGGGGTTGCAAATAGTAGCCGGTACGATCATCATGGGACAATTTAAGATAGGAGGGGAAACTGGTGCCATGAACATGAGTCCGGTGATGCAGAAGTTCATTTACTTGGCTCCGGTGTTGTCTATTTTCGTAACTAAAGGGTTTTCTGCAGCCGTGCTTTTGTATTTTGCGGCCAATGCTTCCTTTTCTTTTCTCCAGGCCATCGTGTTGAGAAGCAAGTACTTCAGGAGATTCTTCAAGATGCCTCCCATTCTGAAACCACCTCCATCGGCATCTGGTGCTCAGAATCAGAGTTTAGGTGACTGGTGGAAAGATTTCTCTAAAACCACTCAGCAGACTACTACTTCTAAGATGCAACAATCGGACAGAAAGTTGGCGGCCATGCAAAAAAGAAGACAAGACACCACTAAGAACTTTATCAAGAGACGTTGATTTGAGTTACCCTTGTATATATTATATTATGTGTCAATCTAGCTGTATATAAAATGTCTCCAGACGAAAGTTAGACTACTTGCTCTTCATTTCTTAACTCACTAACATCAATGGCCAGTTCAGAGATTTCAATAACGTCAGCTTTGGAAGTTTGAACCTTTTCGGGTGCAGAAACCTGGGGTTCAGCCTGGGAATTTTGGTCAGCATCGGTGATGGTATGCTGTTCGGTTTTTTCAAGTTCTTCTTTGTCTAAATTCTTCACTTCTTCGACCGTAAACTCGAAAATCTCTTGGTAATTGATGATAATTCTCTCGAGAACAAAATTCATAAATCCAAAACTGTTTACCAAAACCTCTAGCCCACTGGCTTCTGTCAACGCTGGTCCGATAACCGTGGCCAAGTTGGTGGGATTCATCTTATTGTACTCACTGAACTCCTCAACCTTGGTCAAATGCTTCAACAATGCCTTCAAAGTTTCGTAATTGGTCTTGGGCAAAGACTTGAAGATTTCTTTGGCTCTTAAGATCATTTCAATCTTATCAATTTCTTCATTAGCTATGCTCTGTCTTAAGTCATAACATTTCTCAATGGCCTTATCATTCAATAAAGCATCTGGTAATTCCCTGAAGTAAGATTTTACACAGCTTGTCAAAGCGTGAGTGTCGTAACTTCTTTCTTCAAAATCAATGAACCCAACCTTGTCAATCATAGACTTCAAGTTGGTCAACTCGCTTAGTGAAGTGCTGATTCTGTAGACCCCAACATCCTTAAGACCTTCGGCTTCAATTGCTTTGAATATTTCAAGCAAAAACTTAGGCACAAATGTATTTTGTCTGTTGCATGTGACACCCAACGGGATACCGAAAGTAGTGAAGTTTCCAGACGATGATTTAATATTCAAGGATCTTGAAAAGAACCAATGTCTGTTAGCATAGCTCAACTTCATTAACCAATCGTTCAAGTCAGTCTCATTCAAACACTGGAAGAAGTAGTCTTCCTCTTTGTTGGAATCGCTGTCAATCTTAAAAGATAATGGAAGCAAGTACACCGGGAAGATCTTCTTGTTTTTTAAGGGAATGATATGAGCTGGTTTCAGCTTAGCAGCAATGAAGTTATCAGCATTTGGCAACTCCTTAGCATTAATCGGTTTATCATACCAATGTTGTCCTGGATTAGATCCATTACCACCAATAGAAAATGGCCTTGATTTTGTGAAAAATCCGGAAATTTTGAACCTTGAACCTGAATTCAGTTGCTTGTATGATAAAGATTGTCTCCTCAATCCAGGATTTGAAGACTTTTTGTGTAACAGGCCATTAACAGAACTCTGAGAGCTTGTACTGTGTAAGGAAGATGTTGATACGTTTCCGTCCTTGAGGTGCTTCTTGCGGTTATCTATAAGCAATACTTTGTGCTGCTCTTTCAAAACTGCCTTAAACAACTTAGCACGGTCTTTCTCCAAGAATGTGAATTCCTTAATGTTCTTGTCATTGATCAAGTTCTCATCTAACTTCAACAAAAACTCAAACTCTCTGGTTTCATTGTGGTTAAATTCATCTAAATCAACATCTTCAATTGTCAATTCCTTAAGTACCTTGTAAATAAAGTATCTCTTATTGAAATTGATTTGACTTTTAGCAGTGAAGTTAGGAATTCTATTCATCTCAACCATGTTCTCAATAATCCAACCGAAGCATGGTAATAAAAACTCATGATGTATAGCCAAGTCTTTAATAGTGATATGTTTAGGTAACAAGCTGTTCAAATCATCAAAGCTGGTTGAGGTTTCAACAAAGTCTTCACCATTCAAAGCAATAGAAGCCTTGATCCACAAATTAGTGAATAATCTGCTCTCAGGTGAGTAGATAACATTGGTTATGGACGACTCAATACAAGAAGGAATTGGTCCTTTATGTCTGCTTTCAAAAACAAACTGTGTGCTCAGCATCTTCAATTGGCAGAGCTTCACCATATACAATAAAGTCTTCATTCTGTCCAATCTTTCATCAACTGTGATATTCAAGTCAGTTAATTGGATTAAGATGTAGGTTTTGAATTTGTTGTACAACTTGAACAACTTTCTAAACACTAATGGGAACTTCTTCAAAATCAACAATTTTTCATTTGGGTCATTCAATGAGTCAAAATAGTTGAAAATGTTTGAGATAACAAGGTTTTCATCAACGGTTTCATTCTTCTGAAGTTTGAATTCCATTAAATTATTCTTTTCAAACTCAATTTCCATGATTTTGTAAACTTTAACCCAATCTTCAATCTTGATACCTTTGTAGAAAATCGACAAAAGTTTATTGAACTTGTGTAAAAACTTTTCAATCTTTTGAATGTTTTTGTGTCCAGGTAAGTTTCTATTCATAGGCACTTCATGTAAAGAATTGTTGAATTTGAAGTCGTTCACTAAGAACTGATGAAATTTGTCAAGCTCAATTGGTCTGTAAGTCTTTTTTACAAACAATTTCTTCAATTTCTTGTAGTAATTCACCAAACTCTCGAATGACTTTTCCAATTCTGAATCAATTTTATTGGAGTTATACCATTGAAGTATTTCATTGCTGAACAACTTGAGGAGCTTTATAAGAATCTTCTTATTCATCAAATCCATTGAGAAGTTAGAGTAGAAGTTGTTAATTAATAACACCAAAACCTTCAAAATATTAATCTGAATCTTCAATAAAACCGAATAGTCAACTTCACCCAATTCAGTCAAATCAACAGAATTATCCAAATTCCAGTTTGGAAAGTCTTCATCTGACTGCTTATCTTGTGACTGATTTGTTTTCATAGCATGCAACTTCTTCATTATCGAAATAACTGCATTACCGGAGTTGATAAATCTATAGGCCAATTTGTCCAACAATTCTCTGGTGGTTATGTAGGAATTATAGTTCAACAAGAATACGTATCTGTACTCTGACAAGTCGATACTTATAGATTCATCCAAATATTTGGTATCAATAATCAACAAGTCGATAAGCTTTTCAATGGTTGATAATTTAGGAATGTACTTGTAAATGTGTAATTGGCTTGAATCAGATGAGATGACACTAAAACTGTTTGTTGGATGACTTAAAAGGTTAGTGCTCGTTTTCTTCGAGCTATTAACTTGATCAGACTCAGAGGATGAAGGATCATTACTCATCAAGAAGTTATTGAATTTGTCTGAATTCAAAATATCATCAACATCAATTCCTAAACCTGTGACTTCATCGTCATCATCTTCATTGCCAACTTCATCCAATGGGTTAAGGGTTGAATTTGTTTGATTATCTAAATCTGTAACAAAATCATCAATCCTGAACGTCAAATCATTACCGACCTTGATTTTATGCTTGGAATCATTAGATTCCAGATGAAATTGATTCGAGATCCCCGAATCATTAGTCAAATCATCATATTTGATTAAATTGAATTTGAAATGATTATTATTGAAGGTGGGTAATCTTGAGGTCGGGTCATGTACATTCATAGAGCCTTCAACTTTCAAAGATGCCAATGAATCGTTAGAGTTCACAGAAATATTTGAATGGGTGGCATGGAAGTTTTTGTAGACTGGATGATTGGATCTGAGATAAGACTCTGGCAATTCAGGTTGAAAAGTTAACGACAAAAGCATCAATTTCTCTAGATTGAAGGACTCTGAATTCGAATTTAAGTCAATCAACTTAAGCAATTGACTTTGTAAGACTGGATTGGTAGTGACATTATAATTCAAACCATGATCACCTTTCTCATTATCTTTCGGAATTTCAAAAGTAGGCGGTAAAGATTTGGAGTCCTCATTAACACCAAGATACAATACTTGGTTCAAACTCTCATTCGAAAAGATGAATCCCATTGAGTCATAACGCTTTAATACGTCATCATTATACTTTATGATATCGTCGTAGTTTGTCAAGTTTTTGGAGTACTCACTCCACCTGTTGAAAGAATAGTTGATTTTCTTATAGATGGAATCCAATTCATTAATATTGTTGATAACCAAGTTGTTTAATAATAAGTCCCCAAAGTATGGCACAACATTTTCTTTTGCATATACCTTACCTAACCCTCTAGGAGCCATTATGTGGTAAGAATCTCTAGGCAGTGGATCGGTAGAATTCTCTTCAGAAGATTTCTGTTGATTTGGTGAATTGGGAGTAGAAGCATTGATTCCATTAACCAAGAATCTCCTATCCAATTCAAAAAGCACAGGGGACCAATCGTTTTTAAGGAGCTTGATATAATCGAGGGAAACGAAAGACCATATTTTGTTCAACCTCAAAATAGGCTGGGATAAAATAATCGAAGCTATACCCAACCACGAAGACATATTACCGGACTTGTCCAAAAGACAACCTAAATCGATCCACTTTTCCAAAAGCCTGGCTTTAAACTCCAACAATGAAGTAGAAGAGTTCATTCCAGTGATATTCGTTTCAAGAAACATCTGGTTGATAAACAACCTCGATAAAAAGTGAATGTGGAACTCGTTGTTAAAAAACAATGAGTTTCTCCTGTAAAAGATATCAACAGAACCAGATTGATTGGTTTGGTTTATAGTCGAGTACAACAACAACGATTTATCGATATTGGAGTTCCAATCCTTGTAGAATTTCAAATCAATAGCATTGACTGTAGTAGCGAAATCGATCAATTTTACGTGGTTCAAAAAGTAACTTGCGTTCAAGTCTTGGAACGGATTGGATTCAGGGGCTTTGTCATTATCATTGGAGATCAAGTGGATCAAGTTTTGTTGGTGAAGCAACATGCTGGACTTGAAAGTCGTCAACTGGCTCAAGAAGCCGGAGTACTCCTCGGAATCTTCACTTGAAGGCGACAACTTATCTGACAAAATCTCCAAAAGCCTCAAGATATACGGAGCAATATCAGATTTCAAAAGAAACCCCTGAAGATTGTTGTCGACATTGTTTAAGAGCTGCAAAATCCTGTCAAAAGCCACTGATAGGTCATATTTGCCCAGGAACTTATCCCCAAACAAGTTGGTCAAGATAAGGTTTAGTAGCCGCAAAGTCTTGCCAAAGTCGGGAAATAAAGGTAATATCGTGATTGCCTGGTGAACGGTACTCTGAAAGTTGTCATCGTTCAGAAAGAGGACAAAGTGTAAAAGCGACTCAATGGTACAATCAGGCTGGAATGAATAAGTGTCGAAGCTGAACCTTAAATCAGGATGAGGAACTGCCGTTTCAAAGAAGGTTATTCGATAATCATCCGACCTCAGTCCAGTGTCCGGCCCATTGGGGGTCGGGGTCAAAATAGACGATTCGGCATTCTCTGGAATGGAAGAATTGGAGTTGTTGGAGTTTTTGAAGATTTCTGGCGGCTGCAAAGAACTGAACGGCTGGGAGTGCCGATCACTCAAAGGAGAAGGGGCAGCAGAGTGCTGGATGTTGAAGTTGTGAGGAGACGACGAAAGGAGCGGAGCGCTCAAGGGGCCAGAAATAGTCCCTTCTTGGATTGGAATACTGGTGGGACCTGAGATAGATGCCAGATCTAGGTCGTTAAGATTAAGGTTTTTCACCGATTGGGACGATCCAAATGTGTCATCTCGGGGGGTATCGGGGGCTGACTTGAAGCTGCGGTAGTTCAAGTTCAGCTTGTAGAGGTACAAATGGGAACCTTTCAACTCTGCTCGATATAACCGTAATGACTGGTCGTCCACGTCGTTAACAGAGGTATTGACCACGACATTGACCCAGGAGTTTTTGACAAGGTGCGCATCGTAGTCGTACTTGACCAAGCCCAGAATCGACTTGGGAGCCTTTGGTGATGGGAGTGAAAGAGCACTATCCGTGTGAGATGAGAGCTTGGTGGTGGAGGTGGAGGCAGATACGGCGGTGGACACGGCGGTGTTGGCAGTGAGACCAGATTCCTGGACACTATGGGCAAACGTGGCGTCATCGTGGAAGTCTTGTTTAGAAGGGATTGGTTGGTGGGATTGCTGGGAGTACAAGCTGGGATCAAATTCAACCGAATCTCGACTAGTAACCGCCGTTTGATTGCTGGGGGCATAGTATAAGGAATTGATACCGGTGAAGCTCTTACGCTTTTCCTTGTCTCCTTCTCTATCTCTATCCTTGTCTCTTCTCAGAGACCAGATCTTTCTCATGGTGGATTAATTGGAATGGACAAACGTATCGAAAATGAAAGGTGGCAGCAGGGTGAGCTAGAAGCGATGCGATGCAAGAAAGCAAAAACGAGGGCTCTATAAAAAGTCCACAGTGGTGATTGGATCAATGGCGGATGGAAATATCACAACAGCACAAGGTACCAACGAAACCAACAAAAAAACTCTGAGTTTGAGTTTGGTGATTACAGGATTTATTGCGCGTCATACAGAGGTTTTGCCTACAAAATCAACAGCAGCTAAAAATGGTTACCGATCGGCGCGACAAGAATGTTTCAAAGCCATTATTACTAAAACCAGACAATTGTTTTTGCAGGGGGCTGGGGAAGGAGATAGCTGGGGAGACACAGGCACCCTTCCACCGCCATCTCCACCGTCGTAACGACCTGTGGGGCCCAGCCTGTGCCGGACTTGTCGGTAGTCACTTGGTCGTCTAAAGTCTGAGGCGAGAATTTGCTTGCGATGACGAACCTTACGAACCTTCGTCAGGCACAATGCACGACGGCACAAGTAGTATTTAGTGCGAGTGCCAGCGCTGAATTGAATTAATATTATTGACGAGATCGTTTCGTCAACATCGTGTATATAGTAGCCGGTTGTTTGTTTGGAATCTAAACTACTCATTAGTCTGTTTGTTTTCTTTGTTGTGGTGGTTATATTGTTGCGCAGGTGCCGAAGGAAATTTCGCGTGTTGCGCTCATTTTTCACTTAACTTTACGATGTATGCCATCGCCAGAACCGGTTTCAGGAGGACTACCACAGCCCCGTCCCGCATATACTCACGAGTGTTGTCATCAGTACCGCAGGAGGAACCTACTACCGGGGTGGTTGGTGACGGTGATGAGTATAGAAACAGAAAATTACTGATACTCAAGCACTCCCATAGAAACTACTACCCGCCACTACGAGCATTATCACAAGAATACGACCGCCGGCTTCGTGTCAGTCAGTTTAAGGATGTGTATGGTGCGGTGGACTTTACCCACTTCCCGTCCAAAAAGGCCCCTGAGTTGGTGAATCTCCAGGGCAAGATCCAGTCGATTCGCCGCAATGGAAAGTACATGTATTTCATTGATTTGTCCCAGGATTTTGTCAAGGTACAAGTGATGGCTAGCAACAAGATGATGGACGTGCCGAAGGACAACTTTGTAGAGAACCATCACTTTCTTCGCAAAGGGGACTACATCAACTGTATCGGTCATCCATCAGTATCGAACACTGGAGAGCTCCTGTTGAAATTGACTCGTCCCATCGACATTTTGGCGCCTTGTTTAAACTCAATGGTGGTGCCCCAGCACTTGAGTGACAGAAAAACCATCAATTCAAACCGGATTTTGAACTATTTGGTGAGTCCCACCGCTCGCGAAACCATCTTGGTGAAGAACTTGGTGATCAAGTTGATCCGTCAGTTCTTAACGGCCAAGCAGTTCATGGAGTTCCAAACGCCTTTGCTTAACGGCAATTCCACCGGCGCCAATGCCCGGCCATTTGTCACCAGGTCCAATCATGTGGACACAGAGCTCCAATTGCGAGTGGCTCCTGAGTTATGGCTCAAGAAGTTGGTGATTTCAGGGTTTGAGCGGATCTTTGAGATTGGAAGTAGCTTCCGAAACGAAGGTATTGATGCCACCCATAACCTGGAGTTCACTACCTGTGAGTTTTATCAGAGTTTTACCGATTTAGACCAGTTGATGGGCATTACCCAGGAATTATTTACATATTTGCATAGTAACTTGGAGGTGGAAGGGAATGCTTTGGGGTTGAACATCCTCCACCAGACGTTGCCTGAGCTCCAGGCCTTGAAAGAGCCGTTCACAAGGATAGAGTTTATTCCCACTCTTGAGGAAAAAACAGGTCTACAGCTACCCACTGAGTTGAACTCATACAACCTTGTACAATACCACCAGCAGTTGGACCTTGAGGTTCCAGAAGTGAGGTCTCCCGCGGTTCTTTTGGACAACTTGGCGGCGGTGTATTTGGAACCAATTTCACACCATTCCACCAAGCCGGTGTTCATATATAATCACCCAGCTGAACTATCACCACTCTCCAAGTCCACCCATATTGCGTATGGCCTGCGGGAGTACGATATATCGTTGCGATTTGAGTTGTTTATCAATGGCAAAGAGTATATTAATGCTTATGAGGAGGAGAACTCACCGATGGATCAGTTAGAAAAGTTCAAGGCACAACAGTCCTCTAAGCTGGACTTCAACGACCAGGAAGCGTTGATACCTGATTGGAACTATATCAAGCTGTTGGAGTTTGGACTCCCACCAACTGGTGGTTGGGGATGTGGAATTGACCGGTTGTCGATGTTGTTCACTAATAGTGAACGCATTGACCAGGTGCTTCCGTTTGGGAACGTGAAGGATGTGTTGAAGAATTGACCCAGGAAAGCCCTTGTATATATGTATATAAAAGAAGCTAATATAGTACTTCTCACAAGTTCCTGCCCCTCAACCTTTTCGCAGCCATATTTTTGGGCATGAATCATTAAGGTTTAATGTCACTCCCACTGAGTGTTCTCTACCTGCTCCAGGTAGAATCTCAGAAGGCGGGCAGAATAATTGGAGGTTTTAAGATTCTAAACACGTCACCACTGTGGATGGAGAATTATATATGGTATTTAATTTTTTAAGGTTCTCGATTGAATTTCCAACAAATGTCTGAATTCACCAAGAACACCAATTTGATATCGTAATAATTGGGACTTGTGACAGTAGAATTTTTTTTCGAACTTGATCCAGTCTTCTTTAGTATGGTCTTCCTTTGGGGGCTCAAAGCACCGCTCAATTGTCCAGAAACCACGGTGAAGCTCAAGTTCCCAGCAAGATATTTTTCTTAGATAGTGAGAAACGGATTTCCGACTGTCTAGGTGATTGTAACCTTGAAAGAACTTGGAAATAACCCGAATAAAATTGTGAACAAGTTCTTTCACACTGGGAATGGCCCGTTCTTGACTATTGTGCAAAAAACCTTGAAATTGAGGATCGCTTTCGAGGAAATCTTGAAACTTTTTTCCCATTCTTTGCAATACAATCTTATGGCTCAACCAGTGAGAATTGTCTTCTCTTTGATGAAGAAGGAAAATAGATGGTGGTATTCCACGACTGCCAAGTCTTTGACAGATGACAACTGATGGTACATGTTTGCCATGTGGGACAGGAGTTCCGACATTATATTTCAAGTGGTAGTTGGATTCAACAGTGCAAGCTGCGGATGAGGAACTGTTTGAAGGCTGGAAAAAGTTGTTGTTTCTGCTCAGACTGGTATTTTCTTGGTAACTTGAAGTTGTTGGCGTTTGTACGGGGAGCACACCCAAATTGTCCTGAGCAGATAAAGAATTGAATGAATGATCCTGAGAAAAACTTGGAACACTTGGGTCTGAGATAGTACAATCACAATTCATGGAGTCTCTAGAGACTGCAACAGGGCTATCACAAACCATGTTGTTTGTGGAGGCTGACATAAAGCAAGTAAATGTGCGAGGACAAAATGTTTGCAGCTATTACAAACGCACCAGAGTGCGGCTGGCTCGATTGGGAAATGGGTCAGAACTTCAAGAGCGGGAACAGTTCATCAGAAATATTTTAAGACATTCAGGAAGGACTGTGTAAAGATGTGAATTTCTGGCCAAAGACATGAATTTCTGTGCTACCACCCCGAGTAGGGTACCGGTCTAAAATTATACATTATGGCCGTGAGTGGTCCTTGGCGTTCATAAAATGTACTTTCTATCTTCTATTTCTTTTATTAAAAAATTGCAGATCGAGCTCCAAGCCAGTCAAAGATTATATCCATATCAACCCCTACTGGAGTTCAAGAGAAGTTCTTGTCGGAGGGTTATGTCCTCACCTTTGTCATTGAAGCACTGGTAACTGCCTTATATTTGCAGCCATGACTCAGCATACACAAACTTAATGACAAAGGGGGAGAACCCTACAGTCTAGACACTAACAATACACCTATCTCACAAGGCCCCCCCATTTTCAAGCGGTGTCAATCCCCTCGTCAATGTGGCCCAATGGCAGCAGATCCCAACACCGCACTCATTGTTTGAAATTTTCGTCGTCCTCAAGTCGCATCGAATCAACACACTCCACAAAGAAACCCGATGTCTGACACGTCGTACTTCGATACCCGTGAAGAGGTGGACGGTGTGCGTGTGACATGGAACTCTCTACCCCGGACCAAGCTCCAGCACGAGCGCAACGTCACCCCCATGGCCGCCATGTATACTCCCTTGAACAATAAACATGGAGATCCCATACCTTCTTCTCACCAAATCGTCAATTGTCGACAATGCCAGAGCTTCATTCACCCGTACGTGAACCGCAACGAAGAGACGTGGGTGTGCACGTACTGTGGCTTCAGCAACCGGCTCGTGGTGGACGAGGCCGGCAATTTCCCGGTGGGATTGGCTGCTAGCACGGTGGAGTATCATACCAGTAAGTTCAATAACCTCCCGCCCATCTTCATCTACGTGGTGGACACGTGCTTCGAGACCGAGGACCGGGACGCGTATGAATCGTTGAAACAGAGCTTGGTGGTGTCGTTGAGCCTCTTGCCGGAAAACTCGTTGGTAGGATTGGTTTCATTTGGAAAGAACGTCGCCATTCATAACCTCTCATCGGCCAATGCCATGTGTCACAGCTTCAATGGGGCCAAGGAATATACGCTTGAGCAGTTCCGCCAGTCGTTGGGCCTTTTGGATACGTCGTTGAAGAGAAACCACCATCCGGATGAGTTGTTTGGTAGTATTGGCAAGCAGTTTCTCCAGCCGGTAAATTTGGTGGAGTATCAGCTCACGAATGTGATTGAAACATTGACCACAAACACGTTCCCGCGAGCAGAGCGGAAAGAGAGACCATACCGGGCCACCGGCTGTGCTATTAACGTGGCGAGTTTGTTGTTGACGTCGTTATTGGGCACGTATGGCTCCAACGGTGGCCAGCTATTGTGCTTTATTGGAGGAGCTTGTACGTACGGACCGGGAGCGATCGTGGGCAACCAGCTCAAGGAGCCGTTGAGGTCCCACCACGATATAGAGACGTCTCGTCAGTCGACGTTGGCCAAAAACATGAAGTTGCCCCAACAGTCCACCAATTTCACCGTCGATTATTCGTTGGTGTTGAAGGCTAAAACCTTCTATAAAACCATCACTCAATATTTGGTGAAGTTGGGAGTGAGCTGTAGCTATTTCATCGGCAGCTACGACCAGGTAGGTTTGTACGAGATGGACGAGGTGTGCCGAAAGACAGGAGGAGTGGTGATCATGCTGGACTCCTTCAATACCTCTATATTCAAGCAGAGTTTCTTGAAATTTTTCCGAAAAGAGCCCGACTCCGAGTACTTGGAGTTTGGGTTGAATGCTACGTTGGAGGTGAAGGTGGAGCTTGACCTCAAGGTTGAAGGGTTAATTGGCAACGCTGTGGGTTTGCCGTTGAACCAGAAGAATGGGGCATTAGTGTCACAGAAGCCTATCAAAGGTGAGGGTAACACCAACTGCTGGAAGTTGTGCCATGTCGACCCCCAGTCCACCTTTGCCATTTTCTTTGAGAAGTTGGACACCCGTTACAACGCCAACTCAACCACAATCCAGTTCATCACCCATTATCAGCATCTGTCAGGAGAGTTCATTATTCGCGTTACTACGTTTCCCATTGCAATTATCCACGATAGTGATGCTGGCCGCTTGGAGTTGGGTTTCGACCAGTACGCGGCAGCTGCCTGCTTGGCCCGAGACTATACGTATCGGTTGGAGACCGAGAACGTTAGTCATGCGGATGTGGTAAAGGATATTGATAAAATCTCGGTCGATTTTTGTACGCGGTTTGCCCAGTATCACAAGGGAACCGTTTCATCATTTATGCTTTCCAACAGGTACTCATTCTTGCCGCATGTGGTGTACCACTTACGAAGGTCACCGTTCATCAACGTGTTTAACAATTCCCCCGACGAAACCAGTTTCATCCGCCATGTGTTGATGCATGAAGATACTAACAATATATTGATAATGGTACAGCCCACATTATTATCGTATGATATCGACACATTTGGATCGGTGGATGAGAATGGTGTGGCTAACACTGATCCCCAGCCGGTACTCTTGGACTCGATGTCGTTGAGCAAATCCAAGATCCTTCTTCTCGATACTTTTTTCCACATCTTGATATACCATGGTGGGCAGGTGGCCGAGTGGAGAAAATTAGGCTACCACAACCAAGAGGGCTACGAACACTTTAAGGAGTTTTTGGAAGCCCCCAAGAAAGAGGCAATGGAAATCTTGATGGACCGGTTCCCGTTGCCACGGTTCATTGACTGTGACGAAGGAGGGTCGCAGGCCCGGTTCTTGATGGCCAAGTTGAACCCCAGCTCCAGCTACTCTTCGAATCCCAACATCTTTTATGGAAACCAGCTAGACGTGTTGACCGACGACTTATCGATGCAGCTGTTTATGGATCATATTCAACGAATTGTCACCGCCAAGTAATTGGTGGAAACCCTTTATAAGCCTATAGAATAATCAAAAGAAAATTACCCCAGACTTGGTGATTTTACGCGATGCTGCAAAGTGAGAAATCTGTCAAGAATCCAGCGACAGCATACTGGTTGAGGCACAAACTTAAATGAAACGAGCCAACCGTGAGCTGTACGACATCGCCACCCCCCCTTTATCACCCGAACCACTAGAAGAATGCCCTCAGGCATACAAGAAGGGGTGTTTTCCTCAAACAAAACGCGTGCCAGAAGCGGTAATTCCAACTAGCAGAGCCAAATGTTTAACTTCTGAAATATCTTCGCTCTTGAACAATTTGGTACATCGCGAAGAGTTTATGACTGATGACCCGTGTGTTGAACTATTGGTGTTTCTTGATGCACAGGGGAACCAATATATGGACGACTTGGTCAGTACCTGGAGCCACCTAGACACACGAATACGAGTGATTCTCGTGACTCCCAACTTGCTGGCCCTCGAACAGGTACAGGTGACCGTCACAAATAATATCCAATGTGTGCAGTTGTCGAAACACTTCAAGGTTCTCGATCCGTTAGGAGGTGGAGACTATCCTCTCAACTACTTGACAATTGTGTGCAATAACTTGACGAGAGTACAGGTTCCAATCCGGTTGAACACACACAATCCATTCGAGCGGTTTGGTGTCGGGCTAAAAGAGCTCCCTTCGTTTCTTCATGACGTGCTTCCGCATATATTATAGGTAATGTACATACATACTACTGTAATAGAGCGATTTTTTCTTGCTCCAACTCCTTGTACCGATTTCTCTGGTTTTCGATTTCGTGCTTGATTCGGTAGATCTGGGCGTCTAACCGGGCCAACTCATCCTGTTCGTCTTGCCGGCAAAACTCCTGGTCCTTCTTGTCTTCATCAGATATCTTTTGTGGTAAGTAGTTTGCCGGTTTGCGGGTCAAGATCTCAAATGTCGACTCGGTCGGCTCCTGGAACACCAACTCGTCATATAGCACCGAGTTGATTTCTCCGTTTTCTTTGGGGGGGATTTTGGGATTGAAAGGGTGTAACTTTAATCCGTGGAAAATTTGAAAGTTCTTCTCATTGATGCCCAACTCGCTGCCAGTGTGGAAATGGATCTTGATGATGATCTCAAACTCTCCCCAGCCAGTCTCGGTGACCTGGTAGGGCGGGTGCTCGATTGACCGCACAGGATTGTCATAGGTTTCATGTAGTTTGAAGGTGACTCGCTTGATCAAAGGTGTGAGGTCTATGTCATCTAACACTGGTTTTAAGAACACGGTCCACTCGTGCGTGTGGTCAGGGGGCGTGAGGGCAGTTCTCTTTTCATCCGCCAACTTGACGGCATTGTTGCCGTACAAGATGGGCACCGATATCGATACATTCTTTATTCTTCTGTTTTGGCTCATGGTGTTGAAGTGAAAACAATGTCGCGCGCTCAACACAAAGCCATGGACACAAGCGTACGAAATTACCTAGAAAAAAAGTTGAGGTAGGCAAACAGAGTTGGGGAATTAACCTATACAAGCAGTGGTGACATAGTACATAGAAATGGTGTTCATACTGCGCAAAAACCAATTTTATTGAAATGTTGCAAAATGGACTCGTACTAGCAAATTAGCGACTGGTCGAAACTATCATAAATATAGGAATATTCATATTGTCTGGAAATGTCAATTACTACCTTATTCAAAGACACGTTTACTAAGACTATTACTCAGTCAGTGCATCATGGATCTTCATAGGGACACATGGCGTGGCCAACTGGTTCCCCTGTAATTCATATCCGAAGGAGGATAAGGGTGCAGATTAATGGGAAAATGGCATCATCAGAGGGTTTGGGAAACCAACTTCTTGGGAGCTGTCAAGCGCTTGAGAAGTGTTCTCCTAATATTGGACCTCAGCACCAAGTCGGTCAAAATCTTCGCTTGCTGGAAAAATCTCCAATATGGTATTTGCTTGCAACAAAGCTGTTCTTAATCACGGCACTAAGCAAGTTGCCCTCAAGAGAAAGGAAAATGGTGTACACCAGATACCTTTCCACCCCAGTGCCGCTGGCACAGATATCACCACGGAAGGAAAAGGCAAGTTTACCCTAATTTCAACAGAAGAAAGTGCTGCTTAAATCGGGGAACTTGTTGACAAGTTGACTTTGGAAGACTCAGGTAAGTTTTGGTCGTACAAAGGATCTAAGATTGATTACTAGATTAGAAATTGTATCTAGAGACAGATTAGTGGATAATAAATATTCTACCAACATTGAACATTATGGGTTAGTTGTCCAGTAATTAATTGTAGTGCTGAAGAAACTGTCGCAACCATTAGCTGCAAATTTCCAATCACGTCAAAATGGGGGAGTTAATCCCGGCGATAGTGCTGAATAATAGAGGAAAAAGACGTGTCCAAACCCAATTCTCAATAGTTAAGGGAGTTACGACGGAGGTAAGATTATGCTATTGAACACGGCACCAAGCCATAGATGGTGCTTCCAAAACCTAAGTATTTAAACTCACGAAATTTCCCAGCAAAAATGATATCCATAAACTTTCATAATGTCTACTTATCTTATCACTGGTGCCAACCGTGGAATTGGCTTGGCTCTCTTTAAACAAGTGGCTGCTAAATCAGAAAACACTGTTATTGTTACAGTCAGAGACGAAACTAAGGCCGAACAAATCAAAAAGTTGGGCTACAACAATGTCCACGTGATTGTTATCGACATGGTAGACTCACCAGAAGCGTTCAAGGCTGCATTCAAGAACCTTCCAGAATTGGCCCCCAATGGTTTCGATGTCGTGATCCACAACGCTGGTGTTTCCTCCAAAGTAACTTTGGGTAAGCTTGTGGACCACGAATTCAGTGAGTTCCAGAGAGTTTGGGAAGTTAACTTCTTGGGGGCTGTCAAGTTCTTTAGAAGTATTATTCCAACGTTGGATCTTCACACCAAGCCCGTTAAAGCGCTCGCTATTTCTTCCTTAGCCGGTACTATCTCCCAGATGATATTTGCTGGCAACAGTTACGGTGCTAGTAAGGCGGCTCTTAACTACCTCATAAAGGAGCTTTCCCTTGAGAGAAAGGAAAGAGGTGATATCTTCGTACCCATAAACCCTGGAGTGGTTGAAACAGATATGACTGCAGATATGACTGCTGAAATAAAGGAAGCATATGGTTTTATTACGGCGGAAGAATGTGCTGCTAAGCTCTGGGAACTTGCCGACAAGTTGACATTGGAAGACTCAGGTAAGTTCTTGTCGTACGATGGATCTGAGCTTGCCTATTAGATTAGAAAAATAATTAGAAAAGAGATATAATTAGAATAGAGATATATTTATAGACATACGAATATATGGTTTAGAATATAGTAGGTACATTACTTGTCTAGTATTTACTAGTTAGATGCTACTCGAAAAAATATAACTGTCGTAATGAGGCTTGCTCACACACATCACTTAGCCATCTACAGCCAATCACGTGAATAGCTTCATTAGTAAGAAGTTAGAGGGAGTTAATCCCGGTGATACGGTGCAGAAAAACGCAGAAAAACGACGTGTCCAAACCCATATATCCATAGTTAAAGGAGTTACACCGGAGATAAACCTACCGCATTGGGCAATGGCTGCACTCAAACGATACACCGTATTTGCAAAACCCAAGTATTTAAACTCACGAAATTCCCCAGCAAAAATGATATCCATAAACTTTAATTATGTCTACTTATCTTATCACTGGTGTCAACCGTGGAATTGGCTTGGCTCTCTTTAAACAAGTGGCTGCTAAATCAGAAAACACTGTTATTGTTACAGTCAGAGACGAAACTAAGGCCGAACAAATCAAAAAGTTGGGCTACAAGAACGTCCATGTGATTGTCATTGACATGATAGCGTCTTTAGATGAGTTCGAAGCTGCATTCAAGAACCTTCCAGAATTGGCCCCCAATGGTTTCGACGTGGTGATCCACAATGCTGGTGTATGTTCCGAAGGTTCAATGAGCGCATTTGCTGACCACAAATTCACCGAATTCCAAAGAACTTGGGAAATCAACTTCTTGGGATCCGTCAAGTTCTTTAGAAGTGTCCTTCCAACTTTGGATCTTAACACTAAGCCGGCAAAAGTGGTTGCAATTTCAACCGTCGCCAGTACTATCTCCCAGATGGTATATGCTTCTAACAGTTACGGAGCTAGTAAGGCAGCTCTCAACTATATTACCAAGGAGATTGCCCTCGAGAGAAAGGAAAGAGGTGATATTGTTGTACCTATCCACCCTGGAGTAGTTGCAACCGATATGACTGCCGAACTTGCAAAATATATGACTGCTGAAGATGTAGCCAAGTATAACTTTATTTCAGCCGAAGGAAGTGCTGCTAAAATCTGGGAACTCGTTGACAAGTTGACATTGGAAGACTCAGGCAAGTTCTGGTCGTACGATGGATCTGAGATTCCTTATTAGATTAGAAATATCATTAGACCAGAGATAGACTAGTAGATAATATATATCGTCTGAATACGGTGGGCACATTGTCCAGTACTTTCTAGTAGCATTCTAACGAGAAGAATAAATGGAACTGTTGTAGTTATAAGATAAGCTTATGTATGAATGTCCACACATCAAAACTTCATTAGTCAGTATTCATGGGGAGTTAATCCCGGCGATAGTGCTGAATAATAGAGGAAAATTACGTGTCCAAACCCAGTTCTCAATAGTTAAGGGAGTTAAAAACGGAGGTAAAGATTACGCTAAGATGACGCTATTAATCATGGCCACCAAGCCATAGATGGTGTTCGCAAAACCCAAGTATTTAAACTCACGAAATTACCCAGCAAAAATGATATCCATAAACTTTCATAATGTCTACTTATCTTATCACTGGTGCCAACCGTGGAATTGGCTTGGCTCTCTTTAAACAAGTGGCTGCTAAATCAGAAAACACTGTTATTGTTACAGTCAGAGACGAAACTAAGGCCGAACAAATCAAAAAGTTGGGCTACAAGAACGTCCATGTGATTGTCATCGACATTGGGGACACTTTAGAGGCATTTGAAGCTGCATTCAAAAGTCTTCCAGAATTGGCCCCCAATGGTTTCGATGCGGTAATCCACAATGCTGGTGTACTTTCCGAAGGCACAATGAGTAAGTTTGGGGACCATAAACTCAGTGAATTTCAGAGGGTTTGGGACATCAACTTCTTGGGAGCCGTCAAGTTCTTGAGAAGTATTCTCCCAATCTTGGACCTTAACAATAAGCCAGTCAAAGTACTTACTGTTTCTTCCTCTGGCGGAACTATTTCGGAGATGGTATTTGCTTGCAACAGTTACGGTGCTAGTAAGGCAGCTCTCAACTATATTACCAAGGAAATTGCCCTCGAGAGAAAGGAAAGAGGTGATATCTTCGTACCTATCCACCCTGGAGTCGTTGATACAGATATGACTACTGAATTAAAAGGCAAGTATCACCTTATTTCAGCCGAAGAAAGTGCTGCTAAAGTCTGGGAACTCGTTGACAAGTTGACATTGGAAGACTCAGGCAAGTTCTGGTCGTACGATGGATCTGAGCTTCCTTATTAAATTAGAAATATCATTAGGCTGGAGATAGAGTAGTTGATGATAAATATATATATATATGGTCTACCGGCATTGTATACAATGGGAAATTCACTGTCTATGCTTATGAATCTACTGGGGAACCAAAGGTTTCCAGTCGGACAAGGACTTAACGTCCCTTGGAGGAGGAGGGGGAGGAGATGTGGCCTTGTTCTCGTTGTCTGCAACTGTATGGATTTTGGTGCCTGACAAGGACGAGGGCTTGGATGGCTTAACAGGAAAAGTGGTTCCGGAGGTCGCATTTGTGACTTGGTCTGTCGCTGTGGGTGTAGCAATAGGTGAAACCTTAGGAGTAGCAGAATTAGACCTGCTAGGAACCAAGGGAGTTGACGAGAAACCAATCGGAATGGCTGTTTTTCTAGCAGGAGGTGGTGTAGGCACTGGCGAAGGGGCCACTTTTGAGCTTCCAGCACTTCCTGAAACATCTGTGAGTTGGATGTCTGTAGGTATAGGGGGGAGCCTTCTAGGTAAGGCAGAAGTATTGATCAGCCCGGTTCTATCCAGTTCTGTTGTTCTTCTACTACTTGGTGGAGGAGGCACTCTTCTTGATACAGAGCTGTTAACAGTCGGAGGCCTTCGAGGAGTAGGTGGAGGTGAATCAAAATCATCCAATAGGTTCAACTCGCTTAACGTATCGGACATGAAATTCGGGTTGTAAGAAGTATCAGAACCATTGGGCTCAGACAATGAGTCATCAGATGAGCCGGGATGTTCACTTTTATAAGCCTCATAGATCTGCTTCGTTAAATTCAATTTCTTAGCTTCATCAATGAACTTGACACTACTTTTAAAGGTGGCATAAACAGGCTTATGGTCGCTGATTTCGATGTTCATCAATGAATTATAGTTCAACTGAGACAAAGGTGGCGCATCTCTGTGACTTCTTGTTAAAATTCTGTCTGTCCACGAAGGCACTCTCTGCTTCTCGGAGGTATCGTAATTGGAGGTTCCTTTATCGAACTTGTAGGTGGGATTAAAGGTGATAGGTGCTTCCGTGAATCCTTTGAATGCTCCACTGCTAGAGTTCATTTCGTTTATCAACTGATCGTTGTCCAATAATTCATCATATTGTCCTTGTGCAACTCGTTCTCTGACGTGCTCATTCGTCAAATTGATTCTGAAGTTCAAATCCCCGAACCAAATAATATGGTCATGGTCAATAATGTTCATATTTCTGACAAAAGTCAAACCAGACATGATAGTTGAATAGTCGTTGTGTCTTTCGTAGATAGCATTCACTCCTGCTGCCAAATGGGAAGTGATGAATGAGAACGAAGTAGCACCAAAATCGAATCTCACGGCACAAGCTCCCTTGTTGGCAGTCATACCTCCCAAACCAGTCTTCTTAGAGGATCCAGAAACATGGGTTACATTTTGAACTTGGCTTTTTTTCACAAAAAGGAGGATAGTCATAGAGGCAATAGACTCTGTTCTCAATAACAAGTACTGTTCGTTTTGGGAGTTCAATTGCTCTTCGATTAATTGTGCCCATTTAGTGGGGCGTGAAGTATCCGCATTCAAGATAGACCCAGCATTCAATTCGATCAACTCCTGGATTCCAATAGCATAAATATCTGGAATAGGAAGACCAGCATTCTCGGTTGGAAATAACCAGGATGTTAAATCGAATCTAGGATTGGGTAACGTAGCATTGACGTTAAGAGTTCCCGTGAAGATCATAATGTTCTTGTAGCTGGTGAAAGTTTGCTCTTTGAGCTTCAACTTTTCTTGGACATAATCGTTCACAGGATCATAAATCATGACAGGCATAGAGTTCTTTGAATCGTATCCCAACAAAAGGTCCATGGTGGATTGTTTTTTGCTGTCCACAAAAGTGTTTTGGTACATTCTGGAAACTGATTTGGTGACATCTGACAATGCTCCAGCAAAGTTCATTTTTCCTGATCTCGAGAATGACGACTTTAAGGCATTAGTACCAGTATATATCTGAGAAATTGCATCACCGTTATCAGCCCAAAGAGAGTTGTACTTCGATAGAATATCCGAGTTTTCGTATCTTTCCCTAGAGCTTCCAGACGATTCATTGTTCATAATATGTTCCAAGACATTCTGGCAAATCACTTGCTCTATCAAATTAGTCCTATCCAAGCAGTCCAAACAATTAATCCTGAACACCCCGTCTTGTCTAGTTATAGTTTCGCCTTGTTCAGCATCATAGGAAAACCAACCAAACTGTTCTAAAGAGTTGTTTAACATGGGCAAGATCTTGGAGGCACCTCCAAATCCTCCACTTTGCTTTGTTTCGTGGTGGAAGTCAAACTCGGTGTAAGACAATTCGTCCCTTCTATCGGATTGGGTGTACAATTGCTTGTATCTGTTCAGAATAGCTATTTCTGGAGGCTTTGACTTGGATAACAAGTTAACAATATGACACACTCCGTACTTGGAGCACACGTTTTCAAAGTGGGCATTGAAGATGGGCTGGGTGGCTTCGGCCGATCTGGTGATGGTGATTTTGGGGTTGATCAAGGTGGAGTCTTGTTCCCAAAACGCAGGAACCGAGCCTCTGATCTGTATGAACGAAGAAATGGAGCTTCGTGACAAGTGGTTGTAGATAAACTCAGTTTCCACAAAGTTGGCCACATTCCCGTCATCGTCGATACCTCTGGCGTTGAATCGGGTGCCGGCTCGCTTCCAAGACTGTTTAGAGATGATGGTGATGGAGTCACCTCGAGAGTTGAGCTTGACGGTCTTTGCAAAACCACGAATCACCGTCGTCAAGAACTTGTTCTCATCCAAAATAGCCTGGATGTTGGGGTCCAAAGTGCTCCTATACTTGATTAGGCCTTCCATCATGAACTTGTTCCACATGTATTCCTCCAGATAATGCAGTAGATTCATCTTGAAGTCGGCACTTCTGTGTGGACGGGTCTTGGACAAGCTGTCACGGTTGATACCTCTGTTTTGGAGTAGCGACGTCAAGTCAAAGTCGTTAGAGTAGTAGAAAGAACCGTTCGAAAGCAACTTCTTCAACTCAGTACAAGGATGAGGCTCTGGGGCGTAACTGCCACTATAGTCGTCCTCTACTTGGTACCGTCCATCGGTGTCGGCCATGCCGTTGGCGTTGTTGGAAATGGGCATCCCATTGGAGTCTAAAGTAGCAAAATCCCAGGTGTCTTTGGTCAACGAAATAAAGTCCACCGAATAGATTTTGTCAACCGACTCGTAGTCCACGGGGTGGGCCACCTCGGGGATGGCGCCGGTTATAACAGCGATGAATACTTGGTTATCGACATTTATAAACCCTAAACACCCTGACACCTCTCTCTTAATCAAAGGCCTAAATCCATTGCCTTTAAGTTGAGAGTTGTCCATGAATTCCATGGCCACCACCAGCTCGTGGGCCCGCTTGAACTGCACCTGATGAAACAGCAAGCTGCAAGTTTCCGAGTACAACACAATGGTACGAGGCGATTCCTTGTACAATACTTTCATTGAGTGTTATGGTATATTCGGCAGTGAATGATATTTTAATGTGGCAGGCTGCCGCGAAGTTTCCTGGGGGCAGTTGCAACGCGGCAGGAGATATATGCGGAGAGGAAGAGGATATTGGCCAAAGTAGGGGGAAAAGCATGAAATGGATCCTGAAGGATGTTAGATAAATGCTATCTGTTTGTTTTTGTTGTCAGTGTTCTATAGGTCAAGTTCTCTTGACTTTTTACCTAGGCCAAACTGGATGTTACACGACCGCGTTCCCTCCCGTTGGATCAAAGAGCGCGGACGCTTTTTTTTGCAACTAACCACAAACACACCCGTTTTGTTATCTGAAAGAACCCTGATTATTTACACCGTATAGAGATGTCTACCGATAATATCGTCCAGATCAAGAATGTCGACTACTATGGCACCGAAGAGGAGCTTACCGCTTTTTTAAGCGAGTTTAAATTGTAAGTTCTACCCGATTCACAAATTGTGATGTGTAACCCAATCTAACGAGTATTTTCCTTACAGAAAAAAGGTGATTATTCTAAACTACACCGTTGCTTATCGTACCGATAAGAGACGGCCCTTGGGAGTCGCCATTGTCGAGTTTGTCGATGCCGACGAGGCTAAGAAAGCAGTTAAATTGATTCATGGAATCAAATTTAGAGGCCGTACTATCTCGGCCAAGTTACATGTTCCATTTGTCCCCAAGCCACGGAGACGGATGACTGTCAAGAAGGACGGAGAACAAAAGGAAGAAGAGAAGTCTGTCGAAGTTGATCAAGCTGACGACCGTTTGACTCAAACTTCCCGGGAACCCACCTATGGACCACCAGAGGTGAGTACTGATACGGTCTATATTGTCAAGATCAAAGCTGACTCGACCGATAACCAGATTAGAGAGTTTTTCCAGGACTACTCTCCCCAGGAGGTATTTGTGTTCACCGAACGGGCCAAAAAAAGAGGTTTATTTTCCAGAAACCACAAGAGTGCGTTGGTTAGTTTGAAGACCGAGAAGTTGTTGGAAGAGGTCATTGGGTCCTTGAAGGGCAAGGCATTAAATGGGAAGAAAGTTGAGTTGAAGGCAGCGTTCATGCCCAAGGTTAGAAAGGTCAAGGCGGCAGACCAGAAGCGAAAGGAGGCATTGGCCGAGAAGCTGGTCGAGGGTGAAGAGCCAGAGCCAGAAGCGCCAGAAGAATCCTTGGAAGTTCCAGCCGGTGGGAGCGTAAGCGTTGGAACCAGGGAAGTTGAAGGAGAGCAAGGGGTGTCTTCAGGCACCACTGTGGTTGAGACCTCAGCGACCATCACTGAGGCCACTGCCGTTGAGTCTGATGAGACCGTTTCTGGTGAAGGTTGTGGTACTAGCGTTGGTCCCGTTGGTGCTAGCGTGGGCGAAGCAACGGTTGCAACCACCACCTTCACCGCCACCGCCTAGTCTTAGTATTAGTATGTATTCAACAGATAACGTCACCCATAAAAAAACTATTTATTCATTATATTTATACAAATTGAATTGATCAATAAATAATTTAATCTTGAGTCTTTTGAGAACCACGTAACAAACCGGTTCTTCTGGCAGCAATCAAACCAGCCTTTTGACCTGGAACAGCACCTCTAGAAATAGTAGAAGCCTTACCAATATGTTGATGGTTACCACCACCGTGAGGGTGATCAACTGGGTTCATGGCCACACCTCTGGTCTTTGGCCACGAGTTTCTCTTGACCTTGTATTTGTGGAAAGCTCTACCAGCCTTCAACAATGGCTTGTCGATTCTTCCTCCTCCAGCAACAACACCAATAACACCTCTGGCATCGGAGTTCAACACCTTTTTAGCACCAGATGGTAACTTGACTCTGGTCTTACCTTCATCTGCATTGTGTCCGATAATGATAACGTAGTTACCAGAAGTTCTACCTAAAGCACCTCTGTCTCCAACCTTTTCTTCGACATTAGAAACAATGGTACCTTCGGGCATAGAACCTAAAGGTAAAATGTTACCAACATTTAAAGAGGCCTTCTTACCGGCGTAGATAAATTGTCCAGTGTAGACACCTTCGTTGGCAATGAAGGTTTCTTCTCTCAACTTGTACTTGTAAGGATCTCTGAAGGCCACCTTAGCTAATGGAGCACCTCTACCGGGGTCGTGGATGATTTGCTTGACGACACCACGAATGTATCCGTGACGTTCAGCATAGTCCAAGGTTCTCAATTTAGCGGCACCTTTTCTACCCTTGGTGTGGGCGGTAAAGATCGAACCAGCACCTTTTCTTTGATTACGAATAACTCTACCCATGATGTGTTACTGTTCCAATGCAAAAGCTCGTTTGAAAAATTTTGCGGTAGTTTTTTCAGTGCGAAGTGGGATGGTGACACAAACAGAAACGGCAGTGGTACGGAAGCGCGACAGGGACACGACACCAGGGCTGAAGCAGTCACAGGTGCGCACGCTCGGGGCCTTAGGGCTTAATCTTCAATCCCACAGCTGATTGTATATGTACAACTAAAATACAAATTATATATACACCGTGCCGAGGTGAGCCATCGGCTCTGTTCTCTCTCCAACACACATAACCGCTGGCTACAGATGTGGTTCTGGCCAGGTAATCGAATGACTGAACCGTTGCAATGTAAACACATACACTTAATAAGACTATCGGCAATAATGGCACCATCATACAGATTCTTCGGAAGCTGGCTCGGGCAAAGCATCGACGTCGGTGGCTTCACTGGCAGCATCCCCGTTGATGGCAGCAGCTTCGGGTACTACACTTTCTTCACTACCTTCGCTGGCTTCAGTGGGGATTCTGGCATCGACAGCCACATCAACAATGATATTTCTGCCATTGACTTCCTTGCCGTTAAACTCCTCGATAGCCTTCACTTGCGTGTCGTGGTCAGCAAACTTCACAAACGCAATTCCCTTGTTAAAAATACTTCTACCCTTGGCCTTCTGAATTTTGTAAATGTGGGCAGGGACTTTTCTGGTTGGAACGTGGATCCATTTGGGTGAGAGGTCCTTGAACAACGTGGTCAAGGTTTTGTAATTCACCTTATAGTCCAAGTTAGTGATGAAGATGGTATCGTCTGAAGCTTTTCCTTGAGGAGCGGTTTTCGGTTCTCTTGGTTCTGTAGGCTTTGATTCAACTTTCTGAACACCTTCAGGAGCATCACTAGCTTCAGAGGCGTTTTCGGATGCATCGGATTTCTTCAATTGGGCCTTGACAAGCTTCTTGGCCTTTTTGGCAGCAGCCTGTTCGGCCTTTTTGGCCTTGAATAACTCGTTCTTCTTCTGCTTTTCTTCTTCGGTAGGCTCGGGAACTGCCTTCTTCACATAGATTTTTCTGTTCTTGAACTCCTGGCCGTTATACTTTTCAATGGCTTGTTCGGCGTCGGCGTCGGTTTTGAACTGCACGAAGGCAAACCCCAAATGCTTTTCAACAGTCTTGGTGCCGTACTTTCTGATCTTGCTGGGAATGCTCACTTCTTCAACGGTGAGACCCTCGAAAAATTGCTTTAAATCATCTTCTTCGGCCTTGAAATCGACATTTCCAATGTAGATTCTACCTTCGATGGTGGGCTTGGATTCTTGAATGGTGGACATTTGGCGATGGATGGTGGTTGATCGGTTGACTTAACTATACTGCGAGAGCGGATACTCTTGATTCACACACGTTGAGGGTTCCACGGGCTTGATGTGACGGAGTGTGATATGTGTTTGTTCACTAGGGACCAGTTCTGTTGTGCGAAAAAATTTGGATTCCCGGGTGGTGTGGGCCTTTTATGTGCGAAAAAGTGCGAAGTGGTGAGGTGAGAAATGATGACTTGTGGAGGCTGCAAGGCGGGAGAAGGGTAAGGACTACTGGAGACAGCCACGGTAGTGGGAATGGTGACAATAGAGACATACGAACTCATACGGTACAGCCATGGTGTCTACCAATGGCATGATCTAGGGTTTTCATCGAATTTTCTAGAATTCGCAGATTTTACCTGCTGCTGCTTCTGCTGATGGGCTTTCGTGTATTTTGATGTATTTATGAGATTAATAAATATTTATAGGACCAATGTCGTTTTAAATGGTGGAAACATGCTTGAGGATGCCAGAAGAATTACTTCAACTTGGCAAATAATCTGGGGGCCACACAGTCGTTCAAACAATGTTGTAAGTGAAAGAACTCTTCCACACAATCTTCCTTGTGTTCCTTTTGGGCGTATCCTTCTTCCTCCATTTCCTTTGTGACTCTCTGAACACATTCGTGGAAGTGGTGACCAAATGGCTTACAAGGGGCCGATTCAGCACACTCTTCAGTTAGGGTGACAAATGGATCTTTCAATTCATCTTCATCTTCATCGTCATCGTCTTCATCGTCATCTTCATCTTCATCTTCATCTTCACCTTCACCTTCCTCTTCATCACCAGCTTCTTCAGCATCCTCTTCTGAAGCAGTTTCTTCTTCAGTGGATTCTTCAGCTTCTTCAACGTCTTCGACTTCTTCTTCTTCTTCGGGCTAGAAGGGTTAGTAAACAGCCAGAAAAACAGGGCCATGGCGAACAAAACACACCACACACACTAAAACACATACCTCGTCGGCGTAGGCAACAGGAAGGACGGACTCTATTAAATCTCTCAAGAATGACATGATTGTAAGTACCAGTTGATTTTTTTCTGAGGTTGTTCAGGATTGAAAATGCGAAAAATCAAGCCTGTAATTGGATGAACGCGAACGCTTACCCGGCGCAAAATAATAGTGTTTAGACCGATGATATTAATGTATATACTAATAGTATTAAATTATTCAGAGGCAACAGCAGGAGCTGGGGCTGGAACTGGCACGTCGGAGTTCTTGGCCTTCTTGATTCTCTTGGCTTCAGCCTTGGCTCCCAAGATACCACCACCCCAGTGCTTTCTGTTTTCCTCGTATTTTTCAAGGAAGTTGTTGTTGATGGTAGAAACCAACTTAGCCAACTCAGCTTCATCAGCAGCAGACACTTCGGTCAAAGCAGCAACAGAGGAGGTCTTCTTGTGCACCAAGGTTCCCAATCTAGCCTTACCCTTGACGACGGCGTATGGAACACCCATCTTTCTACACAAAGCTGGCAAGAAGATGACCAATTCAATAGGGTCAACATCGTTGGCAATCAAAACCAACTTGGCCTTCTTGTTTTCCACCAACGAGACAACGTGGTTCAAACCGTACTTGACGTTAAGAGGCTTTGGAGAAGCATCGTTAGCAGATTTACCTTCAGCAATAGCAGCGGCTTCCTTGGTTAATCTTTCCTTCTTTTCGGCCTTGGTTTCTGGTTGGTACTTGTTGAACAACTTGAAGGTTTGGGCAGCGGTGTTCTTGTCCAAGGTGTTAGAGAACTGGGCAATGGCTGGAGGAACCTTCAATCTCAAAGACAAAATCTTCTTTTGTCTTTGCAATCTGACGTATTCAGGCCATTTGACGAATCTCGACAAGTTTCTCTTTGGTTGGATAGCCTGTCCGATTCCGAAGTTCTTTGGGGAGGCTTCAACCAAGGGGTTCTTGGGGGAGGAGGAGACCTTGGCGGACTTGTTAGCCAAAGGGGCTGGGGCGACTTTCTTACCTTTTGGAGCCATTGTAGTTGTTGGAGCAGAAATTTTTCAGTGAGAAATTTTTCTGATGAGGGAGGCGAGCCCTAGGGGTGGGCACGTGACTAAAAAGAAGCAGAGCTGCTCAAAGGGCTTTGTGCCCGGGGCACGCAGAGGGCGTGTCCCGGGGCAGATCCCCCAGTAGCGCGCCCCCAGTGGCGTATTTGTAAAATGTCGCGACGGAAACTGAGAATTCCGCCGGTCTACCGATTGGAGTCGGGTCTTCCAGCGGGAGACCCGCTAAGCTTGGCTGTTTCAGTCGGTCGGTGCTAGAACCCCCCGGGAACCCCCCGGATCTTACCACCCACTACGCCGCAACGCACATCCACTAATTCACGCAAGTCGTGCATCTGATGCCTTTGAACTGATTTCGACTGCCAGCGGGTAGGCACTCAAAAAAAGAAATGGCCCAGAGCAAATTAAAGATAACAAATTGTTTAGATTAAGGTTCCCGCCGTTTTCAGCTAAGGCTTTAAAACAGAGCAAGTGGCCAGCACCTTGGAGGTTGTTCCTGGAAGTTTGGCTTTAAATCTAGCCCTCCCATTTAGCCCTCCCATATGGCGGTCCCATCTGGCCTCCCATCTGGCGATCCCATCTGGCCGCCCGCGGCCCATACGGAACCACTGCCTCAGGGTGCACAATAAGTCGCGTTACGTGGATTCACTATGTTACTCTATAAAATAAGTGTCGTGTAGATCATTAGGTCGTTATGTCATTAAGCGGCGGTGGCCGAGCACTCGAGCCACCGGGTATTGCTCCATCCCTTGATGGTGTATTGACAGTGTGAAACTCCCGAGTTGGGGTTGGTTCCGTTCACCAAGGGCTTGCAAGTCTTGAGGATTCCAGTGGGTTTCAAGCTGGGTTTGTTGTCGTGGGACCACGGTAAAATGTCGCCATGCTTCATGGTCAAACTATTTCCCGACGATTTCTGGCCACCCACAAACACGTAGTTGCCGTGGTCGATTGATGGTGTGGGGGTGGTGTCGGATCGAGGAGCCAAGATGATGCTCTGCCATAACTTATCTCTGCTACGGGCCGAGAGCTTGTGCATATTGTGCTGGGCATGGAACTGGGTCTGATCGGGACGGATGGGGTCGTGGTTGGAGTGAGGCAACAACCCAGTAGAGCGACACTGGAAGTCGATGGCGTAGAGTTTCAAGAAGCTGGAGTTGATGCGATCGTCGCGGTTTCGAAAGTTGTTGGAGCTGCGACAGCCAGGCCACAACGAGTCGGTGGGGGTGGCGGTGGTTGTCTTGAATGTCTGGAGTTCGACTGATGGGAGGGCTTCATGGAACCGCGTGGGCTCGCCATTCAAAAAGTCTCTGATTTCAATTGACTTGTTCGCAACAGGCTTTGGGGTTGGCGCTACTGGTAAAGACTTTAAAAGTCGGCTTAAGTTGGTGGGAGATGTGCTTGGAGTGGAGTTGCTGTTGATGGTCAAGAGTTGGATCTGGGACACCCCTTTAGACTTGCGGTTGATATTCATACCGGTGGGAGGGCTGCACAAACTTAAACAGCTATTGAAACTGGAGTTTATCGAGGAGTTTGCCGAAGTGATGCTACTGTTTTCAAAGCTGTCATCAAATACGCTATCATTGTCACTATCTTGGAAGTCATGTTCCAAAGGATGGGAGTCGGCATTTACACTGGATTTTATCGAGTTGATATTGATGTACACGGGGGTAGTGGGTTTTTCCATAAGCGCCAGTCTGGAAAGTGATCTATCACCCGACGATTTGGAGCAGCACCGAATGAGGCTTTGTTTTCTCAATCGACTCAGGCTACTACCCCGGTTGGGAATCGGAATGGGCGACGCCATAGCCATGATATGTGAGAGGAAATGGGAGGTTGGATGTTTTGCTTGAAAAGGGGATTTGTGTTCTTTTATATCAGACGGCGAAAAAAAAGTAAAGCCTATCTTTTTTTGGAACCACTTGAGCGGCACGCCGGAGGGCCCAAAACGGTATTTGCCTAACTCGTCTTCCGGACGCACTGGGTGGATAGGGGATCGCACGGAATAATGTCGGTGCGACATCCCGGAACCCCCAGCGGCTCCATTCTGGCAACACCATGTATACATATAGCTACAGATCTAATAGTGTAATAGAGCTGTCGGTGGGTGCCTCTGTAGTTGTTTGCTTTCCGTTTCTTGTGATGAAAGCCGAAGCACGATGGGATCTGGGTTTTATCCAAGTGTGGTTCCGGAGCTCCTCCGTAGAAGGAGATGCAACTTGTCACGCAATTCACTACCCAATTGACTCCCTCAAAAGTCAAAGTAAATAATTCTTATCCTTGATCATTTTCTTGACTGTCTCAAAAGTCCAACAAAGTAACTCTCATCCTCCATTCTTTTGTCTGTTCATTGGTTTTTCTCACAATGCCATTTTTGTGAATGGTTCTCGGTTTAACAAAAGAATAGTTCTCCGCGTTTTATTATCTAGCAATGATCCTCTTTGGAAACGAACAGTATAAGCAAGAAGACAATCATTTTACTGTCAGTAATGGCTATATCTGTTACTATATGCATGCTTATTTATAACAGCAAAGAGGTTTCAACCAAGAAGGTTTCTCGATGGTGATGAAGAATATAAATATATAATACTCGGGTCGATTGTGGTTTTGAGTTATACATGTCTGTAAATTCAAGGACCATTTAGCTTTTCTGTGCTCTCTCGTATCACAAGCTATAGATACAGATAAGAAACCCATCCCACTTGCAGTTCAAATAGAGGATAAGATCCATGTAGAAGTCATCTAAGTCACCATGCTGTTTCTGTACTATTGACGTGATCCAGATTTTTGAACTGTACGTCACGTACGATGGAAGACGAGGAGCTAACAAGACCTATAGCCAGTCTCAGTTTTATTTGTTCTTCAATGCGTGTGTTTTGTACTCCTGATACACTTTTAGAGGGCATCCCGTCTCTGAAAGTCCGTTTCGTAGTCAAGCTCATCAAGCTCCAACCCATCGCCCGCCATCTCCGTGGCCTCATCAACCCGAAAATACTCGTTCATCTGGGGCTGGGAACCCTTGGTATTATAGAACTCGTTAAACACCCGGTCAATGTCCTCCAACTCCACTCCTTTTGTTTCAGGGTAAAAGATCACCACCACCACGATGGAAATCACACACGACGTCGCTGGAAACAAGTATAACCCCCACTTGACTGAGTCCTGGAGAATGGGGGTCATTTGTCCCACTATATAGTTGGCCAACCAGTTGGTAGCAGTAGCTAACGATACCCCTTTGCTCCGTATGGCCAAAGGGAACACCTCCGGTGGAATCAAGAACCCTATGGGTCCCCAACTGTAGCCAAACGCAGCGTTGTATATGATCACCAACATCGCTACCATGTTGGGAGTATATGACTTGTCAAGCCATATCATCCAAGCAATCATATAAAGACAAATACCCATGGCAATGCCTCCACTCACCAAAATGGGTTTACGGCCCCACTTGTCGACCAAGAACCACGGTGGAATCGTCGACAACAAATATACTATTCCGTTGATGCCAGTCATGAGAAGGGCACTGGAGTTGTTGAAACCGGCCTCTTCAAACACCATAGGTGCGTAGTAAGAGATGATGTTAATCCCGTTGAATTGGGCAAATGCAAACACCGAACACGCAATGAAGACCCGGGTCCGATAGTTCTTAAGCATGTTCTTCCAGCTTCTCTCGAACTTGGGAATCGTGATTCGCTCGTTGAGAATGCTGTTTTTGATGAGGAAAAACTCCTTGACAGGCTTGTTGTGCTCGAGAGACGAGTCATACAAAAGACACAACACGTTGAATCCCTGCTGGTCCATATCCTCATCAAGCAAGTACCGCGGACTCTCGACGATGAAGAATCCGCCAATAAATAAAACAAACGCAATCACCACCTGCACGAAAAGCGGTAACCTCCAACTTAAATTGGCAGCAAAAGTATGGGGGTTCTTTCTGGCATCACCCACATCCTGGATAAAATAGCAGAAGTAGTCCACCCACACACTGAGCGCATATCCGGTGATATTCCCTGTGAACTCACCACAAACTAACTTGCCTCGCTCTTCACTGGGAGAAATCTCACACTGATACGACGGGACCATAGTACTAAGAATCCCCACACCGAACCCGCTCAATACTCGCCCCACAGAGAACACATAGAGATTCACCGCAAAGCTCTGGAGCAGACCACCCACCATGAATATCGAGGTTCCGATCAAAATTGTCTTTTTGCGGCCAAACCTGTCGCTGAGACGAGCAACCATCAAAGATGAAATCATGGCTCCAATCTCTAAAATTGAGATGATAAGCCCAATCTCCAGGGCCGAAGGGTTCTTGAAGTACGCGTTGAATGTGGTGAACGTCAAGATCCCCGAACACACTCCCTGTTCGTATCCAAAAAGTGATACAAAAAGCGACACAAACGCAGATGTGAAGTACACAAGCCGGTTGCCCTTAAACTTCAACTTACGCGTGTACTCCTTGGCATTGAAGTTGATGTGCTCATATGAGTGGCCGAAATCGTCAACATACTCGCTGCCATGGTACCGAACGGGGTCATGGTCGTCATCTGAGTCCTCAGTATGAGCATGGAACTTTTTAGCTTCATCAGCCTCATCAGCCTCATCGGCATCGTCGTCGTCATCGTTGTTGCTGCTTGACCCTCCCCCTGGATGTTCGTGGTGAGACATCTCGAGCTTGAGGTCGCCGAACCGCTTGTTGCTAATGACTTTATTGTGTTTGTTGAGCTTTATTGAAGCTCGCCTTGTCGTGTTTATTTCACCCATAAGCAACAGTTCCTGCTCATGCTCGCGTTGGTGCAATGATTCAATGTCCGTGTCCAAACTGCCTCTGCTGGCCGCGTTCTGGCTTGGCTGGTTTGTGTTTTCAAACGGTTCCATTGTAGCCCTCTCAGTATAAGCGTTCCAATAAGATTTGCTTTTCGCGACTTGGTTTTCATGACGTAATCTCTGGGGTAGCGGTAGCGGAAGGAATATTAGTATTTTGGAAAGTGAAAGGACACTTGAGCTAAGGCGTGTGATATAGGGCAGCTGGATTAACCGGGTGGTCCGTTTTGGGGGAGAAAAATGGAGGCGGAGAAAGAGTCCATGAGGTATTAGGATTTGCTAGAGCAAGTGTGGGTGTATGGGTCAGACTTGTTTGGAATAGGGAATGTAGGAGGTTAGAGCTAGGGGGTGTATGGGTCAGAATTCTGGGTGTACGAATCAGAATGCTGGGTTTACGAATATGGTGTTAATTTTTTTCGATCTTATGTATTTAAAGATAGTATTTACAGTTTAATTCTTCAGTGCACAGTTGTGGACCAATGCCCTAGTATCCCTAGGTTGTACTTACTATATCACCTTTGTACCAACAACACTGCTTTTACACCTGGAAATGTCCTGAAGTAGTCTGTTAGACCCGCACACCCAATATTGTACGTGCTCGTACTCAGCAGTGCGGATTTGCAGCCATCGGTTCAAATTACATCACTTACGTTTCAAGTAGCTTTCCACATAGAACGCCGCAAAGAGTCCCGTCAACGGTGTCAAGTAGCTCACGTTGATGATCAACGGCAACGCCTGGTCCGGCGTCGAAATACAGTTGATCAATGTATTGGTGCTCAAGTCTGTGAAGTACACAAAACTGTGCAACATCGCCAATGAGCCTCCCACCACAAACTGGGTAATCTGCATCGAAGTCAAAACCCGTTTGAACAAGGTAGGGACCTTGATCTTCAAGCAGCTCAACGTGAAGTAGAAATACATCAACGCGTGGATAAACGAGTTGAACACCACAAAAATCCAAATCGGTGGGCTCTGGAACCTGATTCCGGCCCACATGCACATCATGGCACCGGCATGGTGATAACTCTGCAACAACGACAGTTGCCGGCCCTTCAAGAGGATAATGACAGTATCCAACACCTCATAGAACTTGGAGATGTAAAACAACCATCCAAACAACAATAGGTTGTTGACTGGCAAGTTCATGTTGAACAAGCCGTTGTCCACATCGCACACAGACTGGAAAAAGCTCTGGAAGTTGGACTCAAACTTGAAATTATAGTCTTCAAAGTTGACCCGAATCAACTTCTTGGAGCTATTGATGGTGGCCAACATCCCCACAAACGTCCACACAGAGTATACACACAAAAATGCATTATGAATGATCACAAACATTTTGAAAAACCAGGTTTTGGCAATCGCAAACGGTGCCGCCGGCAACCGATTGGACTTTACACTTTTACCATCACCAGCACGAGCAGCCACCCTGATCTGGCGATCCAAGATCTTGGGGTTGATGAAGTGCACAAGTGAGAAGTATACGAGGGCAATGGTCATGGGGGTGGCCACATGCATGGATTTGATGAATATGGAGGTTAAGAAGTCGCTCTCGAAAGGAGATGGGGGGTAAGGTGCTTTGCCGTAGTCGAAGCGGAAAAGCTCACGGCTGGGGAGCCCGAGCTTGACCAAGTCGATTTTGTGGTTAATCTCATTTTTGACGGCCTCCATTTTTGCTCATTCATGAGTGTTGGGAAACCGCTTGGCTTTATACTCTGAATTTTTTAATTTTCAGCCATTGCCGTAATTTGTTGAGCATGGAAGCTTCCTGCACCCAACCAAATTTCTTTCCAAAAAAACTTTAAGTTTTCAGATGTCTGACATATGTAGATGGTGACGATTCAACACTGGTATGCCCCTCATTAGTGGTTTACCTTCATATTCTACCTACAGCCCAAACGGGTGGTTTTAACTTGTAATTGTACCACCTTAAAGACCCAATGTTTCTACGCAATACACAGGCAAGTTTCCCGCATTCGGTTGCAAAATCCGAACATTGCTGTTATGCTGTTTATTGGTATCATACTACTCATGCTTATATATTCATACTTCGTTGGTAATCTTACTAAATGGCTTATTGGGTCTTCTGCGTTCCTTTTTGTCGTTATCGAGTTTCATGTCGTTTAATTTGATGGTCAAGGGATTAAAGTCTGCCGGGGCTTTCTCGACGATAAGGAGGTTCTCTCGTTGAAAGAAACTGCTCAAAAGCTCCACGGATGCTTCAAGCTTTGAAGCATCGTAGAAACTCAACCAAATTTCGAAGGACGCTTGCCGTTCGAAAAACGTCATTTCCATGTTGTGGAACAATTTGATAGGTGTGAGCACTTCCTCTGTGAATCTAGTAGACCGCAACAACGAGTTGAGTTTTGGATGTCTGTTCAACAGAACCTTATAGTTGGTGGGTAAGCTGTTAATCAAATTGGTGACGAAGAACTTCAACTTGATGTCTGAGCCCTTGATGGATATGTCTTTAGACTGGTTGTCACCGAAATCTTCGTAGTTGGGCCAGTCGATGAAACTTTGGTGTTCAATCTCCAAATTATTCATGGTATTCAACTTGAAGTTGTTAATCAATAGCAAGTAGTGGGATTTCAACAACTTGAAGTCAATTGAGGTGTAGATGGAGTTGTTCAAATTTTTGTTCAAGTAGTTGTGGCTTAAATTGTTTTCACAACAGCTCACCATCAAACCGTCAATTTCGTCTTTGACCAACTGGATGTTGGACGAATTCTTGGTAGGACACTTTATCAACACATTATTGAATCTCTTAAATCCGTAATAGTTATTTCCACCGCCAGTGCTGTCTTTCCTCTGGCTCGAGAATTTGATATAGACATTGTACTTTTTCATGATGCTCTGGATAATTAAGCCTCCGTTTCCAATGATGGACTTGTGGAACATTTCCGGAATGTTGAACTTTAATTCAAATGGCAACTCGTTCTCGATTAACTCTATCATATGAATCAAGCCGTTCAAGTTTAGGGAGTTCTCAATCACTATATCGATCAAGAAATTGTACTCATTTAAATCCAAGAACTTCACAACCGACGCATCGTCTACCTGGTTCAAGATCTTCATCACTTTCCCGTTCTTTTTTCCGCTGATGAAGTCTTTCAGGTCTCTGTTGATTTCAATCAATAACTGGATCTTGAAGTTCAAGCTGTTGGAGTTAATCACACCCAAGAATTTTTTAACTTCGGTGTTTTCTCCCACAATCTCAAGACCACTGTAGTTCAACTTGACAATCAACTTGAACTCCTTCACCAACAAGTCAGTGATTTGCAGGTATCTCATAGAGTGCTCATTGTTAATCAACAATTTGTAATACTTGCTTGTTATCAGATATATGTCCTTTATGGCGTCATTAACATTGGCTTCATCGAAACTTTGAACCGTTACTTTGTTGCTTGAATCCCCCAATTTGGGTAGCAGGATGAAACAGCAGTTTTCAAGCATAATGTTCAACAAATCAAAATCCCGGTTCAATACCAACAAATCCAACTTTTCTTTGGACACCTCGATCACCTTGGTGTAGAATGTAGCCTCCAAATTGGAGACAAGCTTGTTCAAGATGGCCTTAGCACTCAAAAGCTCGACCATTTTAGAAGCAGTGATCCAAATCTTGAATCCGTTGTAGTCGGAGTAGATTCCAGAGTTGTACAAGTCAGGTAACAAGTCTGGTAAGTACATATTTGCGTTCAGCTGTTTGGCGATTTCGCTGAAGTTCAGCAATCTTGGACCCCCAACGAGTGGAAGGAGCGATAAGTTGATGTTAACCGAGTCGATAAAGTAACCGTTTATCATTGAGTCCACCAACACCCTCAATTCGGTGTCTATGACCGTCACATTGTCCTGGCACCCAAAGACCATCATGTTGGTGGGATTGACAATAATCTCGACATTGTACAATTGCGACAACTTGGTCAATCTGCAGAAGAATTCTGGATCCTTCGACATCTTTGTCACTTGCAGCTGCACTAACTCAATGGTTTTGCAAGTGATATTTTTGTACAGCCCCAAGATGATATCTCTGGCATAATTGACAAAGTCTTTGGAACCCTGGAAAAACACCGTCATTACTGGTAAATCTGCCGTGGGCCCCGAAAGGTCGACATGATCACCTCCATCATGGGCATTCAACTTGTGCACTGCATCCTGCAACTCCCACAAGTTGTCCAAGATTTCACAATTGGGATAGTTCAAATGTGGTAAGTGGTTGGTACGCCATAAGTGGTTGTGGGTCTCAAACACCGTTGATGAGGACTTGTTTTTCAAGAAATACCGAAAGTCCAAGTTCACGTATAAAGACTCCATGTTCGCTAAAGTACAAACAGGGGCCCGTTTCCTTTAAATAGTAGTTGCAATGAGTTGGGAATGATGTTGATACTCTTACCGCATCGGGCAAGCCAACACAAATAGCGAATGGATCTATATACAGGACAGTAAAATTATCCACCACAAACCACTATAGTCTCTTAGAGTCCCACACGTACACCATCTCATCCCAGCCAGTGGAAGCACACCACCCGGGCTCTCCCCAGAGAGAGTAGTCGGCGCCAATCACAAACTCTCGGTGGTTTTTCATGATACCTCTACATCCTCCCACCCCAGTGTTGAGAAAACGAGCACGCTCATTAGACTTATCTTGCCACACCCGGCAGGTCATGTCGTACGAGGTGCTGAGGAGCTCCTCGCCACTATGGGGCGACCACACCACCTTGCGGACGGCGAAGTCGTGGCCCAAGAGCTCGTTGAGCGGTGTGGGACCTCTGGCCGTGTGCGATGGCATTCCTGGTACACTCTGGTCAACCCTATTAATCATCCGTAGGTCCCATATTCTGACCGATTTATCGGTTCCACCCGAAGCCACGATGTTGGCCTTGTACTTGTTCCAGTCACAAGACAATGCTTCGAGGCCCGAGTGGGCAATGTACTCCACTGTCAACGGACGAGGAGACCTGATGTCCCAAACCTGGACACGAGACCCCCCGTTACATGAGAGGATCGTCAGTGGCAGGTGGGGAGAGAACACAGCGTTGTACACACAGTTGGCGGTATTGATCTGTCGGTGGTTCTGCTGGTGAGAAATGGGAACCGAGGACGCAAGCTGCCCACCACCGCCAATTGACAGATCCCGCTCCGACGCGAGGGTGAAAAGCGATTGTGCCCGACTGGGATCCCATATCTTGATTGTACCGTCCCACGAGCTTGACAAAAATGTGTTTTTCTCGACCATATTCCAGTTCACACAAAACACTTCCCGAGTGTGTTCCTTAAAATTCATCACTGGGAACTGGCCCACTGTGAGATCAAACAACTTGATGGACCCGTCGCCACACGCACCCACCACCTGGTTCTCATGAGCCTCGCTCCAGCTCACGTCGAAGAGTCCATCCTGGGTGTCCCATGAGATGTCGTTGATGATTTGTCCCGACGGCGCGATGCTGAGCACAAAGAGCCGGCCATTGCCCACCAACCCGTAGTTGGACGACGTGGCTACCGCTAGTTTGTTGTCGAAGAACGGCGAGTACTGCACACCGTAGCCGTTATAGCCTGAGGTTCTGAATGAGAGCATGTTGAGAAGAAATTGCGATGCGAAGACTGCGAAAACTTAGGCTACTTTATATTGAAAGCAGAGCTTTATTATATGTAACTACTCGAGGGGCCCGAACACCAGGCTATCGAGCGTCTTTACTAGATGCTGGCACTGGGGGCTGAGAGACAGCTGGTCAAAAAGTCCGTGCGAAATAAAATCCCCTATAGCAAGTGCTGCTTTTTGCTGGCTGTACTTAATATAGTTGAACTCGTCATCAGCAGAGGTGATTTCATCTTCGATGGTACTTTCGTTCAACTCGACGCTGGTGAGACCCGTGGTGATGGTGTACGTGCCGTCCACGCCTCGTTCCAAAGAAGTGGCTCCTAACTGCTCCACTATATCCTTTTGCTTGAAAGGCCCGTTTTGGATCAAACCCCAGATACACCAGTAAACCTGGACAGATGCTCTCCAAAAAACACACTCATCGTATATCTTCTTGATCTCGAACTCTATCAACTCGGCGGGCGTGACCTTGGTGATATCGGGCTCGGAGTCAACTTTCAAGTTTGATGAGGGATACTGGAAGTCGTACTCGATGTACGCTTTGATCAAATTCAACTGCTCTAATTTGGTTGGGTACCTCAGTTCATCTAAAAAGTACGACTTTTCAGGGTCATGGTAGTTGGCCATCCACTCGGAGAAATGGTTCACCAAGTCGAAGGCTGGGAAGTTGGCTCCCCCGTATTCAAAGTCAATCACCACCAAACTGGTATCTCTCTTGTTGCTGGTGTTTTTGACTCCGGTAGAGGTGCCTTCTCCCACAATGATATCGCCTGGATTAAATGATTCATGCAACAACAAGTTGCCGTATTGGGTGTCATTGTGGCAAAATTTGAAATTCGACGCAAACCCGGTTCTTTCATACTTGGTGAATAACCAGTCTCTGTACTCAAACACCTTGGCTTTGAACACCTCATACTCCGTCAAAAAGATGTCTTCGTCCTTGATTCCATGCTGGAGGAAATTTTGTCTAAGATCAGTCTCATAGATTTGCAACCATTTGCTGATCAACTTCCAGCACATTGGCACGTTATCCTTGTAGTCTTTGTATTCCAATTGGATCTTGTAGTGCAAATCCTTCATTCTTCTACCTAGCATCTGGGAGATCACCTCGTGTCGTATCTCCTCCTTAGTTAAAGTCACAAAACCTTCCAAGAATTGCTCAAATCTCCCGTTGGTGAAGATTCCCAACAATTTGGGACCAATGCGCTTGAGGCACAACTTGATCAACACTTCTAATTCCAGCTCCCGGTCGATGATCTCGTCGACGTTCTTCCCGTAGACTCGCAAGAGCAACGAAGGGATCTTGATGTACCCGTCTCTGTACTCAATTTTGTAGATGGAGTTTGTCAAAGCTCCTGAGATTCGGTTGACTTGGATGTTTTTGGGGTCCAACTGCTTTTTATGCCATTTGCCAATTTTCAAGGTCTTGATCAACGCCCAAATGTCTTGTTTGAAGAAGTCAAGTGGCAAAGAGTTGTCCAACGTGGCTTGCACGGAGGGAACCACGGCGTCATCGACGTTGGTGGGAACTACTGATAACTTAGTTAACGAGGATGAAGAAAGGGATCTTCTACTTCCCAACGACGGCCGACGGTTGGAGCTGGTAGAACGCGAGTTGGCTGTAGAGTTTCTTGTCCGGGACCTAGACCGTGATCGGGGGGTACCGGAGAAGCTGGCTGGGGTGATGTCCATTTTGAATAAATAATAGTGGTCGTATCTTACGAGTGATAAACTATTTTGGTGCGACAAGAATCTGGAGAACTGCTGCGAAAAAATATTATAGGCGAGGAGGGGGTGAGACTGTGGGGATGAAACCGTGGAAATCAATAGAGGATGTACAAGAGGATACCAGGGCATGAGATCTAAGAAGATTGTGTTTACTGGAATTGGAGGCTACGCCAATATGCGTTTGTATTCTTTAACCACAAACCAATCGATAGAATTAGTGCTGCGACCAAAAAGTTACGGCCACACCGAGCATAGTGGTGTCCGGGTTTATAAAACATTTTACTCAAGTTTGTGAATATCAACGGCTTTATGGAACAATTGCTCTGTTAAATACCCTCAGAACTCAATAAAACAATATAAGCTACTCAGTTACTCTCAATTCACTCTAGCACCTCTCAAAATTCTATTATAATCACCTTCCATTTTGTTTACTCGCATTCACCACAACTACATTCGCGTTAGAAAAATTCTACACAACACTGGATGCTCTTTTTGTTTTTGGTTGTACTGGTTTGTATAAACCTCTTCCTAGGTAGTCTCTATCAAGGTAAGGACCATCAGTATCAACTGTTTGAATTTGACATCAAAACAAAACTCAAAAAATGTGAAGAAGAGTTGAAGGAGAAGAAGGATCAGTTGAACCTGATACTCGAATCCAATGATTCACTCTTTGAAGACAAGGAAAATGTATACAAAAAGGATATAGAGGAACGCCAAGCCATCCAGAAAGATCTTGAGACCAAAATTAAAGTGTTGAAGACCCAATTAACGGAACAGGAGAAATCAATTAATCTGTTCGAAACCAAAAGCAAAGACTTCGAAGCCAAACTACAAGCTAGTGATGAAGAGAAGGTCAAAATGGAAACCTTATTCAGACATAAGTTCAATTCCCAGGTTGAAAGTTTGATATCCGAAAGAGAAACCAAGATCGATGACTTGGAAAGAACCAATGAAGATTTGAGAAATACTATGGCTGAGCGTACAGAGTACTGTCAAAAGATTGTTGAAGCCAGCGAAAAGAAACTTTTAGGATATAGCGAGGAAACTCTCAAGTTTGAACGCGAGTTGAGTGTTAAGGACAAACTCATAGAAGGACATAAGAGGGAAAATGAAGAGTTGCAAAAAGAGAATAAAGTGTTGGTGACGAAAAATGAAGAGTTAACAAAGGAAATCGAAGAAAAGAACTCTCAGCAATGGGAGAAAGAGCTCCAGTCCAAAGACAACATAATCGAGGAACAGAAGAAACGTATAACAGCTCTAGAAGCGGAGGTTAGTGCATTAGAGACTAAGCTTACAAACGCGGCTATACCTGTTGCATCTTTGGAAGAAGAAATAATAGTATACAAGAAAAAGTTGTCCGACACCTTGAAACTGTTGATTTCACATAAAAATGATATACAGTTGTATGATATTGTTAGAGAGAGATATCACTCTTTATTTGAAAAGTTCCAAGAGGTTATTCCTGGTTTGAGCGACATCAACATTGACGATGAAGAGTTTGAGGTTAAGGAAAGCGAAGAGTCAGTACAAGAAAATGAGCAAGAACTAAAGGAAGAAGTTAACATAGTCGAGGAGTTGAATGAAGGTTTCCTCCAAGGTAACGAAGAAACCAAAAAGTACCAGATCATACTCAAGGGTGTGGTATCCAGACTCAAAGAGCTTGCAGATTCATTGGATGAAAAGACCAATGAATCTAGTGCATTACAGAAAGCCCTTGAACTGACCAAAGACGCTTACAACAAATGCGAGGCTGATCTACAAAATATGACAAAAGAAAGGGACATCCTTAAAACAGAATTGAGTGAGTCTCAGAAGTTAGTTGACAGTATCAATGAAAACATATCCCACCTTAAGCACGAGAAGGAAACCTTTTCTAAACGCCTCAACGCTGAGAAAATAGCCCTGACTGAGCTAAGGGATCTGGCTGCTGCTTCAGAGTCTCGGTTGAAAGAAATCGAGGCAGCCAGAAGAATCCAGGACCAAAAGATGGTTTCTGATGCTGAAACTATCAAAGCCAAAATATCAGAACTTGCCGAAACCGAACTACAAACAAAACAGCTAGTGACCAAAATCAACAAATTAACCTCTGACTTGGATCGGAAACAAGAGGATATATCACTGTTGAACAAGGATCTAGATTGGTACAAGAGTAAGTTTGAGGTTCTCAAGAAGGAAGTTGGAGATGAGGAGCGGAAGAAGGTCTCTGAAGACAAAATACTGAATAAAAATTCTGATCAAACTGACAAGGAATATGGAACATTGGAATCATATGTTGGGGTTTGAATGTATGTATAGTACAGCAATATAATTTAACTAGAAAACTATTTGATATACTACTCAAGTGGAATTTGGTGGTCGTTTGCATCGGTGATGTCAATAAAACCATCAGCAAGATAGCCTCCACCCCAAGAAGCGAAGGCGCCAGGTTTGAAAGGAGCAGGGTCCTCTGCCTTCTTGGTAATGTCTCTAGCATACCCAAAAATACCTTCTTTCTTCCACATATTAAGGAACTCGTTATTGAACATGTTAATACCTTGAATAGCAAAAATTGGTTGCACTTGCCAAATAGCACCCATTTCAGCAAGATCATTATGGAAGTTCTTGACCTGCTCTTCGGTATATCCTGCTTTAGCGAAGTTGTAAGCCCCAACGTATCCAAATCCAAATACCCGGCCTGGAGAGACCTTACTCAATTCCACATGGAACTTTTCCACATCAGCAGGGATAGGAGCATCAACACGACCCCAGGTTGTGTCAGTCAATGGCAAAGCAGCGATGGCTCTGTCAATAACAGACTCAATGCACTGCTTGAACAAATAGTGACCATAGGAGTTTCTACCATCATCCCAGTCGAAGAAAATAGTCTTCTCTGGAGCTGCTTCCTTGGCATATTTTCTTCTCTTGGTTAAACTAGCAAACTTATCACCGTCAATTAATTTGCTGTAAGCAGCAAACTCATCTGCAGACAAGTCTTTCTCTGCAGCTTCGTCAAAAGTCATGACTGCAGCATCTTTGAACCACTTTAATTTCGCAGCCCCGATACTTTCTCCAGCTTGTCTTGCATCAGCCAACACCTTTATCAATGGAGCGATGTCTGGGTTTGTGGAACCCATAACGTATTTGTGATCCCTAGCATCAAATACAGAGGTAATGAAACCGCACTGGTACGAGTCAATACGAGACATCAACAAAGTGTCAGCACCCATCACATCGATTTGAAATCTGGCTGCGGTAAGACGCTTCAAGTATTCACTGGTTGGAATAATAGTTCTACCAATACCCTGGGTGAACTTCTTCAAACCAATGGCCAAATCGTCTAAGTGGAACATGGCCACCCCAGCTTCAACAAATACTTTAGTGCACTTGGCAATGGTGGTAACACCTCCGAACCCCATGTCTCCATCTGCAATGATGGGAAGTAAGAAGTCAAACTGAGGATATGTTTTTCTTTCTTCCTCGGACAAAGAGAGAAGGTGTTGTCTTTGAGTACGGTCTCTCCACATCTGAGACTTTACAATTCTGTTGACAACCCTTGGAACAGTGTCCCAAGGGTAGTCTGCATGATCCACACCTGGCTCCTCGACTTGAGTGAGTCCACTAACACCCCCAGACACATAAACACACTCTAAACCGGCTCTGGACATTTGGGAGGCAAGCAATGGCTCAACGCATCCAACTGTCATGAGAGGTTCTTTGGCAGCACGGTAAGAATTCAAAGTTTTCCAAAGTTTTCTAGCTTGGATGGACGAAAGGTAATCGGTCTTAACACTGTTTCTAAACTGAGCAACTTCTTCAGCAGTGTAAGGTCTTGTCAAGTGCTTTTTGTGGTCCATTGCCCACCATTCCTTGATTTCTTTGATGTCTTTTTGGTAAGTATCTTCTAATTCTCCCATTTTGTTTGTTTAGTCGAAGATATTTGGTTATTCAGGACAATTTAAATAGTTTCTTATCAGGAATCGGACTGGCTGCGAAAATTTATCTTCGGATTAAGCACCTCTTTCCGTGGATCACCAATTGCCGTCCGAAAACGTCTCCTATATGACTTGACTCTTGAAATCACAGTTTGTATAAAAGGACAAGGAGGATCGGAGATACATTATTATAGTCTTTACCCACCAAAAAAAATGGTATTAGCTAAACCTTTAAATGTGGCATTGATCCAAACGTTGCCTACTGTTGACCTCGAAGCCAACCTTAAGAGAGTCGACGAGTTGGTAGAAAAGGCTATGACAGAAAAACCAGAAACAGAAATGATTGTCTTCGGGGAGCATTTCTCTACTCCACTTGGAAAGGAATATTATGAAAAGTTTGCTGAAGAGGTTCCAGGTCCAAGATCGGAAATGTTGTGCAACATCGCCAAAAAGTACAAGGTCAATGTTATTGGGGGTTCTTTCGCTGAAAAATACAAGGACACTCTCTACAACACCTCCTTGTCTTTTGATAAGACTGGTAACATGATTGGATACCACAGAAAAGTCCATATGTTTGACATTGATATTCCTAACAAGATCACTGCTAAAGAAAGTGACACCTTCACCGGAGGAACTTCTGCCACTTTGATCAAGGTTCCAGAGTTTGGAGTTGTTGGTGAAGGAATCTGCTACGACATTCGGTTCCCAGAACTTGCAGCCATTGCTTCAAGAAATGATGCCTTTTGTATGCTATACCCAAGTGCCTTCAACACCACCACCGGACCTCTTCACTGGTCACTTTTGGCACGTTCTAGAGCCATAGACAACCAAGTTTATGTCATTATGTGTTCACCAGGAAGAAATCCAGACTTCAGTTACCCTGTCTACGGTCACTCTCTTATTGTGGATCCAAGTGGAAAGATCCTTGTTGAAGCTGGAGACGGAGAAGAGATTCTCTACAGTACTTTGGAACCCGAAGCCATTGCTTCATTCAGACGGAACATCCCTCTTGAAACTCAAAGAAGATTTGATGTTTATAAGGACATTTCTGATGGCGCTGTGACTGCGTGTATTGAAGTTCAGGATACCGATAGTGATAATTAGGGATGCTAATAAATTAAATATCAAACTAATATGCCTCTCAATTTACAGTAACTCGTACACCCCTCAGCTTCCTGTTGTGTATTTTGTGAATATCCATCCTAGTTCTAGTAGTCCACTTTTCCTTCGTACGCCTTTGTTTCGGCAATTGCGATATTCAACGAAAATTGCAAACGGTCGCTATTACCACTTCCGTGAAATCATATTCTCTTTTCTTTTAAGGCACCAATCACATACCTCACATACTTTTCTGTTTGATCTCTTCCATTCATAGAGTGGGATATAACCTTATCCAGTCAGCGCGCGATAAGGGAATTGATAACTGCTTATCTAAATATAAACATGCCGATGCGGGTTAACTGATGCCCCATACGAGACGGAAACGCTGCAGTAAATCCGTCCAACGTTCTGATAAGTTCAATTTTTTTTTTTTGCAATAATTATGGGCTCTAAGAATGTTGTTACTGTTCAAATTTACCTAGTAATGCAACTCACAATGAAGACTTTCTAACAAGAAATGAAGTATCACTGACAGGTCTGGGCCCTTCAGAAACTCATAAACAATTAAGCCCTCAACAATCATCATTCAAGGCACATTGGTCCGAAAAATATGCATTTCGAGATGATAACGGAAAAAGCATCGGTTTCCGCAGACCACCCTACAAGTTTAGTATATAAGACCACACTCCATTTCCTTCAACAATCCAAACAATGACTTCTCAAGAATCTATCACCAAGAAGGATCAGCTGGTGGTTGACATCAATGAGATTAACAGTAAGGATGAGCTCATCCAGAACTCCAACTCGCTCTTTGCAAAAGCTGAAGATATTGCTGCAAAATACGCAGATATATTAAAAGATGGATATACCAAAGCTGAAGAGCGGAAAATCCTTTGGAAATGTGACATGTTTCTTATCCCCTTTCTTTGGTTGAACGTTACTTTCGCTGCTATGGACAAGGTTTCCAACGGTACTGCTTCCATCTACGGTATGCAAACAGATCTTAATCTTGTGGGAAACCAGTACAGTTGGATTGGGTCATCGTTTTATTTTGGTTATTTGTTCTGGTGTTTCCCTAGTAGTGTGATTCTTCAGAAATTACCAGTTGCAAAAGTGGCCGGTTGCTGCTTCTTTGTATGGGGAATTATTTTGATCGGTTCGGGGTTTGCTAAGAACTTCCAGACAATGGTAGCCTGTAGAGTTCTTCTTGGGATTTCTGAGGCACCTATTGTACCAATTAACCTCATTATCATGAGTATTTGGTACAAGAGAGGTCCCGAACAGTCTATCAGATTGGGTCTTTTTTACACTGGGCTTTCTACTATTTTTACCGGTACTATTGGTTACGCTGTTGGTGGTTACACTGATGTCAAGTACCTGCCTTGGAGATACTTTATTTGGATTATTGGATCATTATCTTCCGTTTACGGGCTTCTAGAATTCTTTCTTTTGCCCGATTCGCCAGTCAGTTGTCGTTATTTGAACGAGAGAGAGAAAGCCATTGTTATCGACAGAGTCAGAAAGAACCAGACTGGAGTGAAGAATACTAAGTTCAAAAAAGAACAATTCTTTCAGACTTTCAAGGATCCTAAGGTATGGATTATGGTGGCTATCCAGTTGTTTATCTCGATTCCAAATGGAGGTCTTACCAACTTCAGTCCTTTGATTGTCAATGGGTTGGGTTGGAGTTCAAGAGACAGTACCTTATTGACTATGCCCACTGGTATTATGCAAACGGTATCTGTGTATATGGCCAGTGGAACCCTTGCTCTTTTGGAAAAGTTTTTTAAGAAGAAACACTTTAGAGGAGCTGTGCTCTGTTTCTACTTACTTCCTGCCTTTGTTGGTACAGGATGCTTGTACAAGCTTCCTTTAACATGGTACAGAAGTAGACTTGTTTCCCTCTACTTTGGGTTCTTTTACTTGGGATCTTACATTATTTCCTTGAACCTTATTGCTGCTAACCATGCTGGGTTCACGAGAAAGGTCACTGCCAATGCTATCTACTTCTTGACATACGCTGTGAGTAACTTGATTGCACCTCAGTTTTTCAAGACAAGTCAATCTCCTACATACACATTGGGAGTGGCAGCCATTTTTGGGGCCTACGCTCTTACAATTGTTTCTGTCTTGTTGTACATGGTAGTCTGCTGGAGGGAGAACAAAAGAAGGGATAAACTCTATGGAGAAGCACCAGAGGAAAATAGAGAAACAGATTTCCTGGACATGACCGATATTGACAACATAAACTTCCGTTACAAGTGGTAATCGGTTTTTATGTTTTGTGACTTCAATTCTTTGTGACAATTATATTTGTAAGAAATAAAATGCTTTTCGCAGCTAAGTGAGTACGTATTAGTCTCATTTGTGCATATCTTTATTAATAAATATAAATAAATAGGATTATTCGGCCGCACCAAGGGCTAATGGACTTTCGACCAAAGAGATGTTTGCATCCTTTCGGAACGTCAGAATGCCTCCAGTTGATGCCCCGTTGATTTTCAGAAATGCAACATAAGTCTTCTTAAGAAGGTCAAATGAGGCTCTAATGTTAATATGCTCTTGACTCATGTAGTCAGGATATCTTCCATCCGGCCTGCGTGAGTTTTTGATGTCTCGGACAAGTGAGTTATAGTAAAGCACATCGTCAGGATTTCTCAATTCATGGAACTTTGCAGAATTAGGTCCTGACTTTTGTGCCCAATTGTTTTCCCATGCAACCATTTCATCATAACTAGGCAACTGAAGATCCCGTTGAAACAATCGAGATAACCATGCCCCTTGTAACTCAGTCAATATCATAGGACCACCGTACAATACGATTCCTACAAATGCTAATCCAGGGTAGTTATACGGTACAATGTGGTTGTATATGCCATTAAGCCGATTTCCATCGGTGATAATAGGCTTATCTAAGTTGTTGATAGTCTTCAAATAAGGGACTGATTTCAAGTATCCGGTTGCAAAGATGATCTTGTCGACTCCAACTATGGTCTGACCGTTGACCAATTCGACAGCTTTAGTGTCTGCAAGAAATTTTGAAATCTGGGGAACTTCGATAACTTGTGGATTCCGAACACCCTTATCATGGAAAGTCCTCACCGACTTATAAACCTGAATAGAATCAGGTAACTCCTCAGCTAACTGATTTGCTATGTCGATAGCACTAGCCAGATTTCCCACAACGATGATTTTGGAATCGGCTGCAAATGCTGCCGAGTTTCGATACAACTTTGAGTGTGAGACTGACAGGGGAAACTTAGTGTTCCATTCCTTAAGGCCTTCAACGTCAGGAATTCTGGGTATATCATAGTGGCCACAAGCACTTATCACTGCGTCCACAATATATTCTTGGGTGGTTGTACTGTTGGTTGGTCTTACGGTTACCTTCCATCTTAAATCAGGCAATTGTACCACATCGTCCACACTAACACCATACTCAATGTACTTATCAATGGTTTGAGCAACACCCTGTAAGTATTGGGCCACCTTCTGCCTTTCAGGGTACAAAGGGGTATTAAGGGGCCATTTGAAGTCCAAATACGACATCATTTCGTATGGCACGTTTGTCACCAAATTGTCGTAAACGGCACTAGGCCAATGAAGATTGGAGTCAGGCTGGACTGAAGTATGTGGGTCCAAAGAAGGGACATCAATCGACCCGGAAGCCGGCGTGTGGGTCCACAACCCCCCACCCTGTGGCCTTCTTTCAAATACTCGAATACTGGAGTACTTATCTTCATCTCTAAGAAGGCCTAGAGTTGCACCTACTCCAGCAGCACCACCTCCAATGACTATAACATCTTTGACTTTTCTAGGAAGTTCGTACGATCCAGAAGTCATCGTTGGAGGTGAAAAAAAAGCAGATCAGGGGTTTTAAGTGTATCGGCATTACTGAGTCTGTGGCTGTTAAAGTTAATGTGTGAGAGTGTGAGGGCCGATTAGCAATGAGATGCCACAGGTTGCGCATACACGAAAATAAACCGGGTTATCTAATAATTTGCATACAGGGGGTTTTAGGGGGGTCCACTTTGATTTTGGAGATCTGGAAGATGTAGTGGGGTGTGGTTCGATCTGTCAGTTGATCCAGCGATTGATCTGGCTCAAATTCATCACATACTCGTCGAAAAATATATTTGTGTGATAAATCCGGGAAAATCCCAGGGACATCTAGCGTCGCTTCCAGTACCATTTTGAGACTACCAGTGAGGTCTATATTGCGCCCCTGATATTCAGATCCTGATTTGGCCGTCTATACTTTCCATGTTATCTGGTGATTGTGCCCAATGCCACAGTTGATGGCTGCGAAAATTGTGGTGGGCCCAAATACTCTATTGCTGTGGGGTAGCCACAATACATTACTAAGCACCCACTACCGTCGACTATAAAACACCACTACGTCTTCTTCAATGACGATCAATACATAAAAACAAAATGGCCACCACTGCTCAGACCAACGCCGACCTCGATCAAATCGGAAAGATTCTTGCCAAACATGGCATCAATGACACCACCAACGACAACAAGATTGTGGTGGACCTCAAGAACGTCAACGGGTACAGACCCGGGTTTGTGGACTCATTGTCAGGCGACGAGCTTCCGGAACATACCAGAAACAGATTTGCAAAGTACGGGATCGACTTATCCAAGGGATACCCTGAGAGACCAGAAAACATCCCCCACTTCCTCGATGAGGGATACGCCATCAGAAACCGGGCGAATCCTGATTATGTCGAAAGAGGCCGGAATGCCGACCCCAGCAAGAAAAACTTACTTGGAGCTGCTAAGGAGATCCGTGAAATCACTCCGTTGATTGGAACGGAAGTAGTGGGTTTACAATTGGGTGACTTGAACGAAAAACAATTGGATGAATTGGCCCTTTTGGTAGCTGAAAGAGTGGTGGTTGTGTTTAGAAACCAAGACCTTTCTCCCCAGAAGCACTTGGAACTCGGCAAATACTACGGTGAAGTCGAAGAGCACCCATTGGTTGCCCACGTTCCTGGTCTTCGTGGGGCCACCACCGTGTGGGGGCCTTTCAACCGTGTGGGGCCTTTGATCACCTACAAAAAGGGTCTCCATCAGGGCTGGCACACGGACTTGGACCACGAGTTCAGCCCAGCTGCCATCACGCACCTTCACCTCGACTCGATTCCCACTACCGGTGGTGACACCGGATTTGCGTCAGGGTATGGGGCTTTTGACAAGCTTTCGCAGCCATTGCAACAATTTTTAGAAGGCAAGACCGCGGTGCACAAGTCTGCTCACCGGTACTTGAACAGAGACAATGTTCTTGGGGCTCCTGAACATATCTTGAGAGAGCACCCCTTGGTAATTACCCATCCGGTCACCGGCTGGAAGTCACTTTTTGTCAACCGGGCCCACACTGTGAAAATTGTGGGATTGGAAGACTCGGAGTCACAGGTGATTTTGAACTACTTGTTTGACGTGTACGAGAAGAGTTTGGATATCCAAACCCGTGTGAGCTGGCAACCCACCAAGCCAGGGTTGGGTACTTCTGTTATCTGGGATAACCGTGTCAGTAACCACATTGCAATTCCCGATTACAACGATCAGAATGGTAGACTCAGACACGCAGTGCGGGTGACGAGCTTGGGAAATGTGCCAAACTATGACAAAAACTCAAAATCGCAGCGGGAGGCGCTTTTTGGTGCTTGAGCGGTATTAGATAAATTTATAATCAATTGAGGTATGATTCAGTAGTAGCATGGTGTGAATAGAGCAGTAGGATTATTCGATTTTACAGTAGTAGAATCACATACACAGAAGGTTCAAATGTGTTGTAAAGCCCTAGAGTTTCGTATAGATGGCGACCATCAACCTTACCCTATTGTTTACTGTTTACCGCCCGCCTAATAGTCGCAGCCACGCCACCTCTCATCACCACCACTCACCAGCAGCACCCTGTCCACCACTGTGTCCACCACTTACCAGAACCACAAAACCCCACATCCACAAACCCGCACCTATCCACAAAACCCCCACCCATGTCCTGTCCTCAAGCACGATCCGATGTGACACACTTATCTGACGCAAAAGCAACCGCACAAAATAAAAGAAAAATAATATAATGCTTCTCCTGAAATTTTCGTTACTATCCCAATTGACTTCTTCGAGCACGTATTGTTCCCGCCGGGTAAACCTGTAGATTGCTATTCGACCATTTAACGCCTCTATCGTGTTCAGATCTCTTTCAATAATTTGTACTTATAACTCCCCCTACCTGTCTGTCCTCATTTGCTTTTTTTAGCAATTTAGTAAGGTTAAAACGGGAGTATCCGCAGCATATCGTGCATACTAGAGTCGCAGCCCTCAAAACAAAAATAAAGACAAACCCTCTAATTTCACCAGTTTTTCCATCACCAGCTCGTCCACCAACTGTGTTTAACAACCACATCCACCCGCCTGATAGAGGCATCCTTCTTCTCCCAGCCCTTCGTTTAGCTGCTATCAACCCCGTCGACGGCCCCCCCATCGACTCAAGATGACGACTTCAGGCTTGCTCCAAAAAAACATGGACAGAAGCCGTTCCGTCAGCTCCCACAACTCGACTTCATCGTTGAACACCCTCACCACGCCCAAGTCCCGCCGGGCCCGGCTCTTGGACGAGTTGTCGGTGCCTACTCCTTCGTTTATGGATAATGATAAGTCCATTAAGCTCATGCTTAAACACTTTAAGCGCCTCGAACTTGGCCTCAATAAGTTCAACTCCAAGTCCGACGGCATCGCCACCACAAACATCCTCCGCACGGTGCTCTTGCCGTTTTTGCGGTCATCGTCGTTAAACTCACTTCTTGTGGGCATTTCCACCACCATCGGCTACAAAGTATATAAGAGCTTGGTATCAATTCTCTCATCGATATTGATCAAATGGTGGACCTCTTTGCTCAACTCCTTGATCAACTCGCACACGCTCTCGTCCATCGACCGGTCAGCGTACTTGGAGTGCATCTCCCGCATCATCTCGCGCCGGGAGTGGTTCCACCTCGAGGACGGACTTGTGGACGCCATCACCGTCAAGGCCCATGACGACATTTTGGTGCTCACGTTGGACTACTCTATCTGGAAGTTGGCGTCCATTAAGCACTTACCGCTCTCCATCTGTGCATTTGTGGGTAAGGTGTTTGCCTATGGATTTTTCCGACTCGAGGGTGTGAGCAATGCCCTCTTGTTTCTTCTCAATATCAAACAGCTGGTGTTTGAGGAAAACCGACGGGTGTTTCGGCGACACACCCAGGCGTCACCTGATGATCTCACCCAGCTCTATGCTACTTTTCCCAAGCACTTGCATTATCTCGTGGGTTTTGACGGGCTCCAGAATAAAGACTTGTCGAAGCACCAGAAGATCTTTCTCAACTGCCTCGTGCCTCCAAAGAAAGAGGTGCCGGGTATCAAGGACCCCAACGGTCTCTGGGTAGGCCGGTGGCTCAACAGCGACAGCGATATTTTCAACTCGTTTTTGCGTCACTACTTGCACATTTTGCATTCCACCTACTCCATCAATAACCCGGTGGTGTCCGATGGGATGTTGCTCAACTCTCCTGGGTTAAACATCATCATGACCCACCTCTTTCAGATTCTTCAGATCTCCGTGTCTCGTATCTCCAAGAACAACAGCAATCTCAAGATCAATCAGGACTTCCAGGTGATGCAGAAGCTCTCGAGTTCACCGGCAGCCACATCCGCAAAGTCCAATCTTCAGAAACAGAACGACGTGTTTTACAATTCGGTGTTCAAGATCTTCCGAACCCTACGGGATTTGAAGTTCAGCTTGCATTTGGAGTCTGCCACCTGTGACGACAAGTTCATGAACTCGATGATCGGGTACGTGGAGATGATCCTCAAGAGCTTTGCGCTGCAGATGACCATCTACGAGTTCAACAAGAGCTCATTGATTCTCAACATCATCTACGAATTTGTCAATAGCTTAGGGGTCATTGACTGGACGTTCTGGTTGAACTGCTGCCACTTGATGATTGAGAACACCGACCATATCCAGATCTTGTTGAAGAACATTTCGTTTCTATTCAACGTTTGGGACAAAATCCCCGAGATTGTGCCCCAAGTGGGGGCTAACACCGGCAACATCAAGTGGTTTTCCGACTGCAACAAGAGCTTCAAGGTAAACTTCATCGGCTGGCTTATCTCCAGCAATATCTGGGAAAAGTTCTTCTTGCATTGGAACCCACTTGTGCGAAACTATTATCTCCGACTTTTGATCTGGCAAGTGGTGGGTATCAACAACTTTGAGTCTTCCACCTCCATAGAAATCTCGTTGGAGATCCAGCACAAGTTGGACCAATCATACGCCACCTTCAACAATTTTTACGCCAAGAACCATGACAAAAACCACTACTTCAAGCCAGATAATCCGGTGATCAACCGTAAAATGGCCATTCTTCCCATCACCAAAGATGAGTACTTGTTGAACGAAATCACCAACCAAGGCGATGACGAGGCTGGTGACTTGACCAACTTGTTCGCTCCAAGCGAATTGAAGAAAACACATCCGTTTGAAATCTTTGATGAAGCCATTTACTCATGTTCCAGCTTACCCAAGGAAGAGGACGAAGACACCTCCAAACGCTCCAATTCTTTGGTGAACTCCATCGGAAAGATTTTCAAGATGTTGACTGTCGATGATAGCGATATTACCAAAGAAAAGAAGCCTTCAAAGATCCGTGAGTTTAGGTCGTCATCCAAATCTGGTTCCTTGACGTCATTGTCGACATACTCGTTGAAGTCTAGGTCTTCCAGTCCCCTGATAATGTCGTATAACTCGAGTCCCACGTCGCTCACTGACTTTTCGGAGTCCTCCAGTTCCATCACAACCGTGTCCACGGTCCCCAGTGAGCTGGCCGACCGATTGAAGTCGTTCACTCTCCCTCCCGAGATTGTGAGACCCGCCTACAAGTTTGAGCTTGTGCTAGATCAAAACTCCATCCGTGACAAGCACTTTTTAATGGCCAATAAGAACTATGTTTTTAGAAACCATGACTATTTCAAGTTACCTCCAACTCCGACTGTTCCTTCTATCTCCATATACTTACAGTCAGACATCTACAAAAAGTTTTATATCAGCACTGAAAACTACTTTTTGTTGGTAGACGACAACCAAAAGCTGGTGTTTGAGAACGGACTCTTTGACAGTCTCGACAAGGGCAAGTCCATCAACTACATCAACTTGGGCAAGTCGTTATTCGAATGGAGCCATTTGGTGGAAGAGTTTGAATCGTACTTGATCAACAAGGTGGAAGTGGACCAGTTCAATGAGAATATCACCAGCAACCATGAGTTGAATGAACACGATTACTTCCGCAAGATTATCCCGTTGCTCAGTCTTGACTCCAATTCCAAGCCCTTAAATGCTGCTTAGGGACCAGCACTAATTCTATCATTTTAGTTCTAAATTTTAATTGTGTACATTAATAGATAATTTGGGTTTTTAGTTGCACATAGATCGTTCAGGTTTTTGGAGAATCTCAGATTCCTTTTCGACTCAAGATCATTCAGGTTCTTCTTTTATAGACACCAGCTCTCCCTCGGCAACATCTTTAGACTCTTCACTTTTCACAGCAGACAATTGGTAGTTTTGTAACCATTGCCGCTCGTTCAACACAAATGCAGCATCCTCCTTGCTCAACGTCTCGTGATTGAACTGGGTTTTCGACTCGAACCTCTTTTTTCTCTTGCTGGTACTATCATCACTGGCAAAGAGGCCAAAAGCTATCACCAAGCTGAAAAACACCGAAAAACTCCAGAATATTAAAACTCCATACACAAATGACTGGATGGGATATTTCTGCAAATAGTACCGGAATCCATCCCTCTGCACTGTAAGCTCAAGAAATGTGTTGTCATCGTTCACTATCACGTGTCCCTCGATCAGAACGTGAACCACATGCTCCTTCAAGTGTTTCACTAGCTCCATGCCCGTCATCTTCAAGTACTCAAACTCAACATTCACATTTTTATTGAGATTTGAAAGCACCGGACTGACCCAGAATCGAAGATTATATGGAACTACAATGTTGTTGTGGCGGTATATTGACCGAGAATCACAATTCATGATGAAGTTGGAAGTTTTTATCACGTCAGTACCATCGATTCTGAAAGTACTAGGAAACCGGAACAAGTCATCGGCTCTATTCCTGTTACAGAAAAGTTCAAGCTTCAAACTTACCAGATACGCCAATCCCGGGTGTTTGTTGAGTTCGGGAATCCAATGATCTAAAGTCACGTTAGCAATTGAGGAGGCAAAAAAATTACCAGTATTAAAAAACTGGAGTGGAATCGAGTATGACCCAATTGGTATGAGTATCCGGTGGAAGGTCAAGTACGCCATTACGGAAATTGGTCCTAGGACCATGAAAAGCCAGAACCCTATGGAAAACACATATAGCCATCTTCTTATTATTGTGAGCAAGTTCTTTCTGTTGAAGAACCACATAACCATTTATGGACTAAAAGTCAGTCAGATTAAACTCAGGTTATTACTTTTGTGTACCAACGCAAAGTCTATCCTGAATTGATGGATCACAATGTTTTCGTGGATACAGGTAAATACCAATTTTGTGCACAAGCTCAACTGGGTTTTCCTTATCTGGATTTCGCGCAGGCTGAACCAGGTTTTTCCTCATCAATCCCTACGAGTAAAAGAATCGTGAGACTTTAAGTATCCTTGTATTGATGACCACCGATAGTGTCGAGCCTCATATTGCTGTGCTACTTTGTAACCGGCGGGATTCTCGCTTAGTCGACAAGTATGGAGATTTGGGCGATTTATGTTGTCAGTTGGTACAAAACTCTGGAGTTTCCAAGTTTCCTGGCAAAAAGTATACGGTTTACAGAGAAAGTGACGACCCAAACGAGGACTCCATTGAGCTCAGCCGTGTGTACCTCGAGCTCGTGGAGCGTATCGAGAAGAAGTTGGTCAAGGGAATCATTATCAGTGGATCTGTCTCGGATTCTTTTGACACCAAATTGTGGATCCAGAGATTAGACGAGTTTTTGAGAACTGTGGTGTTTTCAATTCCTAACTTCCCACTCGTGGGGATATGTTTTGGTCATCAGATCATTTGCAAGAATTTAGGCTGCAAAGTGGATAGAAACTTGCCGGAGGTTGGTTGGGAGTGTGGAATTAATACCATCAGTCTTAACCCTGAGATTTTCAGCATCGAAAATAACGGGTTTTTGGACATTTTGAAGGATAAGGAGATTGGAGTCATAAATGACCACTTGAATTTGCCTGAGATACACAGAGATATCGTGTATGGGTTACCGGCTGCCCAGAACTCTTATATTAAAGGTACTAATTTTGTATCAATTGGATCTTCTCCCAAATGCTCTATTCAAGGAGTTGTTACGGCTTCAGGCCCATTGAGGGTTTTGACTTTCCAAGGCCACCCGGAGTTTTCAACCGAGTTTACGTTGGAGTTGTTAAAGGATATGTATGAGAAGGGAACCATCGAAAAACCTGTATTTGAGAAATCATGCTACAACACCCAAATTTTGAACAATCAAGGACACTTAATTGCCAAATTGATCTGCAACTTTATCAACTCCTACAACTAACTCACGAATGTCTACTTTCATTTTGTCATTATTTCATAGAATTAGCTTATACAACTTATAAACATAAAGAGTTTCTAGTATAAGTGTGCTTGTGGATATGTTTCGGGTAGAAAGGTCCATTAATCGTCAAATAAGCTCTTCGTAGGGGAAACTATAGTGAAACCCTGAAGCTTGCCTCCTTTAGCATTGAGAGAACTGCTTGCAATGGACGAGTTTCCGTATCTTTCTCTAAGCTTCTCGTTCATGCTCATCTGTTCTTTCAATCTACTCTCTAGCATCTTCAACTTTTCACTGGCCAATTTCATCTCATAACTATGACTAGAGTTCAATTTGGTAACCACTTCTCTAAGGTCATCTCTTTGTTTCTTCAAGGAGTTGATTTCGAATTGGTCTTCCGATTGGTTCATGTCTTCGTTGTAAGAGTCGTTGAACGACGTAAAGCTGGAATTTTGCACCAATGACAAGACTCTCTGGTTCTTGGGGAGATGAGTTGGACTCAAGTTCGGAGATCTGTTGGGTGATAAGTTCTGTGAGTTCGTTTCCAAAGTAGCCAATCTCTTCTCAAGTTCTGGCACCACACTCAACTTCAACTCGGCATTCTCCTTCAAGAGTTCATTATATCTGTTAAGTAAATTGGTGTCTTCTTTGGTGGTCATTTGTTGGTTGGATATTTCATCTTCTCTTGATTGATATTCATTCAACTTATCCTGCAATTGGTTGCATAAATCGTTCTTCAAAATCAATTGTCGGTGCAACTCGGTCTTCTCGTAGTTCAACTTCAATGGGCTTGGAGTCTGGCCGTGCTCCATCAACAAAGCATGTTCTTCGCTGATGAATCTTAATCTTCTTTCTTTGGTGAGCTTGTCTTGAAGGTCACTGAGGGCCTTCAGCTTTTCTCTAATCTCTTTTTCCAAAACACCTGAAGCTGTGCCTTGAGAATTGCCTTGTGAAGGCTTTCTGATCTGAGATTCCAACTTCAATTCTCTTCTGATAGATGATGCCAATTCAGTTGTGACCAATTCCAATTCGTTAAGCAAGTCATTGTTGGCAGTCATGATTCCCAACTCTTCTTTCGTAAACTTCACAGGAGTTGGGTTGATAACTGGTGGTGGTGCTTGTAATGAAATACGTCTGGCACTATTACGTCTTGATGATGTTGGAGTGGAAGTCAAAGAGTTACGTTTAGATGAACGAGCTGAACTTTCGTGGAAACTGTCTTCATCTTCTGCAATACTTCCTCTTTTAGACTTGGAGAGTCTCTTGAAAATGTTTATCCTCGAACCCCGTTTCTCCTTTGCACCTACTACTTCCGACGTCTTGATCTCGATGCTCTCATTGCCAGGGCTTTCAACTAATGTAGAGTCAGTGATGTTTTTCATATCAGCCTTTTCGATTTCAGCCTTTTCAATGTTGACCGATGAAGTATTGGCAGTAGAAGGATTCGTTTGGTAGTTTTCCTTTGAGGCACTCAGGCTACTCTTTACCGAAGAATCGTTGCTCTTTATTTGAACGTTTTCAACTTGGTTGGAAAGCTGCGATGACTTTCCAAATGAAGCACTTCTAAAATTGTGGAAAGCAGTGTTTTCAGTCAAAGATCTTATTGACTGTTGCTTGCTGATTGGCTTAGGCGAGCTTGTTCCGTTCCAGGTATCGTCATCTTCATTCTCAGTATCAATATCACTAGTCAAGTCCACGTCTATAGTCTTGTTTGAATCTTCGGGAGTCGAGGTGTTTTGTAAAGAAGCACTTTTTCCGCTATCTTTAGAAGTAAATGAGTCCCGGATATTAGGAGATGGTAAATTCTTAGTAGGGGAGTTGAGATCATTGGCCGTGTAGTAAACATCACTGGAAGTGGACTCGTTAACGGCAGTGGCTCCCAATTGGTTGAATTTATCCTGGTTGCCGTATAAATGCTTGTTGATTTCATCACTTCCGCTCTTACTTAAAACATCCATTTCCCTACTTTGTCTGATATTGAACGAAGGAGACGTTTCATTGCTGTTTACGTAGCCGTTGAGGGGACTACTGTTTGTTGGAGTATTAGGTAGAGTTTCTTCCTCGATATCATTATTGTTGAACAAGTTCAACTTCCGCAATCTCATGGAGTTACTCTTCTTCAATGTGGATTTTCTAGAAAGCAGGAAAGCATCAGTGTCTTCTTCATTGTCAAATTTGTAAACCATATCATCGTCATCTTCGTTTTCTTCCAAAGCCAAAGGAGGAGGAATACGTCTTGACTTTGATGTTTGGGAGTTCACATCATTTAAAGTATGCTGGTCTTCCTCTTCTCTTTCCTCGACCACGTTCATGAGAGAATCGCTTGAGTTGTGGTTGTCTGGGGTGGAAAGATTTCCACCTTGAACGTATATCTGACTGTTCATTTGCCCGTTGGGGTGACCGTTCATCGGGTACCCATTCATCATTGGCTGGCCATACATTTGTCCATTCATCATTTGTCCATTCATCATTTGTCCACTCATCATTTGACCATTCATCATTTGTCCACTCATCATTTGACCGTTCATCATTGGTTGGCCGTACAGTTGCCCATTCACCATTTGACTGTTTGTCGTAGGCATCCCATTCATAGGAATCCGTGCATTCATCTGCCCGTGCATCGGTACTCCGTTCATCATCGGGTTCTGGTTGGTCATGGACATTGATCGGGGCATGTTCGGGTTCATTCCCATTTGCATCTGGTTCATATGTATGGGCACCCCACTGGGCATATACCCTTGCATTGGGTTGCCCGTCCGTAAGGACATGGCACGCGGGCCATTGGGAGTACTACTGCCCTGCGGCATCCCCATCGACATGGTTCTAGGAGGATTGCCGTTGCTAAACGAGTTGAAGGACATGGCTCTTGGATCTTGGTTCTGATTTGACATGGGATTACCGCCGGCCAACGACATGGCCCGTGCTCCGTTGGTCAAGTGCATCTTCATCTGGTGGTTCATCTGTTTTCTATACTGGATGTTATTTTTGGAGGAACCTCCGGTGCTCACCATAGGAATAATGGGAGTAGTGTCTAACGTTTTGGTTCCAGTCATGCCGTAGGGGCCTCTATCTCGGATATGGGAAATATCATCAAACGAGACGCTGCCCGTCAAGTCCTGAATATCTGCACCCTTTTCTTCATCAAATTGAGCCATCCCTCCGTCTACTCCTTTATTCCTCCGGAAGAGCTTGTTCATCGACATGGCCGATACAGACGTCATGGATGCCTTCCTTGACCCTGGCATGTGCGACTGAGATGTCATGGAGAAATTGGGGCTTATTAGGTCGTTGGTACTGGTGTATTGCAGTTGATACATCTGTTGATGGCTTGCCACTGGGTTGTTTCCAAAGTCTCCTCGATGCGTGTTGGGGGACCGGGTTTTATTTGTATAGGCGGCGGTTCCAGCGTCCATCGTGGTGGAGTTATTGTGTTATGTATGGCTTTGTACTTGTGAAAGGAGCAATATAGTGGGAATTCGGTTCTTGAGATCCTTTAGTTTGTGGCTGCAGTGAAGGGTACAAAGAGGGGAGCAATGAGTTAAACGGAACAACAGACGGATGATTTGTTGGGTGTATACGATTTTGGTTATAGCAATGAAAGACAGCTAGCGAATGTGGGTTTTGATCAAACAGTACAAAAAGCTAGTAGTGGTATCGATCAGATTTAACAAGAAAAAATTTTGGTTATTTTTGCGCAAATTGGGTGAGAGAAAAATCTACTGCGCTAACATGAAACCGCCAAGGGATCTCCGGAACTTGACGTAGGAGCCCAAATACGCTTATTCTAGCATGGTGATAAGTTCACTGATTATTTGTATGAGTATACATGGTTCCGAGTGGGGTCCGTGCTGCATCCATACATCTGTGTACTATTTAGCGTCATTATTAGCACCGATGCAAAAAAAAGACAGACGCGATCGCTCCTACCAAAAATTTCACCTAGTGCCGGTTTTATTTTACGGGTGCGAAAAATCTCCAAGGGGCGGGAGATTTTTAGTGGGATCAGGAACCAGGAGACAAGGTAGATTTAGGTCGAGAATGTATTAATGTGGTATGAATCAGTGGGATATGGAATTGGATGGGGTATTTGAAGTGCAGTGGGTGTTTGCCATACATATTTGCCATGATAGGTGTGCCAATTCGACTGGCATCAACAGTAGCCGTTTCCACTGTAGATGAAAATCGGTAGAGAAAAGACTTGCAATTAAACCTTTCTTCGATCCTTTCTGAGCGTTGGTACTCTTTAGAATTGACAGAAACTAAGACGAGTTCGGGTAATTTAGTGCTGCTTTACGAGATATGAGCATTGTACGTCCATCCTCTGCCTTTGCAAAATAAGAAATGTGGTAATCGCGGTGTAGCATTGTAATAAAGTCGGAATACTTCTACTTATTCAATATAGCTACATTTATTCGACAAAATGAACTGTGCTGTTTGCTGCAACAAATAGACACTTTATAACTAATAGTTCATGATTCTATTCACCTCATGAACGATTACACTTCGTTTTTATCCCCATTTATCTCGGCTGAACCATATACATCAATTTCAATATAGTCATCACTGTCTTCGAATTCATAACTAACCTTTGTCCCCGCAGATAAGTCGCTCACAACACAACCTGAACTGTTACAGTCGATAAACATGGACACTGTTTGCACATAACTTGGTTCACTTTCAGTAGATGTACAAAATTCAGTACCACAAGTAAACGTCGTGTTAGTTCCCTCTGCCGTACAACTAGCGAACAAAGTCAAAAAAAAAATAAGAACCACAACATCGGACTCCATTTATGTCTATTGGCTGCGCTTTTTGATTTCTTCACGCCACTAGATGGTTTTAACTTGGTAGATCCATAAGCCCCGATCGTTAAATCGCCATATTCACTATATGAGAAGTTTCTAGTAATATTGAAACCTGTATTATTGAAAAAATAACCGGAATTACTGCAAGTGAATTTCAACGGGAAAGAAGTATTAGTAGTGACAAGTTTCAAGCTCATTTTGCTTTTCAAATCTAACATGTATGCTGTTCCAGCTTTATTTATAATTTGGGGACGGGTTTGAAAAAGCGGGAATTGGCCGTGCTTTACAGTGGTTTAAGATCATTCGTATAAAGTTGCTTACTCATTTTATTCTTCACTGGTTTACCAACTTCGTCGTATAATACTAAAAATAACCTAGTAGCCAATTTCCGTCTTGAAAGATTTCCGCAAAAGGAGAAAGTTGTATAGAAGGTCTTATTGTAGCAGCTATATGACTTCCTAAAGTTCAATTTATATGTAAGTAGTTTATTGCATTCAGTTCTTGGTAACCGTGAAACTGGAATACGACCTGTTTAAGCTGACAAATATTTGAAGATCATTAAAATAAACCAAACACAGAAATATTAAAAAGGGAAGCGATGGTTAAAAGATTAAGGAGAGATGTGACTCCCATTAAAGATAAGGCATAAAGCTAATTTCATTAAAGAATTGAAAATAGATAAGAATGTAAAAACTAGATAATGCGACAAGGAGTTGTGCTATTTCCTATTGCCTTGGAAAACACTGGTAGGGTAGGTGCTCCCAGTGGTATAGTGAATCTTCTGCTTAGGGCTATCCTCTGCCATGAGCTCTCGCTACCATGAGCTACGGCTGGTACACATATCATTAATTCAAGTCACTGTTACCATTGTGCACTGCTCGTGCTGCTCCTTGTACTCACCTTGTGCTCTCCTATGGATCGTGGCCCACCACCAACCCCACTACACGATACCGCTTGCGAAAAAACTGGATCCACTTGTCCACCGCCTGATGCTGCTTATCACTGAAATCATCTGTGCTCCAGGTATCTACCGCCTCGTCACCATCCTTTCGTATCACCAACTTGTTTAGCCCCAACAACCGGGTGACATCTCTGCCTACCAATTTGTGATACGACTTGCCAGGCCCATAGTTTTTGGGGTTGGACGTGACATCGTACACGAATCCTCTTATCGCTAAATAGATTTCGGGCTTGTGGGAACCGTCATACGCCGCTAGCTCCGGTCGGGTGAACATTGGGAGTTTATTGATGTCGACTGACGTGTTATACTGCTCAATCTCTTGGTTCTCCGTGCCAAACATACTGTGGATATTTGTAGTCACCACAGTGTGCAAATGAGATTATCACTAGTATTTTCGCGGTGTGGTAATAGTGCGCGCTACTTCTTGTACTCTTCGCAAACCCAGTTTTCTCAAGATGCAACAGCCAGATCAGTCCGAACGGTACCCTGCCGCCATTCAGAAGCTCTTCCGGCCACGGCTCCCTCTACCGTTCATCCCACCCACCGACTATGCCAGCAATACTCGAAAAACTGCCTCCATAACCCCCATTCTGGCCTATGCCTTACTCATACGAAACTACGTGGACCAGGAGCTACCACAAATCGAAGCCGAGCGCCAGTCGCCTGACAAAACACCCTTCCAGATCCAGGCCGAGAAGACTCAGCGCCGCCGCCTCGACATCCAGAAATCCCGCCAGCGGCAGCTTACAGACTGGAATAACCCCGAACTTCTTCTCCAAAACGAAAAAGACTTCATGAAAGACCCGTACCGTACGGTGTTTGTGTCACGGTTGGACTACTCGCTCGGGGAGATCGACGTTTCCAAGCACTTCTCCCGGTTCGGGCCCATCGAATCCGTCAGAATCATCCGAAGCTCATCTACCGGCAAATCTAGAGGATACGGGTTTATAGTGTTTGAAAAAGACACCGATGCCAAAAGTTGCATACGTGAGCTAGCACCAACCGGCCTTAAGATCGGACCCGGCTCCCGTACTATCTTGGTCGACATGGAGCGAGGACGACTTGTGCGCAACTGGCTCCCCAGACGTCTCGGCGGTGGACTAGGAGGAAGACACTACACCAAACCCAACTCGCGGTTTTCGACCAACGCCTCAGCCGCCGCCTCGGGAAGAAAATTGAACTTGTCCATGAACCCTTACCAGCAGGAGTTCAAACCGAGGTCGTCTGCCCCTCCAGGCGCATCTGCGGTCCCATCTCAAACTGCATTCACATCGCATCCAGGGTTTTCAACTACCACTACAACCAAACCACTGGCTTCCACGTCGGCGAAGGACCGCTACGGCAAGTACTCGCTGTATGCACCGCAATCTGCCGCCAGCTCGGCTCAGCGCTCTAGCAAAAGCATTAGACAACCTAAATAGACCACTTCTCTCTCAATGCTCACGTTCCATTTTCCAGTTCAGTTTCGCATTCTCATTTTCTCCGTCAATACAAATGTCTCTGGAAACCCATACTGGCACCAAAAGGAGCCTTGATACCGGAGACGGTGATACTAAGCGGTTAAAGCCGGAGCCTGGCTTATCGACTTCCACAGATGACTTGGAGTCGTTGAAACAGCTGATAAAAGCCGAACTTCTAGCATCTTTTGAAGACAAGTTCGCCGCCATACACAGTGAACTAAACGACTTGAAAAACAAATACAACCTGCTCATCAAACCAAACCCGCCCCCATTGCCACCACGTGACACATCCACAGTGGCCACCGCCCCCACCTTTGGCGCTGTCTCGAAACCTCCGGTGTTGAATCGAGTTTCTGAGAATGGAACCCCAGAACTATCCAAACCAAAACACACATTTGGCGGAACCCTGTTCGACTTCAAGCCCGCTGTCGCTACCCCCACAACTTCGTTAGCCGACGAAAACCGAGTCACAGATACTCCAAAGGACAAGTCTGATGGCTCTACCAACTCCACTCCTGGTAAACATGTGTTTGGAGCTACCACGTCATTCGGCAACGCTTCTGTGTTGAACAAAATGGCGGAAAGAAAGAACGTCTTTGCCGACTTACCGTCTTCGGCTTCTGTCAATGCGGGCCTGGCCTCTTCGTTCGGTGCCAACACCAAATTTTCCAATGCATTCCGCAACTCTACTGCAAAGAAATCGTTTTTAGACGAGGAGCCACAAAAAGACTCAGAAGAAGAACCTCAGGATGGCCAGCCTTCTCAGCAGTACAAACAAGTGGACTTGGAGCCCGTCAAAAACACCACGGGTGAGGAAGATGAAAAGTCACATTTCAACTCACTTTGTAAGTTGTTTGAACTCGACTTTGAACATATGAAGGACGGGTGGAAAGAACGTGGGTTGGGCCAGATACATTTGAACCAGTCGATCAAAGATCCTACACAGGTGAGGTTGGTGATGAGGTCGCACGGGTTATTGCGAGTGATATTAAACTCCAAGATCACCAAGAATACCGAAACTCACAAGGGGCTAGAGGCCAGCTTGACACCTGGAAAGTTCTTTCGGTTCAATGCGGTTAATGAGTGTGGGCAGCCAGTGCAGTATTTGTTGAAGTTTTCTAACGAGGGACTTCGAGATGACTTGGTGGAGAAGATTGAGAATTTAAAGGACCAGATGGAGAAGTAGAGCCCAAAGCGAAGAGAAGTCGAACACAGACTCCTTGTACTATTTACTGCTCGCTACTTGTATACTTATAAAGTCGGTAAATACAACTGTGCTACACTTGTAGTACTAAATATAATATACATCTCATTGTACTCTTGAGTCTATACAATCTATGCTACTCTTTAATGAATGCTATGCTACAAATGGTCGAACCTTTGACTCCTCCGAACTCAAAAACCGGGTACGTGATCTTATCCCACACCTTCAACTCAGTCTCTTTAGTAATAATCTTCACCAACTCTTCTTCAGTGAAGTTACACGACGTTATCAAAAGTATTGAGTCCCTGTGCATTAGCTTCTCCACCTGTGACCCATACACATCCATGCCTATTTTCCCATCAAGGTCTTCCACAGGTTCTTGGTTGAGTGCAATAGCATCCAAAGTCCCTTTGTCCAAAAGTATATCGTACTTTTCTCGATTTGCATCCAAAAAGTCGCTTTGTTTCTTCAACAAGTCCACTTGTTCAAATTCAAACCTTTGGTCTTCATACTTCTTGGATTTGATCTTGTTTGAGAAGTCCACTGACTCGGCAGAGTAGTCGATGCCCTTGAAGTTGTAATCGACTTGCACGTCTAACTCTTGCTCAAAGTCATCATACATCTGAAACAACAAATGGCCGTTGCCGGTTCCCAAGTCTATGATGTTTAAAGTATCATAATGGCGTGGAAGCTCGCCGTCATTGATCTTCTGGATCAAAAACTCAATCATCTTCAGTTCTGCATCGGAATCATCGAACCAACACTCTCCTGTATCGTCTTCATTATGTTCAAAGTTGCCGATTTCTCGTTCATAAAATGTGTTCCAGCTGTTCTGTTAGTATCTCATGCATTTAAGGGGGAGGCTGTGTACATACTATTCCTGTGTCCCCAATTTGGATGAATTAAGCCGTATATCACTCATGCCAAAGGCCAGAGAAATTTTTCACGCACCTAACCGATAAGATGCGCAAACCCCAAATAAAACGCGTAAACACCAGCGCTTTGAACTGGAATCATGAGCACAATTATTGATGCTCCTTTAGCCACAGACCCTGATAGCGGGCCGTTACTCGACCAGCAAGCACATTCAAACTACAGGATATGGAAGAAAAACACACCCTTCTTATACGACTACATTTCCACTCACGCTTTGCTCTGGCCGTCCATGACGATTCAGTTCTTTCCAGACTTGGACAAACCATCCGACAACCAGATACCGCCCACCACCCAACAGTCCAAAGATATAGATCATAATGTCGTGTATCAGCGGTTGTTATTGGGGACTTTCACCTCAAACCAGGCAGTGGACAGTATTTCGATATTGCAGTTGCCGTACTACGACAACTTGAACAAGCACTTGAACATCGACAAATTGAACTACAATCCTGATAAACTGGAATTCGAAATGACCACTGTTCCCAAGAAGAAGATGTCGATGCTACAGAAAATCAACCATCTCGGAGACGTCAACAAGTTGGTGTACATGCCACAGAACCCAGATGTGCTTGTCAGTGGGAACGATTATGGATCGTTGGTGATATACGATCGAACCAAGCATTCGAGCTACAAGAATACCAGCGACTCGGAGGACATTAACAAACCTCAACTAACGTTACAGTCCTCGAACCAAGGTGAGGGAGAACAAATCTTTGCTGTAGACTGGAACAAACAGAAGGAAGGAACCATCGTGTCGGGGAAAATGAACGGGAGTGTTAACATCCACGATATCAAAAGTCTGTTCACGAGCACGGACTCTACTGACATCCATCCGCTTCGGACCTATGACTGCTTTTTTCATGGAGTGAATGATGTGCAGTGGGTTCCGGACCACGAAGCGATTTTTGCATTTGTAGATGAAGGTGGTGCATTCAAACTTGTCGACACCAGAACCACTGGCTCGACGGCCATTGACAGATCAATAACACAGGGCCCTGCCAATACGCTAAGCTTTAACCCCCAAAACCTGGCATACACGGTAATTGGTGATGGGTCTGGAAATATCCTGGTGTGGGACATAAGGAATATCAAGCATAGCGGTTCTGAAGTGTTGACCATACAGAAAGCGCACGATGAGGTGATCACTCGGGTGAAATGGCATCCGAAGTTCCATAGTGTGTTTGGTTCTTCTTCTGGTGATAAGACCGTCAAGATCTTTGATGTCGGCCAGTGCGAGAAGAACAATGGAATGGTGTTTGTGCACAGTGGACACATGCTTGGAGTCAATGACTTTGACTGGTCATTGCATGATGACTGGATGGTTGGAAGTGTAGCGGACGACAACTCTTTACACGTATGGAAGCCTTCGTATGATATAGTCAAAGGATACAAGTGAAATGAATGAGTCAAGTATAGTAAAGTCACACATAGTCAAGAATAAAAGTCACTACATAGTCAAGAATCAAAATCAAGTGACTGATGGATGATATCTTTACCTGCAAAGGCTGCTCTCAATAGTTTTGTATTCTATACTATTTAATGTGAATAAATTAGTTCTGGGCTAATTTTCATAAGTGGATCGTGTAGGTTCAGAGTTGTGAATGCTTAAGCCTTGGCGAATAACTTTTCAACCTCAGCAACCGATTCAGCCAATACTCTTTCTTGGAACTTAGGGTTCTCGATTTCCTTGTTGACCTTATCCAACACAGACTTGATTAATTGGTCTTGTTCCAATTGTCTCTGTTGTTGTTCGAATCTGACCCATGAGTCCAAAGTGGATTTGGCTTCGGCCACAACCGCAGCCTTTTGCTTCAATTCAAAAGACTTGGCTTCCAACTCGGCGGTTTCCTTGGAAATGGCAAACAATTGCTTGGTGGTGTCAACCACATCCTTCAATTGGGAAACAGAGGTGATTCTGTCGTTCACGGCAGAAATGTGCTTTGCTCTGGATTCGTTCAACAATTGGTTGACCTTCTTCACTTCACCGTCAGCCCATTCGGTGTACAATGGGGCCACAGCCTTAGCACACAAGGCAACGAAGGCAGCGAAAGTGGCTACCAAAATGGTTTCATCGTGAATAATAATCAATTCGTTGGAGATTCCGTACACGGCGGCAGCAGCACTGGTGGCTAAGAAGCCGGTCTTGGACAAGTAGTTGTTACCGGGCATGGCATCGACGATAGAAGTGGCCTTTTGTTTTGGTTCAACGGGTGTGGACATGTAACGCAAACCAATTCTGTTAAAGTTAGTATAAAGACGTATATGGTTGGTAGAGACCACAATTGGCGAATGGCAGTCAGGAGATACTGAAGGCACACGGCATCGGAATAAAGCTGGCTTTCACAATGCTAATTCAAGAATTTGTGTTTTCAGGGACTCTCGGACGACGAGTTCAACATCTCCACAATTGCAGTCGACAATTGGATCCAACGCAACAAGGACAATCGACATACGGTGCTGGTCTGGCAGCCATTCTGACGGTTGGAGCTAAGGCTCTAACGGCGAATCTGTTCATTAAAGACATGTTTTTTTTGGAACAACGGGTTTGTGAAAAATTCAAACTTTTCTTCCAACCTTTCTCAGCGAGGATCGGATTGGACAATTTTCTCGAAATGATTGGGCGAGACTCGACTGCCTATTTGGGAAGCATACGCGCCCGCACCCGCACATACCCAGAAACTTATGGGTCGTACATTTATCTATATAGTCAGTGGTGATTTGTAAACGTATGTGGAGGCAACTAGTGCCGGTCGTTGAATTTATCTTGGAGTGCCTTATTGATAACCTTGTTGGTTTGAGACCGTGCGAGGTCAAATTGGTCTTGAAGTGCCTCTTTTAGGTCTTTGTTGTGCACCAGCGGCTGTTTGGGGCCAGAAGAGACAGTTTCGGGCTGGAACGCCATATAGGCAATTTCCCGGGACTTAGCCATTATCCGATCCTGGATATCTTTGGCCAAGATCTCGACCGTCTCGTCGCCCGAAATACGGAGGATCTGAGGAGTGTTTGGGATGTTTTGGTGGGTGTTGGGACCTGATGCTGGTTCCTCAGGAATGGATATTTCTGGGTCTTGGTCGATAGTGACAGCACCTTCGGTGATGGAGGAGGTGGATCCTTTCTTCCGCTCGGCCCGAAGACGTGCTATACGTTCTCTGCGTTGTCGTGCTTCTTCTTCGAGAGATGTCATAATGAGATTTTCAATGGTGCGAGTTGCTGCAAAAATACTTCATAAAGGCCATATATAAGATATACTAAAATTTACTGCCCAAGTAGTCATTAATGATGTTCACCAAGAACGGGTCGGTAAGTTGCATGTGTGGGCCTTCGAGATCCAAAAGCTCCAAGGCCCCCTTTTTGTCGAGAGTCTTCAACCCAAGCACATCGTACTTGTACATGTCTGTGAACCTTAAAGGAATCACCGCTCCAGTATCCCTGTCGATATCTCCAAACTGGGCAGACGTCTTCGGGACAACCGTGGTGTCATCGAGGAACTGGACCAATACAAACTTATTCAACTGCCGCATCTTCTGTGTGTACTTGGAGTGATAGGTTTCAAGCAGTTCATTGTTGATATCTGCGAGGAAACTCGAGTACTTCATATATTTTTCAAGGTCGTAGGGATCTCTGAAGTACTGGGCGGGTATCACCGAGTGTTGCACTGAAGAAAACCACACCTGTTTCTTAAGGAGGTTGTTCCGCTGGCGACACACCCAGTCATGGGGATCTGAGCATAGTGGTAGGTCCATCACCCCCATGTGTGGAGACCCAAACGTCACGAGATTGTGGATATTAACCGCATCACACCGCTCGTGAAGAGCCCGAAGAAAAAGGCCTCCTTGTGAGTTTCCAAGGCCATCAAACCCATCCACCAACTCCAGCATGTTGCCGATCTGCTCGCAAACACTTTGAATATTCTTGTTCATATCCCCTACTAGCGAGCTCTGTTCATCTTTAGACAGATCATTGTCAAGTCTGATGCGGTAAACCTCCACCTCCGGGTGAAACTGTCCAATGAGTTCTTCCATGTGCCGAATCCCGGACGAGTTGTAGTTGTCGCCAAGTCCATGCCAGATTACAACCGGTCTGCGGCGGTCATAGATGCCCATTTGCGTATTTGGATTTTGAGCGGGTGCAAACGCCTTTTCGATATATACGGAGGCAGAGGGCCCTGAAGCCAAGTTAAGTTCGTCAGCTATGCTGTTGCCGGAAGTGACGAGCAATAAGGGTCTGAGTAGCCAATTTATGTGCATTGATATGCCTGCTGTGGTGTCACTCAACTCCACATTTTCGCGCAACGAGCCAAACAGAAAAAAAATCCATCACCATCTCATCATGTCCGCTCCGTTCAAACTAGGGCGGGACTCGCTTGAGGAGACAAAAAAATCCCTCCGGGCGCTTAAAAGGCACTCTAAGGCTGCAGAACCAGTGTACTTCACTATCAATACTACAAAGCCGTTGGTCAGAGCCAAGGACTACACTCCCAGAGTGATTCCGTTGACCAACCCTTTGGACAAACTAGGGAACAAATCGGTGCTACTCATCACCAAAGACCCTTCGACCCCATATCGACATCCTCTTACTGAGAAGGACTCGCCTACCGAAGACGTCTTCAACCAGATCTACACCGTCACCAAGCTCAGGCGTATGACAAGCAATCAGAAGAAAGCCATCGGAGTATTCAAAGAGTTCGACATAATAGTGGCAGACCACCGAGTTCACAAACTCTTACCGGATATTCTAGGTGCACAGTTCTATGTGAAAAACAAGAAGATTCCTTTTGTGGTACAAATGGCTCCTGCTGACCCCAACGCTAAACTCGTCAAGACGTCCAAGTCCCATAAGCTCAAAGACGAGCGATGCGAACCCAAGTACGTCAAGGGCCAAATGAACTCTATTGCCAAAAATACATACTGCATTATTCCTGCCAACGGGACATTCATGTCGATCAAGGTGGGGTTCACCAATTGGCCCACCGACAAACTTGTGGCTAATATCAACGATATATTGGTGTATTTCATGGAGAAAAAATACCCATCTGGAGGGTTGATCACCAACAAATCCATGATTGAAAGCATCCACATCAAAACCAGCGACAGTATTAGCTTGCCGGTCTACCGGTCCACTCCCCAGGACTCCGATCCCTCTTCCTCCGACTTCAGCGACAACGATTTATAGCATATACATTAATCTATAACATTTTGCAGCATGTTCGAGCGCGCGCTGTAACCGCACTTTTGGCAGAACGTTTTATCCAGTCAAATCAATGGCAGACAATGCACAGCACGGCGGAGACCTTCCCGTGCCGAATACGCTGGGTTCTCCCCATCCGTCGGCGCCAGGAGCATCGTACATGTCATATCTCCCGAACAACACCTTCGGAACGTTGAGGCCTGCTACATTATTACGAAACCTTTTAGAGCCGGAGGACGAAAACGAGGTGGAAGAGATCGAACACTTCAAATATAAGCAGGTTCTTGATAGGAAGTTGACGGTGAAGTCAATTATTGGCTTGAGTTTTTCGATCATGGGAGTTCCGTTTGGAATGTCTTCTACCCTATGGATTACCTTGGTTGATGGAGGGAATGTTACCATGTTATACGGATGGATCATTGTATCTTTCTTCAGTTTGTGTGTCATCTTAAGTCTCGCTGAGATCATCTCCAAGTACCCCACGTCCGGAGGAGTCTATCATTTCAGTGCTTTATTGAGTAATGAAAGATATTCGTTGATTAGTTCCTGGTACACCGGTTGGTTATTATTGATTGGATCCTGGACTTATATTGTATCCATCCAGTTTGCAGGCGCCCAGTTTATTTTGTCCATTTTCGGACTCAAGAACTCCTACTACAAAGAGGATATCATGTTGGTGTTGCTTGTTTATTATGCGATGTTGTTATTCAGCGGGTTCATCAACTGGAAATTCCCCAAGTATTTGGAGAAAATTAACCGGGCTTGTATCATCTGGTCGTTGGGAACGACATTGGCGATCGACTTTTTACTCATTTTTTTCGCCAAACGGACCCACTCTATCAAGGAGATTCTAACTACCTTTGACAACTCCAGATCAGGTTGGCCTGATCCTCTTGCCTTTATTGTGGGTTTGGCGGGCTCTGCTTATACCATCAACGGGTTTGGTTTGATTTTCTCCATGACCGACGAGGTCAAAAACCCTGAAAGAAACATGCCCAAGGGAGTCATTAGCTCACTTTTCATCACGTTCTTCAACGGGCTAATCTTCATTTTACCGGTACTAATTATTCTTCCTGAAATGAAGTTGCTTCTAGACGAGACACCCGAGATCATGCCAATTGACTTGATCTTCAAGTTCTCCATTGAGTCGTACGTGGTGTCATTCTTGTTGGTGATGCTTTTGATTGTGACGGTGTTGTTCCAGGCAATTGGCTCGGTTACCACCGCTTCAAGAACTACCTACGCCTTTGCTCGTGATGGAGGGTTGCCGTACAAGGAAAGGTGGTTGTCTGTGGACTCTGTAGAAGAAGATGTGGTGCCCAAGAATGCTATACTTTTGTCGATGGGGATCTCTGCGGTATTGCCGGCTATCGCTGTGATTTCGGAGTCAGCCTTTAACTCGTTTATGGGGTCTTGTGTTATGACGTTGACGCTTTCCAATGGGGTTCCTATTCTTTGTCTCATGTTGAACAAAAGAAGAAAGGTGAAAGGAGGAGCATTTAGACTCCGCAAAGTTGGGTATATCATCAATGGCCTCTCGTGTTTCTGGGTGGTGTTGGTTTGCTTGGTCATGTCGATGCCTCCTGTAATAAAGGGTTTGACGTGGTCCAGAATGAACTATGCCAGCGTGGTGACTGTGGGGTTTTTGGCGTTTGCTACGCTAGGATACAAATTATGGGGGCAGAAGAGCTTCGAGGGACCCAAGGTTGATACCGACTACTTTGAGTTGCACAACCTCAATGCTCCTGGAAGAAGTAATCTAAACTCGGCAAACGATTCGTTTGTGGTCATTGATGACGAGGAAGATAACACTTTTGAAGCAGATGGCCGCAAAATCTCGTACGAGCCTCCAAAGCCCGTGTCTCCAAGTTATAGAGGAAGCATTTCTTCTGGGTCCAACAAGTTTGAAGTGGGGGACAATGATGATACTGAGGTACTTTTTGATGCATCGAGGGAATTATAGACAATCTACATATGAAAAGGCATTGATTTTACATACAGTAAGATATTGATTTATAGATACAAGACAATGCATTGCTTTATAGATATATTCAAGGCGCTCTACACATCGTGTGTTGAGTGAGTAGGTACAGCAGAGTGTGCAATACACAGCCAATCAATTTCATACCCCTATTTGAATGGATATCTAGTCATCCATCACCAGGGTTTAATGTCAATAGCTGAACGTTCAAATTTGAAAATGTATATTATCTAGCTAACAGATATCCCTGCAAAAAAATCACATTCTTTGCTACTGACGAAACTGAAATGGACGAGCCAAACAAAGAATCATGCTTTAACATCTAATGTTTAAAAAAAGGAGGAACATTAACTAAGGTCGTAGTTAACTTCTCAAGCAATGACGCAAGAAAGAACTGGAACACCCAGACCCAGAGTATATTTCTTGTTGTCCTTAGTTTCAGACTTGGTAGTTTTAGTTTGTTTTTGAGCGGCCATTGTTAAAAGATTGAGTTATTGAATAATGAGCTAAAGAAAGGGGAATCGGGTACCCTTTTATACTTTTGCTATCCCCAACCACTGGAATATCCATATATAATAAACCTCTAAAAGGTGTGGTGGTGGTTTAAAACAATTACTAGTTTGAGTCTTCTCAATAGGTTGGCTGCGAATAAAGTTTGTTTCACAGTAGTGGGAAAATTACCCTTTTTGGTCTCATCAATAGGACCGCCGAAGATGCCATAAAAAATAAAATAAAGCTGCCTGATAAGAACGATTGGGGAAGCCCTACCGGGTAATATATTGAGGAACATGAAACAATAAGACAATCAAAAATAAGAGATAGCCAACTAAAAGGGCAACTCCGTGTATGATTTCCTGGAACACTTTAAGTCCATATGTTAATGACGCTGAGCATTCATCAATTTACAAGGTAAGTAAATGCTAGCAAACATTCAAAAGGGGTCTTTTAGAATGTACATATATTTATATAAATTGGTGATCTAGAATTTATTGTCTTTTATCTTTTCTGGTGTCTAATTGATGCGAATAATGCAAATAATTTCCGAGGTTTAAGTTTCAGGAAAACTTTACGGAATGGTGATGAGTGTTGTTTATCAACTTCCTTGTCTTCTGAACTATTCTCTGATGCTGGTAGAATCATCAACTTAGGCTTGGAGTCTAATATTTGTCTAATAGCCTCTCTTTGATCCACTAAGCTATGATCAGTTTCAGGAATGAGAGGGCATAGGGCCATCAATGAGGACCAGGAACTTGAACCATCTCCACAAACGTCCTTACAGTAGTCAGAAGCTTCTAATATGGAGGTACTGAGACTCATGATAGACTTATCGTCATCAGACAAGTATTCCCATACCATTTCCAGAATGGCGGGTTCTTGTACAGCAAGGACCATATTTTTGGAAGTAGAAGTCAACTCCAAAGAAGATTGCATGCTTTTTGAAGATTTCCAATAAGCTTCCATGGTAACTCTCTCAAACTTTGATTGAGAATTGAACGTATTCTTTTTGGAAACATTGTATGGCGAATTACCCATGCAAGAGTTTCTCAAATTCATGTCAAGCTTGAGCAAAGAAGACAATGACCGGTTTGGTAAAACCATCCCAAGCTTGGCATTATAAGTACATCCATACTCTTCTGGAGCCTTTTGAAGCTTTGGCAAGGAGCTCAATGTTTGCTATGAAACTGACTCTCCTTTTGGCAAGAGAGCTTTGCCATGTCTATCTGTAACCATTTCACCCTTTGACAAAGAAATCAGTTTGGGAAAAGAAGACAGTTCCCACATTGACAATAAAACCCTGCTAGACAAGTTATACTTTGGCAAATGAACCAATTTTGACTTCAACTTCGCTGAAGAGCATTCCAGTTTCTTTTGCAAAGCGGTGTAGAATTCGTACACCTCGAGGCCAGAAACTGGAACTTTTTCTTCGAACAATTTAAAAGAGTCATACACTTCAAAGTCCAAAGTTGAATGAGAGCAGTCCTTGAACAAACTATAGAAGTTAAACCCATTGAAGTCAGAAGTGAGCAGATAGCAGCAGTTTTCAGTTTTATAGTTTTTACGGGAGTTTTGGACTCTTTGATTTTTTTTGGTTTTTTGGTTTTCAAAAATGGAGTAGAAGTCATAGAAGTTATAGTTAGTAGAATAGGGTTGTTTTTCTTTGCCAAAGATGGTGAAGAATTCATAGAGGTCCAAGTCTGATGTAAGGCTAGTCAAGCCACCAGACTTAACTAAGCCTTGAGGGTTACCAAAGCGTCTGTCCTCCTTTCCAAAGATGGTAGAAAAGTTGAAGTAGTCAACTTCATTAGCCAAAGTATCATCATAATTCGCCAAGGCAGAACTCTTGTCAAAGATGGCATAGTAGTGATACAGTTGAAAGTCAGCAGTAGCACCAATACATCCACGAGAACACAAGGTCAAACTGGTCATTTGTGGCACAGGAGTTAAATCATCAAGAATGGCGAAAACGTTGTATAATTTGAAA